GGTATGCTAACTATTGATGAGCTGACCACTAACTGGCCGACTATTGTTCATTCAGCGCATTTAAATGGTCTAGGTTGTTGTTTGGTCCCAAGAAACCTTCCACGATATCGGCGAAACGCATCACATGAAGAGACAACTGAATATCAGGCTGAGGTTGGTAGAAAAAAGGCAAAGTGCAGGAATCGATTAGAACTTTTTCCAGCGTATCTCGATGCTGATGCCGAAGGAGAAAGTAGATTGGCGCAAGTGCGGTAACTGTACACCCCTAAACAATATGCTCAAAGCAGAAGCTTCTAGTTCCGAATGCTGGTAAGCTGCTTTACACGGATTAACAGTCTACTCGGTGTCTGACTTCCCAGTCGCTTTCTTCCAAAACGCTATTCACTCAGCTGACAGAGGAGTACGGGCGCTCCTCACTCGCGCCAGCAAACACGGATACACATGAATTTCATTTTAATTTGTTGATGCCCCAGCTGAACTGCAGTGGCAACATAATTAAGGTTGGAATGAGCTTTCCATTGAGGCATGGATGGATCTCTGCATTCAGTGAATCCTTTGTATTGAGCCAATACATTTGCGTGCACTTCCAGCACATATGGCGTTCGTCTCGGAAGTAACAGGACGAGCAGTGGTATGTGGAAGCTAGCACGTCTTCGTGCTTCACGTAAATGGTCAGGTGTTCTGGGATTCCGCGTATCAGCTGCAGGAACTGAGCCATATACGAAAATTTCTGTATCGGCCAAGGCACGGCCTTCACCTTTATGCATTCGCAACCGAGTTGCAACTTTTCAAAGAGTTTGTGCCTGATTTCCAAATATTTTCTTCCAAGACAGGCCTAGATTGTTACTTTGTTCGGTTGATCTACTTAAGGGACCGCAGCCCGTGGAGGCTGATGGCGCAACAAGGACGTTTTTCCGTCGCCTTGCAGGGGTATCTGCGCTGCCCGAGTATGAGCGACATTTTTTACTAATAGCTGATCGGAGCTACGGAACCATGGAGAGCATTCTCTTCCAACAAGCTACTGCTTCTTCAAAGCACCGAATGACTGCTCGTTATTCTCATTGATTCACAGAAGCCAACTAGCAGTATTCGAAGAGGACAACGGAACTCTATGGGGAAAGACGCGGGTGGAACATGAGGCGACTCCATTCGTATGGGCATCAATTCACTGTCCAGAACGACCAGCAATCTTTGATGCCCCTTTAGAAGAGTACTCAGGAGTCTTGTCCTCCGTGAGTCGTTCGTTGGCTTGGCTGGTACCGTGCGTATAAGCCTACAGTGAAATATTTTAAGGGCGTCACGCTTTAGTGGGGCCCAACCAATTCTCTATTCTACAATGCAGCCAGGCTTGTTTAGGCAAATTCACCGTTTCCGCAGACAGGTCGTGCATCTTTCGCTGGTGAAGCCCATGCACCGGCTATCATCGCCAAAACCCCAAATGTAAACACAATGTTTCACTATCACATAGAGGGTACCTCACTGGAGCTCACAGCAAAGCGGGAACTCCAATGTTCTCTACATTCCGATTTCGCACTGCAATGCAGTCTTGTGCAGGAAGTACTGTCATGTTCTTTCGGATCTTGGTAGGATTCACGCTACATGAAAAATCTCTCCTGGACTTTGTGGTTGCTGGAATGCGTGCCGCGGCAAACAAATATGCGCCGTCATGCTTAGACTGTGAGCAACTGAAGTCACACAGCTCTCGCAAACCTGGCCGTTTGCAGACTCTTCCGGTTGCAGAGGGGTCTAGATTGATGCACGTATGCACTTTTCTGTTCCACTCCCTAGGCGAAGGTTTAGGCTAGCATCTGCGTCGTTCTTGAAAGACTCAGCAATCATGGCAAATACTTCCGTTTCATTCCTTACTCCAGCATAATCTCGACTCAGGAATTCGCTCAATCATTCTTATCGCATGTCTGGAGCTCCAAGGAATTACCAGGAGCATCGTTATGGCCATGGATAAGGAGCTGATCATTACGTTCTAGCGTAGCTCCTTCGGCCTGCTCACATATTAAGCATATCATGACCACAGTGAGCCACCCTGATGCTGATAGACAGAGCACAGCAACCCCACTCTGCTGCAGTACTTACGAGTCTATGGTCACATCTTTTGTGTGGGTCTAGTTTTTCCTTTTCCAATGTGGGTTTATAATGCGACAGTGCGCTACTTGTCTACCTGTCGCTTTCCCCCATGCTTGAAATGCGCATAGAAGCCCGTTTCTGACTGTTTCCTGAGCCTGGTGGTCTGAGGTCAACGGCCACTCTTAGCAGCGGAGGGGTTTAGGAAACAGTGAGAGCTTTAGACAGCAGCTGACTAGTGCGCGCGAATGTATGCGCAAAGTTCATGAGAGACAAGCACGGCATTATGATAGGTTGTGGCTGGTTGCGTTTCGAACGTAAAGCTTGGTTTAGGTGTATTAGCAGGCATTGTGAGGGGCACCAAAAGGTGGCTAGACGAAGCCTTGTGTGTGGCAAAGTGAACAGGGTTATTTGCGGTCCTGTATGCAACCAATGCTTTTTTGTACCCCAACTTTTCCCTAAATCTAAACGCGCCAGAGTACTACTACCCTTGCTCTCTTAAGAATTTGTAAAGCTTTTCTCATTATTCGCGAACGTCGCCATTGCCACACAGCTCAATGACCAGTAGGGGATGACAGACAATTGATAATGAGCCTAGAACTGCTGCATTATAGGACCATTCAGCGCTCTAAACACCCCAGACAACATTTTCATGGGAAAACGGGGTTGGGAACGCCAACAACAGTGGTCGACGGAGGAACAGTCACAGACTTTGTTGCATGCGGGAAAGTTTCCAGCTCTACTTGATCAACAAAGTTAGTTTTCGTGGAGGTAATTTCTCGAGCTCTTTTGTAATTGCCCTTCACTAGCGTACGTCCTGCTGAAATAGCCACCCTCATCCATAAATACTGCCAGGAAAATGGCTAGTTACTGTAATTAGGGATTTCTCTACGCTCAGCTTTGTCTGCAGGCAGTCAAGTATGTGTGGTATCCTTATATCCTTTCTAATGCCTCTTTTGGGGTCTTGGAGTCGACTGTGCTGGATGAACAAGTTTAATTTGCACGCAGGCATTACTTTATGGGGAAAGAGGTATTGCTGAATCGGCTCGTATTTTGACTTGGTTTACATATTTTACTCTTCTGTGTTCTCGTATCAGAAGGCTCGCAAATTTCAGCGCTTGTATCTCAGTGAGCCAACGCGCCGCCGCGGTTGAGTTGGCATGATTCCTCGTCTTTGTTGGCTGCAGTATTTGTCTTTCTTCCGTTCGTTTTAACTTTAGCGATGATGAACATGACTGCTTTTCGTATCTCACTGTTTTCACATCTATGCCCCCCTGAGAAGTGACGAAAGGGTGGGTGATATCTCGCTATCGTTGGGTTCACCGTACAGTTACGGACACGTAGGAGTGTAACCAGATTGGGAAAGGTAAGACGTGGTGGGCTAGGCTACCTTCAACGTTTTCTATTACACCAGGTATACTTACTGTAAATTAGCAAAGAATCAACCCAATTATTTGTCCGTTGCCATAAAATATTAGTTAGAGAGCAATATTAGCTTGATAAACGAAAGCTCAATGGTCTCCCTCTCTCGCTCGATCTCTGTCTCGGCAAGTGGATGCGTGTGTGTGTGCGCTTGATATTAAGTGCAACTGGCTGTGAAACTCAAGACTGCTCAGAAGTTGCACCTACGCGCACCGTATTTGTCTCTACACACTAATCTTGGCAGCTGAGGAGCGCGGGCACGGGAATGCAGGAGCATTTTTGAGAGCCACTTATTCACTTGCTAGCAAGTTTGCATTGGGCGTGAAGCTTAGCGTCGCCCTGTGAAACTCTATAGCGTTACAAAGCTTCCCTTTTGCTGGCATAGCCTTTCACAATTTCGGCATGAGGGGAAAGAGCATTCTAAGATATGTGCTGCATCACTCTCAAAGCAATCTTAGCATCCCCGAGTAGTGGCATGCAATAACTAGGGCCAAGGCAGAAAATTTAGACTCCCTTTACCTTAATCAAGCCCTAGTCAGCAGTCGATTCCGAGTTTCATGGTTGACTATCCAGTAGTCATGATTTATAGAGCTAGTGCATTAGAGATTGCCTTCGAGCAGCCTGTCCGGGCATGGTTGATGTTTTCGTTAAAAGTTTCCCGATACAGCAGGTCCCACACTCTTTTTTGCCCCAGAACCATACCTAAGCTCTTGGTTGATTAGTACTAGCAGTGCAAACAAGGCGATTTGCCGATGCGTATCCAGATGCCAAGTGGAAGTCCCATCATCCAGGAGGAATCGCGCATGAGCGATCCCCCTACTAACGAAGTTAACTTGTCCATCCAGTTTAAGACATGAGCTAAATTAGATTAAAATATCCCCATTTCTTAGTTATTAGCGCTACTCTAGTGTTTTGGCTTGGAACCACTACCGAGTGCACCTCATATTTTTATTTCCCCCGTTACCTCGAAATGATCTACACGGGAACGGCGAGAACGCACTGTGGCCCGATTGCCCAAAACAGCGTACTCCTGTGCTAAAGTGTAAATAACTAAGAAAGCCTTTCAAGTTTCGACATGCTTGCCTACACCCCCTTTTGGGGGGAGCCTGGCGTTTGAAAGTTTCCATCTGCCGATTCGGCTAGCGCTAGCTAGTGCAACCACCGCGGCGGGGAAGGGCGATGGCTGAGCTCATTCTTGCCGCAGTTAAGCCCAGCGCTCTTTCTCAAGTTATGATAAACACCCATTCAGCTCTTTTTTCTCACCTCAACCTTTGCGTTACTTGCAATTTTCACCTTTACGCCTTGAAAGGGAGCGAGTGGCCCGAAGCCAACCCAGAGACTGTGGCCATGATCTGTAAAACTTTCCCCCTGCAGCGTCTTCAGAGTACTTGTTTTCATACAATATTTTGATCTGATTTTATACCTTAGCACGTTCCCTCCTGTTTCAACAGTTGCAAACATTCTGCTTCTCGTGCACACGGATTTTTCGAGTATTGAGGATGAAGAACTTTGCCCTGTTCGCTTCCCTGTTGTCACTGTTTGTGGCAACAGCATATGCCGCGAAGGAAGTCTCGTGGCCCAACAATGGCTCAATAAAGGTTATCGCTCCCAAGTCGCCATCGCACATCACGATCGCTGTCCCAGGCTGTGTAACTGTCACAATCGACTGGGAAGATAACAGTGTTCAAGTCACGAAGCATGGAGAGTCTTCGAGCCAACCGGTCGGTGGCTCAGAGAGGCTACGTGATGACGGGGGTGAGCTCGTTGTACTTCTGAGTCGGCAGGAAAATACAACTCATGTCGCGGTCTATGCAGAAAGCGTCGGTGGAGGTTTCGATAGCAGACTGCAATCAATCGAAATGCCATCGTGCAACATTTCAAAACTCGTCATAAGCAGCCCCAAGAATAAGAACCTCAAGGATTTTCAAGTTGGTGTTTCCAAGGAGATCGAACAGCTCTACGTTTAAAGCCAGGGTGGTTCGTCGTAGTAAAACTCCGAAGCGGTTCAACAAGCATTACCAAAAACGAGTCGCCGTCTTGCTATCACGATGTGAAGCGTGGCAATGTAGCAGTACATTGCTTTCTGCAGCTGCTGCCTGCATGTTCTAGGGTCTGTCTGGAAGTGTCAGCACATAAGAAAAACGCACTCCTCAGCTCCTGTGCTCGAGTGCAAGTTGCACGCGGCGTTTTGGTGATTCATCGTCCTCCTCCCTTTACATTCAATGCGTTGTGTTAGTGGCATGCACCCGCGCTCCTTACTGGTTTTTATGCGGAAGTTGCGAAAGCAGACCAACTCCTGTGTAGCGCCCGCCTCACTGCACAGTGTTCTTACGTGAAAACGGGAGCCAGAAGCGGTGATTCAGGTGACATGACGCCTTGCATATCATTAGTCCAGAAAATCATTCCATGACTACGTAGAAAGAGGTCCTACCCAGAGGTGTCCTAGGATAGGAGAGGCAGCCGTTCGGCTCTTTCAAATGTGGCAAACAAATTGAACAAGCGATGCAGTTTGCAGATCCTCCCCGCTGCGGTGATTTACTTGTTGTGTAAATCACATAAACGTTGCCTAAACAAAACCTACGTAAGCGCGCTTCTCCGTTTTTCTGGGGGTCGTTTTGGGGATAGCGTAGTACGAGTCAAGATACAGGGATAATTGGAATCTACAGTGCCGCTGTACGGTGCGGTTACAGTCACAGCTACTCTGCAGCCAGCCAAAACTGGTAGGTAGGAACGGCGTGCGTGAAGTTATCATACCTCCCAGAGGGGACGCGGCACCGTTCCTCTGGCCACTCCCTGTGGACGCCTTGCCACTGCCAGGCGGAATCCTGGGCTGAATGCAGGCATTACTAGTAATGCTCTCGGCAGTGTCGCCGTTCATTTGGTGATGAATGGCCTTTTGCGGTACGTGCATTCGCCCTTTTCGCTTTGAGCCTGAAAGCCGTTAAACAAAGGCCAGATAGAACACGATCTGGCTGAGCCAGTAGTGCGCGGTGGAGCTTCATGGGGGTAATGTGACTGTCTCCGCAGGATGCATCCCTGGCTAATCCTCTAGCCCACTCCTTTAAAGCTGCCTTTCCCAATAGTCACCCTTTATCCCACTACGTAGTGAGGCATACCACACAGAGCCCAGAAGCTGCTTATATATGCCGTGAATGAAGAATGCCGCTGCCGCATGTAGAGTTTCTCTGGCTACTTGAAAGCAAGCTGTAGTTTTCTACAGAAGCTCCAGTAAGGATCTATAAAAGTCTCAGCCTCCTGCATAGATACCCACCGAAAATCTGCGTAGAGACGCGCTTTAGACGGCCGTGGTACACTCCTGATAGAGAAACAGCACATTTAAATTAACACAGCTGAAACAGATTCTCTAAATGCTTTCGAGCTGCTTAATTGCATTCCGCGCTGTATCTGTGAACGTCTTCACCCTGTCGCAAGGCCCCACCCCAGCGACACTTGCAGCAGCACCACCATGCTAATGACACCTCCCACAAGGCACAGGGGAGCAAGCACTTCGTTCTTGGGCTGCTGTCACTGCACCACCCCATTGTCAAGTGCGATGTTTGCGCCTGTGTTCTTGCACTTTTGGAGTTGTTACCTGGCAAGATGCGGATGCGCCTTTGCCCATCGCACCCACTTCCTATATGCAACGTCCCAGGTCATTTCTTTTGACCGGGCGTCCCTCCTCCCAGTTTTCGTCGTGAGCGCTCTTAAGCGGTGCTCCTGTCGCCGCTGTGCCGCTGAGAACAACAGCGAATCTGCGCTGCTCAGATCTCTGCCTTCCGAGACAGGTGGACTCTCTGAGGGCCGAGGTTCCTCTTGGGCTCGCTGTAGACGGACTTCAAAGGCCATGCGTGTAGCTAGTGGTTTGTTGCAATCTTCTCGAGTCATGATGTAGTCCGCCGGAATGCGGAATGGATTTAAGGAACCTGAGATGCCTCGCAGCACGCTGCCTTGCATCTTGCATGCTTACTGCTAAACTTACTGCTACGACGCTATGATAATTTATCATAGAACAGAGAATGCTCTTCAAATGTTCTTAACGGGTAAGGTGAGGCTCCATCAACCAGGTGATTAGAACTTACCCTTTCTAGTATTCCAGGAAGCAGCTCTGCTCGCATTCTGCTGCTGAGGTTCGATATTCTTCCGGTCACGTAAATCCTCTGAATGTCCTGCAAAAAGTGCGCGGCGTCCATGACAGTCACTAAACACTTAATGCCCCTCATATTGTTGCTATACGGTCAGAAAGCCTCCGTACAGAGCCTACTTCTAAGATCCCGGTGAGGTCAGTGGAACCCGGCAGAAAAAACCAAACAGACGCACCAATTGGCAGCAGTTCCTTACACCATTTCCGCTCAAAGCTGCGCTGCATGTCAAGCTCGTAAAGACCAGTGTGGGCGCATGCGTCTGGCGCGCCTTCAACACGGCCTCCGTTGCCAGTATGATTTTTCATCAGCGCCTCAGCAGCAAGCGTCTCTTCATCCAGAATTACATCAGCTCCCGTTGTGGCAAAAGGCGGCGGCCGTCTAATTGTGGTATCTTTCCGGCATCTTATATTGGGCTGCCTCCGAAAGGCGAAGACTGCGCTTAAGTCAGGGAATGAGCAGGCGGCTCCCGCTGTTGGCGCACTCTTCGGGCCCTGCACCTGGCCTGGAGGCAGCATCGATTCATCTAGAACTTTGCAGCCCGTTTCCAAATGCACAAATGTCCTGCTACTTGCTGTCTCACTCCCCGGAAGCCTCATGTCGATCTCCACCGCCGACTTGCTCACACGTCTCGCCCGCCACTCTTTGGCACGCAGGGCGTCCAATGGCCTACTGGAGAACTTCCCCCGGGAACCCAAAGACACCATTTCATCGGCAGTAACATCTCGCGTTTCTTCTAAGGCCAGATCGTTCTCCTTGCCGGCACATCTCTGCACCGCCACCATGGGAAGGGCCGGACCGACTTCTCCTTGAATCAAGGGCAAGGCGGTTTTGTTCACGCAAACAGCGCCACAAGACAACTGAGTTTTGTCACCTTCTAGGACGTCAGTCGCCCCTGGACTTGCCATTCTGAACTCTTTGAAGGAAGAGCCATCATATGGGCTAGCCAATGAATGCGAATTGCAGACGTCTCCGCGTGGCGAGATGGCTGTGCCTTCTGAGGCAGCCCGGGCCCTCGAGTCCTCGGAATGCTGGAGAACGACATCCGCCGTTGCATTTCTTCCAGACCTGGGCTGCTTATCTACCTGTGTGTCCGTCTGCAAGGTGAGGCCCAAACCAGGCGGCGGAAAATTCTTGATGAGAGCCTTTGCATAGGAGACATCTGGCAGAGGTAGGGCTCCTGCTGCTCTGTCCAAGGCAGCAACTACAGCAGACGCCTCTGGCACATGCTTATCGGGATTGTGGGTTTCTAGGTCTTGAGATACAATGTTCTGCACGTCGTCTACTACGCAAACCGCATGCCTTCGGTGGTGTGCGCTGTTTAACGCGTTTCGAACTGCGCCTTCCTCCAACATCTCTGAGCAAGAAGGGCCCGGCATGGGGTTGTCGCTACTAGCTGTGTCGATCAAATCGCGAGGAATCTGGGGCTGCTTCCCAGTCAACACTTTGCCGAAGCCCTCCGGGAGATGCGCTCCCCAGCGCCACAGGGCACGAGCAACGGGATCATCTGCATGCGCAGCTGATTCAGGAGCAGCAGCTTGTGCCTCGCGTGCCTGTGACGCAGATGTTTCTAGAGGTCCTCCTGCACTTGAAGAGCCTTTGGCTTTTGCCCTCGTGCGAAGCTCCTTCTTCAAGCGCTGCGCCTCCACCAGATTTGCTGCCTGCAGAGTGCAATCCAAAAGTGGTGCGTAGAGCCGAACAGTGTACAGCAGTTCCAAGAATGGCTGTCGAAGCACTGTAACTGCACCTCTAGAGATCTCTGCGAACGTGCGATTCTTTCTCGGTCCCACCAGGACCTGCTGGCAGGGTTTATACATTTGAAGTTTCCTAGTGGAACCCCAAAGCTACGTGACACATGAAGGCAAGCCAAAGGGCTCCTTGAGCTTGCCTTTAGCCTGAGACGCCCCAGGACCACCTCCTTAGAGAGTCGCAGTTTGTCGATTTCCGCGCGTAGAGGGTCCAAGCCTCTGTGGCGCAGAGCGCTAACGGCAAGAGGCGGTCCCGCGCAGCCCTTGAACCTCCTCTGCTCCTCTCCCACCTAAACGCCAACCAGGTATCCCATGCAGCACTGCATTTAGAGCCAAGAGCCAGCTTCAGCCATATTCAGGGATGTGCTACCAAGTAAGTCCATCTCGGTAGAGATACATCGTTGGGTAGCGAAAAACCTTAAATTCAAAGACCAGTCTAACATTCGTCGGCGGCGCACTCACAATCTGAAGAACCTTGATTAGGAACTTTTGTTCCGGCAGATCCGCCTTTGTCAAAACGAGCTGAAAGGGGATGCGGTGGCGCTCAAAGAACGCAAGCAGGCACAGGTCGCTTTCCCTTAGGCCCCAACGCGCATCCACAAGGAGAAACACGCGCTTCAGATTCCTGCAGACCCACAAGGCCAACAGCATGAGGAGAGCCAACTGTGATAGTAGCAGCAGTGACGTTATTGTGCCTAAGAAGGCCTGAAACCTGTCAAGGGAGAGAAAGCCGATCCCAAGAGGACAACGCCTGCTCCTTCAAATGGCTGAGCTATGTGGGTTCCTTGCTACATGCTACAATATCAAGAACCCTCGAAAACGCCGTATACATCATCTGGACTTGTGGCTACTACAGGAACAAGGATGATTGCAAAGACTCACGGGCGGGTCTTGAGATAAAAAAGAGACATCTCCGTCCACTGGAGACGCTTAGACGGTTCGGCCTCGGCATAGCCATAGCCAGGGAGGTCCACAAGACAGAGAGAGCAAGGTGACCCTGCCTAACGTCCGCAGAAATGCCAAATTGCAGGAATCCGCTTAGTGGTGCGCAGAGCATCACTGTGTAGAGCGAGGTGACATGTAAATCCTAAACATTCCGTCGACGTGAGCACGATTACCCATAATGCAATCAGGGCGGATTTTTATAGCAATTGAACGCTTGTGTACGCAAGCAGACCGGCGTGCTAAAGCACAGCGGACTTACCTTAAAAAAGAACAGTTCCTGTGTGCTTCCTGGACGCTTCGAGACCCCCGCCGTGCCGCTGCGGCCGCAGAGCTCATTGATCAACGTGCTCTTTCCCGCATTGGACCGGCCAGCGAATGCCACCTAATCCCATCACAAGACATCTTGTTGGTAAAACCCGTATGCGCGGCTTTCTTCAGATGGGCTCCCCCTATCCCCCCCAAAACCTCTCACTAAGCATTCGAGGTGTCAAAAAGCCCTTTTACTGACGCCCCTCCACATGGGGGCTATCTTGATTCCTTCAGGTTCAAACGCTCCCTATCTTGTCCTCGCTCTATCTTTCCCCATGTTCCTGGCAGCCATGTCTACTTGGTAAAGTACGCTGGCATTTTGCATTGTGCTCTGATACAATGTCCCTAACCCTGCCGTAAAAGTTCTCTCTTACGAAATTCACTCGGCATTTATGCAGGATAAAAACCCATATTCTTAGGAGCCACATCCCTACAGAGAAAAGCTTCCTATGTGGTCTGCAGAGGGGGGCCCTGAACGAAGATTATGAGAAGTTGGGCACGTCTTCTCTTATTGCTACTGTCTTTACCACAGCTAGCACCAAGGACTATCCCGTGAAATCCGGAGAGCATTTTCCTACGCTGTTGCAGCACACCTCAGGATATAGGGGCGGGGGCAGCGCCTGGGCCGTAAGGGCTTTCGCCCACAGGTGCAACCGCGGCTTAAGCTGGTGCAGAAACAATGGACAGCGTGCGGAAACTGATTTGGGATCTCCTGCATAGAGGACATGCACATAGCGATCAGATTGGTGGCTCCATGAGCTCAGTGACCCGTTATAGATAGGGACGTCGAACCATGTTGTGTGGAAACACAGCACTCCCCCTTATGGGGCCTTACCCACCTCTTTTTAACAGACGCTGAGCCTGCTGACAGCGGGGCCTTCCTAGGCCCTGGGATAAGACGTCGCGCTGGAATTTGGGGTCAAGTCGCTTGATGGCTTGTATTTTTCGCCTCAGGGGAACGCGCTGCACGAGGGTCTCCTCCTTAGCAGGGTTCCCCCCTTCTGAAGAGGCCAGGGGGCCTTGTGAAGGCCTCAGGGTTGCCATCATCTTGCGTCCACTCCAGATCTCACAGAGCCCAGGAGCGAGCAACTGGGGATCTTTGCCCGCTTTCTCACCGGCAATAAGTAAGGCTGTCGAGCTCTCTGTCCATCCCTTCAAGCCACCATTGACCCAGAGAAGGACAGTGTTGCCTTTTGATCTGAATGTACTAGGGGCTAGGGCGTGGCTCTGGAGGCTTTGCACTGTGAGGAGGGGATCTGGAATATGGTAGCCTTGGGTAGGGAGCGGGGGTGGGCCCCGCAGCGCCGGGGGAAAGAGGCTCCACACACCTCGCGCCAGCATCTTGAATGCGCAAGAAGGGGCTCCTAAAATTCCAGCCATTTGCGCCAAAGAAATACGTTATATCGTAGAAGCATCGGGACAACCGAAGGAGAAAAGTGTAAGGACCTCTTCGTTGCCACGCGCTTTCTGCAACAGAAGAGCAGAGGGAGCTGCAAAAAGACAGGCGGGGCCCTTAGGAAACCCTAGTCTCCAAACCACAGAGCAGAAGTGGCTTGAAGACGCGTTACCTGAAGGCCTCATTTGACTGGACAGAACCCTGAAAGGCACCTGGCCTTGAAACTTTGAGAGAGGACCATTGGCCGTAGAGCTGCACTAAGGAGAAGCCAACAGGATCACGTAACGCTGATAAAATTTGGGGTGTTTGTGGCTGGAGAAAAGGGAAGCATCGTCGTGTTGGGTTTTGGGGCCCTTGGGGGGCCCTCCTTGCCGGGGGGCCTCAGGGCATCCCATCCGATGGCACTTTACTCGCAGGTATGGAAGATCGTGAAGCACTTGTTGAAACGCATCCACAAAAACCTTTTAAACCTGTGTTCTGCACAGACTATTTGGTAACTCCTCTTAATGGTCGTGGTATGTCTCAACGTACCCTCTTGCCTGCCTGCCGATCCGCTGTCTTCGAAGAATTAGTCTCTTCAATGCTCATATTTCCGCGTTCCTCTATAGGTTCCGGTCACCTCTGTAGGTTCCGGTCAGAGAAGACAATTGTTTGCTCTCATTGCCATTTAGGTAACTGCAATGTGTGTGATCCAAGTCTTCCTGGCCAGTTGCTCTCGTGACGCCTTATCAATTGCAACTCACGTCTGCGGAACTCTGCGGAGAGACCCTGCACCAACCCCACAGTCTGAACGTATACGATACGTGGGAACATACCCCCAAATTACTCGATTGTCCTCCCCTACCCCAAGCCCACGGGGTTGTGGGGCGAATCGTGCGAGAATAGCCCGGGTTATGAACCCACAGAAAAGCCGAGTGAGCACGTGACCCTTACAAAAGGGCCTCTGTGCCGAGTCGGAAGGCAGAATAAAACCGGAAATGTACCTAAGGTGTGCAAGGCGTCTCAGTCAGGGCATACGGAGAAGGAATGCGTCTACTATCGACAAGTATCCCCCCCTACCCCCCCGAGGCCAGTTTCTGTAGTAGCTGGTGATTATTTATTTCCTCGGACTTTGATGCCAAAATCCATCCTCAATATCGCTCTACTATTGACTTTCGCATACAGGTAGGACTCTTTAGTTTGTTGTAGTATGTATTGATGGAACATTACAGTTCGAATTGTCTTGCACTCGGCGCTTAACTGGAAGGCTATGCTACACTGAAAATTTCTACTGCACTAGCTACATTTAAGTGAAAACTGGAAAACCAGTTCACGAATTAGCTTAGTTGCTCGAAAATACGCAATGCTGTGAGCGCGTAGGCTAGGTGCTATGTGCAACTACCCGTGAATTTTCGTAGTGTGTAGAGGATGCAACTACATGCATCCCAACTGTCTCCTTCATTCATATGGGAACTCTTAGGAGAGCCAATAGATGAAGGAGGGAGGACTTTGAGAAACACTCAATAACTTTATTAGGGTTGTCTTGAGTGTGGAGCTGAGTGTCGCCCTAGGGGGTCCTTTGATGAAGCATCACAGTGAAGAATAATTAGAAGCAGCAGTGCTGTGCCGGAGAAAGGTGATTGTGGCAGGTTGGAAGACTTCTATCAACCATTGATAGTGCGGTGAAGTCTGTTTGGTGGCCCCAAAAATACACCTACAAACATTACCCGAGAAGATGGAACTGCCTTGCCCTCCCTAGCCACAGGAGGAGGCCGGACGCAAGAAATGATCAACCAAGACACGTCTTGCCTTTGCTGCTTCTCATGAATGTTCTATATCAATGTTGGCCTGTTAAGCATCAAATTGACGACCGGCGCGCGAGTACTGTGAACGTTTCTGAGCTACGCCTGGTGATGGGGAGTCATGCGCGCATCACTACGAGTTGGCCACCCTGTGCTCAAATCTGTAAGCATGCTGGATCACAGGCAGCCTGCCTCTTGAGAGATCCCAGTTCTGTTGTCCTAGCTGCTTAAGGCTCTCAGAAAAGCCGAATACGAAGATCATGCATACACGTGAGATAGTCAAACGCAGAGCATGGGCGGCCTTTGCTCGAGTGTTTGCATGATGCAGGCAATGCTCTTGTTGCGACCGCGATTCAGTCAAGGACACGACGAGCTACAGCAGCCTCAGCTCACGACTAGCTGGTAGTGCGTTCCTTTGTTGGAGCGTCTGCTGATTGTTGCAAGTGTCCAGCCAACCCACTAAGGCCTGTCATCGCCTGCTTGGGGAACTTCGCATGCCTATCATCGTTAAGTCCCTATTCTAAGCGTAGTGAAAGCTCATTTATATTGATCTCATGCTCAGTTGACGGGGTCTCGGAGACTTGTGCTTCCTGCTACAAGATCAGTGCATTTTATAATATCACGCTTGCCAGGAGCCAGAGATCCATCAAGGACGATTTGTCAGCTAACATCCTCCTAACCGCCAGATTTAACTTATCTGTCGTCAAAGATCCTACTGAATCTCCAAAGGTAAGCTCAGTAAATGCGTTTAATAGGTGCCATGTTGCTGTAAGCATCCTTGGGGAGGCTGCCGCCGCTTCGCGCGTTGCCTGGAGGCTCTCGATTGCAATAGCTCGGCAATGGCAGAAATATGTTCTAATATTTCAGGAGCCAAAAAGCTTGGCTTGGCATGGAAACATTACCAACTAAGTCTTCATATTGGCAAAGGATCGCTTCGGGTGATCCTCAACAAGCGGTTGGTATGTCCTCTCCGGCACAGCCAGTCCCTGTTGCACTGCTGCAAGTTCCGCTGGGGATGCCTCCCCTGACAAGTTATTGTGCATGTTGGTAACAGCGCATAGGTTTTTCGTGTGAAGGAGCGACATATAGAGCTGCTCAGGAAAGTCAAATCCAGATCATTACAAACAAAGTCTCCTCTGCTGGTTGCGCGAGAGAAGCTTGCACGCGACACATCGGCCATCCATGCCATTAGAATAGCCGCTGTGCTCAATACTGGACCGCACTCTGCATCTCGTCTAGCCACAAGTGTCGCAGCAGCTGTTATATATTGTGCATGTGTCTTAGCATCCTGTGATTTTGAAATCCAGAAAGCGACGCAACGCGCATCAACTTCATGCCAAATCAGAGTGTCGATTGCCTAGGCTTCATAAAAATCCAAGAAGCATGCCAACATCATGCGTACCCCTGACGGGACAGTCATATCAACATCCCAGTTGATGCAGTAGATGTTAGGGCCGCATCAGCAAGTTCGGGTGTCCGCAAGTAGCATGTGCCGACGCACCGATCGCTTTCACCTAATAAGTCTCTAAATCCTCTTGATTTCCTTGCCTGACATTTTCATTTGCCTCGACCATCTGACAGTGGAGGCAGGTACATCCATTTCAAGAGTAACAGTGCCAACTAGGCTGTTTAGTTGGCACTTGTTCCTCAGTAATACCTGCGGTATTGGTGACAGACCTCGAAGCCTGTTGGATAGCATCATGCAGCTTCACTTTATGCTCATTAAGCCTTCTCGCATCCTAAATAGCGGTTCGCGAGGATACTTCCATCTACAGACACTGGAATTCGAAGTCGGCGAGCTTCGGCCAACGGGACACCAGGTGACCGCTTGCTTTGTAGTTGACCTGCTGCTTGAGAAGAAAATTGGCTGCTTTGATTGCCTCATTCACCAGCTTCAACGCTGCCATTCCTCTGGCCTGTGCCGCTTCGCTTACTTGCAAATCGTGAGGCGAAACCCAGCAGATCAATTAGGCCTGCGTCCTTCCTGGTTGCTTCCGCGGGCTTCGTGAACAACCAGTCTGTTGTTGTCTTCATCACCTTAACGAGTTGAACCGAGAGGTTGTTTGGGCTTCCTACGAAGTCATCCCTCACTTTTACCCGTCAGGCCAAGTGCTCCGCATGCCGCTCTATACCCGTGCCAAGCTCTACCCAATTATGAGGCGTTGGTCACTACCCTCATGGATGTCCTTCGAATTCAGCGTACATGCCTGGCGAGAAAGCTTTCATGCTGCGTTGCCACATACTCTAGTGAAAGAGTCGTGGATTGACCGACAGACCTCGTTTTCCCTTGGTGCTGGGCAATTAGGAAAGTACCCATAGAGCTCCACAGTTTTGCGTGTCGCTCTCGGATACCCGTCTGAATGAGATTGAGTATCTCGTTGTGCATCTTAGTACCATAAGCATCTGCACAGGCATTGAGCAGCTGGGCTTGCAAGGTCGGAAGGCTGCTCAATTACGTAGATCAACAGCTGACTTGCAACTACACTTTACACGCGCTTTCTAATATCTTCCCATTTTACTAAGATGACAAACAGCGTTGCACACTCGCGCTCGCAAACTCGTATATGGCCGCGTGCTGCTTCGGCTTGTTAATGCCCCAGCTACATTACAAGGGCGCGTTGATCTGATGTTTTGTCTGGATGGCTGTAGAGACAGATGATGTCTTAATATCTTGCTTGAATGTTTACGAGTACCTGCAGCTACTGCAGCGTAAGCTTCAAATGTTGCCGCAGGTGTAGAAGGCATCTCTGATTTCTTAAGAATATTTGTGGCTCCTGGAACCTGTGTTTCCGGTGCAAGAAGAGAGCTAGATCCAAATAGTTAAAGCACGTGAAGCATGGCAATAACTTTTAGACACAATCAAGGACACTGGTAGGTTGTGTGGGCCTGCGCCTAACTGTAGAAGTTTTTTACATGACTTTTATCGTATCGCTGCTCCTTTGACTTATCGATCTACGCAAACGCAGGCCGCGACAGAGAAGGATTACGGTGCACCGAAAACGCATATCGGCCACCATACAGCTCCTTCGGTAACTGCGCTGCCTTTTTGTAAGCGCCATCTGTTCCCAACACCCGATACTAACGAATGAGCAGTGGGTGCTCCTGTCTGTAAAGATGCTAGTGGCTTTGCAAAACCACCAAATTACTGTTTGTCATTACCAGTGCTTGACTGAAACCCAGCATCGGCATCTACTTCGGTAAGTAAAACTCTACGCGGTGGCGCGGAGTGCAGAAATAGTGCCAACACAACTGATATGGGTGCCAGTTTACTATCCAAACCCATCCGCAATCTTCAATGTGTCTTAGGAGAAGTGTCCAGGACTCTGATACTCCTAGAGCTGTTCGATGGCCTGACCGTCTCTTGGAGTACAGTTATACAGTGAAGGGTTTTGAGGACATCACCAGGGTGGTCGCGGACATGCTTTTGCACCGTCCCAGCGATTCTGCAGTGCAACCGCTCTTGTCTGTGAGAATTTATGGGTTCCAGTAAAATTGCATTAGCCTGCTTCTTTCAACACCCTTGCATCCGAGATTATTGACAAAATCCAGAATTGCGAACTGATGATGCAAATTCACGTTGATGGTGGCCTGCTGTGGTTCACAACACAGCGGGAGTGCGTGACGTTGTTACTTCGACGTATGCTCGCAATACGGCCTTGTGCCAAGTACGTGATTATGTTCTTTTAGATGATATTGCGATTAGGGCTACAGTAGCAAAGCTCTCACGGTCATTCTTGTGACCTGGAATGCGTGCCACGGTCCACGTGCATGCCCCGTCCTACCCATATTGTCAGCAGGTGAAGGCGCGCAACTCTCCCAACGTCGGCAGTCTGTAAAGCCCTCTTGTTGCAACAACAATACATATCGATGTGAGTATGAACTTATCTTGTAAAGTGACAAATATGCGAAAGGTCAGGATAGCACCTACGTCGTTCTCGAAAGACTCAGCAAATATTGCCTATTCATTCCCTAATCCTGCATTATATCGGCTCAGGAATTCGCTCAGTTATTCTTAGTTTATGTCTGAAGCTTCAAAGGTTCATCATCATCATCCTTATGGACATTAATGAACAACTCCTTCGTGCGTTTTGAATGGGCTTTTTTGGCCTGCCCACACTTTGACCGTAAGACAACCAGCGGCAAACCACCCTGCTGCAGTAGTTGCGACGCTTGGCTCGTAAAAGACCCACGCATGGTTCTAGTTTTTCCTTGCCGAAATGGGTTTATAATGCGACGGTCCACTTGTCTACCCATCATTCTCCCTCGCTACACCTAGAAGCCTCTCTCTGATTGGAGCCTGAACATGGCGGCCTGAGGTCAGCGGCCACACTTCGGGGCGGAGGGATTCAGGGCACGGTTGACTGGTGAGAGTTCCCTGGGGCACCAACGGTGACTAGATGAAGCGTTTCGCGGCGACGTAGCTACGATATTTGTTTTCAGGGATCAACGCTTCATAGGGTTTCCCTATAGTTTAAACGTTTTATAGGATTCTTCAAGCTGGCTTACAACTGCTTTAAAGTCAAGCCATTTTGTCGCGAACATTATGACGTAGGCGAGTGACCAATGCGATGGCGGATAGTCAAAAGGGCGTAAAACTGCTAAACTATAGCACTAAGGGGCTGAGAGCACACTAGACAGCAGTTTCTGGTGAAATGTATGGGAAACACCAGCCTCAGTGGCTATCAGAGTAGCAGATGGGGGCTTGGATGCCCGATAGAGAGTTGGCGGCACACTTGATACACAACGCTAGTCTCCGTGAACAAGGATTCCTCAAGTTCCTGGCCACTCACCATTTTCCTGGCATACGCCTCGCCGAGTTAGCTACCCTCATTTATGGGAAGTGCTTGAAGCGTTGCTGACTATTGCCTAAATGTGCTCTCTACCCTCAAAAATTGCGCGGCCGTAACCTTTTTTGAGGTCTTGCAGTTGCCTATGCTGAATGCTTTGGTTGAAATTGCATGAAAATACGGTTTAATGAGAAGCGAGAACACTACAGAACAGGCGTGTATTTTTATTTTTGCTACAAGTCATCTGTTTTTCGTGGTTCCCCATAGCAGGCGGCTTAGACACTTCATCCCTCCAACAGCAGAAAGCCATTGCACATGCGCGGTAGCGTTGGCTGGGTTTTTCGCGCTTGTTTACTAGTGCATATGTCTTTCGCTCACTCTATTTTTGCTCTAACGGTTGACGCACGAATCTGCGTTTCTTATATACACCTTTTTGCATTTCCACTCACCTAAAACGTGACAAAAGTGTGAAAAATCTTTCGGTGTACTGCACGCAGTTAGTGTGAAAAGAAGGGTACACAGCACGAGGGCCTGTATTTGGATTAGGGAACAAAAGGAATAGCGGGACAGGCTACCGTGGACACTCTCTACTGCAGCAGTTATATTTACTAAGAGTGAGCAAAGACTTTACAAAATGATTCGTCTCTTCGTACACAATTTCAGATGTGGAGCAATGTTAGCCAGACACAAGAGATTCCCCACGTTCACTGTGAGTGTATGTGTATGTTTATGCTTACTATGATTCATGTGCGCCTGGCTGTGAACGCTTGGAGTGGTTTGAATGTGCAGCTACGGGTATCCCAGCAGTCTCTCGTCCCGCCTCTACAACTGTGAAGGGCGCTGCAAGGGCGGGTGAAAATTCTTTTGAGAAACATCCAATACTTTCCTACTAAGTCTGTATTCGGTCAGGCATTGATTGTCTGCCAACAGAGACCATGGATAGAGTGTTCCACGGTGGTACAACAATACTTAGTGCACATGGCGGCACCAGACAGACTGAAGGTGTGGGCAAAACCGTGTTCTGCAACAGCTGCGGTAAATGACAAACAGACCATATGGTGACTGCCAGATGAAGCTCTCACGATATAGGACTGGTCCGCTGGCGGCCGTAAAAAGCATGTGCCGCGCTGTAGGAGCTGTAGGGGGCGTGGTGAAAAACAGGCACAGAAGACTAACGGAGTTTCTCCAGTTCAGCAAGAGATCCTCAATTTATCTAGAATTTTCCATTTACAGCTCAGGAGTTTAGGACACCTGATCTATAGCCCAATTTACCAGTGCCCCTCTGGACTCCACCAAGGGCTTTTACGAGGGTAACAATACTGCAAGCGTAAAACGTCGGGAATATATGATTCCCGCACGACACGCCGCATTATTTTTGTCTAAATAAGTGTTACTTAGGCCCCTGAGTAAGAATCTCTGTAAACCCCCTTCACGACGCGGCACTTTCAGCAGTTGGCGCCCTGTCGGGGCTGGATCATATGCAACTGCTGCATGCGGCAGCAGTAGACTCCCCTTGGGAAGCCGGTGCAGCGATAGTGTTGTTTAAGTGAGTTTCTCTCTCCTGTTTCTTGTGCAGGTGAGATGGCATAAACCGTCAAGCGGAACCCAAGATGTGCCGAGAGCACATGCGCGATATTGGGGGCTGCTCGTGACTACCTCTTTGTAGGGTTTTCCTCTCTTACGGCCCCTCTGTGCTTTATTCCGTAAAACCTCGGAAGCCCTAGCCTTTTTCCTCCGCCTCTGCGGCGAGAGGTTCGCCGATATCACACCCCTTACCCCAAGTACCTCAAGTGAAGGCGCGCGAAAATGGCGGAAGCATTTGAGCGCTTCAAGCGCTTCGAATACAGACAAAACAGCAACCTGGTCTTGCAACGCGACCCTTACCTTACCGGGGCCCCAGGGGGTGCTCATCAGGGGGAACCAACGGGAGAGCCTGAAACCCTGGCTGGTCGCAAACTGTACCCAATGGGCGACAAGGCAGAGAGAGGCTTGAAGAAGGAGGAAAAGGAGAAGATCGGAAAGCGGAGGGCAAAGCAAGCAGAAGGAGGACTTGCCAAAAGGAGCAAACTTGTAAGGTTCAAATCGTAAAGCTCACTGCGTTTTTTGACGTTCCGAAGTGTACATCCAGGATGCGGCGCCAGCTCGAGTTGCAGGCCCCTCTGTACCTGTTTGAAAAATGTGCCTATGCAAGACCTTTTTCTGGGGGTAACCTGTGCTAGGGGCATGCAGTTTTGCTTGTTCTTGCGGGTCGCACGCTGGTGAGATGAGTGAGGGTGCGATTTCTTTTCAAAGCTTCGCCAGCGGCCTGGGGTGTTGGGATGGAGGGTCGATGGTTACTGCAACAAATGACAGTAGCAGAAGCATGGGCTCCTATGTGTCGCTTTCCATGTCTCGCAGGACGTTAAAAAGGGCGCCACTGTGCTCGACGCTGATGTGACGGAGAACTTCTTCTACCGCCCGACGACCCGTGCCACCAACCAAGTGTACGAACAGCTGCTCGTGGTGCTTCAGCAACAGCTAGGGGATCAACCAGACGAGGTTCTCCGGGGGGCTGCTGACGAGGTGCTGCAAGTACTGAAAGAGGACGGTATCAGAGAGGGAGACAGGAAGAGGAGCATAGAGGGAGTGCTGGGACCCATTACCCAGGACAGGTTTACGAAGCTGTTTCAGCTATCCAAGAATATTACAGACTTTCTGGGGGCCGATCAAGACAGATACGATGCCGGTACGCACAGCGAAAAGACGGGGGAAAATAGTTAGATCATGCGTGTGACCAAGGAATTGCGGGGTTTTGCACCTAGTTTTCTGGCATGCCTGCTTTTGTCACCCCAACACCCTAAAAGCCCTGTACTTGCAGCTTATCTTGGTATCCGTAGAGTCCTTAGAGTGCTGAGTTGTGTGGAATAGTGCTTCAGACTGTGTACACGCTGTGTTGGCAGCTTCTTCCCCCCGCTTGAGTTTAAGGCGTCTCCTGTGTGCCAGCCCGTAGATTTTTCGTACATGTCCTTCTGGTGCCTCTAAGATTGCTGCGTCCAGTGCAAATGCATGCCCATGTTCGTGCGGTGGGTTTTACTTGCGCTAGTGCTCCTTCAAGAGCCTAGGGCTTGCTGCATACAGGCTTTTGTTCCTTCTCGTGCGCGTTGTCCGTCCCCCATGCGTCCTCATTGTATGTACTTCTAGCAGCCGATCTTATCTAACGAACGGTAGGATGCTTGCGCTTGGCATGCGATGCGCAACAGGCGAGCCAGACACGACCGCTGGTGTTGCGGTGGTCTTTGACGAAGAGGACGAGGGCGAAGACGATTACGGGTATTCGGACGTCGAGGCGGAGGGAGACGAGGAAGATGACGAAGAGACAGAAGAACAAGAGGAAAAGGAAAAGACATATCTCGCAGCCAAGAATCTGGACGACGAAGAGGTAGACAGCGCGGAGTCTGCGTACTCTGTGGACGTATCAAAGATCGACCCGCACTGGCTGCAAAGGGAACTTAACGCTGTTTTCTCGGATCCAAATCAGGCGGTCGCTACGGAGAAGGAAATCTTGTCCAGCCTGCCGATTCCGGACATTCAAGAGTGTGAGAACAAGTTGGTGCTAATCCTTAAGTACGAGAACTTTGAGCTCGCGAAGAAGATCCTAAAGAACCGCTGGAAGCTCTTTTACTGCATCCGGCTAGGCCAGGCGCAGACGACGGAGGAGAAGGAAGGTATTCGTGAGGAGATGAAACACACCCAAGAAGGGCAAGAGGTTCTAGAGCTCCTCGATGCCCTAACCTCCCGTAGGAACAAGGAAAAAGAAGTCACCCTGAACGTCCGCAAGGAGGCAGCGACACTCGCCGCCAAGGCCCAGGTATTCGAGCACGGTAGCATTTATGCGCAAACAGTGGAGTTAACCGAAAAGCCTTTAGTGCATACACGGACTGTAGCTTGTAGCGTGTGCCTGCAGCGTTTTGTCAGGATGTGCTGCTGCTGCTGCTCAATAGAGTGTCTTTCTCACTGCAGTCGAAAAGTGCCCTCTTTCGCACTGCACACACCTCCACAATCCGTGCGAACGAACGCCACGAGATCCTTCCGTGGCCGAGGCGGCCCTAGTTCTTATGCCTTTCTGCACGAGCGTGCGATTCAGCAAACAAGACTCTTGAGACGGTTCGTCTTTTTTCTCGCAGGCTCGAGACGCCTCTCTGCGTGCTGCGGAAGCGGAAGACGACGCCTCTGCGTTGGGCGGGGGGGCCCCAGGGGCCCACGGTGCACCGGGGGCTCTCTCAACTCAGGGTGCTCAGAGGAAGCCAACGGGTTCTGTCGACTTGCAGGGCGTCACCTTCCATCAGGGTAGTCATCTCATGGCCAATGCAAAGGTTAAGCTTCCAGATGGGGCTCAAAGGATCGAAACAAAGGTTCGTGTCGAGCTCTGTGTGTGTGTGTGTATGCGCACTCTCGATATGATGTGGCGTGTGGCCACTTTTTATGCCGCTATTTCGCGAGCGAGCGTTCGTTGAGGGGTGTATTTGTACTCGCAGTCTGGGAATGCCATGTAGCGTACTGTGTGAGGCGCATGCTGCCTCGCTGGGGCTCCTGTGCCGTCGGGCCTTTGCGACAAGGGACGCACAGGAGGCGTTTGGGGCTTGGGGAGAGGTCGTTGTGTGGGGTTGTTGGCGCAGGGGCATACAGGAGGCTGAGAGTCTGTGGGGGTGCGTGCATGCGTGCGTGTGCGCCTTGTTCAGAGCTACGATGAGGTTGTTGTTCCTGCTCTGAAGCGGCCAGTCGAGAAGGGCGAGGGCCTTCGGGCAATCTCGACACTCCCGGATTGGGCTCAGCCTGCGTTTACTGGAGTCGGCATCGAGCGACTGAACGCGCTGCAGTCCAAAGTTTTCGACATCGCGTTTAATACGTACGAGGAGAATTTGCTGCTCTGCGCCCCCACGGGTGCTGGTAAAACGAACGTTGCCATGCTCGCGATGCTGAACGTTATTGGGCAGTACAGAAACGCGGCAACAGGCAACATCGACCTGAAGGGGTTCAAGATTATTTACGTCTCCCCCATGAAGGCGCTTGTAGCGGAGCAGGTGCAGGCCTTCTCGCAGAGGCTCCAGCCGTACGGTATCTCGGTTCGGGAGCTCACAGGAGATGCGAATCTGACGCGCGAAAAGATTGAGGAAACGCAAGTGATTGTCACGACCCCCGAGAAGTGGGATATTATTACAAGAAAGGCTGGAGAACGCGCCTACACCCAGCTTGTGCGGCTGGTGATCATCGACGAAATCCACCTTCTGCATGATACTAGGGGCCCGGTTCTGGAGGCGATCGTAGCTCGCACCATTCGCCAGATTGAAATGTCGCAGGAACACATCAGACTGGTGGGGTTGTCCGCAACGCTGCCCAACTACGAAGATGTCGCAGTTTTCTTGAGAGTCAAACCAGAGAGGGGGCTCTTTGTCTTTGGAAATCATTACCGCCCCGTGCCTCTCAAGCAAACCTATATCGGCATTAAGGACAAAAAAGCTATCAGACGCTATAACACCATGAACGATGTTACATACGAAAAGGTAAGGGCAGCACTACACCTTCTGCACCTGCGATGCAACACACACACACACACACACACACATACACATATACACATACATGCAAATACACACATAATACACACATACAAACAGTTAGGGGCTGCTCAGGCGAGGCGTTTCTCTGCCGATGCCTCATGGTGTTTGCTGCTGACGAGCACCTCCTCCCGGCACATATCTGCTCACTCGGATCTGCGGCTTGGTGGATGGCTTCATGGCGGGCTCCCGTCTGCCGTGCTATTTTTCAGATTCGCATCCAGTTTGGAAATTGCTCATGCGTTGCTTACGCTGTATATGAGTTGCTGTGTGCCGTTGCTGCGGACGTCCTCAGGTGCTAGAATGCGCCGGAAAGAACCAAGTGCTGATTTTCGTGCATAGCAGAAAGGAGACCGTGAAGACAGCCAAGTTTATCTGCGACGCAGCCATGCAGAAGGACACGCTGCCTCGCTTTCTTCAGACTTTCTCGGCGAGCCGGGAGATTCTTCAGGCTGAGGCGGAAGCGGTGAAGACGCAGGACCTAAAGGACTTGTTGCCTTACGGCTTTGCGGTCCATCACGCAGGCTTGCCTAGAACTGACAGAAAGCTCGTGGAGGATTTGTTCGCAGACAGGCATATTCAAGTGCTCGTCTCCACAGCTACGCTGGCGTGGGGTGTCAATCTGCCAGCGCATACGGTCATCATCAAGGGTAAGCAAACAGGGATAACGTGGGCGTAAGACGCAAACGGAATTTTTCTGTGACGGGCACGCTTGGGGGACGGTTGCATGCACAGCGTGATACAGCGATGCACACATCTGGTAGCGAACTTGGTGGCTGCATCTGGGAGCGCAGAGTATTTCGTTTCGCGAGTACAGACTCTCTATTCACAAGTGTATCTATCTGCATCTTCATATGGGAGGGAAGCAGGGGGGGAGCTCGTGCGTGAAATTCTTCGTAGAATTCGCTACTTCCTGCGGGCTGCCGTGAGAGCCTCCATGGACTGACACTTTCCAATTGTGTTGTCTGCGCATCGGCTGCAACAGGTACTCAAGTCTACCTGCCCGAGAAGGGTGCCTGGTCCGAACTTTCGCCAATGGATATTCTACAGATGATGGGACGTGCGGGGCGCCCTCAGTACGACACTAGCGGCCATGCCATCCTTATCACGCAGCACAGCGAGCTGCAGTTCTACCTGTCGCTCAACAACCAGCAACTACCAATCGAGTCTCAGATGATCGGCTGCCTCCCCGATATGTTGAACGCCGAGATCGTCTTAGGTGAGCCCTTGGAGTGCTGGTTTGTACATCGTTTCGTGCGTGTGCAACTCTGCGTCTTTTAGTGATGCGCATTGATTGCTCTTCGCAACTAAAGGGGAGATTCTAGCCAGGCGGAATCAGTGGGAAGGGTGCCTAGGGGTTAAAAGGGGAGGCTGGAGCGCAGTTGAGGAGGAATGTGCGGTATCTGAGGGTGAGTCGTGGCTTGCTGGTCATCCACTGCATGCTTACTGCTCTTGTTGATCTACCTGCGGTTCGCATATGCGTTTGCGTGCGTTGTCTCGTTTAGGGTCTATTAGAAGCAGAGAAGACGCCGTTCACTGGCTGGGATACACATACCTCTACGTGCGCATGCTGAAGGCACCCGCCTTGTACGGCATCTCGCCTGCCGTGCTAAAAGAAGACAAGCTGCTTGAGCAGTATTGTATTAATCTAGCAGACTCTGCCTTGAAAATCTTGGACCGCCACTTCCTCATAAAGTATGACAAGCGGACGGGCACGATCCACGTGACGGCGATGGGGAGGGTGGCGAGTCACTACTACATTAAGCACTCGACAATTGCGGTGTACAATGAGCACCTCAAGCCAACGCTCTCCGACATCGAGCTGCTGCGCTTGTTCTCCCTGTCTTCGGAGTTCAAGTACATGCCTGTTAGAGAGGAGGAGAAGCTGGAATTGCAGCGGCTCATGGAGAGAGTCCCCATTCCCGTGAAGGGCTCTCCCGACGAGTCGTCATCCAAGGTCAACGTCTTGCTGCAAGCGTACATCAGCAAGCTCAAGCTTGAGGGGTTCGCCATGATGGCGGATATGGTGTATATCCAGCAGAGTGCCAACCGGATCATGCGGGCCATTTTCGATATATGCCTGAGGAGAGGATGGGCTCAGCTAGCCATGCGAGCCCTCCAGTTTTGCAACGAAATTCAGGGCCGCATGTGGAGTACGATGACACCACTGAGGCAATTCAAGGTAAGTCTCAAAAATATCTGCTAGGTAGAATTGGGGGGAGCCTTAACCCGAGCAGTCCGTCTCCACTCGCTCATTTTCGCTCAAAAATACCTCCCTTCCTCAAAGGACACACATACATCATTCACACATAAACACATTCACATACATTCCCACACATGAACACATTCACATACATTCACACACATAAACACATTCACACACATAACCACATTCACATACATTCACACACATAAACACATTCACACACATCAACACATTTTTACACACACACTAGGCAGGCCACGCGGCATTCTGTTGTTGCCTCCCCTCCCCCTCTGTCGGTGCCGCCGTCTGCACAGCCTTTGCAACTGCTTCTGCCTTCGTTTCATGAAATGTTTTCCATCATTGCACGTGTTTTTTCATGTTGCGCAAGCAAGCAGAGAGTCTAGTCCTGTGCCTAAATAGGTGCTCAAAGACGCCTCTTTTCAGGCCGCTTCGAGTGCCGCTTCTTGTTCATCTTTTCCGTTGAGGGCATAAACCCTCCTTGCCTGTATGTACGAGGGCTCTCTATAGCCGACTGCAAAGAACGTCCCGCGAACTTTTGTTGTCGCAGTCCTGTGGCACGTCTCCCTCTACTGCAGGTGCTGCCTGAGGAGTTGCTGCGCAAGATCGAGAAGAAGGACCTGCCCTTCGATCGGTATTACGATTTGACATCGACCGAAATCGGGGAACTAGTGCGCGTGCCCAAGATGGGGAAGCTGCTGCACCGCCTTATTCACTCCTTCCCAAAGCTGGAGCTTGCAGCCTTCGTGCAGCCTTTAAGTCGGTCTTGTCTTGTCGTCGAGCTGACCATCACACCCGATTTCCAGTGGGACCCCAAGATACATGGAAACGGAGAAGTCTTCTGGATCATCGTCCACGATGTTGACTGCGAGCAAATCCTGCATCACGAGGTAAAACAAGCGTACTAAGTCGAATGCCTCTAGTCCAACGTGCAGAATTGCGTTTTTAGCACCCTATTTGCCGGCTCTCCGAAAAACCCACTTGGTTCCTGTGTTGTGCTGGGGAGGATCTGGAAGCTTTGTGTGAAGGGGAAAGAGGACTTCTGGCGTGTAGTCACATGTATATACATGTATCTATATGTATATGTGTGTACCTACGTCCATGGCTAAGTATGTATTTGTGCATGGGTGTCCTTGTATTTGTGTATGCGTGCCTTTTTGTATGTGTTTTGTGTGTGTGTGTGTGTGTGTGTGTGTGTGTGTGTGTGTGTGTGTGTATCTGTATGTGAGTGTTTGTATATGATTGTGTGTTCTTTCTCTGCAGATGTTTATTCTCCCTGCTTTCCAGGGAGAGGTCGAGCACACTCTCACGTTCACGTTGCCAGTGACGGACCCGATCCCACCAAGTTACTGCATTCGCGCTATTTCAGATCGTTGGCTTCACTCCTCTGCCTCTCTCCCTATATCGTTTAAGAATCTCATTCTTCCAGAGAAGCCTATGCCTCATGCAGAGCTTCTGGATCTGCAGCCGCTGCCAGTGTCGTCGCTGCACGATAAGAAGGCCGAGGAACTTTATAAGAACGATGGCATCAAGGCGTTCAACCCCATTCAAACACAGGTAAGCGCTTTCTTTGCGCGCTGCAAGAAAGGCGTCAGGCGTCCCCATCAATCTTCGTCTACGGGGTCCCGATGGCGTGTTGCTGAATGTCTCCAACTCAGTATTCACGCATGCGAGCACGCTAAGGGCGGACGGGGGTAGGGGGAGAAGGTTGTGCGAGGGCTCATCGCGGCCTGCCTAGGTACCTCTTGGACGTATTGCGTTGACCGTAGTTTGAGCATCCCTGTGCTGATTGCGTCTTTGTCTTACTTCTGCCTCCTTCAGGTGTTCTCGACTTTGTATTCGACAAGCGAGCCTGTCCTCCTCTGCCTGCCGCCGACGAGTGGCAAGGAGATTTGCATCGAATTTGCAATCCTCAGGATGCTAAAGACGGAGCCGGCTAGCGCGTGGAAGGCCGTGTACCTCGCCCCTTATGAGTCTGTCGTACAGGAGACTTTGCGCCAGTGGAGCTCCAAGTTGGGTGGAGGCCTCGGCCTTAGAGTGACAGAGTTGACAGGCGATTTGCATGCGGATCTGAAGGTACGGTCGGTCTTCGACTGTGTGCACGCTACGCTGTGTGCGTAAGAAAGCGGTGCAGCAAGCAACAGCAGCCTACCTCTTGCATGCGCATGGGCTCGTGCAAGCGGAGGGGCGGCGAGTGATACTGTGGACGCCACCTCTTGCTGCCAAACAGTAGCTAGCGCAGAGCAGTTGTGCTTTCACGCTTGAGAAAAAACCTCTGCGCGGCTTGTTTGGGGGTGAAGATCTCTTACGCGGGCCGCTCCTGCCTGGCGGGTATGCACCGAGGCCGCACATGCGCAGAGGTTGTGGGGCCTGCCGTGTGGGTGTCTGTACAGCTGCTCGAGCAGTCGCACATTGTCTTGTCGACTCCAGACAAGTGGGACTTTCTGTCACGGCGGTGGAAGACGCGCAAGGTGTTGCAGTCCATTCGATTGCTGGTTGTCGACGACCTGCATCTCTTGAACTCCCCGGTTGGCTCGACTCTCGAAGTCTGTCTCTCTCGCATGCGGTACATATCCGCTCAGCTGCCGCAGCCCGTCCGCATCGTTGCTTGCGCGAATTCTCTTTCGAACGCAAAGGACGTGGCAGACTGGCTCGGCGTCTCGGCTAGCGGTGAGTGCAGCCGTAGACGCTTCCTCGGGGCGGGGTGTCCGCCAGAGTTCCTAAAGGGGGTATCCTTTCTGGTCCTGTGATGGGGTGTCTGTCGAGACACGTGTTTCTTTTTTCATGTTTTTTATGTTTTTGCACACCACCGCCCACGCTCTTGAGGGCCTTCCTGGCTGCCTGTGATTCAGGGCTGTTCAACTTCCACCCAAGCGTGCGGACCGTGCCTCTGGAGATTTCTCTCCACGGCTTTGATGTGTACAACAGAGAGGCGCGTCTGCTGGCCATGTCACGAGCCGTCCACCAGGCCATCAAGCTCTACACGGCCCCCTCCGCGGATGACAGCAGGAGTCGCAGCAGCCGCAAGCTGAAGAACGTCTTAGTGTTCTGCTCAGACAGGAAGCAATGCAGGCTCACTGCCATCGACCTGCTCCTCCAAACGGCAGCTGACGACCAACCAAAGAAGTATCTTCATGTTTCAGGCAAGCCCCTTCAAGCATTTTTCTTTTGATTGTTTCCTTTTATTTTAGAGGCACCTCTCCGCCACAGGCTCTAGCTCTCTCTCTCGCAAGCAGCTCTCGCCTAGGTGTGCCTCCTCAAGTCGCACGCAGGAAGCAGGAGAAACCAGCTCGTGAAGCTTTCTCCTGCTGTGGGGAAGGTGGTTTTTGTATAACTTGGGTGTTTTCTTGTTATGGCCCTAAGCGATGGCCTGACGCGCACAATCCCTTGCCACCTCTCCGAATTTGCGGACGTGCTGCAGACGATACAATAAAGCAGTACACCTCGATTGTGCGCGACAAGATGCTTCTGGAAACCCTCTCATACGGTGTTGGCCTCTATCACTCCGGACTTTCTGCAGCAGAGCGGCTTCTGGTGCAGCAGCTGCACTCCAGTGGCGCTATTCAAGTGGTTGTCGCGGCCGAAGAAGCTGCATGGGGGCTGCAAATGAGTGCCCATTTGGTCGTAGTCGTCGATACGAAGCGCTTTACTGAAAACGGGTGCTTAAAAGGACACGTGTACATGCAGCTCATATATATATATACATATGCATACATATTTATATACATCTACTATACATACCTATATATGTATATGCATTTCTTCCCGCTGAAATAGCCTTATAGGGAGGGGGGAGGCATGCCTCATTGCTGGCTGCTGTATGGCGATGGTGGCGTCAAGCAACTCACGAGCTTGTTTTGTTAAGGGCGCCTCGAAGCGTGGCATCGTATGAGTTTTGATGGCGAATTCACAGCATCCACGCTGCTTCGCGTTTCTTGAATTGAGCACAGCGGAAAGCGCCTGCAGGCTCTAAGAAGACCTGGCCATTCATGATATTCTGTTGTCTCACTCTATACATTTATGTATATGTGTATACATGTGGGCTTGTGCACTTGTGTATGTAGAGAGTGCATGTTCGTGTGTATTTGTATGGGCTTATGTATGTGGATTTGTGTGTGCTTCCCCTCTCAGTTACGAGGATTATCCCATAGCCGATGTCTTGCAGATGCTCGGCCGCGCTACACGACCCGGCATTGACAAGCACGGCTACGTGGTGCTGCTGTGTCCCTCCAGCAAGAGGGAATTTTACAAAAAGTTTATTTTCGAGCCTCTTCCCATCGAGTCGCAACTCGAGCAGCACCTCCAGGACCATGTGAACGCGGAAGTTGTCCTCAAGACTATCGAGAGTAAACAAGACGCGGTCGATTGGTTGACATGGTCGTTCCTCTACAGGAGACTTTCTAAGGCAAGCTTTTGTCGTGTGCAATCCATGCATTTTCAGCGCGAGAACGCTGCAGCATACTTGCATGCACAATTGCTTCGGCATCGTTCTGCAGGGTCATGTAGAGGCGTGGTGGTTGTTGTTGACTTGCGTGAGAAAACAGCCACCCTTTCAGATCTAGTAGGCGCTCTCTGCCTTTCTGCTTCGTTATCGTGGCAATACCATATATGGAGTTTGAACTGAGATAAGGGTCTATAATATTGGTGGGGTATGCACTTTTCAATGGTATGCATGGTAGCTAGACCTAAATTCCTGGCCGTGGGAGTTGCTTCTTCGGCCCCCTCTGCACCAGCATATGCATATGGAATGCTCGTGACAAGAGGTGTCAGCGTTTTGCCGTGGACGGTCCTCTGCAGTCTCGGCATTGTCTCGCGTAGAAGCGGCGAGGGTTCCACACTATATGCATCTGCATGGAGAAGGACGGGTATAGAGGGAGCTGTCTGCCTCAGCGCGTCAGCTGTCTTTTCGGGCATTTCGAGTTGTGTGATGTCGTGTGCTTGCTTCGTCATTAACAACTTGGAATTCTTTGTGCCCCTTTCTCCCCACAGTGGAGGCCTAAGGCACCAGCGAGTTGAGAACTGCTCTCTTGGGTGGTGAATGCCTGCAGAACCCCAATTACTATGGCCTGCAAGGGACGTCTCACCAGCATCTTAGCGACTATCTCTCCGAGTTAGTTGAGTCTACAGTCCACACCCTTGAGCAGGCGCAGTGCGTCGCGGAGAAGAACGAAGTGGACCTCGAGCCTCTGAATTTGGGGCTTATCTCAGCCTTCTACTGTGTGAAGGTTGCCACTATCGGTGAGGCTATATATATGTATACATGTGTGTGTGTCTGCCCGCGCGTGGAGTCGTGTTGGCGCTTGCCATTTCGTTTTTTGTTGAGATCCAGCATATCGTAACACAGCTAGGGCACAGGGAGTGCAGAATGGCGTCGGCCTAAAAGAGTTTCCACTTAGTTCTGTGCCCCTCTCAAAACGCACTCTGCCGCGCATCATCTGGACTATGGTCAAGCGTCCCACCGGTGTTTTGCTCAGAACTCTTTAATCGTTCTCTTGCTCCCACCTCCAAGCGTCGCGCCCTTCTAGAGATACTCTCGGCAGCAGCAGAATTTGGATCGCTGCCTCTGCGTCCTGGGGAAGAGACGGTCCTTAAAGGCATAGCCCAGCGCATAGGTTTGAAGCTCCCCGCCAGCACGGACTTCGCCAAAGCCAGCACAAAGGCTCTGGTGCTGATCCATGTGAGTGCTCCGAATGCGCATGACTGCATGTGTGTGTATGTATGTGCTGCTGGCGACTGTGTGTGCTGCTGCTGCGGGCTGGAAAGTTCCTTGCCCTCTTCAAAGCAGTCCAGGACCTCTAACGGAAGGAGGACGGAAGGGAGCTGCACGTTGCTTTTGCGCGGAACAAGGCGTTTGTGTGTCTTGCAGGCGCACTGTCAGCGGGCAACCCTGCCAAGCGACCTGGTGGCAGACCAGAAGCAGGTGCTAGAGCCTTGCGTGCGACTGCTGCACGCTTTAGTAGATGTCATTGCGAGCAACGGATGGCTTATACCAGCCCTAGCCGCGATGGAGGTATCGCAAGCCATCATCCAGGCCGTTCCGCATGCTGGATCAGGAGAGCAGAACAAACTGTTGGCGTCGCCGCTGAGACAGCTGCCTCACTTCTCTGCAGACCTCGTGAAGGCTGCGAACGGTCAGTACACCCCGAAGGGAGGGGGGGGTAGAGCAGCAGCATACCTCACTAAGCGCCCACACCTGCGGGATTGTTGCGTGGGCTGGCACTTTGCACACAGTGAGAGGTAACGCCGATTTGCACAAAAATTGAAGCAAGGTGAATAGCTGTCTTGGTGCTTCTGGCGCAGCAATGGATGTAAAGGACGTGTTCGACTTCATGAACATGGAAGACGCACAGCGAGAAAAACTCCTTGCGCCTCTAACCCAAGCCCAACTTCGCGTGCGTTACCCGAATGATTCAACATGCAAAGCACGTGCTTGCAATAGGGACAAACTCGTGCCTTACTTTTTATCGGTACTTGGGTGCATGCGCCTCCCCGCATGTAAGTGAAAGTGTTTCTGTGTGATATCCTCTCCTCAGGAAGTCGCCAAGGCCAGCAACAGGTACCCCGTGGTTTCCCTCGAGTTTTCGCTATCCAAGACGGAAAATCTTAATCCAGGAGAAGGTGTCCAGTGCACAGTGCAGTTGGAACGAGACTTAGCGGTGAGACATCCGAGCCTCATTTAGGGAACGCCGGATTCGCACACCGCCGCCTTGTTATGCCCGCACAGCCCTTAGGCCATGGATGCCTATGTATTGTGCAGTTGCCCTCTGGTTTTCGAGGTGCTTCCTAGCAGCCTTTTTGAGCACTTTCATGCAACGCGCTACTACATTTGTCTATCCTTTCGTTGCTGGAACCCTCTCCATGAAACAACTTCGCGCAGAACGACCTCGTGTGTGATGGCCGGCAGTTGGGGTCACACCGCTTTAAAAGTGCGCTTATCAGTATATATTCCCGTTCAAGCATCATACGACGTCTATGTACATATATATATGTCTATGACCTCTTTCTTGCAGGATGGTGATGTTGTCGGTCCTGTATACGCGCCCTTGTTCCCCAAGGAAAAGGAGGAGCAGTGGTGGCTGGTGATCGGGCAGTCGGCCCCAAATGGACTGAATGCCATCAAGAGGGTCTCTATTACGAAACAAAACACTACAGTAAAGCTCTCATTTGATGCGCCTGAGACACCAGGGAAACATCAGCTCGTCCTGTTCCTGATGTGCGACAGCTACATAGGCGCAGACCAAGAGCATAAGTTCGACATTCGCGTGCGGTAGCTCAGGTGTGCGTTTAACCCAGGCACAATGAGCTTGACCGTATTCAAACGTACATGACTGCGTCTTTGCATCTTGTCTGAAGCAAACGCCTGTCGCCTGGCAGGGACGTCGCATCGTTGCATGTAAGGGAAGGGTGTTTGTGCCTGAGGGTCCATGTGCTCCACCGCCACCCTCACTGGTACACGCACGACTAGTATCCTGATCATCAAATAGGCTCGGAGCATTCTAGGTCTCCTACAGAATACTAGAAACCCCATGAGCGCCTCTCGACCTAATGCGAGATCACACGATCAAAACCCTGTCTCATGTCCCTTCAGTTCCGTTGTTTGGCAGTATATTATGAGGCCCCTGCCGCGCCCTTACTGTGCTTTACTACGCCCATAATTTAGAACTTGGTAGCTGCTTTCAAGTGCGCCTTGCAATTGGCTTCCTTTGTTGGAACAGACTCGCCACCGCAAGCAGACACCTAAGGACGCACATGCAAGGCTTGAAACTGAAGCGCTTTGCGAAAGGTCCGTGCCCCTCTAGGGTCGCTCCCAATGAGCACCAAGAACGGCGCGCAAAGGCGCACCTTCCCTTATAAATAATTGAGCTGTTTGGAGCCTGCGGGCTTTTACTCTTGGGGAGCTTATTTACATGGACTTGGTCACTCTGAATACAACGCCTCAGCAGTACCACTACCTATTCGAGGGTAGTGCAGTCTTTAATAATCTCAAAAGCCTCATGCGGCTGCAGCCAACCAGAGCGACGCTCGTCCGCCTTTCACAGGGCTTCCACTGAAAGACATTCTACAAAAAAACAGGCCTCGCGCGGTGGGGTTGAGACGCTGGATTGCGCGCTGCCTGAGGCTGTTTGAAAGACGACACGCAAGTATATACCAACCGCCCTTGTAACTAAGGCGCAGAGATAAATGCATGCGTTTCTTCCCCGCCCCTCTAGGAAAGCAGCCTTGTTGTCGCAAATGCTGCTGTTACTGTTGCTGCACAGAGTCCTGCTGCGAAGTGTCAATTCAGCAGGCTGGCATTGGGCCTTCTGGGGCATAGCAGTGCGTGCAGCGAAGACGATGCCCTGACAAGCGTAAGAAAACAGGGCGATCTACTATGCTTGTTGCTACCGCCTGCATTAGGAACGTGAATTTCGCAGACATTAGCGGCAGCAAGGATGAGAGTAGGTGCAGACGCGGCGTCTGTTTTCAGTGTGGCAAGTGAGAGTCGCGCGTCGTAACCGAGGACTCTAAAAGGCAACAAAGCAGCACCCACTAGCCCTGCGTGCTGCAGCAAAGCAGCGGTGAGACTGCAAGTTACTGCTGCTGCATCCAGTTGTAATGTTGTGTGCTGGTGTTGCCCTTCCTCCCGCTTCTGGTGCTGCTGCCCTTGCTGCTGCTTCTGCGGCGGATGCTGTTGAGGCAACAGGTGGACGTGAAGCAGCAGGTACACTGTCGAGAGGCTCCCTGTTATCCGGGGCAGTGAGCAACTCAAAGGCGGCTTGTCTGACCGGTCGCATACATTGGCTCTTCCTGCAGCTGCTGCAATGGTGGAATGGGGCGCTAAAGCCTCCTCAGCAGTAGGCAGCTCCATCGCTATGAAATGAAGATGGTCTTCTTTGCCAAAAGCTAATCCCCAAATCAGATCTTTTCACAACATTCCTAAGAAAAACCCACTATGCCTCTGCTGTTTTCATCGAAGCCACCAGTGCCGCTGGTGCTGCCAGTCCCATTCTAGATGAACTTGCTGCGTGTACTGCTAAGCTTGCGTCAGCTGTAGCATCTGAGGCTCCACTCAACTAATACATTTCACTAGTGGCTGTTCCTGGTGCTGCTGCAACAGGCGAAGCCGGAGGACCTGGTCCTCTCCTTGTTGACACTTGATCCTGCCGTTGCCCTCACGTCCTACCAAAAGAAACAAAGGAAACACGTATTTCAGGTGTTGAGCAACAATATATTGGGTTCTCAGCTTCAAAACTATTGCCGTAGAAGGCAGCCCCATGGGGTGCTCGTGGGGACCAACGTCGAGCTCCTAGGGCCCCCCATGCTAGGGTTTCAGAGAGGCCCATTACCAGGTGTTGTCTATTGACAACCGGGATGGTACTATTTCTTAGAATTAGCCTAAAGTGTAATATATGATCTTGCATCGTTACTCAGGGAATGTACGCGTTGCTGATCCCGCCGGGTGGCCTTGCGCTCAACGATTGTTCCCCATCAGGGAAACCCTCCACAACGGTATCGGCAGCAGCAGGTACCACGGATGCCACTTCTTTGGGATTCCACACAGTGGCAGAAAAGGCACGTGGAGCCGCTGCCAATTCAGGTTCAGAAGTACCTGCTGCAACATCAGCCCCTGCCGCACTAGGGAAAGGAGAAGCAGTTCCAGCTGGAGCTTCCCCAGCACAAAGACGGCTCAACTTTTTATTGCAGGCGTCTGTACATCTCACTACAAAGTGTCCTTCGCTTTCGCGCGTTCTCCAGCAGCAGCTTTGGGAAGTATCACGGCGGCACGTGCTGCGGCTGCATGCATCTGTCAAGCACAGCTGTTGCAACAGCTGCTTCTCACTGCTGCTACCGCAGAATGCCAGCGTCAGAGAGTGTCTTCGGGGTCGCGGCTACAGAGAGGGGAGCCGCATCACTGCCGGTGATGCCAGCAACAGCGGCGATACTACGAGCGGAAATTCGAAAGCCAGCGACGACAACAATTGCTGCGGCTCTAAGGGATGCACTAACGCAGAGAACATACAAAAATACGAAGTAAGGGCTGCAAAGAGACAGTCTCCAGAGGGCTCGACGTTCGATGCGGCAGACCCGAGCACACATTGCAGTAGCCGCAAGCATTGCGAGAGCGGTGTATGCAGCAGTGAGAAAGGCGATGCCTGTGGTAGTGATTTGTCACCGCGCTCCTGCAACGTCGCTAGTTGCCGTAATTGCATTCAAAGGCCAAAACGCCGGAAGCAAAGACGCAGTGGGCGGCGTCGCGTACCGGCGGAAAAAGTCTCACAGCAACAGCAGCATCAAGGTCGCCAGCGCCACAGTGAGCTGCAGCCCTTGATGGAAGTTCAGTGTAGAATATGCGGCTATATCTCTCGGCGTCCATGAAATTTGCACTCTGCCAACGCATTGTCCGTTTGTTATATTTTGCAGACGAACGGACATGTATAGAGTGTCTAACAAATGCTCGTAACGAGGAGAATTACTAGAGTGTACACACAACTAGACACTGGTTATTTTAAGGCTCTATACTCTCATAGATGGTGTTTCTGCAAGAGCTGCAATTCGGGTGCACCCGTAGGTGGACTGCGGAGTGAGTATTAGCGTATGTACTACATATAGCATCAGCCGAGTTAGGTTTTTCATCGTTGGGGCAGCTCTAGGAGACAGTAATGGAATCCTCTCTTCCTCTGCTTCTGGCGAGAAAGTCGAAACGGCATCCTTGCTTTCTCACTCTCTCAATAGGCTGCACGCTTTCCCTCCGTGCTACGGTGTGGAAACAAGTGATGAGGACAGTCGCCACGCCTACGGCGCCGTGCGTGTGGACGTGCGTTTAAATTAGTCTCTGAGCTTAAGGAGCCCCAAAAATGCTGAGGAGGGGATCTGCACATTTCCGATGGCCTTCATTCTTTTCTTCCCCTCCTTTTGCTTGTTAAGCAGCTTCAGCTTGCGTGTGACGTCTCCCCCGTAGCACTTAGCCGTCACATCTTTTCTTAGGGCTCGAATGCGCGACTTTGCCACCACTCGGCCATCCACTGCCCCTTGCACTGCTATTTCGAACTGCTGAGGCGGAATCAAGTCTGCGAGGCGTTCTGTAAAACGGGTGGCCTGAACGCACACATTCAATGCCCATGCGCTCGAATATCTGTACCCACTGCAACAAACACAGCTCTGTGGCCCGCGTGCAGCTGCAGGTGCCTGCGCTTGCGCAGTCCGGGCTGCTCGAGCGAAAAAGCCAACGTGTTGCCAATCTGGAGGAGACTGCTGTCTGTACATGCGTCTCGGCGAGTTAAAAAGCCTATAAGCGGATTTGCTTCCCCTACTTCTTGGCCATGTAACAGATATCCCTCTCCTCGAAGCGTAGCTCACGAGAGCCCCCTTTGTGTTTGATGCTTAGGGCCAAAGGATAAAGTGGGGGAGGCGCACCAGTGTTCTGGCTTGAGATTGGTGAGCGATTAGTCCCAACGCATCAACAGGCTGTCCATTCACGAGGAAAGAAACAACCGAAACGCGCGCCGGTTCGTAGCCTGCGCAACCATTCAAGCTCTTGACAAGCAGCGCTTGTGAGGTCCCTCTCAGTTGAGTGCTTGCACACTTTCAGTGCGCAGAATCTCAAAAGCCACACCAATGCATGCCGTAAATCCAATACCGCCAAGAAATTATCCACGCACAAGGATGCAAAGCGCAGAGATGCTGGTGGCTATACATTCACCCCAAATACACTCCCGTGCCGTGCAGTATCCGTTGTTATGTGGCCAGCGATATGCATTTCCTAGCGAACAATACCTCTGCTGAAGCAACAGCAAGAGAGCAGGGCTTTGAAGGTGCTTGCCTGCGTCCTCCACATCATAGGTACCCGTCCCGCTGGTGGCACTCTGAAGTTTGTCTGAAAAGTCGACGAGAATTTCGGCGAGGGGTACTCTGTAAACTAAACGGATGGTGGCAGATCTCGTGTCCTGCTGTCCTTTGGGTTGCTGTTGGACGTGATACTCGAGCCGTTCGCCACGGCGAGCGAACACTAGCCGATCAACAGCTGCCATTGACACCATCGGCGTCACTACCGTCACACGCGCCTGGGGAACCCAAACAACGCATACTTAACCCGAGGAAATAAGTGCACAGGCCTATATATATATGTACATATGGGCAGCCAGCTTTCCGTGGACGGCCAGACACAGAAGAGCCCCAAGCCAAGTTCCTACAGCTGTTGAGACGAGCAGCCTGACGATATGCTTTCGGGATTAAGGCGGTGCTCCGTCCGTTATTGAGTGAGACATATCAAGGCACAGAGAGGACACTACGTATCGAAGCGTTATTCGCCAAGCAATACAGACGTAGGCTTAAGGACGACGGTGGTATCCGAGGGAGGGAGGCATTTTGGAGGCCTCGTGAAGCAAATGAGATGAATGGGTATGGCCAGCACAGAGCAAGCAGCAAGCTGAAAGGGATAGAAGCGGCTTCAAACAGGATCTGACGAGGAGATCACTCCCTTCGATAACACACCAAGGGCTCAAGGACGTCATGCCGCCCCTTCGGCAGCTGAGATGGATTCTCAATGGGCAAGCGACTCCCGTCAGGAGACTCCAGCAAGAAAGTGACACTGGGAGAGGCAAGGACCGTCCGTTGCCCGAATTCTGCTTCAAGTCTGTAATACCCCACGCGCATGCAAATTCAAGACCCAGAGGCTCAAAAAGCACACTCTAATGATGATGGTTCTTATGAGCATTTCCGCTGCCCGATCTGCGTTGCACGTTGGCCAACACCTCCCCACCCTTGCCCCCACCCCGCAAAACGTCCTCGTTAGTATGGTCCTCAAGGATGTCTATGGCTCACCGCTGGTGGACAACCTCCATGTGCAGGGCTCCTAAGAAGCCACAGCGGAATCCATGACCAAGAGCCTGAGAAATTGATGGCTTCATCTCCACTGCCGCGTCAGTCAACACGAGCCTCTGCAGTGCCACCTTCAGTTTTTCGTATCCGCTGGGGTCTTCTGGATAGACGCCTGAGCACATGCAGCCAATTTCCTTACTCTCAAGCCACTTTGGCAAAGGCATAGACAAGCCTACTCAAGGGTGCGTGTTGGGAGCCGCGAGCAAACAGGGGCAGCGGAGAGAGGCTGTCATGCATGCCACACTCTCGCCGAAAGCTATGCACGCAGCACTGACGCCGTGAAACAGAGCAGCAAACATCTGAAGCAGTAGCTCGAAGGCGCATACCCGCATACACGAGACGCTTCGGGGGTTCAAACCCCGGCAGAGGCTCAGTGCGGGCCTGAGAGAGGCATAGGGTGTCTCCCACGTGGATATCTGCAGCCTTTTTGAGGTTGCTGCAGATATACCCAACCTGCAGAAATACGCCCAAGGCCAGTAGCAGTGAGCTCGCTAGTTCGTATCCTGGTTGTCGTGTCTTGCCTATTACATAGGACAACCCCCGTGGCGCCCTTACCTGGCCTGCCACAAGCCGATCCGTCTTGTGTCTTTCGGGAAGCATAAGCCCGACTTCTCGTATTTGCATCTGAAACTGAGACCTGATGGCCGTTACAGCGTCTCCAGCCTTTATCATTCCATCCTGAAGAGCGAAGAAGCATAGCAACACAAGGGTGTGCACGGCCGTGTATTTCAAGGGGTTGCCAAACTCCAACCCCTCGGCTCTGTCAGAGCCTCCACTAACCGCTACACAAGCAGTCCCGGCACGGCCACCAAAAGGCTTGAAATGCGCAGGGGTAATATCAGAGGCTCCAGGCCTCAGCAAAACTCGCAGTGCTCACGCGGACGACTGCCACCAACACTACACCCTTGGATGGGTCGTAGAAACTGTCGAACACAAGGGCCTTCAGGGGACCATCCTTCGACGCCTCCAAGCATGCTGAAGGCGGTGGAAGCTCCCTAACGATCGTATCCAGTAGCTCGTCAATGCCTGAATGCACGACCATAAGCCCTAAACGTTAAAGCTCTCGCTCCAACCCCTCTCTGGGATGCTGCATTTGAAAGGTACGTGCGTTTGTGTGCTTCCAAACGGTATCGCCAATGCACCTTGAAGATAGTGCCCTGATTATTGTACCTTGTCCAGTTTTTGCAGAGACTTCCAACACAGCCTCTGGAGAGGCTCCCACAAGGTCGCCCACCGTTTTCTTGAGCTCCTTGAGTTGTTCGGAGGATTCTATGAGGTCGACCTGAAGTAAAGGCACCGACACATATATGTATATATGCATGCATCTATACATGCACACGTACATATATATGCATACATATATATGCATACATACATCAGCATGCACGCCAAGGCCCCCATCACAAACAGACCAAGTTTCGTTCTCCACCATTAGACGGGACTCATGTGATTGTAATGCAAAATGCACAAGCATCCACAAACAAGGCCTGCGATGACTCGCCTTATTTAGAACCGGTATGATTGGAAGGCCTCTATCACGTGCTTTCTGGAGATGCGAAAACGTCTGCGCCTGTGGTCCCTGAGATGCATCGACGAGGAGAACGCAGCCGTCGCTGGCGCACAGGCTCCTCTTGACCTCAAAGGAGAAATCAGCGTGCCCTAGCCAGACAGGAGGAAGCAGCACACACACACACACACACAAACACGGCGGGAGTCCTGCATATGGCCAAGAAGGCATGCACAAGTGGCGCGAGCAGGTAACAGACTGTGCCTGCCAGGCTATATTTGTGTGTTGACGGGGGGAGCGAAGGGGAAAGGGGGGGGCACCGTCAGGCGGGGAGGCCTATGCGAAGGTGGAAACGACGTGTATGTGCATGGAGCGAAGGGCGAAACACGCAGCGCGTGAGTGGGAAGACAGAGTGCTCTTAGGAGGCCTGGACCTTTAGAGAAGCGCATATTCCGCTCACCCGGCGTATCGATCAGATTCAGAACATGGGAATCTCCAGAGCCCCGTCGAAACAATAAACTGCACGTGCGCGCCCTTATGGTGATTCCGCGGGTGCTCTCTACCTCTGCAACCGTCCAACACAGCTCAAATATACATCCGGCAACACCGTGCATCCCATCGCCTAGTGCAAACGCTTTGAGTTGCCTGAGCGGCCAAGGTACCTTTGCTTGTACCTGAGCCTCGCTAATTTTTGCAGGTCTCGTTGCCTACGTCATAATGGCAGCTGTACACTTCCACGGTATGCAAAACATGCAGGCAATAGGGCCTTGAGGCGCAAAGCCTCCAGATCGTGCATAGCGGAGATGTCCCTTCCCCCGAAATCACTATTCTGGTGGGCATTCAGTGTAGTACCCAAAGGCCCCAAAATGCACGATTTTATAGAGCTCTAGAAGGAGCGATACACGGAGACACCCCATATAATTTGCTGCCGACCCCGTGTGTTCCTGCACAGAGACGATTTATCGGTGAAACCTTTAACGGCCCCCTGTGCAGGTCTGCTCCTGCTATTGCTGCAGTTTCACATCCGTTTGTTTGTGTGTGCTGCCTTGCCTAGAGAGTCAAGGAACTGTGCCTTTGTACGGGGATCGATAGATCCCAGTCGCCGGAGGATCGCATCCGACACAGAGCTCTTCCCGTGGTCGACATGGGCAATGATGCTGAAGTTGCGGACTTGTGACACACTGCTGGCTTGTATCTCCTTGAGCCTCTCACTCGGAAGAAGTAGCACAATCTTGCTCGCGTGGGCGCTGCTGCTAGCGTTGTACGGACGCTCCCGTTCCGAGTCGGCAGGACCCCCGGAAGCAGCAGCAACAGGACAGCCTGCTGATCTCGTTCCGATCCAGCGCGCAGGGTCTAGTATCCAACGCCTGAAGCTGGTACTGGAGACGCCGCTGTACGGCAAATACTGACTTACGAGGCTGGCAGGAGGGCTGCCGTTGCTACGGAGCAGCACAGCGCTGCTTCCTTCGAAGGTTGAAGGGCCTTGTAGAGCCCCCACACTTGTAGCACTTTGCCTTGAGGAGAACACACTGAGGGGTTTGCAAATGTTCTGATATATCCCTTGTGGCAACCACCTTCGAGTGCAGGTGGTTTGGTGAGTTGGTAGTTCTGCAGAGCCACAGTATGCTGGGGGATGCGCGCACCGCGGAGCTGGGAAGCGAGGAGGGCATGAGACTAGCCCTGAATAAAAGGACGCTGCTCTGGGCATGTGGGAAAGGCGGAACTCTGCCTGAACAGAAAGCACCAGGAGGTGCTGCCGCTGGATCAGCAGCAACTGCGGTAGCAGCAGCAACGCAAAAAGTACAAGAAGATGTGCGGGCAGGTAGACCCCCATCCAGTTGCTGAGGAACCTTGAGACCTACACAGGACACCTGCCTAAGGCTTGGTACGCTCCTCGCTGAGCAGCATGAGCACATACAGCGTGTGTTGCCATTGAACTGAGGTATGGTAACGACAGAAGAGATCGACACCTACAAGCAACAGGAAGAACGAGCTAGGGAGATAATCGCCAATATGCATTTTTTACAAGCTCAATGCGAACACATAGAAAGGGTATGCCATTTTCAAGGGGGGCGGGGGCCCTAGAGTGCAAAAGGCAAAGAAGGGGCCCCCTCGTTGTGGGGCCCCCCAGGCCTCAGTCATGGCCACTCTGTCCGTCCTCAAGCGCGCCGCTTTCCTGTATATTCAATGCATTTTAGCATTATTTGCCATGGTCAACTAGCAGCTTTCTTCGCGCACCTACCGCAGCTCCTCCTTTTGTTGCCTCGAAGGTTGGACCCCTTGCACGTGTTTTACTTCACGATCACTGCGCAAGGTGCACTTAGAGTGACCAAGTAAGTGACATAATAAGTGAGACTTTTTGTGCACAGGGAGATGTGACTTTCCTAAACTATCATCCTGATACTAGACCAATTCTGTGTCTGTTTGTCCCCCACCCGTTTCATGAAAGCTGGGGCATCACTGCTACATACACCTTATCACTGCAAAGAAGCAACCCCTTTCTGTGTTCCGTGGGGCCACCCAATTCATGCCTTGTTTGTAAGCAAGGTTCTGCATCGAGAGTTTGCTAAAAGTGTCTAAACGGCCGCATCCTTCACACCGACCTCTGAAGGAATAACGCAGAATGCGAGCTGCTTAGGTTTGTGAGGGGGATTCGAAGCAACCAACGTGAGTTCCATGGGGCATTTACCTAAAAGTGTGATTCCTGTCTGCGGTTGCCACGGCGCCCGTTCTCAAGGAGTTTTTGAAAGCCTCAAATTGCCTCGGGGGAGGGAGTTTGAAGAATGCAAATTCTCAAGGCTCTACGGGCCCAATAAAAGCTGTAATCGAGGCACTTACCTTGGCGCGCAGTGCGTCACAGTAACAGTTTTGGGCTGCGTGGGGTGGATCATGCTCAATTACGCCTTTGGGGCAATGGCATTTGAGTACCCTGGATGTCAGCTGCTTAAGCTATGACTGCAAAAACCCGAGGGCGAAACGGCTAACTTGTTGCCGTCTATGGGATGTTTGGAGAGCACACTATTGCCGTTGGCCAAACCCAAGTGCCGCCGTGTATATTTGGCCTCATACATATAGAAAGCCTCCTTGGGAAAGGTGCTTACTCGGACAACATTGAAAGTATCCGTATTGTTGTACAGAAAAACGAAGCCTTAATACCCCTGAAGAGCATGGGTGTTTGATAACGACTACATCGCCAAACTGCTATCAGCAAAGAGGGGATACAGGGCAACACGGAGGCACAGACCAGCTTCCATCCAAACAAAAAGGCAGGAAGCCAAGCGGAAGGCTCTTGAAGGCCTTTAGACACACTGCGCGTACTGCTGCAGAAAAGGCCCATGACGTTGCAGCTGCACAAAGAGAATGAGAGAGACAAAAGTAACATGGACACACGGTCAAAGAGGAGCCTACATCCTTGGATCTGCAAAAGACCCTCAAATCAATAAACCCGCTGGTACACCTCCAGAACAGGTCCAAGTTCTGAAGCATGAGGAGTCACGACGTAATGTCCTCTATAGGCAGTCTGAGCTCCTCAGGAAGCTGGTCCTCTCTAAAGGGGTACTCTGCGAAGAATATTCTCTTTAGTCTGCAGTTTGCATGCACTTGAACTCGACTGGTTTGGACATAGTTGGTGCCGAATGCCTTCCGTGTTAAGTCGGCCAAATTGAGGTGTACGTAGACCCAACCGCAGTCCATCCGCAGAGGCATCGTGCAGAGGTACGGCTTAATTCGGGCCGTCTTCTGTGGCAAAGCACATTGCAATGAAGGCGTGGACGTTGAGGCCAAGCACTATCTAAGAGACGGCTTCTATGAGGCCTAATATCATTCCACGGTAAGGATTTAACCTGATGGTGAGAAGCAGTGGAAGAGACCACATGAGAGGCCGAAGGAAGCAGAGAGAGGGCTGGATCAGACATGGACGGCATGCAAAGCAGGTCCGTAGGTTCACTGTAATCAGGATGGCGTCAGGCATGTGTGAGGAAAACGCTGATAGAGTAATTACCTGGAAGTTGGACGCTCTGAATCTCCGCTTGACACCCTTGCTGTCAACGGTCTGCACTTCAAACGAAAAGAGTTTGTTTAGCTGCGGAGGCGCAACACCCACAAGCGGTCTCACAAAATCACTAACTGGTGTTTCACTGCACAATGCATGTTTGACACACATGGAACGGCACACCACTATGCTCCAAGCGTAGGCAATCAAACAAGTGAAAGTGAGATGCCTCAGCCAGTGTAGTCTGCACTTCCGGGTGTCGGCCCTTCCGTAGGGTCCTCCTGTAGAGAAGAATTTCAAAGGGTTTGTCTGGTTCCAATTGGTTCTTGGGGCTCAATGGACGCGACGCTACGTCCCACTATTCCATTGCTGCACCAAGCGGCATCATCTCACGTTTTTAACGAGGAGGACTATTACGGGCAAAGTGACTCCCAAGGCCTTCTCAGGGTCTGGGGGGCAGCAAATGTGGCAGGCGGGAACAGGGCCCCTCAGTTCAATGGCTGTGGTTCCCAATGCGTCGTCACGTTTTTTGGTAATGGAGGAACCCCCACCTTCCCTTCGCGCCCAAAGCTGCAGAGGGTGTGATCTGCACAACAGCAATGACAAGGAGGTCCTCGGAGCATCCTCAAGAGGAGAACAATGGGGCAGAGTACAAGTCTGCAAGGGCAACAGATACAGAATTAAAGCACGGCACGTGCACCCGAAGCGAGAGCATAGGTGCTGGGTGGGATAACGGCCAGCATCAAGTGGAACGCTGTTATCCTGACGTACCCCACGCTGTAAAGGATCGATATATACCCTGACTGAAAGGCCGGCAACATCCTCAGAACGTGGTTTTGTGAATCCCTCCTTCTTCGCGATTATGGCACGATTATACTTGCTGCCCTTTTACTCGTTACGTCTTCCTTCTGCTCTTTCGGTTATGCTGGTCTAATACCCCTGCGCCGTTATTTATCCATGCAGACAGCTGCTGGACACAGCGAGGGCTCTGCTGCTAGAGTGGGTGCTGTCGCTACTTGTTGAAGCTCTGCGTCTCCTCCGGCAGGGCAGAAGCAGCAGACAGACGCTGTCGGGTGTCGCCTCTGTTGCCATGTGAAGATATGGCTCATGGTGCAGGCTGCCCTTGGGAGTTGGTAGGAAGGCCAGTGTAACACCTGCAATCGGATAACCAGGAGGCTTGCGTCTAGAATGGCTACCGCCTTGCAGTGATATTTTCTCGACACCTTAGCGTGTACAGGCAGCGACAGCTTCATTATAGGTCTTGAAGAAGAAGTGCTCAAGGTGCGTTGCATGCACTTTGCTGGGGCTGTCGTTGCCTTTTCAGCTGCTTCTGATGCCGGAGCACTGCGGCATTTAGCTGCCTTAATCATCCAGTTTATGAGCCACTTAATTTGCAGCACGTTCAAGCATCAGAGTATTTTCGCCCCCTTTGACAGCCATTATGGAGCAAGACAGCCACAACGAAAATGTGCCGTACACCCGTGAAGGGTCACTGATGGAAGCTACCAGGGCCGCCCATTAATTGGGAAGCAAGCGTAGAGATTATTTGAGATTTTCAGAGCTGAGAGCTACTCTAAAGTAATGTAAGCGCGGTGTCTCCTGTAGACACAAAAGCATTGCCAACAAGGAAGGGACAGCGCTTCGATTCTGCACGAAATTCTGTCAGGGATTAACTTTAAAGGAAACACCTTTAGAGAACCAGATTCAAAATGAATAAGAGGCGGATGCTGCTAATGCCGGTTCAGGTGTGGCAATTTGGGTCTCACCGTAGTCTGTATTGCCTTAATGAGTGAAACACTCTGAAGCTGGCAAACGGATGTATCCATCAGCGGCCTCCGTAGGGTAGCACTTAGCTCCAAACTCGCTTCAAAATAAAAGGTTATTTAGTATTATCCTCAGGAAATTCCGGCGTCCTCTGTCAGCGCCCCTTAGAGCTTCCGGTGTGAATGCAGAAAAAGTGGGCCGCTCCATTTAAGGTCTCAGTAGCGCACACAGTTCAAATTTACTGGACAGTCAGTGAGCATTTTTCAAAAGATGTTAAGCCTCCTTCTACCCGCTTCCTTTAGAGTCCCCGGCAGCAAAGCAGAGGGCAGCTAGTGTCCATGCGACTGCTCCCGCTGAGCCTCCGAGCATTCACAGCTAGTTGCCCATAGAAGTTAGCGCACAGGCACACAGCCCTGAGTCTATTTATGTCGATCAAACAGTAGCCAGCAGTAACTAGTTTATACGAGCGAACAAACCCCTTAGTTATCTGTTTACTACACATCAGTAAGTATAAGTAGTGTAGTAGAAATGCTTTAGGTGCAGCTGGTCCCTCAATATAACCTCGTGAGTCAGTATATCCAGGAGAACACTTCAGTGTATTTATGTCTTAGGGGAATATTTTTTTGGCAATGGATCAATGTGGCTAGCCGCCATAAGCTCAATCTGCTCCCATATTACGGAAGAAGGTATCTCCTTCCGTTTCATCTCAGAACAGCTGCCGCGCAGTGGAGTGTGTATCCTCCGAGCGCCCTGCTTTTTGTTTGCACGAGCCAAGTAACTATATGCAATTGGGTGGGTATGCTTCCGCTGCCAACTTGCGCACCACTGTGCACGGAAGCTTTCCTATTTTCCCTTAAGTTGGAGCCTTGTCAAGCGAAAGGAAGAAGAGCGAAAATTTATTTTAATGGGCTGCTTGGTACCTTCCTGTTAGGTCATGGTGGTGCGTTTTCACCTATGAGTCTGCTTTCGAAAACCAGAGGAAGCGCGAAATTGTAAGCAGGAGCATTTGTCTTCCTATCATCGCGCAATTCTTCACAGGTATAACACCCCACTGCATAGGCTGAAAAATATGCTGCTGCTCTATCGAAGTGTAATGAGGGTCAGGCAATGAGGCTTTCTCCGCTTGCAGACCAGTTCTCATTCTTCTAAAATACTTGTTAGATACAAAACGAGAGTACTTTCACAAAATTTGCTACGACATTGTGCTTTGTCAAGGGGCAAAGCTGCTTGTGTAAGCACAGTAAATAAATGTCCCAAGAACGGCGATTCTCGAAAGTCTGAACTTTGGATTGTCTCATTGAGTCCATAACCCAAGAAAATTTAAATGCACTGAAAAAAGCAAAGTGGATTTTTTGTCTGAATAGGTCACGTAAAGCTCAGTAGTGCGAATAATACTCGAAGCGGTTTCTGCTCCCTTTTCGTGTGAGGGCTCAGGCAATGGCCCTCGTCTTTTAGCTGCATGTGACATCAACCCGTACGCCACATTTGAAAGTAAAATGCATTTTCATAATAGTTCCTTGTTTGCAGCCTTGTGTCCTTATAATTGAAATTTAGGGCCATGGGGCTGAAGTGACCTTTGGCTATTGCCATCCAACCGGGCACGGAATATTTTTCCTCAGTTTTCCTCACTTCGTCCCTTCTAATGATACACACACAGCTTTAGTACTTTAAAGCTATAGACGGGGGTCTAAGTGGTGTCGCTTACTCTTGACGACATCACAAGAACTCTACAGAGTACTGTCATTTTTTCCTGTGTCTTGTATACTCTTCTTAACTGCAATAGTTGGATACTGCTGGGTCTTATTCCTAATCGGATGGCTCCATACGCATTTACCCGCTTAGTAGATGGAGCTCGCAAACAAAAAGCGCCCCACTCCACCCATAGAGAACACTACTCTGCCGATGCATCGAAACGAAGAGCGGCGCAAACACTCCAAAGCATCGGCTGCACAGGAAGAAGATTTGGACATCATCCCAATTCACATGACAACCTCGGGCCCTTTGTACGCCTCTGTATTCTACAGGCGGTCAAGCCAGGTCTACGGTGCCGAGCAGCCAGAGAAGCTTTGCCTGCCGGCACATGGCCTGAGTTCTAAGTGAGCGGACACGAAGCTTTAGAATGGCAACTAAGTCTTTCCTTTTGTACATGACAGAGCTTTTACACGGAGAGCCCACGCAATTGCTGCAACTTCAGAAGGGCTGTACTAATACTCCCCTCAACGAATAGAAGGCGTACGCAAAACATTGAAACAGACTCCCTCAAATTCACCTGATCCTGACGCGCATTGTTACACTTTGTAGTGCTTGCTTGACTGCTGGTACTGCTGTTGAAGGTTCTCAAGCAGCCTGGCTCAGGCAGGAATGTACAGGAGACAGGGGCTAGAAACGAGCATTGCGCGCGAGCGCGTTGTGGAAGGCTCCAAGGATTGGCTTCTGAAGATACTCTAGCTCATGTCCTGGCAGAATTTTCATTACGCCAGTTTTGCTATCATTGAACAAAGCAGGACGTTCTTCTGCACGCCGCGAATAGCGAATATCTCTATGGCACTAGTGGCTAAACCATTGGTCGACAAACTAAAAAGGCCTGGACAACTGGCGTTGGGGCATCTGCACCAAAACGGTAGCTAAACCCACATACATCAGGTTCATATGGCAGAGCAGTAGAAAATCTAATCTTGCTTCTCTTGGCACGGGTACGGTCTGTATAACTCCACCTGCCACAATGTAGTCACCGGTCTCTATAGGCCTCTTAGATCTAAACTCGGGTACCTTCGAAAAGCACATAAGCAGTACAGCTGCTCCAAACAAAGTGGAGAGGAAAATGTGCTTAGAGGACTATGAATGTGTCTTTGGATAAAGTAGCCGCAAAAGGAAGTATTGATTCAGGAATGGTGGAGAGACGTTCACAGTAAATGTGCACGAACAAAGTCGCACTTAGGCACTGAAAACACGTGAGGACGGATAGATCCCTCACATACGCAGAATAACATTGACATCTTGTACGAGAACCGTCTGGCGCTGAACGCACCAGGTAGCCAGGAGAGCAACTAGCACCATAGGTGCTATACTTCCCGATGAACTCTCTAATAAAAAGAGTTCTTTACAAAGCCGACTCTGCCCTACGACATCACGTCACGAAAGTGCACAACGTATATCAGGGGCACTGCAGCGCCGTCATATACATTGAAGATATGCGCAAAGATATCACAACTTATTCGTCTTCATGCATATGCCTGGGAAATGCCAGTCCCCACAATAGCTCTAAAGTCAGTTGGTAGGAAGAAATAGCAGACCCTCAAACACACCACACGAAACGCCCTAAGCATTTCAGATGAGTCAGCTGGGCCTGCTACTGGAGCAGACGAGATATATAGCCGACCAAGACCACACCTTATGCCATCAACGCCAGTGTCACGCTAGCCACTCCTGTTGCAGCTTCTGGTTGGCGCTCGATCCGGCCAATGTAACGGTGCGAAGGAAAAAAATTGTTGGGCCTACGGTGAAGAGAGAAAGCTTGTTATAACTCATTACTTCTGGGAGCCGTCGTCGTAGGTGCAGCTCTATTCATCAGCAAGCGATTTTCAATAAAGTTGATCTCCTGCTGGATGGCTTCTTTTCGCGACTGAAGCATTTGTAGTTGTCGTGCCCTAGCTTGAAGCTGCCGCGCTGCCTGCAGTCCTTCCACCAAGTTTAAAGAAGCTCCCTCTGTAAGAGGCTGACTGCGCGAGCTCAGTGCATTACCCGCAGAACCTCCGAACACAAATGATGGCACCGATCCGAATCTGCGCAACTCGGCAACTCGTGGTTGTATCAGCTTCTGCTGCTGCTGCTGTACCCACGCAGCATTACCAAGCTGCCTGGCATCCGGAGACAGGGTTGGCTGTTGCTGTTGTAAGGGCAGTTGGACGCCTGCTTCAGGCAAATTCATCGTCGAGGCTTGCGGGGGCAAGAAGGCTCCTGAGGACGACATGGCGGCTATTGCTGTAGCCGTGCTCTGTTGCTGTGCATTGAGCAGCGCTTGCTGAAGATGCTGCAGTAGCTTAATTTGCTGATTCTGTTGCTCAAGTACCTGCGTTTCCAGTTGTAAGGAAGCTGCTATATGGCTCTGCTCTTGCGCTGCATCGGACGCCTCTTGCGCGGTTTCAGCCTCAGGGTGCGTTTTCGTGCCTGCGGTGGTGCTGGCAAGCTGCGACCAGGTATCGTCCTCCTGAATAATTTTGGATGTGGAGTGAGCATTTGAGTCGTTACAGGTAGCAGTTCTCCGCACTGTCGCTTCGCGGACAGTGCAGTACCGATCAGTCTCGAAACCCGTCCACAACGCATTATGGTCGTCGTTCTCCACACTGCTGAGCTGCTCTCTGAGATACGCCAAGAGGCGTTCCCGCTCCACCTGCGGCTTTTCGGCGAACTCGGTGAGCTTCACGACCTTGCGGGGCCTGCATACAGCAAGATGACAGTATTTCCCTGAATGTTATGGATGTACAGGAAAACCGAATAGGGCTCAACACCCCCCCTTCAATGCAGGAATCAACCCAAGGTCGCTCATGTACACGCCAACATAAAACAAAGTACCACCCACATGGTAAAAATGAACGAGAATAAGTTGAAAGGTATGTACCAATGTGACAATGAGAAGCTATATTTAGAAATTGGGGCAACGAGAAAGCATTTACATCGCAGGGCCACTCATATGGATTACCTACAAAATGTAATGACTGATGGTGCGCGACCCCTGCACTGCAAAGCTAGTGAGCTGACTTAATGACATCGGAGTACGTGAGAGCAGCTCACGAGTTGGACTTTTCGTTCGCACAGAATTGAAGAGCTTCAGCGTCTTCTTCCTTAGCACTAGCCATAGCACGTTCTGATAATGCCGCGCTGCCCGATGCCCCAAACGTTGTAGTAACAGGCCCAAAGGTGAGTTCCGTAGAGCCGCCCACAGGCGCTATTGCTGTTTCACTCGTTGCATAGAGCGTCAGTGGCTCCGCCGTAGAATCATTGTCTACCTCCAGCGGTGTTGTATTAGTATTCATCTGCTCTGGGCCGTTCTGCATTTCCTGGCCAATCTCGTGTACTTGCTGCCCGTCTGTAGACCTTTGCTCAACCAGTCCCTTCCTTTGTTTACCTCCTCCCCCCTCCAGACTAGTTCCATCTGAAAGTGGCTGCGTGCGCTTAGTGCCAATGGGGGCCTCTGCAGGAGTTTCTAGAGGAGGCTGGCCAGGAAGGTTACACTGCGCCTGACTAGTCTGGTCAGAGCTGCTTCTTTCCGGAGCGTCTGCCTCCAGCTGCATGAAAAGGAATTGCATGCAGGGAAATGTCCAATGACATTCGGAAAAGGAAGCAACAGATCTAAATATGGCAAGGTCGGCCTACGAACCTACGTAAGAAGCAGGTCTCAGTTTACCTCAGAACACTGATAAGCGGACATGCAATAGCATTCTGTGAGGTCTGCTCTCTGTCAACTACGCAACACACAGGCTCTTCCTGGCTGACCTTTACAGTAATACGACGCCTTGAAGGTCCCATGACCAGCTTTTGCAAGTACTCGTGAAGGGAAACAGGACAGTGCGCAAAGTTCTCGGAGGCAACCGCCGCAAACTACAAAGACACAGACAAAACGACTACCCAAATATGCGATACGTCAACATTCATAGTTCTAAACGAGGAGCAACCCATCGACATGAAGGTAAAGGCATAGAGCTGCACAAAGGACATTGCACTTGTGCCCATAAACAACGGCACGTCATCACCCCAATGTACGAAATTGAGTGCTTGATAGCAAAGGCAACGCAGGCTGAGGTGTCACAGCACTGCCTGTGCGGTGGCCTCAATTCGGCTCATCCAGCCCACTAATAAGCCGCTAATTGCAAAGAAGTCGGTGAGTCGCCCCAAAAGAATTGGGAAGAAATGGCTTACCTCAGACCGAATGAAGCAGAAGCTTCGTGCGGAAACTTGAGAAACAGCTCTGTAGCATTCGCAAAATTTGGCGAAAGCAGCGATACTGTGTCCAATTCATACATTCCATACTCACCTGTAGAAGACACGTGAGCTCCTCTTCAAATCCAATCATTCCCACAAAGGCTATTTTCCATGGACACCCTACTGAATTCCTTTCCTTCTAATAAAGGTAGTGCTAAGAGTAGTTTGCTCACCCCGAAAAGAAGTCAGCGAAATTGGACTGCTCTCGGGCAAATCTGCTTCGACCAATCCACTGCAGGCGCTGTTCAAAATCTGACGTGCTAAGGTTGGAGCCAATAATCTTTGCCATTTCGTAGAGGAAAGTGCAGACGTGTTCCTCCAGTTCGTCGGGCTTGCGAAGGGAACTCTAAAGGGGTGACAGAACCAGACGGCACACTCTGGAGTCCTTATATCCATAGAGGCTTTATCCAGGCACTCTGGGCTATTGTGACGTACTATTGGACGGACAAGAGCCCGCACACGGCAGTTTGTATAGAGTGCAGCATTGTACTTCAGTTAGAGCTGAATTAAGTACTCTGTCCTCAGGGAATGGCTCTACACGTAGTAGACTCTACTTCTACACTGTAATTGCTGCATGTGTGTGTACGGGAAAAGACCCACTTGCACTATGGTGCCTAGCGCTGCCACTGGTGGCAATTCAGTGACAGAAGCAAAAGCAACGTATCCGTCCATGTTGATGGTGCGAAGTGTGTCGAAGAAGGGAGCCCTAAGCAGATCTCCTATGGTGCTGTAAAGCACGGACTCGAGTATATCCGGAGGCTCCGACACGTAAAGAGAGACATAAGCATGATTGACATCCCCAACAATGGGGTTCTTCAGGACCACTTCCACGTCCGCCGTAAGATTCAAAATCTGTAAAGAAGACATGAAGATTTTGAATGTAGCACAAACAAACTTGGTGTCTCCCCCACATTGTGTACTACACCCATTTCGGAGGTACTATAGCATGGAATAGAATTAAGCATAGGAGTATATGGGGACACTAGCACTCGAGGATGCTTGCCATACCTCACTGCCTGAAGCCTCGTCAAAAGTAATAGACTTCGAACGAATCAAGCCCACGAACTCAAGCGCAAGGGCCTTAGCATCCGACGCGTCGATGTCGCCCATAACAAAGCAGTCCACGGCAGTATTCCCCAAGCTTCCTCTAATGAATGTAGTGAAGTTCTCATATGTCAGCTCTGGGGATTGCAGTTGTTCCTTCAAGTCAAACTGTGAATACCGACTCTGTCGAACCATGCTTAAGGCAACGTCCATTGCCAACTCATACGACGTCAAAGCAGAAAAGTCACTGGTTTCTTCCTTCAGCTGCAATACACAAAAACCAGCATCAATCCGTCGTACCATAGAGTGAAGCAGCTGTTTGTCCAGAACGTGCTACCCACCCTACTACTGTTTCACTGACACGCTTTGAGTGATGCATGCGAGGAATGTTCTAGTATTAGAAGCATGAAGGCGCGGAATTATTAAAGCAGCCTCATAAAGGTACTGGGTCGAGCTAGGTCGATTACGGAGATTTTAAAGCTTACACTTGCAACCACTAAGTTGAACTCGGCTTCTGTCACATTTGCGAGCGTCTCTTGAAACGTTGCTCCCAGACCTCTCGTCACTTCCTCAAATATCGAGCTAAACGACTGCACAGTGAACCCAAGGACACAAACAATGGACTCGCAATTTCTCTGTGGCTGTCACAAGTTACCTGTGAAATTCTGATGCACCTGCGTGACCAATTATGCACATGAATATAGCCATCTGGGAAAAGTCCGATCGAATAAGAACATGGCAGTGCATTGGACCAGCACATGAAATAGACGTGTGCGCAAAACGAGCATAGTCCATAGCGGAATCAAAGAGCACCCTGACGAAAACAGAACGGAGGGCTCCCCACGATACGGGAGCAGCCTCGCCTGTCCTCACCTGAAGCTCGAAGACTAAAGAACCTCCTGTGTACGCGACAACTAAGTCGACACCGCATCCATGATAGGCTGCAAGCTTGACCTTTGCGTATTCGGCAAATATACGGGAGAATATTTTCCCCAGAGCGTCGTTTTGGGCAGTTGCATCTGTCTCCGAAACCCTAGCCCGATAAAACGACCTAACAATTGATTTATCAAATGGAGCTCCGTTGTGCCACAGTATGGTGAGGTCGTTGTCAGAAACAAGAGCGCATGGGGGGCTAACTGGCGTGTGCTTGTCCTTGGAATCGGGTGATTTATCCGGGGTGAGGGTTGGCATTCTCGCACTAGTGAAGACACAGACGGACGGAGGGGGGTGAGGAGGCACCTGCGCCTCCGGTAGTTTGCATGCTAGCGGCTGAGGGAAAGTTAGCTGAACTTCTTCCAAAAGAGGCTCATCGCCGTGCTCCACAAAGTATCGAACGCCGTACTCAACTACCTCAGTATAAGCTTCCTGTGGGGTGGAGCTCTCAGACATCTGCAGCATTATAACAACTTCCTTTCCCGGGGCCATTGCCTCCACCAGGCGACGCACCTCCTTAAACAATACCTCTTCCGAGGGAAGTGAGATGCAAACACCAGTGTTCAGCGTCAAGTCCGGTCTACTTGGGAACTGCAGCACATTCTCTGCAGAGGCCACCACTTGCTCTAGGGGAGGCAAGGGATCTTGGAACTTCCAAAGAAGCTGACTGAGGGCATGATAATTCGTGAAAAAGTCTCGAACAAATTGCTTGTCCACAACGCTCTGCATCTTGCTGGTAAACTGACGCACGATGCCCAGCAACGCGTGATGTTCTGCTTCCCCCTTTTCTGTGGTGTCCAAAACTAGTCCCGTTATGGAACTTCGGAGGGTCCAGTGCTTAAAAGCCTCTCCCCTAGTAATATACCCTGTGAACAAATACACCGGGTTTCCAAAATTCAGTGGTGCTCGAGCGATATCAGAAGGGTACCCGAATTGGGCCAATGCGATATACAACCGAATGATCAGGTTTTCGACGACCACTAGAGAAACCACATAACGCCGCGAAGAGTTACAGAGTGAGGTCTTAACAACAAATCTTTCTACAGTGAACAGCATGTGGCAAAAGGGAGTACCTTTTTGCTTGAGGGTACTCAAAAGGCTTCCCTTCACTGGATGTTCGAGCAGATGCTGCACCAAGGCCGAAGGCTGGCATTCTAACTCTAAGAGGTTGTTGGTAAATTCAGCAGGGGCACTCCAGAAGATAAAAAGCCGCCGTCTCCAACCGTGGGCACGCATCAAACGAATAATGGTTCCTGTAGCATGACCACATCAAACTATCACCAGGGTGCTGCGTGTTTTTCGATAACATACACCGCTGCGGGGTCGTGAAGGCATTCCAGAAACGGAAGATGTCACAAGTTTGCTCACCTTGAGGCAGCGCCTGCGTAGTTAGGGCTTCGTTCAGCTTGTCGCTATTCGTTTCTTCGGGAACATTAGGGACGTCCATTTCCTGGGATGATTCTTCATCAGTCATCTTTGTTGGGACGAGTGGACTGCTAAGGGGGTTGTGAAGCTCCACAAAGCTTGCCCTTGTTTTCCCAGAAGGCTCATTAGATGCTTCCTTGACGTTTTGCGAGAATTTTGTAGAGATGATGTCCACAACGTCCAATAAACGATATGAATGTTCACTTCCGTCTGCGTGAGGATTGCCCATCCTGCAGATCCACAAAAGGACACCATATTAAAATTCAGGATAGTGTTGTTTCAAAATGTCTGGCAGACCAAACGAGAAGGGCATACTACGGCAGCAGCTTAATGGCTGGAGCTGAATAAGGGTGCTTTCTCGAGATGCAAAATAGATCTAGCTAGGAGTAGGCACGTAAAGTGTTCTCTTAAGTTCCTTTACGAAGCACCTACACCGTACCTCATGGCTATTGACATGTTGCTTGGAACATAGCACTTCTGATGAAAGTGCCGCAGAGACTGTAGAAGGTCGATGCCACTTTCTGTAGGTTTGTTGCAAAGGGTATCCAGGCTTCCTGTACCAAACTTGGCGGAGACAGGGGGCTTACTCGCCGCTGAGGTGGCTATCGGTGTGCCGCTATCAGGCAGATGCATCAGCGCAATGTGGAGTGCCACGCGCTCTAGGTCAGGAGTGTTCTTCTCGTGCTCATACTGGAGCGCCATAGCCTGTGCATAATTAACGCATAAGGGCCACAAAAGGCACCACGTGAGACAAGCTTTACTTTCCTTTTCGGAAAGAAATCTTTCAGCTGCATCTTTCCCGCCAAAGCGGCAAGACGAGATAGGAGGGGCTGGACACAAAAACACGCACTGCCCCTGCAGATTAGGTGCCCACCTCCGACTGAACCTGCTCTGGGAGCAGTGCAGGCGTCAGAAGATGTTGGAGGAACACGTCTAAGAGCTCCGGAATGTGCTGAGTAGGCGCCGTCACGTAGAAGGTTGTGGTATCAGGTTTCGTGTGTGCATTGTGCACCCCACTCCTTGAGTTGATTAGTTCGTCCCAGCTAGTTGCCTGAGGTTGCGAGGCGCTTCCCAAGAATATCATGTGCTCCAGCATGTGGGCCAGGCCGGGCAGCTCTGGGGGGTCATGGAAATATCCGCAGCCGACGGAAATAGCAAACGCCCCCGTCTCCTGTTTTGGGTCCACTGATACAAGCCCGGAAAGCCCCAGATCTCGCAGCTTAAAGGCAGCGTAATCAGCTTTATCTAGATCAGGCTTTTTAATTGTTTGATGCGCGGCAGAGACTGGTTGAGATAGCTGCTGGAGCAGCTCCTCCACAGTAGGTACATCATCCGGGTCTACCACCTTTAAGCCTTTCTGCGAGAACTCCTTTCGGTGGAGATTAGAAGACCCCAGATCAGGAGCGTTGCTAGGCTCTCCTGCGCCTCCGTAAGCACCTTCTTGTTCGTGGCTTTCCAACAGCTCGTCGTCATGGTTCAATGTGGAGTCATGTATCTGGGCATTCGTTTGTTCTTCTTCGCGGACTTGTGCGGTTTCTTCCTGGTCGTATTCTTCTGTTGGTTTCTCTTGCTGAAGTTCGGTGTGTTTGCGGTGGTTTGGAAGTGTCTTCGGAGGGGAATGTGCCGTCTCAGGCACTTCATCGTGCATAGTAGAGACGTTCCCAGGACCCTTGAGGCCTTCTGGTGCTTCGTGCTGCTCCACAGGTGCGGCCCCTGAAAGAGAGTCTTCTTGTGTTTCGTCTTCATCTCCATCATTTGATGTAGCTTGATATGTGGGAAGAACTGGCTTGCTTTGTGGTACACTACCCACAGATTTTGATTCCTGACCGCTGGATATATCTGACCTCGGCGGCGGAACAGTGGACACCCTTGAGTCCTTCAAGTTTTGCTGGGCGCCCTCTGTGTTACTATCGGAATCAGCCAGTATACCTTGGTGACTTGAGCTCTCAGAGAGCTCCGCAGGCTCAGTACCTGACTGTTCGACATCAAGAGCTTCTTCTGCGGCTACGGGAGTTTTTGTCTGGAGGGGCCCTTTAGATCCTGAAGGAGAAAATTCATGCACCTCAGGCGAATCTGGCTCGCCCTCATGAGGTTGGGACTCTTCTACTGGGCGGTCAGTATCTCTGTTGGCTGAAGGCTGCCTATTGGTACGCCCAGTACCTTGGGGCCGCTTTCTCATGGGAGAGTCCGTAGATGAAGACGATTGTGGGCTGGCATTGACTTCTGTGAAGCCGGTGGGCCTGCTCGTCAGAGGAAGTGAGTGCTCACTTAGAGAACCAGCAGAACTCGAGAGGTGTGGTACCTCCACGGAGTCATCCAGGCTCCCATGATCTTCTGCATGAGGGAAGGCGAGTGGAGAGTCCAAAGAGGTTGAGACTCGGCCCAGCAGTCTCCTACTGCGGAACTGACGGTGACTCTGTGTTTCCTTCGTGCTGAGGATCAGCACAAGCTGCAGAATTCCCCATAGAAGTGTAGATGCAGGGGCCCAGGGAGGCCTCCTGGGAGTACCAGTCACACCATACCTCATTGAGCCAAGGGTCCCGTTAGCCGAAGCCCCGGGGGGGAGATGAGATAGTGCCAAGGGATGCTCGCGGCAGTGGGCCTTGCAACCACGTAGAGGGCTGCCTCCTGCCAATAGCCCCCAATGATATACGCGTGCCTTCTGCTGCTAAAATGACAAAAATGAACGGACGGGGCCCCTAGGCAGCTGAGAAGGAGGACATGGAAGAAAAGAGAGTAAAATCACCGTAATTCAGCAACCGGAATGGGCTAACAAGGTAGAATCAACACCCTGGGTTGTGCATTACAAGGAGATGGCCATTTCTGCTCCAGCTAGCTCCCGCTAGAATGGCCTCCGGGGCAGATTTCCATCGAATTCGCCCTTTAGTGGAGACGTTAGAGGTGGTAATTATTCGGACTAAGAGGTGAAAGGAAGAGAAATATGTATATATACTCATGGCCACTGCACACCAACGGGGCTTCCTCGTCTCGAGGCTCAAGCGGAGAGCTCTGGGGTTCCGCGCATAGGCTGCCTTCAAAAGGGGAAAATAGTGATTAATTCTCATATATAAATAGTGCAATAAGAGCTTGTAACTGTTTAACTGATTAAGACTAAGGCAAGTGGGAGGATTACAATTTCGATGCAGTGGCTCTGCTTCACAGCCACAAAAACCATTTTCACACCTATCGAGCCCGGATATTGGCGGGCTGCGTCCGCCATGCTTGAATAGTTCATTGTATATGAGCTTGAAGATGATTATGACGCATTCAACTGTCGGACCTATATAATGGCATATTCGCATATTCAATGAGCCATCGAGGTGTGTCACCTCCACAGTACCACAATGTAAGCCGAGTCTGTGCGAAGTTACTGTGTGCGGCTATATACAATTGTCCACTCAACTCAAGCAGCACTGCACCTTACGCTTCTTTCTTCTATTATCCCCTCGTACTGGGGCTCTCATGGGTCAGGGGCTAGCAGGGAAGGCTGCCCGTTCCCCAAAACACGCTAGAACCTTCGTCTGGGCTTCCACTGTTCAGTGCAGAACCTCTCGGTGCAGTGACTAATCAAGGATTTATATAGAGGTTCTTCTTTGTGGGGACCAAGAAACATAAATGAGGCGAACTATTAGGCGTGACCCAATGGACGGGTTACAATGACAGCAGTGGCTTTGATTAATTATGCATATGAAATGCTGTGCAGGGGTACAAAGCTTCTTGCCCGATAGGTCAGTAACTCCTGTGGCTCTAATGAAAATCAGCACTTATTGCCATGCTGGTGCCGCAAAGCACAGAGGAAGCCAAGAAAGATTTAGCGTCCTCCATTGCTATATGACTCTTGCTGTTTCTTTCGCAAGATTTAGGTCTACAGGATTCAACTGTTTAAGCATATTGAGCCACTACTTACAGTATTCCACATATAACTTTAATTATCCAGGCTTCAAACAGTTGGAAAGAAGGCCTTCAAGCTGGTGCAGTCCCACGGGTTCTGCCTCCTTGTTGCATGTGACTGGTCAATACTCCTGAAAAAGTTGCTACTGATAAGTTGTTGACGTACAGCTAAACAAAATAATCACGGGGTTTGAAGGGACCATATTCTTTAATGCAATGGTCATCAGGTTACAAACCTCGCATTTGAGTTATTGCAACTATTACTTCTAAAAATTGCTTAATGTATTTCTACTCGATAGCGTGAAATTGCTTGAGTTTCAAGGTTTCTGGGAACTTGCATTTTCTGCAGATGTGCAATATGTATTTTTTTTTCACAGTTTGGCCTTCGGTAGCACACCAATAAACCGAACTGGGGGCCCATGGTCTGCAAATTAAAGCTCGCAGTGGCGTAAAATCGGACGCCTGCACGAGCGGCCATTCAAGAGGCCACCGGAACGCTTACCTCTCTTCACAGAGCCTCGAAAAACAGCACGTTCTACCAAACTTTTTAAAGTTTCCCCCCTTTCTGAATACCCGGCCTACGTAGCTGCATGTATATCTGCCATTTTCTCTTCGTTTTATTCCACATCTTCTGCTAAGAGCACGTGTAACGAACTTTCCATGGCTGAGGAACTTCGCGATTCTCCGTCTCGGGTCAGCACACAGCGGCCAGATTAGGCCTGTCGTGTATCTCAGAATTGGCGCAGCACGCATCGGAGTTGCTCAGGGCGGGGAAAAGCTAGGAAAGCAAGTTTTCGGGGTCGTTCTCGGTTGCTCTCTGTCCATCCGCGGTCAGAAATGCGCTGAAGTGTATGCCTCTATAGCTATCTGAGTTCGATCTCGAAAATTTGCTGCAGTTTCGTGATGAGTTTCTCCTGTAGTGCGTTGACTTCTGCGTGAGTGAGGGTGCGGTCCAAGGCCTTGTAAGTAATACGGAAGCAAAGGCTCTGTCGCCCCGTCTTTGGGTGCGTGAAAGCATCTTGCAAAGCCACACTCTCTATCAGTGAACCCCCCTCCTCCCTGCAAACCTCATAGAATCGTGACAGGTCGAATGACGCAGGGCAGATAGGCGGCCCCTGTCCGCTTGAGGGCCCGTCTGTTTGGGATACTGTAGCCGCCAAATCGCTGCTGCTACCCTGAAAACTCTCCGTGGGAGCCTTCTTCTTTGGAAGCCAGAAGGAAATATCCTTGAATACAGGTGGCATGTGAGAAAAGGCCACAAAGGTCTTAACTCGTCCTTCGGTGAATTGTTGCGTGAAGCGATGGTCTGTGGACCAAAGAATACGAATATCATCAACAGAAAACAGCACCATTGCCACCCTTTCAATCCCTAATCCAAATGCCCAACCCCGAGCCTCTGGATGGAATGGCAGCTCATGCCTCAGCTGTCCCTGTTTCTGCTGTTGGTGTTGCTGGCTGCATGCAGTGGCGATAATCTGCGGCTTTATCTCACCGGCCCCCAAAACCTCCAGCCAGCGACCCTCGTGTAGTACTTCCAGCTCTAAGGAAGGGGAGGTAAACGGAAAATATGCATCATACACCCAACGTAGCTTCAACTCGGTGCTGCGTGCGTTGCTGTTGGCATGGCCGTCTGTTGTTGCATTTGTGCTGTTCGGCATCGCGCCAGGCGCGGCATGGGGCTTGTGTGCCCAAAGAAAGCGCACGAGCTTCTCCAAGGTCACCTGAAGCTGCAGCACAATTGGATTGCTGCGGTAAGGGTTTTCTTCGCTCAGACAAGCGAAGGAGCAGAGATTCCTCACTGCGTGGACCGACAAGCCGGCAGCTGCCGCAGCAGCAGAGCCCAAGCCCTCCTCCTGCCCCCCGGCTGCATCCTGATGCTGCTGACTCTGCATTTTCCGCACCAAATCTATTGCGTGCAGTAGCGCAGTGTGCTGCCTTTTAAGGGTGTCTAAGCACGCTGTCGCAGTCTCCAGGTCTTTACTGGTAGTATGAAGCGGCTCAAAGACAGAGATGCCGTCTACTTGGTGAAAGACTGGATAGTGCGTAGAGTCTACTTGGTCCCTCCGCGCCACAGCCCCACACCAGATAGCTCGCCGCATGCCGCTGCCAAGCACAAAGGCCTGATGAGCTGTCCCGTGTGTACGGAGAACCATTCGGCTGCTGCTGGCCAAAATGTTGTTACTGGCGGCGTCGTCCTGCTGCCGTGCCAGAGCGTCTAGCTGTGCGTGAGTGAGCGAAAAGTTAGGGTCTAGATAGTATGTGTCGCTGGTGCTGCGGCTACAGTGTGTGGGGTCAATAAGAAGTGAATCAAAGTTTTCCACTGTGGAAACGAGGGGACTTAGTCGATCCAGATACGCAAATCGTCCAAAAGAAGCCATCTCCGCCTTTGACAGCTGTGCGTCGAGCGCATACGCAGGCGACTCCTTCTGGCGCTCGTGTGGCTGCTGTTCATGCTGGCTTTGGTAGCCGTTAGTACATTCGGGTTTGGGATACTCTGGGCTGAAAGCTGCTGCTGTCCCCCCCCTGGTAAAGAACAACTCAACAAGGCGAGTCGTTATGCCAACTGGGGTATCGGGGCGAAGGTGCAACCCCCGTAAAAGACCTCGCCACACAGTCTGCGGGATGTGAGGTGGCTTTGGCGGGAAACGCCATAGAAGTTCTAAATAACTTGGCCCCTCCTCCTCTCCTGCTGCTGCTAATTGTGCAGTTTCCGAGACTGAACCTGCGGGAGCTGTTGGAGAGGAGTCGTGTGCTACTGATAAAACAGAAGCCACTGCGCCCGACGCGGTGGATGCACCTGCCCGAAACGTTTTGCAAGCCCCAGACTTGATGCTCTCGATGTTTGCCGGAGAACAAGGGGGAAGGGAGAAGTGGAGGGCCCTGTGGGACCCCGATTGCTTGCGTTTACCATTAATATTCGCTTCGTTATTGCCAGCTACCACGCCTATTGCTGGTATTGCCGGAGCTTCTCTTCGTACTACACGTGGTGATCGCGTTGTGACAAGCGGTGTTTCTACAGATCTTGCTGTTCTCCAGACAGATGCAGGGGCTCTGAGCCCGCGATAGCAGATAATATTGACAGCGTGGGCAGTTAATTCGAGGGGGGCCCTAGGGGGCCATGAAGTTGGGGACAACCCCATGTGCTGCTGAGCATTGAGGTGACGGTCCAAAAAAAAACCTGAACGCCTAGGGACAGAGGCTTAAAGCTCCATGCTGCCTCCAGAAAATATTGATCTCGTGTCTCCAGATATAATACTAATGCTTCTCGTGGTTGATTTCCCCAAGCCAGAAGCTGCGGGGGCCCCCTGACGGCCTCGGAGCACCGCGTATGGAAGTGACCGCACGCCCGTTTAGAGAAATATGAAGGCAATGGCCTTACGAAATGCATGCCTCACCAGATGCTCTATTTCATGCGTTTGAAAGTCTGGGGGTCGAGGGCCGTACTATTTCTGGTGGCAAATAACCTGCCATCGACGCTGAGGTGCCCATGGTAGCTCGCTTCAGAGCCACGGAAGCACAATCCGCTAGAGTTATGGAAAATGACGGCTGAACAGTGGTAGAGCCACCAACAATAAGCTTCGGCGGCAAGCATTGCCGGTGCCTCTCTTTTTTCGAGTCAAGTAACTCCACTTTTGCGTTTGCATCCGTGGCGCGTACAGCAGACACATCCTTGTGCAGCTTACGGGACTCGTCATACGCCCTGAAACATAACAAAAAAGACGAAACACAGATGAAAAATTACGAAATGAGACGGTGCTAGGCATTTGTTTCCCGGTTGTGTCATTTGGCGAATTGTTGTCCTGTGGCATCGGTAACGCTACCCAGTGTACCTATGCAAATACACTATCAAAAAAACCCTATATGACCTCCAGGGCAGGCATTAATCGCGCATACTCCAGAGCTTGCCCCGTTTCTGGTGCTTGCCTTACAGGATACGCGCACGTATTTGCAACCACTGACCACTTGAGGTTCCAGTAACTTGCCGCTCCGGTGCACTGCGCGCACTGCGATAGGGAATGAATTCAGTTGTGCAAAAAGAAGAACGAATATGCAGCCAAACTATGCAGTCAATACTAGACAAATCTCTTATGAAGATGAATTCAATAGTTGTACTTGCATAGCGTAGGTTGACCCCCTACAGTTTCTGTCTGAATACGCTTCAGCAACCTGGCAATTTTAGTAAGTCAGGCGTGGGAACCGCGTGTCGGTCCACCGCTTGGGTATTTCCATCGTTGTTGGAACTTTCCAGTATTTGCTGTTGTTGATGCAGCTACTCGCGTAGTTTTCACTTTTGTGCTTGTTCAATTTCGTAGCTGCCAGATCCAGATTCCTATGCTGCCGGAATACTAATCAAGGTAGACTAACGCTCTCGTAACCCATTTACAATGCATCAAAATCTTGCTACTGCTACTCTTATCTTTGCGGGAAACCACTCGAAGAGCCAATAGAAGCGGCAGGCTACGTCTGTAACCTAGTGTGATTTTCTCAGCCCCTTGCTGGCTGCATCATGTACTAATTGGTCCCGGCGTCACCAGTCGTTTTCTGTTGCTGGCTAAGTCGTTAGAGACCAGTTCGATGTCTACCTTTATCGGCCGTGCCATCGTATTAGTTCTTTGAAGCACAATGGTTCCTGATATAAGATGTTGGGGTCCCATCACACGCGCCCCTTAATAGAGGGGCCCTCCATATCAGCATGAAGAGCTAATGCTATGAGGCGAAGCAAAGCAGCCATAACAACCCCAACAACAATAGCAGCAACAAAAGCACAGGTATCTCCTCAAAAGAGGTGCTGCCCAAATTCGAAGGGACAGGACTAGACACCGCATCTGTGGTGCAATGACAGCTGGCGCAAGGGGCGACAGGCGTACTTTCCTCACCCACTAACAAGCTGTTGATTCTGTGCGCTGCTGCCAAGGTGGTGGGAGTCCAGTACTTGGCGCTGCGTAGAGTATCTGATGATGCCAATTTGGGCGTTGTGAGGTGGTAAACTGTACCTGTGGTTGGTTAAGATTTTACACGCTGAAGACTGACCTGTAGAGGGCAGCAACAAATGATGGATGCTGGCTTAGCAGTTACATACATTTATGCTACTTTTCTATCAGTGGCTTTAACTGCGTGTCTATGGGGAAAAAATAATGTTTGTGCTATGAAGAAACAGCATTTTTGGCTCAGGCACGCGTGAAGAGGAGCGTACTGGACGAGAGCTCATGTCCAGCCTTGTGGTGAAGCTGAACAAATGCATGAAATGACATTACTTATACACGTATGCACACACATTCCAGCACTTTAGTCGTATGAACATTCCCCACAAGGATGCCAGTGGCGGGGTGCTTCCTGTTTGTACTTCTAGCCAGCTGAGCTTGCCCTTCGCCGCATTAGTGCCACAAGCTAGCATGCTGGGTGTTCAGACTCCAGGCCTCAGGGCAAGCCTGCCGAAAAGCCTCAAGGCTTTTTGACGTGCAGGAGAGCAGGTATCTTAAACAGCAAAGTCCGCAATCAGCGGGTAACCTCCTGCCTTTACGACCTCACTGTGCTTGTCAAGGCCAGACCAGAGCTCCATGTTAAAACCACTGGCTCGCATACTCCAAGGACGATGTGTCTTGCGGCTGACAGGGGTAAAGGGTATTCTCTTCAGCCACTTGCCAAATGCTCTCATGAGTCACCCCGATCAAATGTAACCCAGAGAGTATCATCTCAAATTCCAAGAATTGTAGGCCCTAATGCGGGAAAAGATTAAATGGGGATAGGGAAGGAAGCTGATATTGTGCGTGAAAAGTACGGCGTGGGCCACTGGTTGATTCTTCAAGTCTGCCACGATCTGCACTGGAAAGAAGTCAAGTGAGCAATAGGTAACGAATCTCATCAATGGACATGTCTAGTGGCGTGCACATTCTTGCCTTCATGTTTACAGTAAATACATCAAAACCCACCTAAGTCTTGCTTTTTACGAAAATGACAAGTGATTTAAAGGGGCTTCAGCTTTGAAATTGCATCTTGTTGAAGGTGCTGAAACAAAAAGCCACACCATCGCCACTCAAGGAACCGTGAGATTCCCCCACTATTGAATGTTCCACATGGGAGTTGTACAAAAAGTATGGAAAGCCTTCTGCAGGACAGCTTGAACAAATATTTTTGAACCGCTAACGCCTTTTCGAAACTTCCGGGATCTGAAGGGTAGATCTAATAGAGTACTTTGGTGTCCATGTGTTGGCCTTTCTGGATAAAGTCGTGGGCATGGCTTTTTTAAGCTGACTTACAGACTTCCATTAGGCGCCTTTTCACTACGTTTCATCCCCTGCATTGTGTGCGCGAAAAGTGCAACCAGATGAGTCTGTGAAGGTGTAGCCTATGAAAATGTTAATTTGAATACGGAACAACAAGCTTGGTTTTAGAATTTTCGTGGGAAGCCTGACTGGCATGTTGATTGTCTCCTTGCGAGCCCTACTTTAGTAATCGGCGATGAAGCTTTGAACTCCTGATTCAGAGTCTCTCCAGCCCCTCCGCGCTAAAAGGCATGCGGTGATCTTTTGGTGAGAAATGTGTATAACGGGCTACTGTGGAACATATCGCATCACACCAAGGCTCGAGCCGCCCACTTTGAGGACTGCTGTCGCAATCTCGGCTTTAAGGCTTATGGTTTTTGTCTGCGTTTTTCGGGCAACGGCAAAAGTCAATAGGTCTTCAAAAATATGATATCTCATACATTCGGAAAATCAGGGTTTGAGAATTCCGCCCAGTCCGACCGTATGTGGTGTCTGCTGTCTCATTGCCAGTGACACAGGAAGCAGATACGGTGTGATCCATAATTAGTGAGACACGCTTGAAAGTCTGGGGCGTCAGGGTGCTGTGCAGCCGCTGTTGAGCGCACTTGAGTGAGAAGAGGCGAGTATCCGTCTTATATGCACCATATGCCCTAGAAGGATTATTACTCCCAACCTCGGCACCCCATTGCGAACGGCAGAAAGACAACTCGCACTCCGCCGGACTGGCCTCGACGCCGAACGTCCACCCCGAGAGTTTTTGCCGGATCCTTTGGGCACTGCTGGTGAGGACGAGCCTATTGCAACGCTCTTTTCGGATTACATTCAAATTGGGTTTCGCGTAGACGGCGAGTTCGATCCAATGCGATTATAATTGTAAGCTCTCGATTGTTCGCCTACCCCACTATTGGGTTGAGACTCTATTTGTTGTTAAAGCTTTTCACATGCCTTACAGCCCCTATTTGCGCATTTTTAAAATCAACTGGCGCTTACAGTGGTAGACAGCCCTTTAAGTGTTCCGCATGATTTACTTTCAACGCAGAAAAGTCTTTTTTTAGGTGGTTCACTTCTGCCCGGCTTTGCATATAACTTTGGAGCTTAGCTTGCAATGCAATCAAGCCTTTTCAGTATCACTCCTCTTTTAGCCAGGGAAGTCGCTCTGCCATATGCAACATTGAAAAAAACACCTTTCTCCACTCTGTACTCATGTATGGCGGAGCGTCAAGTTTTTCTTACTGTCTGCACGCACGCACCACAGATGGTGCAACCTAGTCTGATGTCGGCTGCCCTTCTGTTGTCTTGGTTTGCCAACTCTAGCTGACCTGGTTTCGTGGGCAGCGTCCTAGTTAGGATTTTGCGGTTGCTGGTCCCAGCCCTTGGGTATTTCGATTTCGGATTCCACCAAGATGAATAGGCTTGTCTTAGTGGGACAATGTAAACGGATTTGAAAGCGTGAAGCATCACAAAATGCCACTATGTTCAGAGCCCTCCGCGTTTTTCTCTGAAGCTTGAGCTACCAGGGTGCTAAAGGAAGGGAATTCCATGTGGTGCATATTCCAATAGGCTACTATGCCGAAGACTGGTAGGGTCATGGACCACTTGTGTATGGCATGTACTCTTTAGGGTGGTTTAGATGCCAAATAACTCGTACAAGAGAATCATGATGCTACCTGTGGCTTGTATGAGGTGACAGAATAGCTGCTAACTATAACAGCGGAAGGTGAAGCACCAAAACACCTGCTGAATGAAGCAGCAAAAGGTAGAGCTCAGGCAAGCAAAGGGTAAAAGCAGGCCTTGGTGAGCTACAAGGCCATCCTTTAGAACTACGCTCCTATCATCCTTGCCTGAAGAATGTTTATTTAGAGGTGCATAGGAAGAAAGTTTTCTGCAAGCATATTTTTGTTGATAACCAGGTTGGTGTCGGGAGTGGTGGTGCCAGCTGTGACATTGAGCTTGGCGCGTTTGTTTTTCAACGAAAATAGCTTTCTGCCAAACCTGCTTTGCAGTGAAATTCTGAAGCACCAACCTCTGATCTACTATTCCTTCTCTTTAAGCTTCCAGTGGCGCTCGTGTTGCCAGCGCTGCACTCACCACCCGACGTAGCCAGGGGAAGGGAAACGGTGGCCGCTGACCTCTGCCAATCTAAATTCATACAAAGATACTAACAGAAAAGGTTAATTCTCTGTTGCAACAATCCCTGGCATCCTCTGTCATTCCATGCGCCTACTGATTCGGTCAGGTATTGGGGATTCTACGACCTTAGATGGAAACCTGGGAAGCGTATCGTGGCGTTCTAGGGAGGCAAAAATCTCTGAGAGATGATAAGCAGCACTAACGGCAGTGGGGGAAAATTATTCGCCAGCACCAGTAGAACGCGTAACAGGCGCCTCGGCAGGGATGACACATCTGATTCTCGAGGTCCCCGAATAAATTAGTGGCCAGTATTGCCCCACACACCCTAGCCAGTGAGCCCTAAGAGCCCTTTCGAATTAACCCTCCAGTCTCACCGGTAGCGGATGCAAGAAGAACGGTGGGGCGGGCTACACATAGGCTCGTTATCTGGAATAGTGCGAAATCCGTCGCTCTATAGGCGGTCCCTCTGCATTGCAATTCCAAAACAAGAATGATACTGGATTCAGCTTGTGTCTGCGTGGTACTGATGAATGTTATACTTAGAGAATAAGTGCCTTTTCCGGCGCCACATGGCTAGTCTTCGTCGCACATAGTGAGGGCGGCAAGTTGAGAAGCTAGTCGCATGGCTGCTTGCCGTCTTCCCTTTGAGGAAACATGAGGTCCCTTCTGTTTTAAGTCCAGCATAGCTGCAGTGAGGGCGTCAAAAACCTCGGCGTCGTCTGTCGAGTGCTGCCCCTCCTCATGGGCATTGTTGTGAGCCTCTTCCGAGACATCGGGGACAAGCCGAGAAGCCCCTCCTTCGAGCCCCTGTGCAGGATCCTCTACATTGGAATTCCCTGAGCCTCTCCTGTCATTGACTGCTCTGCCAAAGACACTGGAACGGTCCTTTGACCCGCTCTCTGTCACAGATTTAATGCGAGTGAGGCCCGGCCACATGTGGTACTGCAACGATTCGGCGATTTTCTGGAGGCGGTGCTGCTGGCGAGACACTGCGTCAGCGGCAAATTTGTGGGGCGGAGACGGAGAGGCAGCATGTGAGTTTGAGTTTGCGCCTCTACAAACAAGGCAAAGCTCCATTCCCTCTAGGAATACGTCACCCCCGAAAATCCACACAGCTGTATCCACCTCATGGTCAATGGGGGAGCTCGTGCTGCAGTCAAAGCTGCAAGATCGGCTATTCCTGTCACAATGGACAGAGAGAAGGAACTTTAGGGGTACGTTTCGCACCCACCACTCGCTGGTTTCTGGGTTTACCTCCTGTCCATCGCTCTGGGTGTGTTGGTGTTGCTGCTGCTGTAGATCATGCTGCTGTAGTAAAATGTTCTTCATCATGAAAGGTAAGGGCTGAAGTGGTTGCTGCTTGCCCTCAGTTGTTCTTTCAGCGGCATTTGCAACGACGTGGCGCCTTGCGAGTAGTTCGTGGTGCTCGTCACTACTGCATACAAACACCACCGCCTCTGGGGCTGCCAGCGGCGTAAAGTTACCCTCCTCTCTACTTCCATTATCCTGCCTCTGACGCTCATCGCGATCCAACCCTTGTTCGTTTTTGCAGATCCGCTGTGACTCTGTAGGTGGTTCCGCCTGAGACCGCAGCTGTGGATGCACTAAGAGAGCCCTTACCTGGGCGGTGTAGTACTTTGTTCGAAGGCAACATCGCCATGACTTGCAGCCTTGTGCCTCTTCGCAGAGGACCCCACTCCTCCCTGTTCCGTCATCGGGCAAGCAGCTGCCCAATTGCAATAGCAGCTGCTCTGTGAGTGTCTGCAGCAGGAGGGGGCCCCCCAAGGGAGTTGCCTCCTCCAGAGCTGCGGAAGATGCAACCACCACTAGAAGAGGCAACGAGGACCCTCCATCTGGAGTGGAGGGGGCGCCCTGGTTGTGGGCAGTTCCCATTAGATCTCTGCTTTGCATATGCACGCGAAGTAAGGGGTGGTGCCGTGCAGCACAGAAAAGTTAGGACGTCATGAGCACCTCGAGGATTACTGGTGCCGTCGTACTCCCTCTAAAGCCTTTCAAAACCCTTCGAGTTGGGTATACGGGTTGGGCGGGTCTTCTCGATGGGAGGCAGGAAGGGCACAGCCCTGTCTATTCTCGTCTTCGCCTTATTTTTGGAAAAAAAGGCAGCTTTTGTATCAGAATTCTACAGAGAATACACTCACTAGACTCAGTGTCTTAGAGGAATGGACCAAGATTGCTATGGCTTCATGCCTGAGTCTCGCTACTGCTCGCGCAGCTGTGGGTGCCATGGTGTTTGCGTGCACTGGCTGGGAAAAGTGTGGGGTTTGCTATTGTAATTACTTTCAAGAGTGGAGTTGCAGGTAAATATGTCTACTCTTTTCCTCAATTGTTTGGTTGAGGCGGTTCTTTTCTAGTATCAACTGCTCCTCAAGCGTACGCTAAGCTTGGCCTCGATGCAACACCAGCTTCAATCCCAACATAGTTAGTGTCAAGCACATCATTTATTTTCGTTATGGATCTCATCACTTGAGGCAGTCGTCTCATTTTCATGTCACTGGCCGGCCCTATTTCCGTGTTCCCCCTCCCTTCCACTCCTCGCAGTTCTCAGGATTGTGTGACTGAGCAGCCGACCTCAAAGCATCACTAAGGAGGGACCTTGGGTGAGCCATTGCGCTTTCCCCTTTGCCCCGTGCCCGTGATACAACTAGCTGTGGCCGCAGCACTGAGAAGAGCAGCAGAAGCTGGAGCGAGGGCTCACTAGCTCAAAGGTGTTCACGGATAGTTACCACCAGCGTCTCGTTCATTTCTCCTCCGAGCGCTGAGAACGGCAGGCCTTCTCAGCTTTCCGCACCAGGGCGCCACATGTGCCAAAATTGTTCATGAAATGCTACGTGCACGCTTGCACGTGTTCTCGTCGAAGTGAAATAGAGCCTTTGCTGCCTCATCCAGGTGCTGCAAGATGGGGCAGGATCAGTCCACAGTGCTTAGCGATGAGCGCATCGGTGAAGAGGAAGCTCGGATACGACCGAGAAACAAGATGGTGACCACCAGACAGATCAAGGTAGTGGTAAGTAGGACAGGGAAATGCTAGGCAGGACAGCGCTTGCGAGGAGGGGGAGGGGTACGAAAGGAGCCAGATCATTCAGGAATTTTTTAACGGAGTCACAAATGGTATCAGTGTGGAGCCAGCACGCAGGCAGAATACCGTGTATGTGGCTTTGTGGGCATGTGTACTCCATGTGGGACTAGTAGCAAAAGATTGCACAAGCCTCACTGTAGACCACAGACAGTACTGCAATGGGAAGCTACGCTTTCTTGTTGTGCCTCGTTCTATCTTTGAGGCAACCTTACTGTGTACAGGCTGCTGTCCTTGTTTGGTGCTCTCTGTGCTTGCAGAAGAGGTCTGCGCCCGACCAGGTAAACAAAGCAGCCCTGCTTTGTCTCAGCTATATCTGTCTCTTGGTGGTGTCTGGGCTTGGGAATGAAAGAGGATGGCGGTCGGCGTCAGCTGTGGTCATATCTAGTTGAATGTCAACCATTTTTTACTTGCGAGGATTCGCAAGTCCAGTACTTGTTTGGTTCAGTGTTTGGTGGTGCTGGTGAAATTGCTGTACTTCTAGCGGTTGTTATCTCAAGTGTCGCTCAACTTTTGTTTTTCGAGGATCGTTGTAGTTCATGGAGAAGGCCGATGTAATTGACCATATAAAGCCGATAAGGGAGGCCGACATGGCTGCGAAGAAAGAATTAGAGTCCTACGAAGGCATTATGGAACTCTCGGCGCAGCTGAAAAAGGAGAAGCGAAAGGAGGTGGGACATAATTCGTTTTTTGAGTATCTGGTTTGCAGTTTAGTCAGCAGTAGATTGTAGAACGCTGAAACGAAGCAAGGATACAGTAAAACTCCCGTAGTACGTGGGTGCCTGTGGGCTGGAAGGAGCCAGGTGTACACACACAACAGCTGACAGTACCACAAGCAAGAAGAAAGCGGAAGAACATCTTTCGATTCTCAGGGAGCTTCTTGTGTGTCACTTTGCAGGAGGAACCGCTGGACCTGAAGGTGATGGCTTTGCCAGAAATTGAAGAGGTAGAGTCTGTGTCTGAGGAAGAGGAAGAGGATAGGGGCGTTTTCCACCGAGAGGTTGAAATAGAAGAAGAGCCCGTGACCATCTTTCGGGAGGCGGCACACCCTGTAGCTATCGAAGGTCAGATAATCGTGAACGGAACCGAGTGTATCAGACACTATGCGTCAGAATGGGCGTAGCTGAATTCTTTTTTATCGCTCTTGCTGTTGCTTCTGGGCCTCCCCCAGTTTTTTGCATGTCTGCACTGGAAACCTAGTTGCTGGTATGTGATTTTTTGTTTCTTAATGTTGCTGGTTGGTATGCCCCTCTTTTCGCGTGGGAAAATACTCGTACTTCGCAAAATCTCTAGGGGTGCTGCCTCCTCATATGGTCATTCTGTTTTCGCTGCATCCTTCTGTCATCTTCGCAAACATTGGCAAAGGGGTCTTCGCCCGTGCTAACTACGAAGCACTTCCGCTCTTCATGCTTGCAGGGATGTCGGGCTCCTACATATAGCCGGTTTACGTCCCGTCGCGCAGCCCCTGTTTTACATGGCTGTGTGTAGGAAAACAGCTTTCTGTGAGCGTATTTGGGTTTTTGTGACTGCAGGGGAATGCGCTGTCAACTGCACTTTGCAGTTTCGAGATGATTCACCGTACATGAGGGAGTTCCCGGTTTATAAAATTGAGTGGTATGTGTCCATACTGTTTGTCTCCATCCACCTTCAGCTGCCCATGTGCTTTTGTCATGGTTTGCCTCCTTCTCGGCCTCATTTGGGTGAATGCTGTTGCTCCTCCCCATCAAGTCTCTCGGTGCACACTCTCTTCCTATTCGGTCTTTGCAGCAGTTTCTCTCCGTTCATTGTTGCATCAAAGGGCGAGTGCAGGTTCCTCGAGTGGCTTAAGCGCCTGCATCCTGCTGGGTCTGTCATCCGAGCGGCCAGCGCAACGACGGATTAGGATTTAGGATTTTTAATTAGTTGCGCAGTATAGGGTTTGCGCTGCGTGTGGCTAACGCAGGGCGGAGAGCCTATCAGTTGGCGAAGCCACGGTCTTCAGCATTGCAGCATTGGCTGGGGGAGGCCCGGATACACCTTTGATAATTCCTTCAGATTCATTGGGGAAATACATTTGTGTCAGAGCTTACAGGCAGGTGGAAGATCAGGTAAATCTTCAAGCGACGTCCTCTCCTGGATTCTTTGTAGCATCAGAGTTGCCGCTTTAGCTCAGACAGCTTTGAAGTCTCGATGCCTTTCAAATGATTGCCTTGGATCTGTACTTGAACATCTAAAAAGGAAAGGCTTCGACACTCTTAGCCAGCTGGTGTAGCGTTTGCATTCTACCTCTGGGGCTCTTCCACCACTGCCAGTGCATCCGATGTTGCTTCTGCCCCTCTCTGCCTCCTCAGTTTGAAACCACCAAGCTAAGGGACAATGAGGCCGGCATGTACGATGCGCACGTAGCTGGAGCCCGCACGGCAAAAATCCTAGCGCCGAAGCAGTTTGTAACTGTGGTCTCAACCTCCATCGTGGGCCCCGTGCTGCTCGCGGAGGATGTCACCGTTTTGATCCTTAAGGCTCTCGCTAGGGGCGGATTCAGTTGCGCGGTGAAGCTGCGGGATGTCCTAGACTCCGTAAGCCCCTAATCGATTTCGGCAACCACGTCTTCGCAAGGCGTGAAAATATTGGGCCCCCAGTGTAGATGCATTGCGATTTCCCTGGTTATCAGACTGTCTGTACAGCCCCTGCTGCCCACCCATGGCGCTGTGTCGCACCCTAGACAGCAGTAGCGCAAGGAAGGCATGTAGCTTCCAGAATCGCATCCAAACGTGTCTGAAATTCCTGGCATTTTTGTCCCCTATATCCTTGCCACGTCTTTGTTTCGTGCTGATTCGATGTTTTCCTGCCGTGCAGCCAATGTTTATTGGCTGTCTTTATTATGAGGTGCGTGTGCATTTAGGCGGATCGCGCTGTGCCGCTGGAGCGCGATCCCGTGAAAGCGGCCAAGGCAAAGAAGAAAATTCCAGCAACATTGCTAGTTGACTTTCGTGCGTTAGCCCTCCACAGGGTGCCTTGTTTCGCTTGCCCGGCAGCCAGGCCCTTTTGCGAGCCACCCGAGGCTTCATTGTGCTACTAGGGAACTGAATACTGTTTTGTTGACGTGTGCACCTTGTAGATAACAGCTTCACCACTCGCTGTTTCTCTTTTGCTAGTACTCTTCGAAATGACTGAAGATGATGCCCACGATTTACGGTATAGCAAGCAGAGCTTTCTTGTTTAATGTCCCAGGTATGCTAGAGCTGCGCTATCCGAAGAGCTGCATAAGAGTGGACGAGGACGGCCTGATTCACCTGAACCTAACGAAAGAACCTATGGGCACTGAGTTTGCGGTAATTGAACAACCGCTGGATGTCATTTCAGTGAGGCGTTAGCAATAGCAGCTGCTTTAGCCCTACTATGTACAGGGAGTACCTGGTATCATTCTTCACGGGAGAGAGGCTCTAACCACCGCTGCAGCTCCGCTACTTTTACTTCTGCTATGGACTGCTTCTGTCGCGACGGATGCAGCACCTTTTAGGGGCAACACCGTGTATTGGCATGTTGCGTTTGTGGCTTTTAGTACGTAAGTATCTCCGTTTTTGTTCATTGATCTCCCTCTGCGCAAGCGGCATCCTCCCTCAGGTGCGGCCCTCCAAAGGACCCAATACAATTGTCTTAGCGCTGGTGTTTAATACGTAAGCAAGTGCCATAGAGAACAGAAGGTGCCACTCGCCGTTTGTCTGCAGATGTCCAAATTCCCTGGCAAGGATGTCTTCTGGCTGAGACCAGGAGAGATGAGAGAAAGAAGTTTCATGAGAGGTACATTGTGGGGTTTTAGTTTCGGTATGTTTATGTGAACATGTATGAATGCACGCAGGCACGGCTACGAGCATGGGGGGACTCAGCAGTTGATTCGCTTTGATGTGGATCCGGCAGTTGGTAGAGACCTTGCGTTGCATCAGTGCCTCGCCTTTCAAGCAGTCAGAAAAGTGAGAATTTAGGTCCAGAATCTAATTTGTGCACTTAATGGTAATCGGAAACCACTGCCGTTTGTTCCACTGTGCGTTTGCCATTTAACTTTGTTCGACTGATTTTATGTTTTAGCATCTCGGCTGATCCTCTGCTGTACATTTTTTATGCTGCTCTTTCTCACCACTGTTCCAATACTTTCTTTTCTAAAGGTCCTGTGCCCCTTCCGGCTCATTTGTCTTGATTTTGACGAATCTCCTTTTAATGCTAAAGTCTAAGAGCACATTGAGAGGGGCGGGTGAGGATCGCAGGCGCGGCTCACACGTAGCACCTTGTCATCCTGGTACAATTGCGGCAATGTGGAAGCTCTTCGCCGGGCTGTTCAGGATTTCCTCGAGGGTAAGTTGAATTAGACCGAACGCCACATGATAGTGTCACGTGGGTCCTTATACGAAAGTTTGTATGGTTTGATTTTGAATCTTTTTGTGTGTCGGTTACGGCGCGTCTCGTGTAACGTGCGCCAGGATGCACGCTGTGCAGTGTATGGCTTCGGAGCCGACAAATACGCTGCCGCGTATCGCAGAGGACCTTTGCGCGCATTTGAGCGTTTGTATTTCTCGCTGTGCTGCACACAAGTGATTTTAAAACAACGAGGCGGCTGTGGCTTTGTAGCAATGCTGCTTCATGACAAAGACCTGCTGATCGGAATCCGGGAACACTTGTCAGCTCACAGGACCATATGAGCCCTAAATACATAGTGTGCGCGAAAATCTGTTCCGTTGCATGGTTAACAAGAGTGTGGTTTACCGCACTGTGTTGTTATGTGTTCTCTTTTACTGTGCTTAGCTCAAGCGTTGGCCTCCTCAGAAGCAGCGCCTGCATTTGAGAAGATGCCTACAACTCCCTGGAGCATTATGAACTACCGGGCTTGAAGCCTGGAGTTGCTACGTCCTCTTTGGTATTATGAGAAGAGCTCAAGCAAGGACTTCGAACATGTACAGTGAAGTCCCACGCACCTAACGGTTTTTCGAAAGCGCGTGACAGACAGACAAGCGTGCAGTTAAGTTACGCATGCTCTTCGAGATACCAGGCGAGCAAACGGCCTCCATCCTTCATAACGCGCTTCCCTCTCGCGCCCTCTCCGCGCAGCCATGTCGCTGCGTTAGTGCAGTCACAGGTTTGAGGCGCAGGTTTTTTCGTTTGGCTGTAGTTTAGAGGTGTAAATGCAACCGCCTCCTTCCATGTGCAGCGTGTGGGCTGGTAGTTACGCTGGCGGTCCGCACCCTCTCCCGTTTCTTTCTTATTGGGGTCCACCTAGGGGCCCCAATTGAGGTCCCAATATGGCCTCAACCCGAAGTTTTAGGCTGTTACAGAATATTCTGTGGTAGTTAGTGAGCGTGCTTTGACAGGATGGTGTTGCAACCTTTGATAAGGGAGCGGTCGAAGGGGTCAGTTGCTCATTCACTGCATCTCGGGTTTGACAAAACCGACCGTGAAGCACAGAACGAATGGCAGAGTTTTTCAGGTCTTTGAAAGCCATCAATAAGGGAAAGGAAAGATAGTGTGCTGTAAGTTGGTCTACTCAGATTGCAGTGCGTCTGAGCAAACTGGGAGGCCTTTACACACACTGAGGACCACGTACTAAGGGCCATGAGGGAAGCCACAAGAGAGAGATCTGAGTAGACTGGAGAGGAGAGGAGGGGCCCCATGTGCACACGCAGGAGTGGCCCACTACGCCGTGCGCACGGCTGGCAGAGGGACGTCTGTGCCATCTGCAGTGTAGATACATTAAAGGCGCATACTAAATTTACCGTTAAGCCAAAAAGAGAACAAAGTGCGGCTATTCTCTAGAATGCTTAAGCCCCTGAGTAGCATTTTTGCATGCACCGGAGCCTAATTCGCCCGCCTGCTGGCTGACATGGGTGGCGCTCATGCGGAGACAATAGAAGCTCAGACCACGTCACCCCGTCACGAGGACTCCGAATAACTTGTGCAGTTCAGCCGGGAGACTTTCGGGCTGAAAGCCGCCACTGCTATATAGCCCGTGTTGCCAGCAAGCGTTGCACTCAGTGGGGCTAGTGTATGGGAAGGCCACTCCCTAACCCCCTTTCTCGCCTTATGCTTCGGCACACTCCAGCGGGGTGGGATGTGAGAGGCAGGGGTGAGACTTCTGGAACAGCCGGGACTGCAGCTGCACCAGCTACACGTCATCATCGTCAAAGTCGGAGACATGACGGTCCTCCATACCTAGCAAATCGAACCGACCGAATTCCGTGTCTCGCTGAAAGAAAAGACACGCGCGCAGACGCATAAGCGACAGCTCAAGGAACGTGCTGAAGGAGCGGGTCCTGCTGTGTAGACTGTGTAGACAGTCTACGGAATGCGTTTGCACGCGTCTTCCCGACACAAGCGGCCCCCCTTCTAGATTTCGCTTGTGTTTGAAGCTTATACTTTGCGTCGCAAGTGGGGGAGGTACCTGTCGTGACTTCTCGGACCGTCGGTGCTTCATTATGAGCCGCGAGATCAGCCAAACACCGCCAACGCCCAACCCCGAGAAGAGAAGCAGCAGCCATAAACTCGATGACTCGTTCCTGCAGACCCGCAAAAGCGGTAACCGTGTAAACTTGATGCCCCTCTTTGTGTTGTGTAATGCGCGCAAGTAGCCCAAGGACCTTCAGCAAAGGAGCTGGCGCAAAGCTGTAGACAAGGGGGTATGACAGAGAGGCACCCGCAAAGCATTGAAGACACGAATCTTCACAGCCAGACACACCTAATAGAGCGGCATTCCTCGGCGGATTCATCCCATGCCTCTCCCTCAGCGCACTCCACTGCCACGTCCTGCTCCTGCGTGTGCGTCGAAAGCTGCATCGGGGCCTCCTGGCTGTTGTGCCCTTTTGCCTCCTCAGTCTCCGTATCTTGGACCGCCTTCGGCGTCTCCTTCTCCTCCTGCGGCATCTCTTGCACATGGGGTCGAGCGCGAACGGAGCCAGGCTCGCTGTGCGGTTTGCTGCAGAAGACAACACCGCAACAAGTCGCACAAACCTACGTCCACGAGAAAGGCGGTCTAGGGGAGGCGGTCTAGGAGCGACTATCGCCTCTCCTCTGTATATATCTATATAGATTATGGCTCCCGAAAAGGCGAGGTACTGTGCATGCGCGAAAAAGCTGCTGTAGCCACCGCGTGCAGGGCAGAGCAACGCACTTGTAAGGATCAATAATAACTTCCTTCTCGGGCTTGACAAGGCCAGCAGCTTCCAACTGCTGCTTCTGCTTCTGTATGTGCAAGTGCTGCTGCCGCTCGTGCTGCTCTTGCTGCGGTGTGAGGGGGTGAGGGACGGGCAAAGGGCCTCCCTTCCAGGGGGCGGGAGCTACCCTTTTCTGCTCTCCCTCGATCTGAAGCACGACGTCTTGCCGATGGTGAAGGCGGTTCAGCCACGTGAGGGAGAACGGTCGTCCACTGTCAGCCTTCATGTCGATTTCAAGAGTTGCCGAGGGTCCCAGAGACCGCATGGCATCGGCAGGAAAGAAAAAGGACCACACCAAACCCCCAACCGAATCATCCTCTTCGGTGGTATCCAGCTTCACCTGGGCTGCAGGGTAGACAAGCATCCCCGAAGCGCCTTGCAGGTGGACTGCCCCCTTGGCGTCCAAAGACCCTTCCGTCATGTTCGGGGGTTCTGAAAGGCGGAGTAGCAGCTGAGACACAAGGCGCAATTTCTCCGCAAAAGTACTGTGGGTGTGCATGTATGTGTGTTCATGTATGTGTGCATGTATGTGTGTGCATGTATGTGTGTGCATGTATGTGTTTGTGAAAGTGTAAGTGCGTCCGCCTTTCCATGCTCAGAGAGCGCTTTCTTGGCTGCATTTCAAGGCATGTCGATGCACGTCTATGGGGTGCTGTGTGTTTCCGAGCATCGCAGGTGAACCGTTTACTGTTTGAAGGTGTGGAGCGCACTGCCTTAAGGGACGTGCACTGCCTCTCGCGGCAGAGAGGGCCCACAATTGCCTACCAGAAGATCCTGCCCCGCCTTAATCGGCACGCTTGGATCCGGATGCACCGCCACAACTGACGGCTGCGCGCACATACCCCAGCGTTGCACACAAACTAGCAGGATAAGTGCTGCTGCTGCTACCGCTGTTCGCTTGGAAAGGCGCCTCGTCCTCAAAGCTTTTCGAAAGAGACACAGATCATACGGATGCTTGCACCGCGTGCAGTAACTTCGCTCTATAGCCAGAGAGCATGCATTGAGCTAAAACCAATTCTGCCGCCAACGTGCGGCAGCAGAGGTTCTCCTTGTGCGTCAGGAAGCGTTAACAGTCTCCCGCAAAAGAAGACAGCCCGAGCAAACACCGACCTGCAGACCCTTGTCATTCAGAGCATGGATGTGGAAAAAGAACTGGAAAGGGAAGCAGCGATCGGCGTGATGCAGAAACTGCTGGGGGAAGTGATCATCGGCCACTCGCAAGATAAAGTGCCCCCTGTGAAGAAGACAGCGTCACAAACGTTTTGAAATGCGCAGCATGAGGATTTCAAAATGCCTCCTCCTGAAGAGCTGCAGATCCCACATGGCGAGATCCTCATGAAGCCCCTCAAGCTGAATGCGTTAAGGCTTCGCGGAGGGAGCCGTTCAGCTTGCGGGTGTGCTGTAAGAGAACGTGGAACAGCCTGAGCAGCCAGGTGAGTAGAGCGCGTTTTTCACAGGGGGTTGTACTTACGGATCCACGTGAGTCGCAATCCACTGGCGGGCGTTAATTGGACTGTCAGCGGAGTTCAAAAAATCGAGTTCCCCCGAAGCCACTGTCTGCTCCTGCATCACACACATTGAGAGCAAACACAGACGGAAAACAGCCGAGTTCGGACGACTTTGCTGCTCCCCGAATCTGGAGGCTGCTGCAGTCCTTTGAAGCAATACGCAAAAAGGACGTTTGCAGATGCCTAACTTTATAATGTGCGATGTCAACGCTTTGCAGAGCTGCTCACGGAATCAGCAGTTATGAGATCCATCTCCACGTGAGAGCCCATAAAGTTGAAGCCAACCTCTGCCAAAACAAACGAGGGCTGCACCAGCAGAACACATACGCCACGCACTTACGCTTACATGCACTTACACTTACACTTATATGCATTTACACGCAATTACACTTACACTAACACTTACACTTACATGCACTTACACTTACACTTACACCAACACTTACACGCACTTAAACTTACATACATGTACACTTGCACGCAATAACCCTTACACTAACACTTACACTTACACTAACACTTACACTAACACTTACACTAACACTAACACTTACTACTACATACATGCACACACAAAAGCTCCTCCATTGCTCTTGAGTGCAACCGTTCAAGTACCCAGTCGATGCCTCCCTGGAGAGAGCCTTCCTCACAGAGTGGGCGCCTTTGCATGCGTGGCGGCAGTAGGCTTTGGCCATTAGTTGTTGCCAACGTTTGCACGCGTGCGGCGAATTCCGCAGGAGACGACCCCTCCCTACCCCTGAGAAGCCCTTACTTGGGGAGCTCCCTTAAGGATGTTTTGCGCAGCGCACCTCGGAGACTTCGAATTCAATGGCTTTCAGGAAGCCTTCTTGGTGTTGCACGAGCGCCTGAAGAGGACTTAGGACCTGCTGCGGTGATCCTGAAGCGCCCGTCTGCTTAGTGGAGAGAAACGCCGCTGCCTCCACTACCGCTGGCTTGAAAAACTCCGTCGGGGTGACTGGAGGGGGCGTACTGCCGAAGGCTTTGCAGTCGCTCATCTGCATGCACAAAGTAACACGCCCTCTCAGGGTCGCAGCAAAAGCGTGTGTGTGTGTGTGTTTCTGTGTGTTCTTGTGTGTATGTATGTATGCATGCAAGTGTGTGTTTGTGTCTGTGTCTGTGTATGTGTGTGTGTGTGTGTGTCTGTGTCTGCTCTCTATGGACAACCCAAATCGCTAAGGGGGCAGGCACAAAGAGACGCCGCGCGAGCAGTGGGTAAGGGTTTTCCGGCGGGGGGGAGGGTGTTTTCTGGCAAGCAGTTCGAGAAAAGCAAGCAAGCAGCAGCGTAGCCCACCTGATCCAACTCGTTCACAGGAATCGATTGGATAAACAAATCAAATAGCTGACAACCATGCCCGTCTCCTAAGAGCACCAGATGATATACGCTACTTTCCGCTGCAAAAGAGCATGGCGCACGCAACAAGGCGACCTGAGTGAGACTTTAAACCCTCACTCGCCAAGTGTTTGGGCGGACGACGTCTTCGTTCGTCCTCTCCAATACGCTGCAATCACCAAGCCCCTACAACTCCAGGGGAACTCGAGATGCATGCGCATGCGTGCACGGCACAGCCTAACCGAAGAGGAAGCGCGCCAGAGGGAGTCTCTCTAGTGTGTGCACCACCCCACAAAGGACTCCCTTCTTCTGCGCACAAGGAGCAGTCTGGAAGTAAACCCCATACACTGACGACCCCACCCCACACACCTGCTGGCTTGAGCCTGTATATGCGTTCACGGTGACCGCCACCAACTGTCCAATCATATAAAGCATCTACATTCTGAGAGGCGTCATCTTGCAGCTGCGCAGTGCCATCCGCAAAGACGCACAAGCTCAATGATCGAGGCCTCGTTCGGCGTATGGGAAGAAGTACAGCGGGCACGCAACCTTCGCCTTCTCTCCAAAAAAGCTGCCCTTAACATTGTACCCATATATATATATACAGGGGTGTACAAGCGTCACAAGAGAAGGATCGGGCACGATGCCGCTGCAAAACAACTCTCTGGCTGCTCTCAGAAGCTGTGAGTGTGGGGGCATGGCATGCGCATAGTCGGCGCCTTAAAGGCGACTCTACGCAGAGAGCGGCCACGCTGTACATACAGCTAAACGCGCGCCGTTTCGCCGTAGCAGTCCAGTAACGACGCACTTACAACGATGCTCATGCTGCGCGTCTGGTCTTCTAGGAAAGTGCCAACCTTGAGCAGGAGCTCACTGCCTACAGGTATCGCCACACGCAGCAGAAATCCTCCCACTTCATGCAGTTGCGGGGAGCAAAAAAGCATCGAACTACATAAAGGAACTCTGCGCTGATGCCAGTCCTCCTCGCGGCGTTTCGCCTTGCACAGTACGTAGCTATGCACGAGCGATCTGTCTAGGGATCAGAGGGAGTCGTGCCTTCAGTGTTGATGGCAATGCGGTGTTTAGCAGCAACCCCGCTATGCAGCACGGCCTTCGTGCGGAGTACAATTCGCCCTTCGCTGTCCAGAGGTCCTCCTACAGAGAAAAGATGCGGCAGCACATTCGCGCAGGAGCTCAAACTTTAAAACCCTCGATGCATGTTTCTTGCTACGGAGCTTTCCCCCTTCTTCCTGCTTTCTTCCCGCCTTCTCCTCCCCTCTACCTCCCTGCCAGGCGGAGGCGCGATGCCAGCAGTGTACATACACTGGAAACAGCGCCATGGACAGCATTCCCAACACTTTCACACCCAACCCAACCCCCTATCTGAAGCGATCTTGTTGGCTGCGTACCGAGGGTGGAGCTACCCCCGTTGGGGGTATTAAGATCTGCTGGCAACGGCAAGGCCCCAAACGCCGAGCACTCCTCGAGAAAATTCGCCGCGCGGTCCTCCATCTTCGTAAGGGAGTGAACAGAGATATGGAGGGAGAACTGCAGGCATCGAGATGCCTGATGAAGACAGGAGACACGCAGAGGAAAGAAGCGAGAACGGTTGGACAGGCGTGAAGGGAGGACGGCAGATTAAAAACAGACGGACAGACCTGTACATCTATAGATATAGATATGCATATGTGTATACGTATGTATATGTATACGTATGTATATGTAAATATATGTATATGTACATGTATGTACATGTATGTGTATGTGTGTATGCATGCGAATGTATGTATGTGTATATGTATGTACAAGTATGATCATGCATGCAAATGACCGATACAACCAAGGCAGACACGCTGTATTGCAGCCGTTCGCACTTTCGCATCGTTCAGCAGTCCGTCTCTAACGGCCTGATCGTTGAAGGCCTCCTTTTCTAGCCGAACTCGAAGGGCATGTTCGCCTGCATCCAACAGCAGTTTTAGAGAATTCTGCCGACCTCTCTGCTCCCCCAACCACAGGCCTTCCACCACTTCGATCCCCACACTGCGTAATGCGCATTGCAAGAAGAGACAAACAGGCATGCGCGACGTCCTTCCTTGCAGCACCTGGCGCAAGCCAGCAGGGCTGCTCGCTGTAGCCGTGGATCGGCAGAGGCTCAAGTAGGGGGAGAAAAGAGGGGGAGAAGGGAGGGGGAGAGTGCGTTTGACAAGACTTCCAGGGGGAGGGAGGATGCATGGAAATTAAGAGTTGGAGACGCCTAAGCAATATAGCCAAGAACGCTGCATCAGGGCTTGCTAAACACGCTTACCGCACGAAATCAACAACAAAGTTCGAACCTGCCTCCGCATAGATCACCGAGGGCGATGTGAGATGAAGCGGCACTGACAGCAGCTCTCCCTGCCCATGCAACGCGCGCAAGATAAGATGCACAGAGCAGTTGTAGCCTAATCAAGGAGGACGGCTGCTGCTGCAGGGAGGCATGCAAGGAGGCATGCTCCCCATTCTACAACAGTCAGAATCAGTCAGATGGGGGCTAGGAGCTCAGAGGAGGCCTTCCCAAGGTTCCCCCGGTGAGGGGAAAACAGAGCGCCGCACCGATTCTTTTGCCGCTGCATAGTCGACGCTGAAGAAGAAGTCTTCACTCTCAAAGCTGGGCGGTAAAGGAGAAGGCAGCGTCACACTTGGGAGTGTCGAACTGCACGAGGGGCCTCCTCCGGAAGATCCACTTGAAGGGCCAGGCAAGGCGGCATGCAGCGCGTCGATTGACATGAGACCTGCAGACAGGCACCTCGCAGCGCAGACCAACGTCTTAGGCGACTTGCGCGATGCTTTTCTCCATTCTGGAAAGGCTGAGAGAAGGGGCGACTCCGAACGAGCTGGTCCCCTACACACTGCCAAAGCATGCAAACGCAGACGCGAGGAGAAGGGTCTTGAAAACTTACCAATGGTCGTTAGGAAGGGCTCTGTGCCCTCGAAAACAACGTGATAAGAGCCTGGCTGGAGGAAGGCAAAGAGGTTGTTCTCGCTTGCCTCGGCAATGACACCGGTGGAAGGCAAGGCCAACATTGCCTCCCCACTGCTGCCGCTCGTGTTGCTGCTCGCTAAAGCTGCTGACTCGGGGAGAACTCGTATCTTCAGCTGCGCGTCGGACGCCACTGCTGGCTCTGCCGCTATCCTAAATGCCGTCGGTTTGCTGACATGCAGAGTTGTCCTTGCAGCGCTGCCTGCAGGGAGCAGCTGCTGCATCTGCTGCTGCTGCTCTGTGTGGAATGCGAAGATCGATGTGGCATAGATTGGAACGTCCGGGTGCGCAAGCCATCCGCTGCATCGCGATCAAACCATATTATACGCCGCATACATCAACGCATGCGTCCATGCCCTGCTGCCCTTATCGCCGGAGCAGCAGAAGCGCAGACACAGACCGAGGGAGAGAGAGATAGAAAGAGATCGAGAGAGACAGAGAGAGATGAAGAGAGACAGAGAGAGATGAAGAGAGACAGAGAGAGATGAAGAGAGACAGAGAGAGATGAAGAGAGACAGAGAGAGATGAAGAGAGACAGAGAGAGATAGAAAGAGATGAAGAGAGACAGAGAGAGATGAAGAGAGACAGAGAGATGAAGAGAGACAGAGAGAGATAGATGAAGGGAGAGTTATATATGTATGAAGAGAGACAGAGAGATAAAAAGAGAGAGAGATACACATAGAGCGAGACAAAGAAAGAGACAGGCAGATAACCCGCGCGCGCATCCTTAAAGCCTTCAGCCTATCCCGCCGAGATTTGCGTGTACAGGAGGAGGCCTCATTGCGAAGACGTGAGACGCACCGCGCATTAAGAGTCTTTGGAGGCGGCTCGATGGGAAGCAAGTCTGGGACCTCTAGCAATTCTGCCCTGACGGCATTTAGAAGAGCGGCATTGTTTTCTCCGAGCTGCATGCGGCAGACACACGGATATGGCGTATTATTGATGTGCATGACCTATTGTTCTGTCTAAATCTGAGGCCTCTGTGCAAGCAACCCATCAGGAAGCCCTCGCATGCAACCCGTGAAATAAGGATAAATAAAGGCTGGCGGACAGACAGACAGACTACAAGACCTGCCTCAGCGTTGATAGTTGCATGCGCGCAGAGCCGCTCCGTCTCGTGTTGTGTCTGCAAGCAAAAAACACTCAGGAACGAAGGCAACAGCTGCACACTGAACGAGCCGTCTTCGAGACACCCTGCCTGCCTGCCTGCCCATCCCTCATCCCTCGAAAGCAACTATCAACACCATGCATGCACTTCTCGTGCAGCTACAGGAGTGCTGCTGCTGCTCTGCTGCTGCTGAATAATTAAGGACTTCACCTGATCATAAATTACGAATTTCAAAACGTAATCACCTCCCGGGAGGTCCCTTGAAAGCAGCAGAATACGCCCTTCCGTGTACTCAGACACCGCACTACACCGCAGACACAGGAGACACAGAGAGCGACACAGCCGCATAGAGAAGGCCCCCTACTTTCAAACAAACACCCGACTGCCGACAACAACAACAAGAAAGAGGAGGAAGAGGAGGGAGCAACACCCCCCCACAGGCCGCACGAAGAGTGCCTTGTTGTGCCTTTTTTTAACTCCGATGATACAGAAAAAATCTTTTCACCACCTGGCGCACAGAACGCGCGCAGTGTCAGTGCATCAGAGTCTTGTAGAGTTTAAAATGCAACAAAAAGAAAGCCAAGGGGGAAACGCACTGAGCCGTGCGGCGAAGGCCGACATCATCTTTGCGATGCAGCTCCAGACGCAGAGGCAACCACGGAGGCTGCAAAATCACTTCGACGCGGAGGCTGCGCAAACATCCACAGATTTCGAAGCACATCGACCTTCACTCAAAAGGCCTAATCGTTTCACGCCTCTTACCCTCTAAAGATTGCAAGCACAAGCAGCCGAAGCCTGTGTGCAACACAGGAGACCCCGAGAGGCAGCCGCAAACACATGGCCCCTCTACATACAAACAAACCCCCAATTGTTGACAGTGAGAAGATGAAGGAAGAAATGAAGCAAGAAACGAAGCAAGATATGAAGCAAGAAATGAAGCAAGATATGAAGGAAGATGAAGCAAGAAATAAAGCAAGATGGAGGAAGATATGAAGCAAGAAATGAAGCAAGATATGAAGGAGGAAATAAAGCAAGATGAAGGAAGAAAGGAAGGAAGAAATGAAGCAAGATAAAGGAAAAAAAGAACCCAGAAATGTTGCAAGATAAAAAACATATCCGCACAAGTCGCACAGGCTTCACGAAGAGAGTGTTTTGTGCGGCTTTTTGCCCCGATACAGATAAGCAGCAAATGCAGAGCTGGCTGCTGCTGTCTGCAGCGCATGCAGCACGCCGTCGCTCGCGGGAGGCAAGCAAGCACCGGGAAGGGTTTTAAAAAACGAAAACACTTGCCTGCTGCTGGCTCCTGGAGCTGTGAAGGGGAATTCGGGATGCAGAGAAGGCGACAGCCAGATGTCGTGTGGACGCGAGACTTCCACTCCATCAGATCCTAATTGCCTGCAGATGCGCATACCCCGTATGTGCCCCCTCTGTGCGCTTGGGCTTCCGAGTAAGGATGGAGAGGAGGTGCCTGCCTGCAAAAGGCCTCGTTCCTAGGTCCTACCCCTGTCTCTTTTTCGCGCACGCGACACGAAGGGGGAAGGGGAGGGGAGAAGAGGGGCAGCAATTACCCGCGACTCACTTAGGCAGAAACATGGAGGCGTCGAAGGTGCTGCTGAAGGCTGCCAGAGCTGCCTGCCGCAGCTGCTCGGTGGAAAGATTCTCCTGCGTACCCCGCGCTGTGAGGAAAACAACGCAGAGTCGAGGCATCCACTTCACGCGGCATTGGCGGACAAGGCAGTTTCAATGAGCAAGCTCCTCAGTGTGCATTCGATGAAGCACGAGCTTCCAGCTGTCTCTCTCTCTCTCTATGCATCACCGAAGAGCAGCTGCAGCAGATTGCAGCAGCTGCAGCAGATAGCAGCAGCAGCAGCAGCAGCAGCCCACCCCAGGGGCACACGGGGACGAGAGACGTAGGAGCAGCCACGAAGTGGAAATGCGCAACTGGACAAGCGGCTGCAGAACCTCCAGGGGGGGTGAAGCTAAAACGAATAACATAGCGGCCTGCCGATTCAGCCTCTGCAATCCATCCCAGAAGCAGCGCAGCCCACATGCCGTACCAACCATCACACGAGCAGCAGCGGGGACGGACACATGCCAAGCACGGGGGGAGGAGAAGGGGGCTGTCTGCGTTTTTGGGGACAAGACCACCTCGCAGACCATACCGCCGCAGAAGTTTCTGACAAAGAGAGCCGCCCCCTTTCGCGTTTTGGCTCTCTCTGCAAGAGAGCTCAAATGCGAAAGAAGCAGAAGCGTGCCAGACACAAAAGCAGAACAGAACGGAGAGTCGACAGAAAGACGAACCCATGAAGAGATCTCCGTAAGCCTCAGCCAGAATATTCGCGGGCTGCCCCTCCGGATACACCACCAAGTGCGGCGCAGAGCCTTGCGGCACAGATACAGCCAGCTTTAAGAGAGACCGTCGAGGGACAGACAGCGTCATAAAGTGGTGACCTGAGAAAAATTCAGCATGCGAAACGGGGGGGCGGGCAGGAGCAGACTGACTGAGAGGCGATCGAGCAGTCAAAACCACCATCTCTCTCGTTCCCTCTTCCCCCCGAAACACAGCCCCCTTCACTCCAGACTCCGCAAAGAAGTCACTGGAAGGTACATGCGACACACGCCAATAGACGCGTGCGATGCATGCAGCGCACAGAAGAAAGGCCCCTGCCTCTCTCCACAGCGAGAAAGAAAAGCCTCCCTCTTGCCACGGCACCAAGCAAAGAAAAGCCGCAAAATCAAGTGTGCAAAGCAGAGAAAGCCGCATTCGTTAGAACAACTACAGTGTCTGGCCTCGAGCTTGTACAGAGTCTGCACGCGCCGATCGGCTCTCTCACCCGAGGCTGGAATGCCATACTTCGTGTCCAAAACAAATTGCACATCCTCCGTGACGCTGTGCAGCGCATGCATGCGGAAGGCGGCAGCGCAACACGCTCAGACGTGTGGGCAACAATTTTGCTTCCCCCTTGCCCCCAGACGGCTTCCTGCCGCATACAGCACGTCGTGTCATATTCCAGCCGCTCGCGAGGCTGCTCCTAATTTCGAGCTTCTTACTGCATCTGCTTCGGTAGGAAAGGCCGCTCTCTTGCACACAGCCACTGCTGACGCGAGGGAAGATGGTCTTCCAAAGGCCGCCGCTGCAGCCGTGCATCGATCGCCAAGGGGGCACAGTGCTGCAGACAAGCGAGCAGCAGCCGAGGTGGGTGTGTGCAGTGTCTGCACGCGCTTGCAGGGTAAAAATACGCGCAAGCGACAAGACATCTCTGAACAAAAAGAGGGCCTTGCGGAGAGCAGACGCACCCTCTCAGTCTTGGAAACGTCCGTGGTTTGAGGGTTCATGGCAAGAAGCTCCATTTCATAGCGTCCTGGATCGAGCGGTCCCACAAAGTGCTGCAGCGCACATTTCAACGGACTCCGCATGTGTCTTAACAGGTAAATATTCCGCCAAGACTCAGGTCAGCCCGTAAACGTCTTCTTACTGCTGCGAGGAAGGCAGCCGATGATACAAGGCCCTAGTGGCACAATTCAACGAGGCGAAAAAGCGGCAAGAAAAAGCCACGCCAGTTCTGTCACTACCCCGCCTCCCCCCGCACATGCCCTAATGCACAATGCCCTAATGCACACACACAGATAGAAGCAAGACAATAAAAAGCATCCACCTGGTAAGACTGCGCAAATGCAAGAAGATGCGAGGGCCCGTTGTCGCTGCTGCCTTCTTTCTTCAAGACAGCCAGTATGTCTAGGGCAGTGTAGTCTCCTAGGATCGCCAAGTGGAGGAAGGTCTACAACGAAAAGGCTCATCAAAAAGACGCAACGCAAACGGTGAAAAGGACGCCCTCTGCGGGTTTCCCCGTAAATCGACGGGTATATACAACGGCAACCAGCCATTCCCTTGACAACTCCTGATAGCCAGTCATGAATGTGAACGCAGAAGCTGTCTAAAATTCGGGAGCCTTCAATCTCTCTCTGTCTCTCGGAAAGTACCCTCACCTCGTGACTTCCACCCGTCACCTCGAACGAGCCACTCCCGATCTGCAGAGACAGTTGCAACAGGCACGCATCGAGGCAGTCCCCCAGCGAAACTCCCCCCTATATGGCTGGCAACTGTTCATTATTCGCCCTTGAGCTCCCCAGCCTGCATTTGCACCAGTAGTCGATCGGCATCCCTGCAGCTGCATAAGACTCCAGGAACATCAGCGAGCAGCGTGAAACCTCTCTCTGTGCACCTGCCCTCCGCCTTCCCCCAAGTCTTTCTGCGAGAGACTGCAGAGTGCATGCAGAAGGCGGCAAATGCCACACTGCTGGCTCAGAGGCCTGGTAGCTCTGGGAGCGGCAGCGGCAGCAGCAAACGCAAACCTTGTGCAGGGATGCTTCCGCGTGGGGAGCAGGCATTTCCAACAGGAAGGGGGTGAAACGTTCAGTGTCATCCGAGACGCTCAGCGTCCCTGAAGCCGCAGAGACGATGCCGCAGACACCTGAAGCTCTGTTAGAACGCTGCCAGGATGACGAAGGCAGGGGACCACGTGTACAGCCGGAGCGAAACAGGGAGACTTTAAAACAGGGAGACTTTAAGCAGCCAAAGGTGTGATGACATGCATATTGCATAAACACAGAGAAGAGAGAAGAAATTTCACAGAGACTTCACACACAGGCTGCAAACCGAAGATTTAAATTCCCCCACAGGCCTTACAATGCTGCAGTCAAATGAGGGCACAGCAACACCAGCAAGAGCAGCAGCAACAACAACAAAAGCAACAAGAGCAGCAGCTGCAGCAACACCCCCGTCCCGATGTAAGGCCGAGCTGCAGTGGCGCTCGCTTCCAAGTGCCTCTGTCCATCTCCTAGATTTCACGGGATCTCTCGAACTGGTATTTGCAGGGTTCCGTGAAAACGCTACAGCAACATCACGTCGTGCCTCTCTAAACTGCAAGCTCTCTGGGGTTGGCAGCCAGCTGGCATTCTACGGGACGCCTTGGCCTTGCTGGAACAGCCGAGAAACAAATACAGGGAACGCACCTAAATGAATGAAACTCTTCGCCGAACTCTTCTGTGCAGTCAAGGCAGTCATATCGCCTAACACCAGGGGTGGCAGGAGTTCAGTCTTTCGACTGCACGAGAAGCTCTGTTGAGTGTCGCACAGCACGTCACGCACGCGCAGACATCCTCACGCGTAAACACGGAGACCACTCAAAACACCATCGCCGATTCCCCAAAAAACCTAAGGAACATGCGTCACCCCGTCCCTCTCGTTCGTGGCAAGACTCCTGCAAGAGGGCAGAGCGGCTGCTTGCAGACGAAACTTCCTCTTAAAACACACGGGAGAAAGAAGGGGAAAATCCGCAGTTCCCCCTTCGCAGACACCTCGTGAAGTGTCCGCTGCGAGTTCGTGTTGCAATACCTCTTGAAGGAGGCTTGTAGGGGCCACGGCAATGCGCGCGAAGAAGCCATCGCAAGGGGGAATGCCGCCGAGGGGGTAGCTCGCCTTGAAGGTGACCAGGTACTCACCTGAATCGCAGGAAGCACATGGGCAGACACAGATGCGCGCGGTCCGAGTGGCGGTAATGCAGTCACACCAAAGAAAGAGAGACAGATAGAGAGAGAGAGAGAGAGAGAAAAAAAAAAGAGGCATCCTGCGCAGAGCAGCGGCAGAGATTTCAGGTGTGCCTACCGTATGTTGTTACAGCATGCGATTCTAGTAGCGACAAAGTATATGTATATATATATATATATATGTATATATGTATATATGTATGTAAATACAGAGCACAAACGAAGGCAACCAACCCCAGTAAGTCCCTGGCTCCAACGCGTCGCACGCCGCCTGTCGAGACACCCCGTCAGTGCCTTTGCGCTTCGCGCGAAAAGCCCGAAGAATAAAAGACGGTATTTTTAGAGAGTGCAGCGAGAAAGAGCTGAGCACCTACCGGCTGGGAGCTGACAATGAAGCGAGGTGAGGAAAGACTTGGGGGAGTCTTTTGGGCTGCAGATTCTGTGCTGCGGTTTTGCGGCCTCTGACACCTGCAACTTGATCTCAAGCTTCTCCTTCAGCGCCACCACCCTCAGCAAGCTGCATGCCCCACGGCAGGAAACGCAGCAGCACCGAAACCCCTCCACACCCCGGCTTTTTTGTACAAGAGCCTCAGAAGGCATGCGCGCCTCTCTTTCAACAGGCAGACACTTGCCAGACAACACGCTGCGAGGCACCCGCACGGGGGGATCGAGCAGCTCGCACGATAAGGCCTGCAGCTGCACTCCAGCCGCGGGGGCGGCAGTAGTCGGGAGCACTTGGATGCCACAGCACTCCCCAAGAGGAAGGCTGCTGATAAAGAAAAACTGAGGTTTGCCAGCCTCCTTACCTCGGCTGCTGCAGAATAAGCCGCGTGGTGTGCGTCATCGCATCCAGCTCGTCAGGAGGAAATCCGAACCTTTTGCACAATTCAAAACGCAGTAAAAGCCATTTCCAAGAACTCATGGTGACACAAACAGTGCCGGGAATGTCGGAGACTCCCTTGCCGTGTCTGTACACCGACACACGACACTCTGGCAAGGCCGCGTCGAGGCTGCAGTCCTAACGTCACGAAAGGCGCAGCTTGAAAAATCACAGACAGACCAGAGAGACGCACCAGTCCCGCATATCGATCGCATGCATCTTGACAACCCCCAGTTCGTCCGACATGATGGTGTCTGCGGAGAGCACAGAAAATCGGGGAGACGTCGTCTCACAACGTCAGCGGGAAAAGAAATGCCACTGCCGGGAATTCGGCAGCTGCCTCGCCTCTTCTCTCAAACTCGTCATTTCTGTTGCCTCCTACCTTCTGTGTCGTGCTTCAGCTGGACGATAAGCCCAGGAAGACGCGCGTAGGGGCACATCCACGAGTGCGCCGTCACTTCGAAAGGCGTCATTCGAGACTCGAACTGCAAGCATACATATATTTACATATGCATAGCACAGTGCTGGCAGGCAAATGGAAGACTGCGCTAGGGGCCAGGCTTTGCCAACACAGAGACGCAGATTCGACGGTTATTGTTATCCAGGACGCTTCATGGAGGTGTCGTGGGAATTCCTGCACCTTGACTGAGTATTCGAAGTCGAATTCCATGCACTGCGTGTTGCGGTCCTCGAAATACATCGGATCTCCCGCCAGTAGCCAGATCTTATAAACGTATCCTGCAGCGCGTTCAGCGCCAACGCAAGCGGTATGGCTACATCCATCAGGACGGACAGGAGGAGACGGGCTCTTAAGCGGGCAAATTTTTGACAATCAATGTAGTACAAAGGGTTCGATTTTCAAAAGCAGCTGCTGCACCGGGGGTGTAGAATGCAGGCAAACGAGAAGTGGACTGCCGAAAGGAAGGCATGGAAGATACTGCCAGGAAGTGCGTGTAAAAGCCAAGAAGGCAGACAAAGAGGAGGGGCCTGCCCACCAGTCGGCATTGCATGGTCGAAGAGCTGGCCGTTAAAGGTGGGGGTTCCTCCCAGACAACCTGCATTTCACGAAGCCGCAAGCCGTGCAATCGTCGCAGGTACTACAACCCCACCAACCCCTTCACATCGAAGCCCTCAAAGGCCTTGCTTGCTTGCCTCCTTAAGTGTATGTGCGGCAGCAGCGTCAACACCGCTACTGAACGCGCAAGGCGTTTTCTCAGAGAGAGACGCAGTCCACCCCCCTCCCCCCTGTGCAAGGAAGATCACGTGCTTCTCATGTTGCACGTAACACCAGGAGCAGCCTCGAAACCTTCTAAACCTCCTCCTCAAGCAAAAACACACGCCGCAGGAGTGCACATCCTGCTCCCCGTTCTGAGGAACCGAACCACCCGTAAAAACGCCCACGCTTTTGCCGTACCAAGGGCGCATTCAGGAGCCGTGGCAGAAGCGTCTGGTGGAGATTCCTCGTCAAACAGCTCAAGCATGAGTTGGAAAGGGCCTGAACATCCGAAGAAACGGCACAGTTTTACCGACACTCTCCCCTTAAGCCTCTTGCAGCGGCTTGTACCCCGCTGCTCCCTCTTCTCAGCTACCTTCGATTCTACATGACCCTCGCTGCTCTTAGAGGCCTTCGCAGCGTCCGATTTCTCAGAGGCGCACCCGAAATAAAGCGGAAAGAAGCCTTCATAAAGAAACGAACGAAGCGATGAAGCCTGGGAGGCACGCGGATGGATGTCTGCAACGGAAAGCAAAGCCCAAGAAGACAACACAGGGGCACCCTTGGAAGGCAGAAACGGCAGGCGAAGCAACAAGAGCAATTGAAGGCAGAAACAGAAAACGAGGCAACAAAGGCAATTGATGGCGCTCAATAGGCAGCTGATGAGAGAGGCAGCGTTTAACCGCCGAACAGAGGAGAAAGCGGCAAGAGCGGGGGTGTTTCAAAGACATGCCAGCACAAAGGCAAGAGATGATACGCAACCACGCGAGACACGCCAAGAGAAGGCTATCTCAGGAAGAAAGCATCGAACGCGTGGCTTCGTAGAGACACCACTAGATTAAACACGGCAGTACAACTGCACTACTGCAAGGATAGAGAGGGCAAGACAGACGGATGGAAAGACAGGCACGGCTACGAGCACCACCTCAGAGACAGAGAAAGACACATACACACACACACACACACACACACACACACACACACACACACACACACACACACACACACACGCATGCACACATGCACAAACAGAGACAGGCAATGCAACAGACAGTAATAGATGTACCTGGAAAACAGCGCGCGAGAAAGGCTTCCAGCTTTCTTCTCCGGCGAAATTGAGGACAAAGGGTTTCTCTGGGGAGCCTGAGAAGGTCAGTCCTTCGTCATCGAGCGTCTACACATAGACAGCGCAGTCATACAATTTGACATCACCTTCTTGAGGTATGAGCATCCCCTAGACACCTAGCGCCCTTCCCTTCTCGTCTCGTATACTGCTCTACCCCACAGTCTCTCGATGCCCGCAAACTCGCGAGAAAATGAGACAGAGCGCAAGGCAGCCTTCAAACTCCCCCTGCAACAAGCTGCGTTTGAGCACACTCAGGCCTTACCACCTCAGGAGCTGCACTTGGGAGGAAGGAGGCTGGCGGGCAGGAGGTTGGCATGTGGAAGTGCATGCGTGCTGCAAGAAGCATTGCAAGACACGGCAGCTGATACAAAAATGCCGACACCACCTTTACCCCTCCCTTCCCTTCCCCCCTTCTTTCCTTCCCGCTGTAGCGCAATGTCTGCGCGAGTCACTTCAAGGGCAGCGGCTCTCTTGGTGCCTCCTCAGGAGACTTCATCGCGGATATACTCCGCGAGGCGTGGAGCCTCTGCGCAGGCAGGAAGCGGCTGCTCTACCCTTGAGTTTCGAAGGTTCCTTCTGGCAGAAGGAGGCAAAAAGCGAGAGATGCTCAGAGACAGGAGAGACAGTTCTTGCTGCATTTGCTTCGGTGAGGAAGAAATCACACCCCGAGGCGCACAGCCACAAGCCAACGGAGAGCTCCTGACGAGGGCTTACTGTACGGAACTAGAGCGAGATCCAACCGGAGGGGATGACAAGGCAGCAAGTGACGAGAGGCGATGTCTTCGGGGCCTAAAGGAGGATGACCAGAGACGGGAGATACCGCAATGATCTGCAGAAGAAACACAGGAAGCCGTGACAAGCAGCTTCTTCTCTCTGATCGATCGCGCAGATGCAACCTCTCCACACGCATATTACGCAGCGAGTGCCCCTGCCGAGGGGGATCTCACGCAGGAAAGTGGAGGACGACGCTTGGGATTCCTTGAGAAATTTTTTCAGACACCTCCCCAGGGGAAGACTGACTCAAGAAGCTTTGTAAGACTGACTCAAGAGGCTTTGCAAGACTGACTCAAGAGGCTCTAAAGGGGGAAGGGAGAGGGGGAGGGAAAAAGAAACAGCCTTCCACGAGGCTTCAGCAGTCGGCAAACAAAGCGGAAAAACGCCTTTTCCCAGCAGGCTGCTCTGTCTAGAGGCCTCTATCTTGGAGCCTTGTCTGAGCTGCCACTCGCATCTCACGCCTCAGAGACGGCGAAGAACAAACTTACCAGGTAAAACACTGAATCTCTTTCCGCTCCTGTCAAGAGGGCGCTAAGCATGGCCCGCGTCTTCGCCCCTCCTGCGCCTTCCATGATCCTGCAGCCGAAGTTTTGCAAACTCTCACCCTTGCTAACTTTTTGACATGCGACAAGGAACGCTAGCGGCTGCGCTCGTGCATGCACTCCATGCCCCACCACTAACTTCCCATTCCCCAGCCTCCACCCCTCATGGCTCGACTGTTAGATGTACGTGGCTGTTTGGACTGCAGTTCTTCTCCGAGCGGCAACGGCACTGGCATTCCCAGATGTGTCTGCACCATAACAGCACAGCTTGGAGGGACCCTTCAGCATCAGTATCACCACTTTCCTTCCCCCCAACAGGCCCTGTCCTCATTCACCCCACCTACCCACCTACTCTCCCTCCGTCGCCCACCCCTCTCTCTTCCTGTCGTCTTCACCCTAAGCAGCTTCCCGTTCCCAGCGCTTTTTCGACAGCTAGCGCTCTCCATAATTGCTATACCCTCTCCTTCCCTTGGACGCCTTCAGGCCTAGGGAGTCAGCAACCAGGGGGCGAGGGGTTCTTGCAGCAAGAGGTGCAACGATGCGGAAACTCGGGAGAAACTTACGGTTGAAAAGCACTGGCGGATGCTCAGTGCGCTTGTAGCGGTAGAGCTCGAGATGCTTAAACTCCACAAAGTTGTCACGATGAATGTCAACACTGACAGAGAGCAAACTGCGCCCTGTGGAGTTCAGGGGTCCCAAGGGAAACGCAGCCACAGCAAAGCAACACACAGAAGATAGTCCATACACACACACACACACACACACACACACACACACACACACACACACACACAAGGCAACTTCATTCGCACAGTCGCTATGATGGTACAGAGAAAGCAGCCACAAGCCAAAGAGGCAGCAGCGGCGCTGACTAATGGTACGGCAGAGTGAGCTCGAGGACCGGCGGGGTACCCCAAAAAAATGGACATACAGGAATTGACAGACAGAAAGAAATTGACAGACAGAAAGACTGACAGACAGAAAGCGACAGACAGACAGAGTGACAGACATGAATTGACAGACGGACAGAAATCGACAGACAGAAATTGAGAAACAGACAGCAATTGGCAGGCAATTGACAGACACACATTGACAGACAGACACACATTGACAGACAGACAGAAATTGACAGACAGACAAAGAGACTGACAGACAGACAAAGAGATTGACAGACAGACAGGCCCATTTTCACCCTCTTTCTCTCCTCTCGAGATAAGAAGGAATAAAAGCAATACGGGCAGGACGAGAGCACATATAGACAGGGAAACTCGAGTGCTGCGTAGGTACCTTCCTCAACAGAATCCGGAATAAAGAAGGCGATGAGCTGCTCTTCGACTTCCGAGATGCCGGGGAGTCCAAAGACATCGTTGATAAGGAGCTCTCCTGCAGACGCCATGAACGCAAAGCGTCATCACAGTGGTATAAGTGAAGGCCCTTCAGGCCTGAGGATGCACATAAGCCTCCTGTAGAAAGTTTGAGCGCTTGTCAACACGACGACCGCAGGGAAGGCTCTGTGTTGAGGAATTTTCTCCGAGGGAGATGTTTTTAAAACGACACGATCCGCCTAGGAGGCGTCTACAAGGGTCTTCCAGAAGCACTGGAAAACCCCAAGGCCGCATACTGCGCTTATGACAAGTGCACATTCGGGATGTATGTACCGCTGTTGGAGCAGCGTTTTGGGGGTGAGAGCCGCACCATTGTAACTGACGAAGCCAAAAGAATTTAGGGAGGAAGGCAGGGGGTGATACTTGCAGTTTGGGGGGCTGTATTTTTCGTGCAGAGATAAAAGAGCGAGGGCTTCCTGTTGCCGCTGCTCTTGCTGTTCCTTCTGTTGCTGCTCCTCCTTTTGTTTCTGCAGCTCAGCGTTGCGGGTTACATCCATGGGAAAGGCCCAAGACGCGAAGGGTAAGCAAATGCATACGGCCGCGAGCAGCCCAAAGGCAGCGAAGAGGCTCCCTCGCCGTCTGTACAGCTGCGAGGGGTACTCGGGCAGCTGCCGCTGCTCCTCCTGCTGCTGCTGCTGCAGCGGCAGCCGCCTTCCTCCGCAGACGCCCATTGCGCTGGAGGACCAATCTGCAAGCCTGGCGGAGATTTCAAGTCCCTAGGTGTGCGTCTACAGTTGAAGAGCCCCCAAGAAGACGGCAGGTGTTGTGCCTACCATCAGGGGGCCGGAAGAAGAGAAGCCGTGAGGGTGGCTGCGGAGTCCTCAGGGCGAGTTCTTCCAATCTGTTGAATGAGCAATCTTGTAAATATTGTATGGAGGAATCCCTGTGAATATTTCCGTCCGTTTGCCAAAATGACGGGGGCCCTCTCGGCGGACCGAAAGCCCACACAGACTTCTACTGCTGCTACCACTACACAGACACACGGGTTAACAACAATTGGAGATCCTTCGCGCTTTCTCCAGAACTTACCCTATCAAACCCGAAAGCTGACTTGCAGTCCTAAGCTCGAGCTTGGAAGTGCCCCTTGCATGCGCAGAGGGCACTCGGGCACCCCCCAACGAGCGCCAGGTCTGTCAATGCATCATAGGGCCCCCCTCCGGATTCCCCAGAGCTCCAAAATTCCCGTTTTGCATCTAGAGTGCAGCGCTTTAGATTAGTAACACGTTTTTTGCGCTTCCTAGTTGTATTTCACGCCATTTCGCTTGCATAGGACCCCATGAAGGTAGAGCCCCCAAGCCTTCTGAGGGGCCGCACGCCCCCAGCCGACGACCCCACGCTCACGGCAGTGCAGCGAGCAAGGCAGTACTGCCTCGCAATACTCACTCCTCTATTAGAAGTGAAGTCGCGGTATTTCGTAAATTGGGCACGGCCGTGCCACCAAGAATCTGATTGCGTTTGCAGTCCCTTTCCCCCGCCCTGTGAAAGCCCCGCATGTTGGAAGCCTTTAGGGGTATGAGGAGATTTTATTGCACAGTACTCTGCCATAGAAAGGAACGCATTACACGGTAGCTAGTCATGGCAACCCCACTTCCCTAGGGGCGTGCCGAGGCGAGTTTTTACCTCTGAGCTCTCCAAGGACACATCGTGCGCGCATGGATTCCGCCCGTTGAGCCGTTCGCTCTGTTGCTGTGATTCAAACGGCCTACCATGCGCTTTAGCAGTTCGTATGCGAGCGTTGGTTGGACGGACTGTGGCAGTGCGGGGCATTGGGGCGGAACGTTGTTTGCTGCCTTGGACGGAGAGTTATACAGTCATGGGTAGTCTTTTTATGTGTCTCTGCAACTGGAATCCACGGCCTTACGGTCTAGGGCGTTCCTTCCAGGGTTCGAACGTGGCAAAATCGGATCAGATTAGTCCAAAGACGGCAAAGCACCGGGGATGAAAGGCAGACCAAACACCCACAAGACACACTACACGGGCACACCAACGCTTACGCACTTTCAACTAGCCTAGCTATACTTACTGGGAACTAGTAAGGAACCGATGGATATGCTCGTCTGTTTGTATATCGTATCTCGTAGAAGTACTGCTATCTTAATACAAGAAGGCGCACAGCTCAGCTCGTGTGCGCTCTAGTTCTCTAAGTCCAACTAGCTGTGAATGCTTAGAGTGCTTGGAAATTGCAGCAACACGCACACCAGATGATATTCCTTTCTTATCTGGGGATCCTGAGGAATATTGGTGAAGGAAGGTGGAAGTTCCCTGGGAAACACAACAGCTTTCTTTGAAGTGTGCACTGAGGACACAGTTGTGTGTCTTCCAACGCATAACTTGGATGAACCGGTACAGGTCTCATCGGAGACTTAATTAGGCCTTTCTTCATACAAAACAACACAACTGAAGACGTCGTCTATCGATCTGTGACCTCTACCTTCTGTCTTCGTTCGCAGCTAGGAATATCTCGCTAATGTACTTCGGTGGTACCTATCATTCTCCCCCCCCTCCCCCCAGCCACTGCCCCCGATCCGGTTGCAACTGGGCTTGCCTTGTGGCCAACAACTTGATGAAATAGGTGTACTCATTCCCCATGTCGAGTCGCCGCACTGTTTGTTCACAACATACCTTGCCAACTGCAACCTACCCAAAGTGTGTCAAAGGTTGAAAGATTTTCTAATGTCCGTGCGACCCACAGACGTTTTTTTTTCGCCAAGTTTCGTGCATAAACTAGCACACAGGCGAAATTCAGGATCCGGATGCAGTGCAGCGTAATCTGGCTGTTACGGCTGATGCCAGCCAGTAAATTCACGTGGTACGGTAGCATAGAATTGTCCGCCTCTTTTGAATATTCGTCGATCATCCTCCCAAACAGGGAAAAATGATGGCTAGGAGCCAATATGTCTAGCAACTTAGACGGACACCATCTGTGCAGCTGACGTAGGTGGTAGCCTCAAGGGAACACTACCGCTAGCTAGGTGGAGAGAAAAATAGTTCCCCGATATTTTTGTGCAAGGCTTCACACGCCTTTACAGAGGTAGCCCTACGAGTACTGTCAACCAGGAATCCCCGCATTTGTCGCCAGTGCGGCCTGGCAGAGCGCTTGACCAGAAACTAGCTGTGACATAGCAGCAGTTCCAAGCAGAGTATCCATACCAAAGTGAAAGAGGCATTAACCTCCCAATGCGAAACTTAGGTAAAAATGCCTTTGGTGCTCCCTTTGAAAAGCTTCCTCGCTCTCCTCCTGCCGGCGCCCTAAATAGGGCGTGACGGGGGCAGAGAGGGAGAGACAGCTTGGCAGCGCATTGCGCTCACCGGCAGCCGTTGGTATATAGGCGTACAACATCGATTCTTATAGCGTTAATCTAGCTTCAACGTGCAATGAGTTGCATATGTCCGGGGAAAACCAAACGATAGTCAATTCTTGCAATTCAGTGTAACTCCTGTAGTAAAGAGAGCCTAAGCGGATTTTTTGTCCAATGTACGAAGTAGGGCGTTGCAGCGGCGAAATCTTATTGTGTTGGCAGTTATCTTCAAAGCAGTTTTAGGAGCATGGAGCGTCGAACGGGAGAAGCATCACAGAAAAACTCGGGGCTGCTCTTTTTTGCTGGTCCTCCTGCTGCAGGAGTATTCCTAATTCCCCTTCATTTTCTTGTGGCAAAAGTTTCCTCGGCTCTAGGTTGCTTGATGTGTACCCAAAACAAGATTTTTCCCGCTAGATGCCGCTGGGTGCCGTGCACTATGCTCTGTATGCGAAAAACCGCGACGGCTAAAGACCTGAGAAGGGCCGCTAGAGGCCGTGTTGGAGACTCTAAGTGCTACCCGGGAGGGGGAAAATGGAGGTACACAGCGTCCAAGCGTCCCACAAACAAACAGAGAAAGATGAAAAACAGGAAGGCGGCGGCAAAGCAAGCAGACAGTAGGAGTACAGACAAGATACAATGGGAGCGCGCGAGGCAGCCCCTTATAGCCAGCTGAGGGGAGTGGCGTGCATATTCAGCTTATTAATCACAAGTAAGAAAGTAGCTGTGTGTGTTTCTGCTTTTCCGGCTCCAAAGTTTCCGTTTGACTGAGGGGCCTTTGAGGGGCCAAAGCGGAGGGGGGGCCCCGGGGCCCCCCCTCCCACCCCCGGGAAGGGCGGTCCTGCCCCTTGCAAGATTGGCGGCGATAAAATATCTGAGAATTGTGGACTGCCAATTTAAGCAAAATATAACTCTAGAAGACAGCCAAAAGACAATACGGCGCGGCACACAGCTCCCCTTCTGACGCCTGAGGCAGCGGAGGGCATACCCGCCAGAGCAACGAAAACCAAGAACAACAGGAAAATGTCACATGCAGAGGACGGCAGCGTTACCCCGCCTTGCTACAGGCGTCTTCCACTCTCTGCTCTGCAGGCCTTCTGTGCCGGCCCTAACTCGAGGGAGCGCGTGGTCTCTCTGCTGGAGAAAACTTCAGCCGGCGAGCTGCTGCAGCAAACAGCAGCCGCAGCAGATGCTCTCGCGCTAACTGAATGTGCAGTCACTGACATGGAAAAGGCGGCTGCTGCCAGCGCCGTGCTGCGCGCCGTAGCGGCTGGCGATCAGGAGGCACAAGCGGACGTGAAGCAGCTGCTAGACTTGCTGCTACAAGCTATTAAACGGTGCTTTGAAGTAGAGGAACTTAGGAATGGAATTCTCGCACAGCCGGAGGCGCGTCTTTACCCCCGTCCCCCCCCCTCTCCCCGCTGTCTGCGGCTCACAAAGTGTTCGTGCCTGTTCTCTTGCGGCTGCTGCTAACAGACACATAGTTGAACACTTAGACTCTCTTACGGCCTTCCTCCTGCTCGATCTTACTTCCCAGCAGCCCCCGCATCCGCCTGTACGCGTCTCTATGCGACTGCGACTGTCACAGATGAGACCTCTGCTGAGCGCTGCGGCTGAAAGTCCCCTCATGGCTATCCGGGAGTTGCTCGCACAGCAGCTGCAGCAAATCGCCAAGAAGGGAGAGGAAGGTAAGGCAGAGGACGCCTGTGAAGCCAAACCCCTGCACTGCCCTCTCTCTCTCTCCTTAGCTCTCTATCTCTCTTTTTTTCTCTCTCTTGGCATCCCTTTTGTGCGCCTCATGTCATTGTGCCCCTGCGTGTGCCGGTAGTGACTGCTGGCTTGGCCTCCTGCATGCCTCTGCTGCCATTTGCCCCTCTGGCACTCTCCTGCCTCGCGTTTGTTTCGCCTCCTTTCTCAGCATCTTCCCTCGACGCCCCCCTCACACTTGTGTCTTTCTTCTCCCTTCCCCTGCCCGAGGCTTTACCGTAGCTGCACTGCCACCCCACCCTGTGAGTTTGCACGCCTCGGCTCGAGAGTGAGCTCCTGCTGCTGAGTTGATGCAGGCGCTGATTTCCTCTGGGGACTGGGACTGAATCGACAGCTGCTCTGCCTCCTCACAGACAGCGAGACATCTGTAGCCATTCGGGCAGAGACGGCGCTCGCCACGGTACGATGAACCTCGCAAACGTAAACGGTCATCTTTCAACTTCAAATAAGGCTTTTCCAGGCTATAAATGCGGGCAAGGCGGAGGGATGAGGGGGGAAAGGGGAAGGGTTTTAAGGCCCTTATTGTGGCTCTATATGTATATATATGCGTGTGTGAATATATACATATATATGTATGCATATATGTACGTATTTATATATATATATATGTTTTATGTATATGTATATATACATATATATGTGTATGTATGTTTTATATATATATATATATATATATGTGTATGTATGTATGTGTGATGTGTACATGTATATGTTTATGTGTTGCTGCAGATTTGTGCGCTCGAGACAGGCCCGAAATTCGTTCTTCAGGGCGCTTTCCTTGCACAACTCAAACGTCTTGTTACGCAAAACTCGGATGTACGAAGTCGCCACTTCTGCCCCTGCCCCTGCTGCCTCACATTTAGCCTCTGCGTGGACGTGTCTTCCAGAGCTTCAACTCTCGCAGGGTTTCTTTCCTGATGTCTTGGTAAAAGCTGCTTTCGAAGGCCGTTTGTGACTGCGCTTTCCCCGCGCTGGCACCCACCTCCACGCTATGTCTGGCGCTGCAATTCTTTTTACTGCTCCGCGATTCCCATTCTGCATGCATGCATGCAGAATGGGAATCGCGGAGCAGTAAAAAGAATTGCAGCGGTATGCGGAGGGCACAGGCACACACACACAGCCATCTTTGTATCTGTGCTGTGCATTTACAGAGCATATGCTTTCGAGTCTTGAGTCCTTTGATCCACGGCGTGATCCAGCACGAGTCTTTCTTCACTGCCCTTCGTTCTGCCGCTCCTGAAGTGCTCTCCAAACTTCAGCAGCTCCTCGAAATCCGAGAAGACCCCTTGCTGCAGTCAAATGCCAGCGACTTGCTGTGCAGCGTACGTTGCCTCGGCCTTTGTTGCTGGAAGTGTGGCCAGGCAGTTCCTTCTGCGCTAGCAGCCTCTTCTTGTTGCTAGAGGGGAAGCTGCCAGTGCTGCTGTGCTGCAGTCGTTGACTCTTGTGTTTGCCGTCGGCTTTAAAAGCGTCTATGCATGAGCGAGCAAGCGATTTGTGCTGCGTCTGCAGCTCATTGGTGTCTCTTGGGGCATGGAATTCGTTATCAGCGAGAAGATTCCTGAGCTTGTCGCGCGGTATCTACACAGACACACACACAGATGCATACAGACACACATGCATACACACACACACAGCTTTCTTGCTGCTTCCGTTGCCGCCAATGCTAGTGTTCAAGCATGATTTAACGTTGCCTTCGGTACCGCTGCTCCAGGGAAGCTTTCCTCGAGTGCCTATTGCGGTCGAGCCTGCTGCTGCCGCCTTTGCTGCTGCTGCCTTTGCTGCTGCTCGTCTGCGAGGACGCTGCCCTATTGCTGCGAGCAGGCGGAGATGCTGCTGTCCGTTTGTTGCGCTCATCAGACAACTTGCAGAGGAACATGCTGCTCAAGAGGAATCTCTCAGCAGCCAGACAATGCTGAGGCTTCTGTGCAGCATGGCAGTCGAGGTATTTCCATACTTTCGAGTGCCCTCCTCTGCTTTTTGCATACTTCTCCCTGCTGCCAGCCTTCAGTTTCGCCAGAGACTGCTGCCCGTTGCCTCAGTAACCTGCCTCGCCGCTGGATGCCTGACCTCATGTTCCTCTACCTGGGGAAGAAGAGAAAGACGGAGGAGGGGCAGCACAAATAACGAGCAGCACAGGGAGCTTCACCAACAGCCTGCGTCTATTGTCGTGTGTTTGCGCTACAGCGACCACCTGAGTGCAGCCGTCTGATGGAATTAGAGGGCGGGCTACTGAAAGACACGATTGGAGTCCGCTGTTTTCTCTCCCTCTCCTTCTCCTTTTTCGTCTATTCCCCTCTGTTTTCTCCGCCCTCCCCTCTGCAACCTGCAGAGGCAGAGCCGTGCAACAACAAACAGAGGACGCGCGTGTCAGCATGCGTTGTTGCCGGAGGGCACGCATGTGGAGAAAACACCATGCATGTATTTACATATATATATATATTGCGCATGTTGCTCGTATTTACATATATGTATATATATTGCGTATGTTGCTCCGGCTGTCTGCCCGTGTCAATTGCGCTTGTGCAGAAGTATCTCAGTTCCTTGTCTAAGAGAGAGAGGGTATGCCACTGCCAGGCCGTGGTTTTGCACCAACCTTATTACGACTCTTTCTCTTGAAATCCATGGATTTTTGCCTTTGAACCTCTCCGCTTTTGAAGGGGCCGCCGCTGCTGCAGAGCTCTCGTTATTCCCGCCGTTTGCACGGCTGCTGCAAGTCGCCGCAGCTGCATACGTTTCTTTAACCTTTCATCGAGCTGCATACTTTCTTGACTGGGCGTGCTGCTGCTTCAGGAAGAGGGCATACTGTGTTGGGGAGCCCTTTGCTCCAAACCAGAATGCGCGCAAACCGTCTTGGAAAAATTGCCTTCTTCTGCAGAAACTGTCAGTGGCGCTGCAACGATACGGAATACTAAGGCACTCTTCCCGCTGCTGTACTGAGGGAGCCTCTATCTATCTATCTATACATGTATATAAGCGGGGGAATAGGTGTGTTAGTGTGCATGTGCGTATGTGTTTGTGTGTGGATGTGTTTGTGCATGTGAATGTTTGTGTGTGGATGTGTTTGTGCATGTGAGTGTTTGCGTGTGGATGTGTTTGTGCATGTGAGTGTTTGTGTGTGGATGTGTTTGTGCATGTGAATGTTTGTGTGTGTGGATGTGTTTGTGCATGTGAATGTTTGTGTGTGGATGTGTTTGTGCATGTGAGTGTTTGTGCATGTGAGTGTTTGCGTGTGGATGTGTTTGTGTGTGCATGTGTTTGTGCATGTGAGTGATTGTGTGTGTGGATGTGTTTGTGCATGTCAGTGGTTTTGTATATGAGTGTTTGCGTGTGGATGTGTTTGTGCATGTCAGTGTTTTTGTATGTGAGTGTTTGTGCATGTGAGTGTTTGCGTGTGGATGTGTTTGTGTGTGGATGTGTTTGTGCATGTCAGTGTTTGTGCATGTGAGTGTTTGTGTATGTAAATGTATGTGTGTGTGGATGTGTTCGTGGGTGTGCATGTGTGCGCGGTTGCTGCTGCCTTTGCAGTATTTTCCCTCGCATTGCTTTGCCTCGTAGCCATATTTCCTTCCGCAAGTCTTGACTATTGCACTCCGCCTAGGATTAACCTTGGGCTGCTCAACAGGCCTGCGCTCGCAGTAGCACACCTCCCCGCTTTTTCTGCAATGTCTGTTGCTGCTCTTGCGTAGGTAGTGGCTGGCATTCTAGACGTGGAGGAAGTTTCAAAAGCGGCACTTCATGCTTGGCTCTGCGTCCTCAAAGATCTGTAGGGCCTCCATACGCATGCGCCGCAGTGCTCGTGCTGCTGCGGCTGCTATTGTTGCATGCTGCGGCTGCTATTGTTGCATGCTGCGGCTGCTATTGTTGCATGCTGCGGCTGCTATTGTTGCATGCTGCGGCTGCTCTTGTTGCATGCTGCGGCTGCTATTGTTGCGTGCTGCGGCTGCTATTGTTGCATGCTGCGGCTGCTCTTGTTGCATGCTGCGGCTGCTCTTGTTGCATGCTGCGGCTGCTATTGTTGCATGCTGCGGCTGCTCTTGTTGCATGCTGCGGCTGCTCTTGTTGCATGCTGCGGCTGCTATTGTTGCGTGCTGCGGCTGCTATTGTTTTATGCCAACACTATAAATCCTCGATGTCGGTGCTGCTGTGCGCGTCTGCAGGCCGGGACCGTCCGCGCTGCCGGAGGCGATGCGGCAGATAGTAGACTCCAAACTGACACCCCAGGCACGTTCTAGAAGGGGCCTCCCGCCTTGCTGAGGCTGCATGCTCTTCTGCGTTGCGCGTCGCTCTACTTGTGGCTTGCCCCTGCTGGTGCTGTGCGCAGCTGCTGGAGTGTGTCCTACAACGGCCCTTTCCAGAACCGCGTCAACAGTGTTACGAGCTCTTAAAGGGTATAGTTTCACCCACGTGCCGCTGCTCCCCCTCATCTGCGACTTGAGGCACACGTTTCCGTACAAGTGCTCCTCCCGCAAGGAAGCAAGAGCCCCCTCTGTCTGCCGCTTGCGACGTCTCCAATACGCACCAGAGATTCCTGTGGTGTCTTTCTACAGCCCTTACAGTCTTTCCAGAGCCACTACAGGCCTTCTTCACCTCCGACGCCTTCAGGCGGCTCATGCTCGACGCTTCCAGCGACTCGGAATACGAAGGTGCGAGACCCCCACCTCTTCAACATTGGCCCCAGGATTAATGACTACGCCCTCTTCCCTCTTCTGGGAGCTAGCCACACGCCGACTCCCCTTACCACACAATAAGCGCGCGCATACTGAGTACTCAGACGACCACCACCCACCTACGATGCTGTAGAGGCGTGCGGACCGCTCACTGTCCTGGCCCCCAGACGTTACATGGCTAGCTACCGAGAGACTAGGGACGTGTCGGCCTCTGCTCCAGCAGATTTTGAATATGCAGCACTGCGCTCCTCTTCTCAGGGCTCATGTGTCTTTTAAACTGTGCATTCGGGTGTGGCTGCAGTGCGCATAGCCAAGCATGCCTTCGCGGGGGAGGCCTGCAAAGCTCAAGGCGAGTGGATACGAGATGCGCTGGACCCCGCCTTCAGCGACGAGTTCTTTCGTTACGCAAAGGGGGGGCCTTTTGCCACGTCATCTGGTCAGTCCGCTGTGCTCTGGTTCCTCGAGACGGAGACGTAGAGCAGCCTCTGGGGGAACGGAAGGGGGTGGGAGAGTTTATGGGGCATGCTGATGTGCGCTTAGGGCTGTCGGCAGAGGTTTCTGAGTGGGCAGCGTTCGTCCGTGTCGAGGTGTAGGGTGAATATGTGCCCTGAAGGATCCTATGAGTGTGTTCAGCTACGCGCTCCCTCGCCACCACCACCTAACAGTGCAGCGCATAGCGCTGCCTCGTGATTCACAGATAGCTGCTACGCATAAATAGCGCCTCCCTGCGACTCACTAATAGCTGCTGTGCACACAGCGGCACACGTTCTTGACAGGGCCCGCAATACTCTTAAAGGCGTTGGCGCGTGGCATGGCCTGGCGCACCCTGTAATACAGGCAGCCAGGTGATTAAAATACAGATAGAGGCACAATGCAAGCTTCCTCAGCAAGGGTGTAAATCGACAGCATACACAGAAAAGCCCCGTCTCGCCCGTCCCCCCCGACAAGCTAGCACGGTCAGGCCTTGACAGCAGCGTAGCTTTCCGCAAAGCCGGCTGTGGATGGCCCTTTTGAAGCCGTTTGGGGGGGTAGTTTGTCGGCGGAATGCAGTGTTGGAGGGCGGCAGCAGCGAATTTCGCACGAGGCGGGGTCGATGCTCCCGTTACAGTTTAGGATGCTGGATGCGGGCTGCTTCTCTGTGCCCTTCTCGAGTCGGGGTGGATCCTGCAGAGCCAGATTATATAGAAAAAGGGCTCGTCACGACATGAGACAACGCTTTTAGCGCTCAATTATTTGCGGTGTCACCAAAAATTGTACTTATAGTTGACCGCGCACTCGGGGCCATGCTCGACACCAGTGCGCGCCAGCCCGGTCGATTGCTGCGGTATGGCGTTACAGGGAAGCATGCTGGCTTCGGCCGCTCTACGTTGACTTGAAGGCAGTGTTCATTGTTGATTTCTAGTTTAATGGTAACTTGTCCCGACGTGCAGGCCATTTGACTCTTAGGACTCTGGCTGGGCTCCTTTCTTGAATGATGTGATGTGTGTACCCGCTGATCCTACGGCATCACAGTCAGCACACCCTCCCGCTAGGTTAGGTGGCCACGCTTCTTCTGCATCCCTGCTTCTGCTGCTTTACTCTGAAGAGCAGTTCTTCTTCGGTCCTTATAGCGGGAGCCGCCGTGCTGAAGCAGGCCCCGTTCCCGCCTGCCTTCTGTCGCAGTTTCTGTTGGTTTGTGATGGTTCCTCGCGCACTGTACGACCGCATTTCGCGAAACGCGCTGTCCGTCTCTGGGGGCTCTTCGCAGCCTTGGAGCTCGTGAGCGCCTCCAGACTTCTTCGCCAGGCAAGCCTCTGAGGACGCTCCTGCCCTGCAAACAGTAAGCGCGGCAGCATGCAGTCCAGAAGCAATGGAAGGCTCCTCCGACGCCCCACAGTACTATTATGACTCACAAGCACAGCAGTGGTGGGTGTTCAACACTGCCCAGGGAGAGTGGGAACTGTGCCCTGATAGCGAGCAGACGGCAGCTGCATTTGCAACACCTACGGCTGCTCCAGACACCCCGGACCAGCAGCAACAGCTTCGACTACCCGAGAATGAAACTGCTTCTGCTTCCGCTAACAGCCTCCCTAAGGCTGGCGCCAGCCCTCCAGCAGCGCAGGCAGTCGTGCCAATGGCAGTCCCCCCCGCCAAGGCAGCAGGAGGGTCATCGCAAAACTCTTCCGTTCCCTCCGCGCATAACGAACCGTCCTGTACTTCCCCCTCCGTCCATTTGGACCCTTCGGCAGCCACCGCAGCTGCAGGAAGGCAAACGACAGGAACAGCGCCGTCTGAAGAACGGACAGTTAATTCAGCTTCTCGCGTGCCCCCTTCACTGGCAGTACCGAGCAACGGTGGCTTGCAGGTAGACCTATCCGCAGCAGTGGAAGAAAGCTCCCGCGGCGAGGCACTAGGCTTCTCCGCCCCTGAGGGCCTGCCAACTGCGCTCTCCGAGGAGAGCAGTGGGGAAGAGGACGCCTTGGGGAATGCGCTGAAGCGTCTCATGACCACCACCGTCTCGCGTGGCCAAATGCGCAGAGCAGCAGCAGCCTCCGGCTCTACCTCATTCCCCTGGCCCTTGGGGATTTCCGAGGCAGCAGACAGCGACGATGACGGGAAAGCTAGTAGCAAAGAGTCCAGTAGCTCGAGGACTCCCACCCCAGAGCCCATTGTTAGACGAGTCACTAGATGCATGACATTCAAAGAGCAGGGGGGCCTCGCCGGTTGCCTGCAGAAGGCTGTACAGTTGCGGCAACACCTTATTGACACAGAAAAAGGTGGGCCACATCAAGAGGAAACCATGGGAAAGGAGGGCATTCTGTAGTGCCTATTTAGACCTTAAGTGGAAATAGGGGGGCAGCCAGGCTCAGAAATGGATAGGCATGGACAGCAGCTAGCACCGTCTCCTTGGGACTACCCTGCGCTGACGTCTGCTGTCTCTTGCGGCCTTGTGAAACTTGTCTCGGAGGTATTTTGTGTTGGAGGCCTTACGGTTGGTATGTGTGTATGTATATGTGTTTATGTGTGTGTATGGATGTATGTATGTATGTCTGTCTTTCTCTCTCTGTGTGTGTGTGTGTGTGTCGGTTGGTCGGTCGGTCGGTGTCTTACTGCATATGTCTCTCTCTTCCGCCTTCAGGAGTTGCGCGTTTTCTCGCTTCTAGCTGTGTGTAGCACCTGTATGGCGCAGTCGCATGCCGTTCTTTTCGGGGGACAGTCTTGGGCCCCCTGGTCCTGCACTGCCTTCTCTTACCTGGAACCCTATCTGCTGCCCTGTGCTGTGAATTGCTTTCTTAGTGTGCCTACGTGTGTGTGGATGTACAATGTATGTGTGCACGTATGTTCGTATATGGAGGTGTGAATATCTATGAAGATGCATATAAAATTCCATGTTTTGCTGGGGTTGATGAATTCCGAGGCTATTCAAACGCTTGATCATCCCCTGCGTCGTTAAGGCTTTCGATCTGTGTTCACTTGTGCGTTCCCCCGCTTCGTTTTCAGGGGGCCACGTGCCGGGGGCAGAGGATGCCGATATCAAGGAGGAAGCCTGGAAGATCAAAGCTCGAGCAAGGGCCAAGTCAGCGGGGACCGTTGCTAGGGAGCGGGCAAAGAACCGCTGGAGGGCTGCTGCCTTGGAACTCGCAAATGGGCATCAGCAGGAAGAAGCCTCGCGAAAAACTTCGAATGCCGGGGCTCAAAGATTTGCTGATATCGTTGCACTTGCTGCTGCAGCGAGAGCCAGAGATCTTTCCAGGCCAGGTACGTGGTGGCCACACGACATGCAGGCTTTCTGTTTACTTCGTGTCGAATTTCGCTGTCGCTTTCCGTCGTCCTGTTGCTGCACACGCCACCGCTTCAGCACCCGCATTAGGACACAGTGACGCCCATCGGCCACCACACGACTCGGTGTCTTTGTTCGGGCACATGTAATGTGACTTTTAGTCCCTGGCTTTGTGCCAGATTCATTCTTTTCGAGGTGTCTCTTGAATTTTCATGCCTTAGTCGATTGCTTGGAGTGACTCTGTGCTGGCAGGCTCAGAGGAAGGCTTTCAGGGGCGCAGGGCCTCTGAGGACATCAATCCGGCGCTGGTGGCTGCCGAGTCATCAGCTGCGCAGCAGCTGCCCTTTGTGTGGAACAGACGAAGGAGCTCAGAGGTGCACAGTAGAATCCGCTTTGCGGACTCTACTCTTCGGGATCCCACTTACGAGCAAGAGGTGTCCGGCCTCCTCAGCAACTCCCGCAAAGGCAGCGCAGCCACTCCCTCGCCTTCACTGCCCTTCCCGCAGTCGAAGACCACAGCACGATAAGACGAGCAGCTGCGCTGCTGCTCTTTCTGCCATTTAACGCTCAGCTGGTCTAGTAGCTGTGGCAGATACAGGTGTTGCCAAGATGGCAGCAGCGGCAGGCAGCCAGTGAGGCTGCCTACATCAGTGACAGCTTGAACCTCGCAGCTATTTTTCGCAGGACGGCAACCTGATGCATAATCCTTGACAGATGGTGGCAGTAGCTCGGATTTGCAAGGAGGCGCAGCCATAATTAGACAAATTGGGAGGCTAAGCTACACACGGGCACTTTCAAGCTGCATGAGCTAGCCCCGAGAAAAAACCGAAATTGACTTGTATTTTTCCCACTCTCGCGTGGCTACTCCAGGCCTAAACAGTTACTCTTCGCACAGTGCTGCCAATCGCGGCAGGCAGCTGAGAGTAGCAGGAAAGGCCATGTGATGCACAGGGGACGCCTTATCATATGGAGGCACGAGCCCCTAAATACCAAGCTTCCTGGGCTATTGGATTTGCTGAAGGGATTGACCCACTTGGGGGAAGTGTATGCACGTAGTCATCTTTTCCACGCCATCTCCTTCAAGGTGGGCAACTCTTTCCTTTTATTGTACCGCAATGACTCGACTCCTGTCTACGACCGGATAGACCTTTTCTGCACATTGATGTTTCGTCCTCAGCAGATACTCGGGCTAAGTAGGCAATCATTCGCTTTATGTTGGAATCTATGCAGTACTGGGGCTGCATATTACTGGAGTGTGCAGGGCCTTATTCTGTATCACTGGTGATTCATCTTTCCTTTGCCGCCAGTATCTTCAACCACTTATACACTAGATAGGTCTGCGCATTTTAAAGCTGTAGCAGCATAATAACACGCTGCGTTTTGCTGCTGTTTATTATCTAGACACTGCCCTGTTTTATTAACCCATTTTCTGAAACAGTCGCCCCTCCATCAGTTAGCGTAAGAAGTTGCCATAATCTCGAGGCCAGGGCACATTTGACACATATGCAAAAAAGCCCACATACAATTGCGTAGTCACTTACTCGGTACCTGCCAATGCAAGCCAATTGGTATGCGCCATTTCTTTTGCGATTTCCGGGTGCCAAAATGAAACTAACTCTCTGAGCAAGATCACACTGATGTTCATGAAGAGATACTCTTGACATATAGATGTGGTGTAGTAAATCATCTTGCTCAAGAATCTACCTTTTACTAAGATATGCATGTGATTTGACATAAGACATACTGCGCAGTTGACAAAAGGGAGGTCGACAGAGGCCGACGGGAACCCGCCACCGCGACTTTCGGCCGTTGGGTTCATGCCGAAAGGTTCTTTCAAAGAAAAAGTTCGCGTGGCTGCTCCATCTGGAGGCTCTATCACAATTGCTCATGGCTCTGGGTTTCGGTTGTAAACTCTGATTCATGGGTGAGTGCTGAGTGGCCGTCATGCGAAAAATTACTGATTTTCCAGGGGATATGCATTCAAAAGAGAATGACGTAAGGATGAATGGGAGTGTTTTTTGCCTATATGCCGAGCTGCAGCCCTCCCAAGTGTGCAAGCATCCACTTGACAGTCAAGCATGTCAGAAGTGCCTTGCATTGTAGCTCCAATATAAACAAGAGCCATGAATAAGCGGGAAGCAGAAGGCACAGTCGCGCGTTGTGGGAGAGAATGTACCGACTTGCGCTAGGAAGAAACATTATTTTGGTCTACTTAATAGCGCTCATTTTATTTGTGGTAAGCAGGGTAAAGGCAGCGCCTGTACAAGGTAAGGCAAAGTCATCGTGCGGGCGGCTCAGCAGAAAGGTGAAAGAAGTAGGTTTTGAGCAAGCATGGCGTCTTACGGGGTCTGTTACAGGTCATTGATTTGGTGGTTCAGTTGAAATTCGTGCCGAGAGACAGGACGAATGGGCAAATATCAACGAATAATTCGAGAATGTACTGAATATACTGACGAGCTGGCAGAAGGCTTGCCCCCTACTGGTCGTACAGCTCACTGTACTGAGAGAATTCCTCAGTCAGCCCCTAGCTATGTTCCGGGCTAACAAAAGCTTCCACAACATGAAGCAGATACTGAGAAGCCAGCCACTGAATTGTTGAAAAATGAGAAGTGGTAGGAATCGACGAGTAACTTGGGGCACAACCCAATGTTGATAAATAAAAAATTCACTTCAAGCACCTGAATATAATTACAGTGTAACGTGTGCTCCTAGTGTCTCATATTGGCGAATTACTCAAAAAAAATAGGTATCCACAGTCTACGCGGCGCTTTACTTCACAAACGCCTTCTGACGCAATCCCAGCCACTAATGAAGACAGCACAAAACGGCGCTCTACGCTCGCACTCGCAAAGTGGGGCATACTTGTATGTCGTTTGACTTGCACACATCTGCTTGTTTGTTTGCACTGCAAAAGCGTTCGTACTTGCCTGGGTAACTGGCGATGGTGGGAGGCTTCGTTCGTTTTCCTGGGAGCCTCGATTCTCGATGGACACGTATGCAGCACAAGCGTGCGTGGTTTTGAAGTGGAGGGGAGCAGATATAGCGGGGTTAGCTAGCCTTCATTACTTTCTACTACACCTCTTATATTTTACGATGAATTGATAAAGAATTGGCTAACATACTTGCCTGATAATGCACCCTTCAATTGCACAGTAAATTTAAATGATAGAAGGCACATTGTTGCGCGCATGTGTGCTAAATGCTGTGTGCAAAAGCGATGAATGCCCGAGGTGCTCCATATAGTGCAGCTACTCTAAGCTGTCCTTCTCCCCTCATGTAAGGAGCTTTTAGTGGCACGGGAGAAAAAGTTGATTTTTATATGGGGGGGAGAGAGATGGAATAACTGTTGATTAAGCTTCTATCGAGTATGAAATTATATTTAAGCTAATGAACACACTAGACGAAGCGTTACAGGCATTCCCACCAGCAGTCGACTTAGATGCGAACAGACGGTGAGGGCAAGTGCGCATACGGTGCGACAAAGAGAGAGAACAAGCAGACAGAGAGATAAAAGAGGCAACTTTGGATATGCTTGGTAAGTCTTAGCCCTATCACCGGAACTGTTTTCCTTGGCCGAGGGCCGTGTGTGAGCCTTGAAGGCTCTGTTCTCTGCGCTAACCCCACACTTCCCGGCAGCAGTAAAAATCAAGACTAGTAAATAGCTTGAAGACAAGGGGACAGAGGTCGCCTGCAACCGATCATCACGTTTTTCTGTGCTCTGTTCCGGTGGCCTGAGGCCCCTTCATTAGGCAAGGGTTTCGACGCATATAAAACCGCAGATGTTGAAGAGAATTGTGCATCATGAAAATGCGTTATTGGGGCGCCAATGCACTGCATGGCATGTACATACATGCACATGCACACATGTATCCACACACATAGGACACAGTCACCTTTACGCAGGCTGCAGCAGCTGCTGCCGCCGCTGGTACCTGCTGCAGCCCCCGTGGGAGCGGGCGGTCTTTTGCTGCTGCATGCATAGACCGTAACAGCCTCTTGAATTGTTACTGTTTCCTTGCTGCAGTTTAGCTGCGCAGCGATCTGCATTAAACCGTTTTATTCACTCTGGCTGCTGCATCAAATAATGTCTTCCAGACTCCTCTGTAGCGCTGCTGCGCGGCTTGGCGCCCGCGCGAGCGCCGCAGCTCCTAGTGGCATTTCGCAGAGTTCCTTCTCGAAGGTTTTCACTTCTCATTCTCTCGCGTCTCAAGGAATCCACGCGACCTTGACAGCTCGGAGGTGTTTAGCTGTCGCCTCCGCAGGCGCTTCCGTTCCCGCAGCAGCAGCGGCAGCTACGACGGGGGCTCCCCAGTACCGTCGTGTGCCCTTCGTTAAGGAGGATTTGACAGCTGTCATGCGGGAGGTGCCCGATTTCAAGTATTACTACATCGGTAGTGAGAACGCGTCCAGCTACCCGTACAAAAATGTGCCCTTGGACCAACCAATCCTAGACGCAGTCAGTTGCGCTTGCACTACCGCCTTCCCCGCGTTGGCTTCCCTCTTTCCCTACACCTAACCTCCCTCCTTGTTTGCTGAGAGCCATGCTACATGCATGCGCGGGGCTCTCGGAGATGTGGTAATCGGCGAAGCCCAGTGCACGCTTTAGGCCGTCTCATCACAGAGCCCGCAGGCAGCATGGCTCAGCACCAAAAGCACGAATGGCCAAATGGGTGTAAACGCCGCTAAACCCGTAACGGGTGGCAGGCATGCATGGTGACTTCTGCTGCGGTGGCTCTGATAGGGAACACGTGTGTGCACATTAGAAACTCGATTTCTCGTCATGAGGGGAGCCGCCTTTGCACTTGGAAGGAGGCTGCCGCATGAGCTGTCCGTACTCTATGAAGGGTTTTCGATTTGAATCCTATCTGCATGGACGCGTATACATGTGTGTGTGTGTGTGTGCGTGTGTGCGTGTGTGTGTTTCCGTCTTCATACATATTCGTCTGCCTCCTACTAGGCCAACTTGGGCAGCGCCACCTTACCCAAAGCAGATGTGGAATACTCCATGTTAGAAAACGGCCTTCGCATCGCCTCTGTAGATCGCGGAGGGCTGGTGTCATCCCTGGGACTTTTCGTTAACACGGGTCAGGATGCTTGTGTGCATGATCTTTCGCTTGGCTGAACCTTCCCCTTCGATATCGTCGGTTCCCTCCGTTTCTGCATGCTGGGCATTCCTGACCTCTTCTCCGACAGAGGCATATCCTTGGCATGTTTTCTCGAGAAACACGGGTGTTGAGTCGCCGTGTGGTCGGTGCCTCTGATCTGCGCTGCTTTCTCTACTGCTACCGTTCTTGCACCCCGCGCTAGGTGTTCTGGTAGTGTTTTGCTCATGTTGGTTGTGCTGCTCCTTCTTTGCCGGCTGCATCCTGCGAAATAGGCCTTTCCTCGACATCTTGCCCATTCTCCTCGATTGCGTTGCATTGTGCATATCTGCCTCCTTCAGGAAGCCGGTGGGAAGACGTCACCAACTTTGGTGTGAGCCACATGCTGCAGACGATGGCATTCCACTCAACTGCGCATCTTTCTTTCCTTCGCACCGTCAAGTCCATCGAGGTCATGGGTGCCTCTGCCGCTTGCGCAGCTGGCAGGTAAGGGCAGCTGTGGGCTGAGCTTCAGAATGCATGCAACAAGAGACGCAATAGGCGGCCTGAACGCGGTAGCGCAGGGGATTGAAAAGGAATTTGGGGGGAGGAAGGGGGTGCAGTGGTCGTGTGGTCGACGTATACTGCGGAGACTTTCTCTATTTTTTTCTGGCCTAGTAGAAGGCAGACAGTGTGCCGGAAAGTTTTTTGTTGGTGTTGTCTTTTCTGTTTTCTTGGGGTTGTCTACAAGGACCCAAGTACCGCGCGTGCTGTCAAGTAGACAGGCTCTGCAAGTTGTTCCCCGTCATGATCCTTGTTACACGTCCATATATGTGCATATGTATAGATGTATATATATATATATCGCCATTGCCTCTTGTTCTGGTGCTCGTTTGCATGTCGCGATCAGGGAGCATATCATGTATACTGCCGAGTGCCAGCGCGAGCAGATGCCTTTGTTGCTGCCGATGCTGACGGGGAATGTTCTTTTCCCGCGCCTCCTTCCTTGGGAGCTGAAGGCGAACCACGATAAGCTGCTTCATATGAAGCATAGAATTGAGAGGACTCCTGACCAGATGGTGTCAGAACTTCTCCACACGACCGCGTGGCACAACAACACCCTAGGGCACAAGCTGTATGCAGCAGAGAAGAGCCTTCAACATTTTAACGCCGACACGATCCGCAGCTTTATCCTGGATCACTTTAGCCCAGGTCCGCTCAGACGGCATTTCTCTTGAGGGCACTGTTGCTGGTTGCTGCGTGTGCTCCTCGCATGTGGTGATCCGCTTGCTTTCCCTGGCATCTCCAGTGCCGCGTACACCCTCTCCGAAATTCTCCATCCCTGACAGCTTCGCTGTGTCGAACGCGGTGTTTCTCCACCTGTGCTTACCCCGCATCGAGGCAACTCCAGAGTCCCCATACACACCCAGTAGCCATGGGCTTGCCTGCCTGCCTTTCCTTCCTTTGATCTTTAGTGGACCCCCTTTACGGACTGTAGAAAATGCGCATCAGGCATGCATGCCTGATGCGCGTTTTTCTCAGACCTATATATGTGTATATGTAAATTCATCTCGCACGCCGCGCCCTCTCTTTGTGCTTTTTCAGGCAACATGGTGTGTGTGGGGGTGAACGTCGCCCACGATGATCTGTGCAAGTGGCTCATGCGTTCCTTCGTTGATTACAATGCGGTCCCCCCAAAGGAACGAAAGGCCGCCAAGCCGGTATACACCGGAGGCGATGCCAGGATGGAGGCTGTTTCCCCGCATGCGCATATTGCAATTGCTTTTGAGACCGTAAGACGAAGAAGGAACCGAGCTCTATTTCCCCTGGTGCATAAAATGCGTTTTTGAGCTGTGCGCGTCTGCCTGTTTTCTTGCGTCAATGGAAGGACTCCCGTCTGCCTGTTTTCTTGCGTCAAGGGATGGACTGACTTCGGTCTGTTGTTGTCTGAGTCGCACGCCGCTCTCTGTCGCAGCTGCTATGGCCATATTGTCGTGCTGCTTCTTGAGTTCGCAGCAATGCTGCCTCCCCGTAGCGTCTGTGTGAGGAGGGGGTTCGGTGCCGTTGTCTCGCTTTCCCACGCGCTGTTTGCTGGGGTCGTTTATCCTTTGACTTCCTGTGTGTAAGGCTCACGGTTCTGCGAATGTGTTGTTCTGCTTTGCTGCTGCAGTCTGGCGGATGGAATAGCGGGGATTTAGTGGCGTACAGTCTGTTGCAGACGCTGGTTGGGGGAGGCGGAGCCTTCAGCACCGGGGGTCCTGGCAAGGGCATGTACACCCGGCTGTATCTCGATGTTCTCAATAAACACGAATGGGTTGAAAGCGCCATGGCCTTCAACACGCAGTACTCGGATAGCGGTATCTTCGGTCTTTACATGCTCGCAGCTCCCGATAAGGTAGCTTTCGCCTTGACAGCCTCATCAGCAGCAGATGCTTTCCTTTGGAAGGCGGAACTAGATGCCGTTTGCGAGGGGAGGGGCCCCGCTATCGCGATAATCGGCGTGCTTCCTTGTTTCGTATTTCATGTCTGCCAGTCCGTTGTAACGCTGCAGTGCCATCTTCCATGTTGATGATGAGGATGGTAGCCTCACGTAGATGCGTGGCGGCAGGCAGGCTTCCCTTGCCCCTTCCGTCCTTCGTACTACTTGATTTGCTGCTGTGCTGCTCTCAGTCGTGTGCTCGGCCGTTGCTTCTCGGCGGACTTGCGCTGGCTCGTGCTGCAGGTGGCAACAGCTGTAAAGGTTCTAGCTGAGCAGTTCGCCAAGATGCGTAGGGTGTCCGCTGAAGAGTTCAACCGGGCGAAGAACTCCCTAAAGAGCTCTATCCACATGAACCTTGAATGCAGAGGCATCGTCATGGAAGATATCGGTAAGCGGGAGGGCTAGAAAGGCAGAGAGCTAGAGGGAGAGAGTAGATGATGGATTTGGCATGCCACGGACAAAATTTTGGCAAGACAGCAAATGTTCGTAACGCACGAATGGAGAAGTTGAATGGTACTGCATGTTGAAGATGTTTACAAGTTAGCCATGTATCACTGCACAGTTCTTGATGGCCTTTTCTGTGCGTGTGAGGGGCCCTCCAGGGAGGCAACTGCTGATGAGCGGTCGGGTGATTTCGCCCCAGGAGTTTTGCAAAGCCATCGACAATGTCAAAGAAGCAGATATAAAGCGGTGAGGATCTAAAATCTACGTTAACAGAGCCCTCACGGGGGGAGGTTTTTCGCTGGTTTCTCTCTGCACTCAATGTGTGGCCTCTAGCAGCAGGCCCTTCATAGAGGAGCTCCGTCTTCATGGCGAGTCGTCTGCTCAGATTCACCTTCTGTCTCTCTCTCTCTGCTGTCTCCGAATACCGGAGTTGTGCCCCTCATATTCCCATGTTTGCCTTTCGTGCTCTATCTGATAATGTGAATCTGAAGTCCTCCTTTGTTCTCGCTTCTTTCTTTCACGCCTTCAGGGTTGCCGACAAGATGTTCTCCAAGCCCCCCACAGTTGTTGCATATGGTGATATCTCTTGTGTCCCCCACTACGAGGAGATCCGTGCCGCCCTTCAGGCAGCAGGGGTTGGTAACTGAATGCAGCCTTTAGAGGAAGCCATAAGCGGGGGCGGGGGTTCACGGACCTCCCCAGGAAAGACGGTGCGGCGACCACGTGCTAGTCCCAGTATATATATATATATATCGATATAGTGGGAGAGAGAGTCATTCCCATTGATTTATAGGACCTGATCTCACCTGCGCTCCAGAAGGAGGGCGAGAGGAACAAACCAGGCCAGGTTTCTGCTGGTTTGGCATTGCCGTGCGACCTCCCGAGGGCCTTCCTGATCGGCGACTTCATGCGGTACCTCACAGGCAGTTGCGAGACGGCAAAATCCATGGGGTTTTGCATCCGCTCATGCCGAGCACTGCAGAAGGGTGTCCGAGCTGTGGAGCGGCATTTGCGCCCTTCCTTGCCTTTTTGAATCATAAGACACGGAAGGACCCAGCAGCATATGCAGGATGCGCTGCCGACTATGCAGGGGCCTCCTTGTGATTCGGGGCCCTGCAGCGTTTGCAGGGGCCCTACAGTCTATGCTGTGGCCCCCAAGTGGTGTGGGGACGCCATCAAGCAGAGGTGGCGAACAGTCTCTTCTAATAGCTGCATGCCATGCTGGCTCGCGTAGGATGCAGCTGTTTGTTGGGACTAGGGGGGATGGCACTGCCTCGCGGCGTTACTTCGGCTTATTTGTAGGTATACATCTAGATCTGTCAGTGCGCTGCTGGCGTTTGGGTGGCAAGGCTGAATCAGGGAGGAATGGCTAGCATGCAGAAGCGCTTGGAAGGTAGACCCAGCAGGGGGAATCTCCCAGCGTACGGCAGCAGGGAAAGCCTGAAAACAGAGAAACGAGTATGGCTGGTTTAAATCCTTAGGTTAAGGGCCAAGCACATGCAAGATGTTGCTCGTCGCCCTGCATGAGCATCCTGCCTCAAGGGCGCATGCCTGAAAAGGACTAAGAATCGGACTAGAAGGGAGGCCACAGCTAGTCACCCTTTAGCCCGTAGTAAACTTCTGCTCTTTTTACCTCCATATATGGACAAGAAAGAGGGGCGCCTTTGCCGAGCTGCTCTCTGTTTCACTAGCCTTTCAGGTGATCTGGCTCTTCAGGAGCAGGGCGAGCCGCATTTCATTTGAATACACGCTTGATCCGCTGCACGGCTTCCCTATACCTGACTCTTTGCGAGTATCAGGAGTGCTCAGGGGATGTAGCAGCGCGCGATAGTCCCGGCCCCCTTGCTTCCTGCTGGAACCATGTAGAGTAATGAGGGCAGGGATGGGGGTACCACTTGAGAAGCAGTGGAAATAGCAACGAACGTAGATATGATGCACTTTGGGAGCTGCGGATCTGCGTGATGGGGGATTTCGGAGCAGCGTCACATATATTATCAAGGGGCTACGATGCAGAAGTTACAAACCAGCAGCCCATCTCGTTGCTGTTATGGTGCGACAGTAAGGTGGAGGTAGAAGTTTGCATGTCCTTGTACGCTCAGTCGTTTTTTATGTATCCTTTGGCACTGCGGGCTCGCATCTATGTCTATCCATCCCACTGAAAATCACCGTGGCTGGCAAAGCTGCACTTAAGTACTTTACATTACGGTTGGAATACAAAATGTTTGGTCGCTCTTATACTTTATCTGTTGGAGAGCAGAGCTAGTGTGATTCTATGCAGTAGACTGCATATACAAGTAAGTATGAATTCTGGGAGTGCTTAGCTTTCCCTGGTTCCTCCTGACGAAGCTCTGAGCGGTAATGGTAGGACGAGAGGGAACCGTTCTCAGAAAGAAGCTTAAGGACTTTCTAGTAGCTTTGTTTCGAGCGTGAGTCAATTTCTTTCCTATCGCTACCTCAGATGGAACTGTTCAAGCCTTGTAAAAGGCTAAGCCATACCTAAATACTTCCTCGTGCACTAGTTAAATTTGACTACAACTTGCTTTATAACTGAAGAATTAGTTTGTCTAGACGTCGGTCCTGTTTATTCTAGAGTCCTGTTGGCTCGATACAAAAGGCGGCTACGCTGTGTGCGTCCGCGCTCAATGCTGTGAGAAATAACATGCTGCGACTGCTCGGAGTGTCTAGAACAGGCGGCTATGCGCACCCTAGTGTCCCTCTTCCCCCATGCGGGATCCCTGTGGGAATGGAAGCACGAAAAGAGGAGGGTGGGGCTTTGGGGGGCAGGGAGAAGCACTCATTGATTCTCCACCAAGTTTGTATTTAGTCTGGAATTCAAAGCGACTGCCTGCGGAGTGTTTGGATGGAGCTATCACACCGCTTGACTTGTGGGCCCTCAGCTTGTCCTCGAGGCCGTTTTGAGGGGGTGGCAGTGTCTGATTTGGCGGAATTCGACGTTGCTAGCTTCATCCTGCTTCTTTTCGGTCGGTGACCGTCGCTGCCGCGAGGGCATTTGCTAGCAGCATTGCTGCTGCTGTTCTTACTGCTCCGCTACCACTGGAATTCTATGAGCCGTCCGACGTTAAGCACTAGGATTGATGATGTTTACGGGCGATGGGCTGGGTAAGACGCAAGGTCCCTCGGGATGCGCTGTAGTAATAACAGTGTGAGTGTTGATTCGTGTGGCCCCTTGGCAGTTGCCCCGCTCGCTGTTCACTGCCCTATCTGGTGAGTCCATCTCTATTATCCTATATTAAAGCTTAATAAAACATATGTTTTGCTTGATTTCGTGTGAAAGTGCCACAAGATGCGGGCCTTAATACCCTATATCCCCAACCCGGGGCGCCCCTGCGGCCCCGTTCCAGACAACGACCGCGGAGCGGAGCGCGGCGGCTGCCGGTGCGTCCCTCTTTCATGTTCCTGTCTTACTCCTTCGTTTTTCTCTAGGATGCTTTTCCTCTAAGCATCTGATTTTCTAGTTAGCCGTTGTTTTTACCCCGCTCTGAAGCCGAAGCCCGGACCTCGCTGGGGTTAGGTCCAAGGGCCCTCCCTCTAAGGTCATATATAATCCCTGAAGCGTGCATCACTTCTCCTCTCTTCCATGTCTTTTTTGTTGGACTTCAAGCTTTAATAAGACAAATCAAATCAATTGCATCTGCCATCATTTGCGGGCTCCTTTTCCTAAGCATCTGTTAATCGTCCAGCATTCTGGACACTGGTCCAGAGTTCTGAGACCGCTGGCTCTGTTTGGGCCCCAGACAAGCTGAACATCCACTGCCTGTCCTTATCCTCATAATACATCATTTAAAGGCACATAGTATTGAACATTCGTGACATCGGGGCCACTACTGCCCATTGTGGGGGCCCCCAGGCCTGAGGGGTGTGTACAGCACTACAGTCAGCCGTCACGAAGAGGGAAAGTTGCTTTTCGCCTCAAGAAAACCACGGAGGTGCTTGAAACGAAAAAAACCTAATTGCCTGGAGAAGCAGGCAGCGATAGGGAGAGAGGGAAACAGACAGACTGGCAGAGAGACTAGGCGAGAGGCCCTCGAGCCTCCGGTCTATGCGAAGATGCTGCAGCTCTTCAAAAACCAGGTGGTCACTTCAGTGGCAAAACAACAGGTGGAAATCAGACAGCTGGAGCTGGATTGGTATACCAACAATTACTGGACCCTTTCGCAGCAAGGCAAGGCCCTTCCTACCCCCGCCACTCTCCTATCGTTCGTATCTTTGCGTGGGTGTGTTTCCCTCTGTCCGCCTACCCGTAGCTGCCTGTCTCTTCGTGTACAATTACTGTTCTTCTCCGTGTGAGTGCTACCTCGTGCCGCTCGCCCGCGATCCTTGGAAAGAGGGGGCTGTTCGACCGCAGGGCCAGCGGGAACCTCTGCAGGCACACGGGAGGGGAGGGGGAAGTGTTGATAGAATGTTGGTAGAATGTCCATTGCCAAGGCCTTTATCGAACTCTCTTCTGCTACCAATCCTCTCAAGCCAACTGTCCTTACTCCTTTGTGCCTGCTCTTCAGCGGCTCTCCTCGCCGGTTTTGCATTTTCCCAGATTACCACGGCCCTGCCCAGCGATGTGTCTTTCGGCCTCGAAGCGAGCTACTTGCTGCTTGCTGCCCTCTCCTTAGGCATGCAACTCTGCGTAATTGTGACTACAACTTTCTGTTGCATGTGGGGGCCCGGTCTTGCTCTGAGGGGCCCCGACGGCGTGCGCTCGGTCAACTCTGCGGTGGAGAGTCTCAAGGCGGAGCAGGGCACTGTGTTTGGCTTGTTCGTAGCGGGTCTGAGCTGCTTTTTCGCTTCCAACATTCTGCTCCTCTGGTGCTACTTTGAGGAGTCCGTGGCTTTCGTATCAAGTCTCTTTCTGGGGGGCTTTGTAGTGGTGATCGCGTATTACACCCTGTCTCTGACCCTCCAGCTTCGGGTTGCTGAGGCGGAGGCCGTAGAAGGCAATATCGACGCTCTCAAAGCATACGAAAACATTGCGGATCTCGATGCGTGCTACGCATCAGCGCACTTCAAGCTAGCAGAGCCTCACCAGCAAACGGCAGAGGCGGCTGCTCCGAGCGCCCTTGGAGGAACCTCCTTCAGGCCACTGCAAACGCAAGGACCGCAGGAGAGGTGAGATAAAAGAAGTTGCCACAAGCACGTGCAACAGATCACGCCTACTCCCCGCCAAAAAGCTGGATCTACCCCTTCATAATGTGTGGATGTGGCCTCTCTGCTGTTTGTTCGTTTCCTTTTCGCAGTTGGCAGGATGGCCCAGGAGTGCCGAGCGTCACCACGGAGGCAACACCTCAGGGCTTCTTGGGAACAATGCTAGAGCTCTTCGACTGGGACTGATCCTCAGTATCTGCCTAGCGCCGTTGCTCTTTGCTGCCAGTAGGGTGGAATGGCATGGCTTGCAGATAGGAGACTACCCCAGATTCTTCTCTCTGGAGGGTCCAGCGGCTCTTGTACGGCGGAGATTAATGCCTGACCGTCATGTGGAGCCTTGTTGAGGAAAACTTGTGTTTCGCTACTTCGCTTAAAAGCTTGCAGCGTATGCAGGTTTGGATTAACATCCAGCCCGTCTAGGTTCGTAGAGCAGCAGGTCTCACTGCATACTTTGTAGTCTTTCCACGAGCATATTGTAACTTTATCTCAAGGCCTCCAACTGCACACCACACCTTAGGGAGTATGTATGTATGAAAAACTCCACGAGGAATAATGGGCACGTGGAGACAAGGCTACTCAAAGCTGGCTCACCTGACAGATACAGAGTCACTAAGGATAGCGGAGCCCAATGAATCCGTCTCGATGCTACTTATGAAGCACGGCCTCCAAGGGCCCCGTGATGGCATACTCATAGAGCACCAAAGGAAGCACACCGGAGGCTTTTGTGTCCCCCTAGAATTCCACTTGCACTTTGCCATTCCAGCAGCCTGTTGGAGTTACCGCATGTGCAAAAAGGATCCTATTGTTATAACCGTGGAGTACTTCCTCTTTAGGCCTTCCACAGGTAGACACTTTTAGCCTAGAGCCCAAAACAAAATTTTGGAGAGAGCTGTAGTGCTCGTTCACAAGCTTCCGTCTCCCCTCCTTGACAATAACCCTCAGGGTTCCCGCACAACGATAGCGGGGGAGCCAGGGTACCTGGGAGCTGAGGATTCATACCCACTTACACATATTAACCGATACCTACTCTTGTAGGGAACCCTGACATCTCTTTGCATCCAAAGGCAGTGGGTGAACGGGGAACAACGGCATCCCGCCGACGCAAGCCATGGCTAGAGAGACTTCAAAACGGCATCAGGTACGCCCCAAACCCTAGCATTTCTTTTCCTAGCGTGACAGCACAGTTGTCGCGCTTCATATAAGGTGTGCAAACGAGAACAATAGTTCCAGACTTAGAATACATCCAATTAAAAGCTTTTTGGCACTTTTCAACAAGCTTATTGCCCCCCTGCCTGCGCCCCTTAACGTTCCGGACACAGAAGAGGCGCAGCTGGGAGGCGTTCGATGCTGATACCTTCAATCTTTTCCAGCATTTGTGGGTAGTTGCACAGAGAGTCTCGCCCACATGCACAGCATACAACTTCGTTTTTTCTATCATGAGAGTACCATGCATAAATTAGATATACTAGCAAGTAAGTCAATTAGTCAGCTATTTACCAATTATTGGTTGAATATGGTTTTAAGATGTGTGTAAATGTAGCTTAACCCGAGACAAGGGGACGATACTTTATTCCAAAGATATGCTCTGAAAGTTTTTACAGCCCTAAAGTCGTGTCAAAGCGAAGTATATAGAATATGGCAAAAAGACTGCTTTTCTAGTTTCCTTGCCCGCCAGGATAATGTTAGAGCAGCGTAATCGTGCATACTCTTCCCCATCCATATTGAAGTTGCTGCTTTACGCGGCAAAAAAGTGCAAGGCAGCATTCTGGTTGACGCTCCGTGTCAATGAATACCATCTGGGCGGCTACCAAAAATTGAAAGGCAATCACCAGCCTGGCTAGTCTCTGTCCATACTCTCCGCAGCAGAAACCCCCGTGAGGAGGTCCACTTTCCCAAGTATGCCTTTTGTGGTCTAGCGTGGCGTGCGTACTTGCCGTTCTGGTGAACTTCGCTGCTTTTGTGTGCTGCACAGCAGCTCTTAGCAGCGTACTTAATATGACTCGCCCTTTCACTTTTATCCCTCCCTTTGTGCGCAGAGTCACACTATTCCCTGATTCATAGACTTACCGGCAGAAGTAATGAGGGAAGAAGCACTGCCCCATCTAACGGTAATAGCGGGGAGTGTCGTCTGTTGAACACGCATAGCAGAAAGGGTTAAGAGTGTGTCCGACACTTCTTTTTCCTTCGTTCGTGCATAAAACGGATACTGAAACACATTTTACATATCCGTTTGAATATGATTAGCGCTTTGCTGAAAATATCCACATGTTCTTCCATCGCTCCTAGTGCATTCGCTCCGGCTCACCGAGCAAAGTGTCGCTGCATGCCATACTCCATAGATGTGACGCAGTTCTTGTAGTGGCGACTTTTTCCCGGGGTTAAACCCGAAAGCTTAGAACCTGATGCCCAAAATCTAGTATCCTGTCTCAACGCTTCCGCGTTTACTTTCTGTTCCCTTTACAACTAAGCCCTAGCAGGTCGTCCCTGCGCTTGTTGCTTCAATCGTTGCCTCCCGAGCCCGCCATACACGTTGTTCCCGTTCATTACTTTTTCCATTTTTTAGCACCTTGACTCGAATTATCACGCGCCCTCTCTATATTCGTCCTTATTTCCCCGCTCATGCACCCCCTCTTTGACGCAGGGCATCTCGCTCCGGGCTCATCGATCCATCGTTGAGGCCCCCCGAGGCTTTAGGTTTAGACATCGGCACGCGCATTGAGATAAATTGACAAAGCGAGGCTGAGGCTTCCCTTGCCGCTCCAGGCAGTGGCAGCAGCAGCAGCTAACTGTTTTCTTCATCGACCCGTCCCACCCGCGACGTTGGTGCTGCTCTCTGTGGGGTCTCTTGGAGCGGCCTTTTAGAGGGAAGTTTTAGCTTGCTTTTGTATTTTTGGGGTCCGAGATAAGCTGAGTGGACACCGTGGCTCCTGCGCACACATGGCAGCATAGCCCGCGAATGCCTTGGACCTCGAATCCTTAGACAATGACGCGTTTCAAGAAGAAAGTTCAGGAAGCCCAACGCAAGAGCTCCACATCCGCACAAGGCCAGCAGCACGAGCAGCAGCCAAATCAGGGTACCGTAGCTGAGAGCACTGCGCCTGCAGAGGCGCTGCCCAACCAGCCCGTGGCAGCAGTCGTGGCGACGGGCGACAGTCTGCCCGCGTCTCTCCTTAGGAAACCATCTGAATTCAGAGATCCCTCTGAGTCTCGGGGTAAAGGCTCAGTGGCTTTCCTTGGCCGTGACGGTCTACCTGTGGAGCCTTCCTCATCACGGATGATCGCGAAAAGCCCCCCTGGGAAGGCCCCTGCCTTCTCCCAGGGCAGACAGGAGGCAGCAAACACCGCGGGCAAGGCGAGAACTCCCGGAGATGCGATGCCGATTGGAACCAGAAAAATGAGCAGAGAAGGTGGAACCTCAGTGCTCAGCACATGTGATCCTTCCGAGGTGCATACTCCTGAGCCAGCGCCTGTAAGTTTAAGCAAATCCGATGACCTTCGTGGGAGCGGCTTGAGCCCTCTCCCATCTTTGACTGGATCCTTTGCCTTGGCGGTGACAGCTCAAGAGGAGGGGGAACGCTCTCGAGCGACCTGTACCGGCGGGGTCAATTGGGCGTTCGCTCTTTTTTTCTTTTTGGAGGTTTTCGTCAATTTCGACTCTGGAGTAGTTCCAGCGATCCTCCCAACATTGCAGAAGGAATTCAATCTTGACGGCGTAACTGAGGGTCAGATCCCACTACCGACTCCTGCATATGTTGCTGCCTTTGTTGCTGCTTCGGTCGTTGCGTCTGGTGCTGCTTGCCTCGAGGCTGGTGGTTGGGGGATAGTGCTGTTGTTGTCGCTGTTAGGGGGCGTCTGTGGAGCTCCAGTTGGATGTTTTTGCCTTATGACCGACCTTTACCCCTTTTAAGCCCTTCCTAGCGAGGCTAGAAAGCCTTCCGCACCCCGGCAGTGCGCATTGCATCCCCCAACCACGAGATATTCAGCGCGGCGCGCTGTCCAACTCTGTACCGCTGCGACTGCTGTACTGCTTCTCCTTTTCTGTGTAGGCCTTTTGGGGGCTCTGCCTTACGTTGGGCTAAGCCTTAGCAGCCCATTTGTGGGTCGCGGTCTGACGCTCTTCTCACCCAAATATTTTTGTCTCTTCACAATGTTGGTCAACATCGTTGCCACTGGCCTCTTTGGGCTTGCTACGAACAGGTGGTGCGCCTTCGTTCAAGCGGTTCTTTGCTGCATTCGCTCCGTAGAGAGAAGTGCAGGCAGAGGCCAATCAATGGGGGTCGCTCCAGCTGTTCGATGAAGGGGTTCTTACAGGTCTTTGTTCGTGTTGCTGGCCATTAGTGGCGCTGCGGCCCTCTATGGCGTCTGGGGTTTCTATTTAAACATTGCCCTTCTCTTTCACTTCGAGCCTTGCTTTCCTGCACAGGCTGTTGTCTTCTTGAGTCTCGTTTTTGGCGTAGCGTTCCTCAGACCGTGTTGGCCATGGGGCAGTCGATTTGGTGTGCGTGTGTGGGGCTCTTCAGGATGCTCTTCTTTTCCCGCTTCCTGATAGGCCTTACGCAGTCTGGCATTAGCATCTACGCACCCGTGTGGGTGGACCGTTTCGCTCCCTCAGACAAGCTGACCCTGTGGATGGGACTAGCACAAGGGGGTGTTGTTGTCGGCACCATGGTGAGTTTGTTCTAAGGCCTTGTGGTGTATTCTATGTTCCCGTTGTCGGTGTTTGAGGCGGCCGCCTATAGCTTTCGGTTCGCCTTCCTTCTCTTGGTGCTCTGCGTGCCTGCTGCCGCGTTCTATGTTTTTTTGGCTGCCAGCTCGAATAAACTTTATATGGTGAAAGACCTTTCGACACGCTTGTGTCCACATAGGGCTACTACCTGGCATGCCTTTCTCTCTGTGGTGTGTGCGAGCATCGCCCTCTCTCGCCCTGATGTTCGCACTGCTGCGCTCGTTGTTTTTGCTGTTCAGCTCGGCTGTGTCACTGCGGGAGCGCTGGATGCAGCCCGCCAGTCGGGCCTTGAATTCTTCCATTGGCGCCACGCTCTAGCAATCCAGTTTTTATGGTTGCTCGTTCTTGTGACAGTGTGGGGTTTTACTCCCCGCTCTCTGCTAGAAATTCAGCTCAAGCCCTCAGCAGTAGATGACAGTGACATCGTCAGTTCTGTGAGTGCTGTTTCAATGGAATGTGTAGAATTTGGGGCGTCGGGAGAAGAAAGCATTTCCCAGAATAAGGCAAGGAGTTTCCCACCTGCTTTCGCGGCAGCCGCCAACTCCCAAGGGTCTGAACGGAAGAACAGGCCGATTCTGATCGGAGCGACGACGAGTGTAGTGCCAACCTCCCCTATGCAGTCAAGGAGAGGGAGAACGGCTCTTTGGTTCTTGAACGAAGAAGGGGGGCGAAGAGGCAGCCAGAGACGGGCCACAACGGGAATAGAGAAGAGAATATCTTCGGAAGGTCCCCGAAAGAGTCTGCGTCCGACCCATCGGCAGTCCGGTGGGCGCTCCCGTTGAAGCTCCTTTTCTTGCAACACATTGGAGCTTAACATAAAACTCCAATAGGAGGGAGTCAGTGGAACGGAGACATGCCCGGTGCTCAGCAGAGGAATTTTTGTGTCTTTGCGTTGTAGCGCGTTGCGTGCATTGAAAGCCTTGCTGCGATATGGAATCGCGCGTTATTTGTGTTGCTGTTTTGCTGGTGGTTTCAGATCTTCCGGAGTATCTAAAGGACCCGCTGTCAAACTTTTTGCCACTAGATTTCTTCGCGTCCAATGCGCAGCCTTGTCGAGTCTCGCGCCTGCAGTCCGCTGCAACCGCTGGGACGCGCCGGACAGAGAGCTCCCACCATCGACAGAATGGATTTGGCGAGGAAGCAATCGGGTATATGGAGGGCTCTTCACTGCCTCGAGGGATTGGAGCTCCCCTGGCTCAGCGTGAATGCTCTGTGGGGAGGGGTAATTCTGCGTGCAACGAGAAGTGTTCCCGTGGTGTGTCGTTGCGGAGAAGGAACCCATGGGGTCATGAGGAATCTTGTGGGGGGGGAAGGAGGCAAAGCTCAAACAATTTTCAATACCAGATGACGTTTCTCACACCCCATCCTACGACCCTCGCCTTTGAGGCCCTTAATTGGGCGTCGGGGGCTCAAGACCCTATGCTCTTGGTGCAGAGGGATGCGCGGCAGCCACAAGCACCGTCGGCCCAGCAGAGTTCTGGCCGTGTTGAGGGAAGCTTTTCAGGGGGCGGCAACGGCAGAGGCACCCCAAGTACCAGCAGGGCAACCGCCGGGGAGCAAGCACCTTCGACAGTTTTGCAGGACGGTGATGCACAGGACTTATCAAATATTGATTTGGAAAAGGACACTCAGGGGGCTCTGCCTCAGGATGCGTGTGCAGAGAGGCGTCACTCGGTAGGTTGCTCCCTGGGAAGCACCCATGCACTTTGCAGTAGCGCACAAAGCAAAGCTGTACCCACACATATTTGGAGGTGTGAGCTTAGCAAAGGAGTGATGGGGAGAATGCGTGGATTGTCTTCTGCAATTTACTGCAGACCAAGGCCGATGCGTCAAGGGTCGCAGCCCCCATTAAAACATTCGGCGTCCGTGATTCGATTCGAATTCTGTTTTCGTAGGTTTCACTGCAGTTCAGCTGTTATTGTGGGTGCTCTTATGTTGCTGTACAGCAATTGCTGCTGTCTGGGTGGTGGTTTGCGTGCCCTTTTACAAGGCTTCGGGAGGTTCTCATTTTGTCAGTGTCGTTTCTTCTGGTGCTTGGCTTTCAGGAGTCCTCTCTACGTGTGTGTCACTTTTTCTCTTTGCGCCCTCTTCTTTGAGGTCACCGCTATTCAGTTCTGGTCGATCACGTACTTCCAAGAGGTCCTCAAGGTAGCAATAATTCTTAGACCTTCCTGTTGCCCACTGGCCTTCAGGGTGGTACCTCGAGCGCTCCGAGTTCCCCTGTGGAACCGCTAGCCTTGCTCAAGAGGGGTAAAATACTGGTGCTATAGAGCTTCTGATTGCATGGGCTTTTGGCTTCGAGATGTATATTTTGGTGTCCCTGTATAACTGCAACCGGCTTCGTCCATTCTGCGTGGTGCGTCTTGTGTCTGTACAGCGTCCCGCGAGTACAGTTCTTGTGGCCTGTAATGCAACAGCAGCTACAGCGCCCATCCTGGGAGTATTGGGCGGTGGTTGGCTCGTAGATTTTGTTGGCGGGTACAAGGACGAGCGGGGAATGCGTCGAGTTATGGTGATACTTCTGTCATGGGCCACCATTTGCTTCCTGCTGGGCATTGCGGCGGGCTGTTCTACTAATTTTTGGATAGTCGTCCTCTGCATGTGGTGGATTATGTTCTTTGGTGGGGGCATCCTCCCCGCGGCAACGGGTATCGTTATTACTTCTGTTCCTGTGGAGGTCCGCGCTTTCGGCAGTGGTTTCTGCATGATGATTTATAATCTTCTCGGATACGTTTTGGGCACGTTTCTTCCGGGTATTCTCATTGAAGCTGCCAGCCTCGTTTGGGGCATGAGGGTCAGTCCTATTGAAGCGCCTTGTCAGGAAGCGCTAGTACCCGACAAAGATTCCTTTATTCACCGATAATCGGGGCATGCATTCGGCCTCTGTGCTTGCAGCACTCCCCGCAAGCAGCGCTCCATCCCCAAATAGCACACCAATAAAAACCATCGCCTTTATGTTCTTTGTGATATCTTTCCTCCGGTTCCTTGCTTCTGTTTCAGGTTATATACTTGTGGTCTTTTAATGGCTTGGTGGGCTTGGCACTCGCTTGCTGCTTCCTGTGGCGCCTAGAGATCAAGCCGACCTTCATTTCGGACGTGGGCAGTGCGTCAACCTGGACGCAACAACAGGACTTTGAAAACGACAATGCCCGGAGGGAAACACAAGAAGGCCTCCAACAAAAGGCAGTGTGTGTCCGTGTTAACTAGCCTTTGCACCCGAGGAGGGTGCGAAGAAGCAAGAAAAGCAGTGATATAGAATAGGGAAGGCGAGGAAATGTCCCGAAGCCTATGAGCGCATAATGATTGGCATTGGAGTTGGTTTTAGCCACTTCTGTGTAACTGTCAAAATAGCTCGCTGACATAGGGGCTGTATCTGTGCAGCCGTTTGATTATGCAACCCAATTAGAGGCAGCCCTTCAGAAGTCGTAGCGTTTTACATGCCTCTCCTGGCCGCTGCTAGTCGTTTTCTTGCCAAGGGCGCGCCATCCAGGGTTTACACGAAACCGCGCACTTTTCTGGTGGGTTTGGAAGAACCCTCTTTTTCATTAGGGAAGCCAAATATGTCTGGCTATATGCACTAAACTAACAAGATGTCAGCTCTGTTAAATGCCAGAGTTTGAGAAAGCTGAAATCAGCACAGAGGGTGCATGGCTGGCCTGATTTGTAGTTACTAGTGTTCAGGTAGATAGATAGTGGTTTTCTTGTGTTATCAGTAGCCCTCAGCAAGACTACTAGGTTTCGTGAATATTGATAATCGGCGTGGTAGAAATACAGGGCGGGTGATCGCATGCGTGCTGTTTGTGAACATTGTACATGAAATGATCATGACATAGTTCAATTGTTACCAAGGGGTGTGCGTCGCCAGACTAATAAGAAACTGTTTTCCTTGTTGATGTAACTCCAGGGAGATTTGTATGCTACACAGCTTCAAATGAACTGAATACCCATGTGAAAGAAGAATTGAACGGTGTGTGTACATCATGATACAACTTCTGCATTTTTGCTTATTGTGCAACAGCCCTTATTTATCTGGGTAAAAAAAGCCCTTAGTACTGCAGAAGAAATATTTACAAGGTCGAAGCTTGGCATTTGGTAGTAGAGAACAAATTTGACCATTCAGGGTGAGTGGCACGGTCGGCGTTGCGGTGTCTGCGCGTCAGAAACATTGGACACGATGGCAAAACGCCTCCAGACTTGTGTCGTCTGTTCAATTTCAGCGGCGTCCAAATGATTAAATCAGTTGGAATTCTTCTCGGAGGGGTGTATACCCTTGCAATCATGCCATCATCCGGCCTGAAAAGCTTCCATGTTCAAAACGGTCGGGCGAACACTGTGTTACATGCTCTGATCATCAAATATTTTGCATATTTGCATCAGGACCCCTGGGGGCTCCTAGCTCCCGAGTTATCAAGCTAACAGCTGAAGAATCGGTGGCCTACAATCCAGGCAGCGGCACCCTCAGCTCCTCATCTGTCAGCCCGCAATATGGTGGAGGGGAAGCATGGGCATACTCTGGCCCTAGCATAACGCAAATTCCTCACGAGACACAGCAAACCTTGGCTGCAACTACAAATCTACCTGGTGTGGTGAGGCCAGGAAAGTTCGAGTGGATCTGCTTTGTGGTTCAGACCCCGACTGCTTGATTTTAGGTTCAGTCAGGATATGTGCAGCCTGTCACGCCAACATCCGGCTTCCCTCGCCTCAGTTTTGTAGGTTCATAGTGTTGTGCACCGGAACTCGATTATTGAACGACCGTGGCTGCAGCCGTTGCCAAGTTGGCTCACACAGCTTATCAACACCGCTGGGGGTATCTCGTCCTTTATTAGTGGGCTCGGTAAGTTCCATTTAATTATGGTGAAGCAGCGTTGTTTCATTTGGCTTCTCGAAAGGCGTCCCAGGGGCCCCAAATGTGCACAAATGTGAGCCGGTTCACTATTAGCGTGTTTGCGCACAGTATTTTTCACGGCAGTATGCAGGCATGTCTTCGCCATCCTTAAAGGAGCTGATGGTTTGCGTCGAGTCTGGTAAATGAGACTTTTTTTCCATTTTATATTGCATTTTGTTCATCAGTTGGTGTACAGTTGTCAACGAGGGCAAGGAGCTGTTTCAAACCGGTACCAACGGTTGCTTCTTGCCTTTCGAGTTTCAGATAATTACTGCTACACAGCAAAAGAAATTGCGGTCTTGAATACTCGTGTTATGGCCGGAGGAAGGTATCATTGATGAATCTTTGAGAGCTGCTATTTCACCGCGAAAAAGGGAGGAACAGACCTGCAGATGCGGCGCTTGCTAGACTCAAAACTTTGGCTTCGCGACCTCTTGCAAAGAATCTAATGAAAGCGCTCGGTACTGCTTTTGAGTGTTATGTAGCCTTCTAAGCAAAACGTTCAGAACATTCACCATTTCAGGCACTACGATGATGTGCACGTTCGTCCATTACAAACATATCCGATATGACCCTCGTTTGTGAATCAAATCTTAGCATGCTGATGCAAAAGGAAATAACCCCTGACAGGTCTGCCAGAGCACTCATCCTTCCCATCATTGCTACCACAGTAATGAAACTGTTGTGTTTCGCTGCACTGTTCGGCGCCAGACAACGCTGGCAAGCCGGCTCAATAGTCACGGCAGTCACTGACTTGCCCGTGGCCAGCGATATCACCAATACACGGTCCGGCGGTTTTGGTCACGTAAATGGTAAGATATAGAGCTTTTTTTACAATTCACTGTAGAACAATTCCATATCTCCCATCCAAAGTTGTACTGCCAAGGCCCTCTCGAGTCCACCGCAGCGACAAAATAATTGAACAGCTGAACAAAGGCATGGTAAGGGACTCTTTACCCTGTGGTTATGCAATGTCATATGTCGGTGCTCCTCTTAGGACCCCGTAGACACGCTGTACGGCGCACTGGGTGTGGAGGGGAGAACCGACCTACGGTTTCCCCTCTCGGGACCCTGAAGTTTTGGTACGTACTTACGGTCCCATCCCAACAGAGAGAGGCGCCTCTAAATCTATTCCAGAAAGCTTATGAATGCACAGACCAAACAGATTTAATAGAGGCCACTACGAGCCCAGTTGAATCTCACCGTCTCAGGTGTATCACCGTGAAAAACAACCGCCGTGACGATAGTCCAGAGCAGTACAGGGTTTCTGTAGAAGCGTTTAGTTGAGAGTGTCCTATGAAGCCCATGAAGGGCCCCCTTAGGGCAGAAGGCTGGTCATGGGGTGCCATGCAAGACAATGAAGCTACAATAAAATTCTTGCGAGCAACAATCGCATATTTGCCCGTGTCTGTAGCGGCGCTCGCCTAACCGTCAGCTGCGCTATTGCGCATTGAAGGAGGGGATGCAGCAGCCAACGCAGGGGCGGGGTGGGGTCTGCCCCGGCAAACAGCCTCTACAGAAACCCCTAATCACCAATACTTAACACTGAAATGATGTCAAGTCAACCCTTATGCTGAGGTCAGCCTGTAAACCCGCCTGTGGGCACTACGAAACGCGGATATAATCCCACTAGTGAGTGGCTCTCGCATCATGTAAGGGCAGTCCACATGAACCAAAACAAAATTCCGGTAACCGCTTACTTGCACAGTCGCTACCCAGTCTCAGAGCCTTCTCTTAAAGAAAGGCACTGATTAGAAGCTCCTATATACACTTAAAACGTTGGCTGGGCAAAGAAGGCCTGTTGTTGCTGCTGCTCTGGGTTGTGCGGGGGTACTGCAGCCTGAGTGCTCACACTGGCTGCAGGTATACTGGCCAGCTGAGAAAAAGGATCACCAGATGCAGACAAACGTTGCTGTTGCTGCAGCAGTTGCGGCTGCAGTTGCTGTTGCTGCAGCAGCAGCTGCTGCTGGATGAATTGTTGCTGCATCAGCTGTTGCTGTAGAACCCTTTGTTGAAGCAGTCGTTGTTGCAACACCCTCTGCTGCAGCAGATCTTGTTCTGGCAGTAGACCTTGCTGATGCAGCAACTCCTGAGGCTGTTGTGTGGCGCTGTGCTGCGCGAGTCCCTGCTGTTGTTGGTGCAACAGCTCGGCGCGGTGCTGAAGTGCGTGATAGTACTGCTGCTGGTTGAGCAGTTGCAGCTGCTGCTCCATCCTCAGTTGCTGCTGAGACAGCTCCTCAAAGTCGGCTCTGGCAGACTCGAGTTCCCTAACTTGTTCAGGTGTCGCCGGCTGTTCAGGAAGAGCGACCAACCGTCGATACATATTCTGGCGGCACAAGGCCACCTCTGGCAACTGCCTCTGGATTTCATCCATCTGCTGAAGCATCTCAAGATGCTGCGCGCAACAATACGGTTTCTGTTGCTGCTGCAACTGCTCGGATGCCAGCAAGGTAGACAGCTGCTGCACCTGTAAAGTTGAGTCCTGGCTGGTGCCGCACAGACCCCCTACTTGAGGGAGTGCCGCGCTCTGTTGCTGCGCGTCTGCAGGCCCAGAAGGCGCAAGGCCAGCCGCAGTAACAACACCCGCAGCGCAGTGAAACGGTGTTGCCGAGGTCGCTTCACCCCCTGGGGGCTGAGTCGGCTCCGGCACTTTCCCTGCTTCCACGAGCTCTGCAGCAGTTGCTGAAGTCTCCACTGCAGCCACAGCAAACTCAGCGGGATCGATCTCACCCAAGGAGGCGCTTCCCCTTTTCTGCTCCGCCCCGTCGAATGGACTCCCGTTTCCTCGAGGCCTGCGGTTCTTTAGGCCCTGCGTGGCTCCTGGTGCTCCCTCAGACACTGCAGGCACTCGCCGCCTTTTCCTTGCTTTTGAACGCCCATCGTCAGCTGCCCCCGATGCTACATACTCCCCTCCCGCGAAAGAGGCCTCTCCTACGAACTGGAAGACCCCGACCTGCTGCTCCGCGCCTCCTGAAAGCGGCTGGCTCAGCTGGGGCAGACCCTCTCCTGCGGCACTCGGGAGAGCACTGACGGCATGCTGCTCCTGATCTGCTTGCTGGTCTTGTTGAAGCCCCTGCTGCTGCTGCTCTTGCTGCTGCTCGTGCTGCTGCCCCGCTCCTGCTTGCTGCCCCGGCTCTTGCGGTCCCATATCTTGAGCATCTCCAGGCTGCAGCTCGTCCTTAGCGCAGTCGCCGATTGCTTCTGCTCCAAGCGCAGGCGGTCCCTGCTGGTCCGCGCAGAAGGGAGAGACTCCCTCCACCTCTGCTGCAGCCGCATCGGGCGGAGTAGGAAGATCCGCCTCCTCTGGCTCCGGATCGCGAGGGCCATGCGCTTCTTGCTCTTCGTCATCTTCATCCATTTCCAACCGGGCTTCTATGGCAGCGCTGCGCGCAGCGGCAGCTCCTCCAGGCATTTCTGCCACTCGGAAGACTTTCGTAATCAACTGGCCTGCACACAGAGCCCCCGCATTCGCAGGTGCAGCAGAAGACCCTTCCTCTAGATCCGTGTCGTCCATACACGCGCTCCCTCCCGCAACAGCAGTTACCCAAGCATGCAGGCACAACGCCCTATAGTAACGCCCCAGAAATATGTGTTAACAGGCACGCATGCGGCAAAAGCCAGGCAGAGCAGGCTTGGGCCGACTTAATAGAAGCTCCGCGATGAAGGAGATATGCAGGTGCGAACACGCGATAGCACGCACAACACGCAGTGCGACACTCACAGACACGCGCCTTAGACGCGAGCAGAAGAGAGAGAGGCAATAACAAGCAAAAGTAGGATGAGGCACGAGGCGAAATGCGATGAGGGGCCCTTACCCGTTACGGGGTCTTGACAAGCGGCAACCCAAGCGTCCGCCTCAGCGTCGTAGTACACAGCAGGGGGAACTGCGGAAGCACAAAAATAGGGGGGGAAGGAAATACGGCACAGAGGCAACGGCCCTGAACGAACCTGTATTGAAAACAGGGGAAATCCTCTCCTGCTATCAGCGCCACTTGCACAAAGCTGTTTCTCGCGGCGTTTACGCCTCGCTTTGATCGAGCGACTTCTCTGCGCACGCCGCGGTTTGAAGGGGGCCCCCCGTGCATGCAAAAGCCACATTACCTGCGGCTAACTACTCGACTTACTGCAAGGGGAGGCGTCCCACTGCCCCTGGTGCTGCCTTCGCATTTCCTCCTCCAGCTCCAGGCGAGCCTCAATGGCCTTGCGCTTGGCGCCACGCCATCCGTAAACAGACACCCTAAAGTATCGGTTGATCTGACTCTTAGTTGCCCGGTTCTTGATGTAGGCGAGCCACGCGTTTCCAGTGCGGGAAAAAGATACCCCCAGGATGCCTGCGTGGACAGAAACGGCGGGAAAAGCACCAAGACACGCCTCACGCACGTGCAATATCCGTCGCTGCTTCTGCCGAAGCTGCACACCTACCTGCCACAATCAGGCAGCACGGTGGGACCTAAGGGTGTAGCTACACTCCACCCATGAGCTGAACTACACTCCACCCATGAGCTGAACTACACCAACACGTGCACTGTCTCCTTGCTCGCTCGAGACGCGTTGCGCCTTCGGCTGGCGACTCACCATTTCTGTAACTAATGCCACGGCCGTTAGGCCTGCTCAGACCTCCTCCTCCCGCGAGCTGGCCTTCCTGCTTGATCTGACTCGTCCCACTGGCAGCAGCACTGCCCACGCCCCCTGCTGCACACCTTCTAGCAAGCACGCCACCCTTTACACGGCTCCGAGACTGTGCCTGAATCTCTGGAGCACAGCCTGCAACGATATCGTCCTTACTGCTGCTGCTGCCGCTCGTGTCTGGAGTCTCCCCAGAGCCCTCGGAGGAATGCGCAAGTCTGCGAAAAACACACGACCTGCAAAGCCGGATTTCACGGCGGGGCACCTCAGCTCCTGCTGCTCGCAAACGCGACGCTGCAGCGGCAGCCTTCACGACGAAGCTGGCAGCACAGCTCTTCGAAGCCACGTCAGAAAAGCCTAGCTCGCACGACCAGCGCGGTGGGCAGAGGCGAAAGCGGAAGCGGCAGGCGTGCAGAAAGAGTTCCAAGGGCTCAGCAATCAGAGCTAGCGAAACAGAAGTTTGTGGATCTCCCCAGTCAAGAGTCCAATAAGGAGGAGCACGTGAAGGTGAGACTCCGAGAAAACGCATGCGCAAGGAGCAAAAACCAGCACGCCAAAAAGCCGCGACCTTCGTGCTTTCAACAGACGCAACACAAGCAAAGCCCACAGCACCCTCGAAACGCACCTGCACTGTACAGACAGCTTATATGCGAGATCGTCTCCGTACTTCAGCACGGAGAAAGACTTTGCCTGGGGGACGCCGTCCTCAAGCCAACGCGCCTCCCAGCAGTTCCTCTGAGGATCAAACACTACCCCAGGAACGCGATCCCCTTCTACCCCCTGCTGCTGCCCCTGCTGCCGCTGCTGGTGCTGCGGCTGCTCGGAAGGGTGCTGCTGAAGCACATGCGAAGACCCCTGGGGAAGGGCTTGCTGCTGCTGCTGCTGCTCCTGCTGCTGCTGCTGCTGCGCCTCCGCGATCGGCTGGCTGCCCAACGCAGCCTGCTGCGACTGCTGCTGCGACTGCTGCTGCACCTCGCACTCTGCGCTTGCGTCAGAGGCGTAATCGCTAGGCGCGTACAGGTCGGGAAGGCGCGCATACTTGTTGCGCTTCGCGGCAGCCGAAGCAGCAGACTGCTGCAACTGGTGCACCACTTGCTGCAAAAGCGGAGGTCTAGGACGGCTGGGATCCTCAGGACCCCTCAACTTGTGCGGCAGCAGCGCGCATGGGCCCCCCCAAGCGCATGCAGTGTGAAGAGCGACTGCGCTTTCAAGCGCCGCTTCGTTTGCCGCCTCTTCATCCGCTGCTGCCGCCGCCGCCTCTGCTGCAGCTTGAGCCTCAGAGCCGTCAACCCCCTCCACCAACCACCCCACAGCCTTTGCTGCATCGGCTGCAGCTGCGAGAATCGAGCGACAATCAGCCCAAGGGTGCAAAGGCCCACCGTAGAGGTCCTCCTTAAAGGCCTCCCCACAACTCACACTTATGCCACCCTCCATGCGTCCACTTGAGGTGTTGCTTCCCTCTGCTCTTGCTGTTGCTGCTGTTGCTGCTGTTGTTGCTGTTGCTGCTGTTGCTGCTGTTGCTGTTGCTGTTGCTGCTGTTGCTGCTGTTGCTGCTGAGTTTGCTCCCGCTGAATCTGCTGCTGTTGCTGGTGCTCCTGTTGCTGCTGAGTTTGCTCCCGCTGAGTCTGCTGCTGCTGGTGCTCCTGTTGCTGCTGAGTTTGCTGCTGCTGGCGGGGAAGAGGCCCCCGAGCGATCCTGCTCGCCAGCCTCTGCGTCTGCTGCGTCCTCGGAGGCTTCCGGAGGCACGCGGCGTTGTTGCACTTCTTGCAGTTTCGCCTTCAGTGCAACATCCTTACGTTGCTGCAACACGGCCTCTCTTATTTGCTGCTGATGCAGCTCCCTCTCCCTGCGCTCGGATTCTGAGGCCAGCAAGTAGTGCCGCAAGACATCCGTCGATTGCAAATACATCTCTGCACTCAAATCAAGCGCGTCTGCCTCCTTGCCGTGGCAAAACAGCACGGGGCCTCCTATAAGCTGCTGCTGCTGCTGCTGCTGCTGCGCAGGAGGAGGAGAAATCTGCGCACGTCGCCACTGGTGTGGCGACTCCCCCTGATGCGCTTCCTGCTGCTGCTGTTGCTGCTGCAACTTCAGCAGCGCTTGCTGCTGCTGTGCGTCGTCGCACTCCATTGCATGCAACATTCCCAGCCCCAAGGCAGGAGGTGCTGCAGACAACCGCACAACCGAAGGACTCACTGCCCAGCCTTCGCTCGGTGGGCATGGAGGTGCATCCTGAGGAAAGGCACGTTTTCCCCCCTGCTCTCCCCTTGCAGGGGGGCCTTCTGCAGCTGCTGATGCTGAGCCTCCCGACGCTTTCTCGCCAGCTTCAACAGCAGCAGCCCCTCCTGAAGCTTCTGTCCGAGTAGGATCATCGGATGCCGCTGTCCGAGGTGCTGGGGGAACTGCCACCGCCCCCTCGTCCTCCATGTCATCGAGCTCCCGTGTAAGCTCCGCGAGGCGGATGTACACGTCAGCGAGATCCGCTTTCAACGCCTCCGCATGCAGGTTACAGCGCCGCAGCCCCAACTCAGTGGCAGCCGTGAAGGCCTCGAGCTGCCCTGTCGCTTCTTCCAGCTTCTTCGCGAGCAAGGCGATATCCTCAGCCTCGAGCGCAGACGACGCAGCAGCAGACGCTCTGCGGGAGCCACCGCTGCTGGCATCGATGGGACGCCCTTGCTCGGGGGGTAAGGAACTGCCTGATAATCTTGAACCATGATCTAGCGAGACGGGAGACGAGGAAGCGGCCGCCTGGATATCGCCCTCTGCCGGAAACTCCTTGCCTGCCGCTGCATCAGGGGCCCCATCGAATGATGCAACAGCTCCCCCTGCAGTTCTCGCAGCGTCCGTACACCCCATGGGAGCGCCAGTAGCAACCCTGCAGTCAGGGCCATCATGTTCCTCCGCCTGAAGGCCCTTAAGACTTCCACTCATTCCGCCTGTGTTGCATTGAGAAAGCGGTGCGAAAGCTTCCGCCTGTGCAGCGTCCAGCGATCCAGAAAACGGCTTCGGTTCCTCGTACAGCACAGGCTGCTTCTGAACCCGCTGTAGATGCTGCGGATGCAGACGCTGATGCTGCCCTAGATGGTGCAGTTCTTGCCCGACGGCGGAAGCCGAGCTTGTCATACAGCGCGACGACTGCGAAGCCAGCTAGCTAGGTGCCTTTTAGAGTACTACTACGGGGGTGGTACACAGAGAGAGGCCAGGGGAGGTGAGGCATTGAGCGCCCCCAATGATGCCGTTTTGCCGTTTCGCCCTTTCGCAATGGTCGAGGTGAACACACAGCAACAGCGGCAAGAGGGAGCAGGTAGCTCTGGGAGTTTATTGCTGCTGCTGTTGCCGCCACTGCTGCTGAGTACCGAACACTACATACCCCGAAGGGCAGGCAGCGGGGAGGCAGAAGGCGGCACGGAGGCCTCTAGAGGAGCCCCTAGCCACAAAAGGGCCCCCCTACGCCCTAAGGCCTCGCTTGGACACGGAAATCTTGGGGGTAAAGGCACCTGCCTCGGATCCGTGCGAATAAGATCCAGATCCAGGGCGGTCGTGGCTGTTGCTGCTGCTGCTACGTTGCTGGGCAAAGCGGATATCGCTGGAGGGTCTCCTCGCAGCAGACGGCGGGAGAAGCAGAACATGCAGGTGAAGAGCGGGGTTTAAGAGTATGGCCTATAGGTTCACAACTGCAGCGCACGGCGGTACAAGCCTACAAGAGCAGGCGGATGACACACATCGATAGGGAGAAAAGGGCCCTCTTCAGGCGCTGCCCGTATATTCCATGCCCTTGAGCCAAAGTAAAAGCCCTAAACCCGAAAATACTGGAGAACCGATTACGCTGCAGCCCCTGCGCTGTTGCTCCTACGGCTGCTACCGGTGAGGCCGGGGAGGCAGCACCAGCGTACGAGTGTTGCGGTTTAAGTCATTTATGGGATGGGAATACGCATGGGGAGGATACATAACGACACCAAAATAAGTTGTTTCAAGGGTTGTTACTCAGAAATGACGGCGCCGTAAAATATGCAGCAGTACAGGAAAGCCGCATGTGGACATGTAGAGGGGCGCATGGGGGATGAAGGCGTGTGAGAGGCTGCGTCTGTTTAAGCTATGGGGCAAACACGGGCGCCTTCTACTTACTTTATTAGGGAGCAAAATCGTTTTCCCATGATTTGATGACTCCACTACGAACGTAGATCTAGTGACCAGCGAAGAGGCACAACCCCCTACCCACGCTGCCCACAGAACGGACGTGTCACGCCAACTCAGTAAGACTGCAGACCCGAGAAACCTGCCAAGGGGGCTCTTAGATCCTTCCAGAAAGACCTATAGAACCATGTGGTGGGCCCACTTAGGACTTAAGGAGGCCCCTACACAGCCTTCAGTACTAGCTTGTAGAACTTCAGTGGGGACCCTTGGTTTGGGTAACCTGAAGGGGGGTTGTAAGGCCGGGAAGTGGGTTGCATAGGGCCTTACAAGGGCACTTTTAGAATCTTAAAAGGGGCAGTGTAACTTTGTACTAAAGCGTTAGGATAGGAGGAAGGCGATGCCTAAGTCTTAGACCCGGCGTGCTCCGCCATAGCTGTAAAACAGGGTGATAAATTTGTCAAGCATGCGATCTCGCCCTGGCCAAGCGAGGGCCTTGAAGAGGGATGCTGGGCACCGCAACAAGCCCCCTGGCTGACGGGGACTTTAAGTGAAGCCGTGGGTAGGGGCTAAGCTACCCCTGGACGCAGTCTAACGGCACCGGCTACATTAGAACAAGACTGGGTAAAATATTGAGTATGTGGCTTGTCCGTTCCTATGTCTTCGTTTCTGCAAAGCAGAGCTGGCTGTACAGGATAAAGATTGGGTGGAAAATATGCCTCGGTGCACTAGGTGCCGCTTGCAACTAGCTGCAAAAGCGCTGTGCGCCTGGAAGGTACAGCCATGAGCACTCTAGCTGCCCCTCCTCTTTCCCCACGCCGGAGCCTGCGCGAGGCGAGCACGTGGTAAAGCAGGAGGGCACGCCTTTGGAAAAACGCTCAAGAACTTTCTATCCAGTTATGTATAATGAGTTTGGGGGCCGAGAAAAGATTGTGGAGTCAAAGAGACCCTATCTGGAGTAGCACACCACGGAAGCTAGCTGCCGTTCTCGCGGTTGAAGCTGGCCCCTATTGCGCCGCTAAAGAGATATCGAGAGGCCCCCATGAGCCAGTTGGGCCACCCGAACCTTTGTGACTTTCACCCAGTCATGAGTGTCTCTTGCATCGTTGTGAAAGTCAGCATTGTGACAACTCTATGTCTCTGCCACTGCATATATGCACAAGAGTCGGTCAGTTGAGCCAAGCACTGGACCGTCCCGTTCTTGAACAGTCAAAGACCATTGAAGAATTCGGGTGATATAATCCTGAAGGAGACACAAGTATCAGCCCATCAAGACCACCTACGCAAGACGATTTGAAGTGGTTCGTTCACCGAAGGAAAGGGTCTGCCAGGACTTAGTTGGCAGCATTGATTTCGTGATACTCCCTGCCTTGCCTCAAAACCCAAAGAAGAGGGCCGTGCCGATTACTTTTGGGGGCCCTCTGGCCAAACCCCAATTGGTCGATGGCCTTAAAGGCCTTCGCCCTAGTGAGAGCTTCTACTACTGTAGAACCATTCTGGTCCCTGCAGAGAAGCTTTGAGGGTAGAGTCATTGAGTTTTAGAGGGGAGCCAGAGGGGCTTAGCATACTGAGTGCGCCTAATGAGGCGTTGCCGCTTGTGTGGAAAAACGGAGCCAAGTGGCAGAGGCCGGGGCAGGGGGGTGTGTTGCCTTACGATTCCGCAGTGTGCTCCGCGAAGACACAGTGCTATGCTCGCAGAAATCATATAAGGCGCTGCCATTTGTGTAATGTGTATTGCAGTCGAGGGACAGCAGCTGCGACGAATAGCTGCTGCCGCCCCTTTGGAGGACAGGGAGACATGAAAACTACTGGCGAGTAGGGAAAGCCCTCAAAGAAAGTGTGTACTGGCATAACCACGGCATAGCGCGTAGCGGCAAAGACACTTTCCTCTGCTGAAGCTCCTTGGGAAACGCCTGAAACTCTACTCTCTCGATCTCTGTTTCTTTATCTCTTACACTAGCAAAATGTGTCACGTCCAGTTGTCGGACAGCTGGAATAAGAGGCGCTTCGAAGAGCCAGACAGCTTTATTTGACGTTTTTGTTGCAGCGCCCAGCAGAGCACTAACTAGCCGTGTGTTAGTAGGGGTTTCGCCAATGTCACGCGTTCTGCTCACAGCCGCTGATTTCTTGAGGATACGTTCTGCTCACAGCCGCTGATTTCTTGAGGATACGTTCCGCTCCTCAACTGTTATCCCTGAGACGCATTTACTGGGTATGTATTGCGCACCTCAAATACAGCACCACAGCAACGAAAAGGAAAAGAGAGCAAGTCTAGGACGAGCTTTTTACGACACAGCGAAGGTGCAGGTTGTTTTTCGGAGGATAACAATGAGTTCTCCTCACAAAATCCGCTGTTGAGAAATAGCGCTTCTCCGTCGGTGGGCTGCCACAGAATGAGGCATTCGACGGTCGAACCACACCTAAAAATGAAAAACAACGGTACGTTAAACCCGCTAAGGAGAATCCACGCCTCAAGAGCAAACTGCCAAGGCTCATTACAGTAGAGGTGTACTACAGATGCCTAGAAGCCTCCCTCACGAGGTTCTGCGCATGGCTCGCTTCCAAAACGAAGACACCACGCGAGAGTTCCGCGCGCACACTAGACCAGAGCGCCCCAAGAGAAGAAGGCTATAAAACTGCTGCGGCATGAGCCCCCTTGAGACGACAGCAGAGCAGCAGCAGAGGCAGAGCAGGGGATCCTGAGCGCAACTCTCTACTCTTGAGGAGAAGTCGCTTTGTGTTCGGCGGTGCGGCAATGCTCCCGAGCCACGTATCTACTCCACCTGTATGTCACACAGAGAGCGCAGCACGTGCAGATGCCCAATGTCTGACATCTGCGTTCTCTCCCTCCGCTTCATGAAGCCCCTCCCTCCCCTGTTCTGCTAGTCCTGTCGGCTTCAGACTTTACCAAGACACGTGACTGGACGAGGGCACCCCAACACCTGCTGCAAATCCTACCTCAGGAAGTCACGCTGCCTCTTAGGTAGGCGACCCTGGTGTGCAATGCGGCGGGGGATTCGCCGCAGGGTTGGCAAGGGAGGGCTCTCTTCGTCTTCCTGCAGCCTGCCGTCCTCCTCCTTGGGCTGGAGCGGCTGCTGCTGCTCAGCAGAGCTGGCAGTGGCGACGAGTTTGGCTGCCTGGGCTGTGCGAAGATCGGCCTCGACCTCGCGAAGCATCTGCTCCAGCTTGACAACCCGTGCCGTGAGGTTTTCTAGCCTTCTTTCGAATTTCTTCTTGTGGGGACTGCGCTGCAACTTACCGGTGCACTCTTCCACGCGTTCCCGGGCCCGCTGCAGCTGCAGGTGCAACACACGATGTCGCAGCTGGAGAATCTGCTGCAGAGACATCCCTGCCGCCCTTTGCAGCTTGTACGTATGCATGTGCTCATCATCTGCTACGGCGTCCGTGCTGCCCTCCGCGGCAGAAGCCGAAGGGGTGGCGGATGGCACAGAATCTCGATCTGCCGCTGGACTGTCAGCGAGCGAGGCCGCGTCAGGGTCGAACACAGCAACAATGCGATCTTGCGTCTTGGGTTGCAGCACGAGACAACGGCCTCCCAGCTTTATGATGGCGCGCGCGGCTGCGCGCGTGAAGGCATGCGCCTGAGGAGCCGCATCAGCATAGCAGTTGCGGCGAGCGAACCTGGGGAGTGGCCTCCGCGGACGAACCGCAAAAGCGACTCGACGGGCTCGCGGCAAAAAGGTGTTGCGAGGCAACAGTGAAGAAAGGCGATATCACGGCAAAGGCGAGACTGCAAGACACACCTTGACCTGCAATCCCCCGACTTTAAGAGAGCCGTCTGCAGCAGCCCCCAGCCGCTTGCGACTGAGCGGAGGCCCCACAACCTACAAGAGCGCAACACGCACAGACACGCACAAGGAACAGGCTGACTTGTCAGTAGGGGAAGCCGCACTGAGGGGCAAGGGGACAAGTCAGGTTGGCAGTGGCCGCAACAGCGGCAGCGCGCCGCGCTCGGGAAAAAAATGGCGATTGGGGTGCGATGCGGCGGCGAACCTTCACTGGACAGTCTCTGGCGTATTTGCCTAGAAAGACGCCCTTCGAGGCTAGGGAGGCCCAGTCCACTGTCTCGCCCTCCTTGCATGCGTTCAGCTTGTGAAGAGGCAGTAGCTGGAAGGGGTGCTGCCGATACTTCTTGCGATGCCCTGTTCCCAACTGTCTTCCCACGAACTTCGGCAGGCGCCGGTACAGCGGCATCTGCCCCCCCTCGAAGCCTGCGAGGTGTGCACACAGCATCATCCCACACACAGCCGCAGGGCATGCACGTCAGAGCACGCACATGGACGCTGGTAGTGGTGTTGGTCGGGGTGGGGTTGGTGGTGGTCTTGTGCCAGCTTTCTTGGCCGCATATCCCTCCAGTAGGGTCAGCTCTGTAGGAAGCCCTTACCAATCCTTATCGAGCCTCCACTACGCGCCTTCTGTCCCTTGCAGCCCCTGCCTGATGAGCCTCCCTTGCCGCTGCCGTCTCCACGTCCTAGCCGTTTGGCTTCCTTCTGCTTGGTGCGCATGAGGGTGCCTGGCCCGAAAGTAAACTCTCCTACGCGGCGGTTAGCTCCGAGCTGAGAGAACTGCGGCGAAATGTCAAAGAGCGACCGGAGAAACACACTTTCGCCCCGCCCAACACACGCAAACGTATGCTTCTCCGCTCTCGATTGCCCTCGCAGAGGTAAGGGAAGGCAGACACATGGCATCAACAGAGAGAGAGAGAGCGAGAGAGACACACGCGGACAGAGGTGAGGCAGAGAAAGAGCCAGCTTGAGCTACATAAAATACACATCTCAAAAATCAAAGCGCCAGAAGCCCATACACAGACACCCCTACACATCCTGCTTCGGCAAGGGGCATCAGCACGAGCCGCAACGGCAAAATCCCTGTAACATCATGTGGACTAAATTCTCAGCCCTCAGTATGCGCGATTTGCCTGGCCTTACCCTCCATTCGTGCGTAACGCTGCCCTCCGGATTGCGGAGAGCTTCCGCAGTATTCCGCCCGTAAACCGTTGTCAATAGTGCCTCAGAACAATCTCCCCCCTTTTCCAAGGCCTCTTTCGATAGGTCCCTGGAGTCCTGAAGACTGCTGCCGCTATCTGAATCCTCCTGACTGCGGTTGCTGCTGCTGTTGCTGCTGCTGTTGCTGCTGCTGTTGTTACAGTTGTTGTTGCTGCTGTTGCTAGTGCTAGCGCCACTATTACTGCAGCCTTCTTGCTGCCCTGAAGGCGGCGCCTCCGCTTTTTCCGGACTGTCTCTGCTTCCTGGCTGCTGGACGTAGAAGGCCTGCCGCCACGCCTTTCTCACGCGTAAGTCCCACACAAGGGCTTCCATTGTTTCGATCTGTGGCAAGGGGGGGGGCGGGGGGGGAAGGTGCTGCTGCTGCGCCACGCGAGCTGCTGCTGCAGCAGCTGCTGCGAGCTGGGGGCCTGCGACAGAGGCTTTCAAGTCCGACGGCTTCGGGGGGTCGACAGCGGGCCGTTTCCCTCGCATGAAGGGCTGCTGTTGCTGCGCCTGTTGCTGCTGCTGCTGCTGCTGCTGCTGCTGCTGCTGAGGGGTTTGAGCGTAGAAGGGGAACAGAGGAAAGTCGCAGTCTGGGGACTTCCACGCTCTGCTAAGAGGCCGCGATGGCTTCACGAAGGGGGCAGGAGCCTCAGGGCTTTCTTGAGCATCAGGAGGCAGCAGGGGGTTCTTGTAGGTGTAGGCTGGGGGGCCTGGGAGACCTAAGGAGGCCTCATGCATGCACACGCTGAGGGGTGTGGCATTGACACGCGGGGGAATTGGACGCTTGGAAGATGCACCAGGGAAGAGACGGGGGAAGGGGGCAAAGCAAGGAAAACACGCAAAGCGAAAGAGAGAGAGGGAGAAGAAGAGAGGGAGGGAGCAAAAACGCCGCTGTTGGGGAAGGCACGAGAGGTGGGTAGTTCGCAGTGGGGCCCCACATTTGCGCGAAAGGAGCTGCGGCTGCTCCACCTAAGCGGCACGGCAGTGTGCAGACAGAGCCTCGAAGGGTCGGCTTATGCCAGAGAGAGAATGTGAGCCAGCGAGACAGACAGACATACAGCCAGATCGACAGAGGAGAGGCAGGGAGCGAGAAAGATATGGGTTTTTTCGCTCTCTTTCTCTTCCCGCACATGCTACCACTGCGGAAAGGCCCATAGCAGTACAACGCGAGCAAGACTTACCCATAAGAAGGTGGGAGCGGTAAAGCAGCGGCAGTTGGCGCTTCATGAAAGGCTCCTGGATAGCCCGAAGCCTCCGACGAGGCTCTAAGGCCACGTGGTTTTTTTCGTCAAAACTAAGAGAAGGGTCATCTTCGATCGCCTTGAGCTCGGCGTACACCTCTATGCTTGCCCTCTCCATCCTGCAGCAGTGAGAGTCGCTCACAGCTGATACAGTAAAGAACTGGCAGGGTAGACAGCCGCTTGTGCAGCGCGTGAACGGTGCTGAGCACGGGTCGGTCCGCAACACAGCACGGAAAGAGGGAGAGTGCAGGAGAGAAAGCCAGAGAGGCAGCGTCAAGCAGCTGCAGCTGCAGGCAGACTTGCAGCCGCTCAGCTATGCGTGCAGTGAAGGCAAAGGGCGATGGGGAGCAAAGATGAGAAGCGGGGTGGCAAGGCGGAGGAGGCCCTAGAGCAGCGCGCTCTCTCTCTCTTTCTCTCTCTCTCTTTCTTTCTCTCTCTTTCTTTCTCTCTCTTTCTCTTTCTCTGTGACTAGATGTAGCGCGCCTCTTTAGCGACGCTGTTAGGGCACAACACGACACTCTCTCTTTCACTCTCTCTCTCTATGGATATACATACATACACACACCAGGGAAGAGTTTCCCCGTTTCCGTCTGTCTCTCGCCCTTACTCCTCGGAAATTTCTTGAATGGCGTCCGCAATGCGCACAGATTCCTTCACGAAAAAGTTCTCTGCTGCCTCCGCTTGAGAGCCGCTGAGAGAGTTGTCTGAGGCTAAAGCGGGAGGGAGACCTAAGATTTTCCGTTGATGCCTCAGCCGGTTGCGAATGATTGTTTCTTTCTGCTCTTGTGACAGCGCGGCAGCACTTATTGTTGCGAGTTCTTCTGCTGCTGCAGTCGTCGCTTTTGCCTGCGTGGCGTCTTCCTGCCCGCCACTCTCCAGCTGGTGCTGCTGCGCTTCCTGCCTACGCTTTTCTTCTCTACGCCTTGCAGCAGTCGCTTGCTGTCGAGCGAGCCGGCGGGCCTGCCGCCTTGCGGCTGCCCTTGCAGCCATTCGCTGCTTGATCGTGCGAGTGGGGATCCACCATCTGCGCTGCTTCCTCAGCCTTTGCTGCAGCTGCAGCAGCCTTGAGCGCTCCTTCTCAGACGCCTCTCGAGCTTCCCCTTCGAGGTCAAGCGGCTTGAAACGATCGTTTGGGTCTGCAAGCATCGCTAGAGACACTCCAATGCGTCTCCGCTGCACTTCAGCGATTTTCTCCTTCCACGAGAAAAACTTGGCGCGGTCCTTTATGCGCTTGCGGCGAGCCTCCCTCAGGTCTGCAACTGCGCAGCTCACAGGAGGAGACAGCAGAGCTTGGCCTTGCAAAAACTCAGACTGCCCAGGGAGGCAGAGGGAAAGGAGAGAGCGCTTGTCGCTGCTGCATCCGTCCTTGTGGCTGTGCGTCTTGGGGGTGAAAGACGTGGCGAGGGTGAGGCGAGAAAGCGGCAGGACTGCATGGAGGGCAGCAATAGATACTCCAGCGGACGCTGCATCTGCCTCTAAAGACGCAGCTTCCTGTACGGCTATAGGATCCACATCCTGAGCAGCTGCTCCCAACAGAGGCGCTGGTCCCTCCGCTTCAGTGCGACCTGATTGCAAGAAGGCCTCCTCACGGCATCCTTCTTCTTCTTCCGCAGACTGTCTTGAGAGCTCCTCGGCTTGCTGGTGTTGCTTTACCGACGGCGGCGTTTTTCTTCGGCTTTCACTTTGCGCAGTTGCGGAATCAGAAGACGCAACATCAGAAGACGCAACATCAGTAGATGCAACATCAGAAGACGCAGCATCAGTAGAGGCAACATCAGAAGACGCAACATCAGTAGATGTAACATCAGTAGATGCAACGTCAGTAGATGCAACATCAGAAGACGCAGCATCAGTAGATGCAACATCAGAAGACGCAACATCAGTAGATGCAACATCAGTAGATGCAACATCAGTAGATGCAACATCAGTAGATGCAACATCAGTAGAGGCAACGTCAGTAGAGGCAACGTCAGTAGAGGCAACATCAGTAGAGGCAACATCAGTAGAGGTCTCAGGATCAGCAGGCGCTGCTTTTTTGCGGCTTTTGAGTGGTAGCGGCTCCGACTCTGGAGGAAAGCGTTCTTCTCCACTACTTTCGTCCGTGTGGTTGCTGCTCGTGCCACTACGAAGGCCGCGTTGACTGTCTCCCTTTCTGCTCGAGGGGGGGGGGAGACTGCTGCTGCTTGCATCGGCTCTCGCACCTGGAGTATCCCTAAGTGCTGAAGCCTCTGCCGCCACCCCGTGTTTCTCCCCAACGAGAGTACCCAGGGCCTCCTCAGGGGCCCCCGCAGCAGCTTGCCGAGGAGACTCGCTGCCCTCCAACCCGCGTTTTTTGTGCGCTCTGATAAGAGAGACGCTACGGCGGAGGGGGGGGCCTCGTGAGAGGCCCCCCCCTCTCGCTGCAGTCCAGGGGGGCCCCATGGGCACCCCAGGCCGTGGCACTCGCGACATGAAGCAGAGGGGTCGGGGGCCCTCGCCGTGTAGGCGGCTATTCGCTGCTACGACTGCCGCATGTGCAGGCAGCGGAGCGTCTAGCTGCTTCAGCAGACATAGCAGCAGCAACAGCCATGCACGAAGCAGGCAACGCTCGGCGTGCAGCATCCCGTCGGCTGCGTTGGAGACAGCCCGTGGGCCAAGTTCCCTCCAGCTCCCGAGAGCGCAGCCAGGCAGGGCCCTCTGGAGCCTTAGAGGGGCCCCAACACCATCGCGGTGCAGCGCAACACTGGGGTGAAGGGGGGCCCCCGGGGAGGCAGGCCCTTTAGAGGGGTCTTCTTTTCCCCAGCTTCTCGGCTCAGGAACGGTGCAAGCGCCTCCAGCCGCGCTCCCTTCGAAGGCAGCATGCAGTACGAAGGCAAGGAATGCCGACAAGGCCAGGGCCCTCCGCCCACTCGGGGGCCCCCTGGGGAGCCGCAGGCGCAGGCGGGGGGCCTCACGCGCGCTGGTCGAAAACTGAGCGGCTGGCGGCTCAACAAATGTCGTGCGTCACGCTCTCCACTCCGAAAACGCGAAGAGAAATATCTACACATGCGCATACACAGAAGAACTGCCCGTCCTCGAGCAAGAAGTGTCTCCTCAAGGGGGGCAGGGGGCCCCCCTCGACGGTCCCCTCCTTCCCCGACGAGGCCGGCCGGCTGCGGGCCCTCCGGTGTCTGCGCGCGGCTCTCTCACATTCGATGTGGCACTCAGTCTGGCCGCGGGGGAGGCTCCTCACGCCTGCAAAATGCCGCTTTTAAGTTCATAATTCCCGTCAAACAAGATACATTGCGCTTTCAGGTGTCGCTGAGCGCGAAAGCCGGGGGTTGCGACACTCCCTGCCGCTCGCACTGTGCGGCAAGCCGCAAGACTACGCGCGAGGCGCGAGTTTCGCAGCCTTCTTCTAGCGCTGCTTGAACTTCCAGCGACTCACGCCACTTGGGGCCTCTCCCCCCTTCCACCCCTCCTACCTCTCCCCCCACCCCCAAGCGACAGAAACAACGGGGCCTCAACACATATACATGCATATAATATACATGTATTCATCATATACATACATTATTTATACACATACTCATATATACATACACACATATGTACATACATACACCTATATGTGTATATATGCACATACACACATATGTACATATATGTATGTGTATGTACATACACACGAACACGCGCTCGAGGAAGGCCCTCTCGGAAGCGTTGCCTCTCCCCCGAGTGGACCGCTAAGAGCGCCAGTGAAGCCGAATAGTACGCGGTGGCACTGTCACGTGCGGCTGTTGTCTGGCAAAAGCAGCAGCCTTTCGCAGCGGCGAGCAAGCTGGTGCTGCGTGTGTCTCTGCGGCACTTTGCGGAGAGCCCTCCCTTCCAGAAAAACAGCCGCTGCCAGAGCCACCCCCTCCTGCATGGAGGCGTGCATGCGCGTTCCCCTTTGCCAAGCTCGCGAGAAAACAAGCAGGCGAGGCCTCTCCGCAGCTGTGGTGCTCTCAGCCGCACAGACCGATGGGGACCACAGGAAGCCGACAGGCGCACAAAAATGCGAGGGAGCTAGAGATTCTTGAGGGTAAGCGCGGAGCGCGACTCTTGTCCTTTTTCGAAAGCGGCAACATCAAGCAAAATGCACATGGCACGGCCAGCTGTGCGGTGTACGTACAGGGCCCTTGCAGGACGCCCACTACCCATGGGTTCAAATTATTCAGTGGAGCTGTGAAGATCTTAGCGGAGATGCCGTCTTTCGCTGGAACCTTTCCATTATCAAGGATGGTCAGCCTTATTCTTGAGGCCCTCCTACATTCGCACTCGCCGTCGTGCTAATCTGTCTTGCCATGCCACCCCATAGACCTTCTGCTGTCATGCAGATTTACTATGGCCAGTCCTCCTCATCGCCTCTCAGGGCTCCTCTTGCTCCCTCTCCCCTTCATTCCTCTCCTACCTCTTGCTCCCTCTGTATTTCTCTCTCTCCATGTGTGTGTATTTCTCTCTTACTTTCGTTTTCTCTTTTGCAGAGGGAGGAGGCCTTCGTGAAGCGTGCCCCTCCCTCCGGGTGTTTCTTTCTAGTGCATCTCTCCTTGTCACCTTCGCCCTTTACCTGCCGCGGAAACCTCTCTTTACGCATCTGCTACTCTGTGAAGCATCTGCACTCCCCTTCCCCCCCTCCCCCGTTAGACCGATCTCTCTACGGTGCAGTCACACGCCTGCGCAAGCATGCTGGGCCCTCTCCCTGTGTCACTGCCTCTTTTCCTCGTCTGCTGGCACCTGCACTGACTGCAAACACCTGCCTCACAGGGAAAACGCCTCTATTTCTCCGTCCTGCTGTTTCTGCTGCCTCAGAAGTTCTCTTTGCCACGTCAGACCCCATGACGTTCCTCGCCACATGCAGCGCAGGGCTTCAGCTGCCTACAGAGGATTTCGATGCCGGAGACGACTCCATCTTTCTTGAGTGGTAAGCGCTTAAAGCTCTGCTGCTGGAGCTGCACCAGCAGCTGCAATACGCAAGCGTGGCTGGGGGCAGTTCGTGTGCTCGCTGTCTCTCTCTCTCTCTCTCTGCGGCTCTTTCAGCGCTCTGTTGCCCCTCCTTTCCTAGTCTTCCTGGCTCTTAGCCGCCTCCTTATCTTGCTTCTTTCTACGCCTCTGCTTCTATTAAAGAAGCAAACAGAAACGGTGCTTCTTCTTGTCTGTTTTGCCCTGGCTGGCAGTCAGTGACGCCACCCAGCGCCTCCCTCCTTTTCCTTGTGCACGTGCTGCTTCTTAGGGCCTCTGCCTTGTTGGCAGAGAATGTTTCCCTCGGGAAAGTACGGTACAACCTGGTGCCCTCACGCTTGCGGGAGGAGCTCTTCTGGCGTCGCTTTTTCGGCTTTGCAAAGCATACAATCCAGCAGCATGTCTGTCATCCGTCACGATACGAACGTCTTAGCTCCTGCTTTGCTGTCAGGCAACCACGCCTTTCGCGCGGCTTGCCGCCCGTGTAGGGGCCTCCTTCTCCTTGTATGTGTTCGAGGCACCAAAGGCCTCACTCACTCCATGAGCAGCGCAGCTGCTGGAAGAGTCGATGGCTGCAGCGTGCCTGCCAAATGCCCCTCTTGCGGTTGCTGCTCTCTCTGTGCTTTTCGCGTTTTCTCCAGGTTCTTCGCTCGGTAGAAGCAGAGAAGGCTCCAGAGTCTGGACTGGGCAGTAGACAGGAGACTTTGAGTGGGAGAGGGCCCAAGCCAACGACAGTGGGCCAGCCGTATCTGGGGGCCTCGGGGGCCCCCCATGTGCCGCTGTCTTTGCAAGCTGGAGGCGGGGAAGCCAGGGGGTCAGAGGAGGAGGTCAAGAAGATTCTCTTGAAAGAGGGAAATTCGAAGGACTCATTTTTGCATGGCTGCGCATCTACCCCGCTTCCGCTTCCCGTCCTACCGGGCTATCAAGGAGGTGCGCGGCTTTCGCACGAGGCTGAGACATTCAGCCCTTGATGCATGCATTTTTCGAGTCTACTACCCTCCTTGGCAAAACTGAAGGCCCAGTAGTCGCACTCCACGGCCATACGGAGCTGACACTCAATCACACGGGGCCCTAAATCGAATGCGACTTTGCGGAAATCCAGATTTTGCTTCTTGGATGGTTCCGCGTTTACTGCTTGGGATCTCTCTAGGTTCAGGTTAGCAGCTATCGCTCGACGATGCCTCTTTTCTCCTTTTCGCAGAGCTCAGAAAGCATGCAGAAGCTTCTGAAGCCCCTCTTCCTACGCGCGCACCGACGATTGTCGGCAATGCCCGTGCACCGATCACACTAACGGACTCCTAGGCCGTCGAGCGTCATTGCTGCTCTCTTGAATTCACCAGCACTAACAGGGCCCCGGGATCGACCAGGGCTGCGTATACACCCGAGCTGCTGCCTGCAACACAAGCGTCCCTCTTGCTGGTGCCGCAGCGTTGCTTTTTGTATGCGAAAACGTAGTTAGGGGGAAGGAAGGGTGGCGGGAGGACAGAGACTGAGCGCATACACAGTGGGAGGCCTTATCTCTGTTGCATTGGACCGCATGCATGCCGTACCTTCCCTACTTGTGTGAACACGCGCACGCCAAGGCAAGGAGCGGCCGGCCTCTTCAGCCTTTTCAGAGAATCTGTGAACCGTAGACTTTATCCTTAGGGAGGAGCTCGGGCAGCTGACACGAGATCCGGATGACTCACCTCGAGAAACTCTTCTTCTCGGAAGGTTCCACTCTTCGCTTTCCGTCAAATGTAGAAGCAGAATTTGGCCTGGGGCGCAACTGCGCATTGTGCTGCTGGGGGCCCAGAGTAATTTTTGGCTGATGTTTATCATGGATTTGCCCGTGCCTCCAGTCGAAACACTACAGAACGTCTTGCACCGCACCAAAGGCCTTCGCTACCTGCTTCTCTGCCCGTTTCACAAGTGTCCGCTTGTACAGATATGTCTGCTTTTGTTGCAACGGGGGAAACTAACGAGTTGGCTGAAACCGGCAGAAACACGAAAGCGTCTTTGCCTGCCCACAAAGATCTTATTGCCATGCTACCTACCACAACAGCTTGTTAGGCAAGCATGCAGCCTGTTGTCGCTTGGATGGGAAGCTGCTACCTAGAGTTTACCGTATGGTGCTGGCTCCATTTAATGTTGACTAGCTGAAGTGTCATAGGTTTTCAGGCTGTCTTCCCCCCTCCTCATCTATTGTGCAGCCTACCCCTGGAAATCCTGATCTACTTAGGGGTGTCGTTACCCAGCTACGGCCCTCCCATCAGCTAGTGCAACCTGCAAAAATAGACACCCTACAGAAATATGCGCTAAAACTGTTCGCACATCAGGGCGCATGCCCTCAGGATGCACAATGCTTCCTCTGAGATTCATATGGGAAGCTGAACTCTCTCTGTATATGTATTTATTTATGCAGAAGCAGTCGAGTGCAGACCCTCTTCAGCCCTTTTTCACTGCCCCAAGGAAGCATCTGACTTTCAAAGCAACCAACGTTCGCTGCACGGGTAGAAAATGCACATTGAGAGCGCCGCTTTTCCTTATTCTGGGAGGTTGAGTTTCCGTGTTTTTGCCTCTCCTGAATAGTTCCGATTCCCTGTCTTCATCTTGAGACACAGGAGGCAGCGTTAAACGCGTGCAGAGGGTGTAACGCCGGCACCGTGGTACTTTAGAGTGTGTAAATCCTAATTGGGATGTGTCAGGTACGTGGGCAGCCTTGGCAGTCTCTCTCGCCTCTGGCCTTCAGACCTCTTCAGCCCCCAGTGTCTCCTCTACCGTTGCCGACTGTGAGTCATCGAGCAGCCACAGCACGCAAGCTGCTTCGTCTATACGGCGAGTTTTGCAAGTGCGCTACACAGGTTGCGCCTTGAGAAGTCCCTGCTCGCTTAAACAACCCCCGCTTTCCCGCAGTATCCACAGCATCGAGCTGAGGGTAAGGCAGACCGTCGATTCCTGGGGCATTCATCGAACGCCTCCGTTTCTACTGAGGGTCCAAAGCAAAAGCACTCGGCGTTCAACAAATAAATGCCCCAAAGAATTGCAAGCTGGCGCGCTCACTGGCTCTTCTCGCATTCCCTTGCATCATCCCGCCTCGCCTAAAGGGCTGCTCTGCGCTGCACGCCGTCGTGCACCTGGGGTTGCTGCTGAGCGTATCGGCAGCGAGGTCTTCGTCTGTTTCCTTCCTATAATTGGAGTTCTTCAATGTGCTAATTGTTTGTTTCATGAATTTTGACTGTACGGAACCCAGGGATGGCGTGGAGCTGCTCTTCTTCCCGCTGTCTAGAAAAAAACGCAGGACTCGTTTAACTGCAGCGAGCCGCTGCATGTGTGTGTGCTAAGTGCCGCCGCCTTCCGTGGCTGGCTGCTTCCTTCCACCGTTCTTCTGCGATTTGCTGCCCCTTTCGCTTCTTTCGCGCGCTGCTTCAGGTCCTCTGTAGAGCTTGTGAGGCTCTACAGGGGGATCGCCATACACCTGCTGCCGACAGCGGCTGCGGAGGCCTCCCCAAAAGGACCTCTTAACGGCCTTGTCTGAGGCTTCTGAGTGCAACGCCTGCTGCTGCCGCTGCGTGGAATCCACGACCAGCTGCACTGGTCAGAGACACGTCGAGCCGGCCTTGGCACAGAGGCAGCGGCTGCGCAGACAGGCGCTGTCTGGTGCCCCCTCCTTTCTTCCACTGCGGGATTTGTGAATATGCTCTATGAAACACAGCGGACTCTTCCTCCAATGGGCAAGGGCCCTCTTTGCCCAGGGATGCACGGGGCAGTGGAGCACCGCATCTCCTTCGCTGAAGGAACTCGTCAGGCGCTTCACAGTGCCTCTTACCGCAGACTTCCTTCTTCCAGCAATCCTGCTGCTCCCTCAGCAGCTGCAGCCTCGGCTGTGCTGGCTGCGGATGCCACTGGGGTGACGCTGCCCCCCACCGCGTTTGGCCCTGCCTCTCCGCCTTTAGGAGTCTACAGTCAACCCTACTCAGCCTTGTACGGCCTCTCCCGTGAAGTCAGAACTTACGACCCCCACAGCTACCCCCTAACCCTGAGCGGAGTGCCTCTGCAACGCGCCTGGGAAGGGGCGAAGCCTTCCGACGGGGGACCGCTTCAGACACTCCAGTCAGCGAATGGAGCCTTCCTCACAGGGACTTATCAGCCTGCCCCCAGCCACCCAGCAACCTCGTCCTCAATGCACGCAGCACCCCCCCCCCAAGAGGAGCTGCTCAGAAACTCCTGCCACGGTGCAACAACGACTGCCGCACAGACTCCCAGCGCAGAGCCACAGCTCTCCGGGGGTGCGTCCAGTGGAGGCCTCCAGCACTGGAGAAACCTTTCGAGTGCGTCTGAACGCAGCGCGTCCACTGTGACACCCCCGACTTCTCAGCAAGCGGAAAGGGAAGGCCGATGGGCCGAAGCTAGGCCTCCTCTACAGCCTTTGCCTCATCCCCAAGCTTGCGAGAACCCTGCGTCTCCCCTTCTAGGAGCCGCTGCGGACAGAGACGTGAGGAGCACGGACTGGCACCCACCAGGCACCCCCGACGGCCTCCAGACACAGGCGAGCAGCATCGGCTTGGGCGATCGAGAGACTGCCGGAAGCACCGAGGCCATGCAGATGTTCATGAAAGCCATCAGCGGAGAGAAGCCTCAGCATCTCCCGCACACTCCGCAGCCGCCGCAGCAGAGGGCAGCAGCTTTGCCGTCTTTCGCACGCACTGAGGAGCTGCTCTCGCACAGCCAGACGTTTGGGGGAGCCCGTCCTGCAGCCCTCTTGTCGCCATCTGAGAGAGCGGCTGCAGGAGCAGCGGGGAGACAGGGGGTGGGGGGGGGTTGCGGCTCGACAGGTAGGCGCACACGGATGAGTCGGAGGCCTTTCTCTCCTTTCTCCTCTGTTTGAGGGGAGGAAGGATTAGCGAAACGCCACTTGACCCACGGAAAAGGCCCCTCTAGCATTAGGAGCAAGGCAGCACCTCTGAGGGGGCCTTCTAACAGTCCCTGTTCGGGGAATTTTACAGGAAATGCTGCTTCTTTTCGTGCTACCGGACCTGTTCACAGATACGACGCTAGAAGGCCCCGCCGAGCCTCAGGACTTGGATGGATGGCGCCTACTTGTTCGAGACGTGCGCTGTAACCATCATCTCCCGCTTCTGTCCCTATTCTGCCCTGCGACTGTTTCTTTTCCCCTGATGCTTGCCTGTGCGTTTTCCTGTGCAGCGTGCTTCGCTTTCCAAATAGTTGTACGTGTGCATGTGTACTATGTGTGCTGATTTCGCCATCTGAGGCCCTAGTGTCGGGGGTGTGCAGAGCACAGTTTTCCGCAGCTCTGTGCTATGCATAAACTTACACATTCCAAAGCACTCCCTGCGCCTGTTGTTGACACCTGTGCATGCGTTCCTAAACGTGGTGGGTGCACACACTGCACGAGTGCTGCTGCATGGCATGTGAACACCTGCACTGGCATGGAAAAATCAGGACTGCGCTAACCTCTTCGGGTCCGTCCATACACTGCAGACCACCACGGCTTGACAAGCCGTGGACACCTTGCTTGCTAGGTAAGGGACTGCGTGCATGTGCCTCCTGCAGCTGACTCTAGCGAAGAAGGTAGTGGAAGACCGCCTTAACGAGCAGACAAAGCAGACTTCTGAGCTACAACAGGCTCTTGACAAGGAGGTTTGTTTTTTCGCACCGTGCGAAGATTAGCGCTGGCAGCCTCACAGAAGGCCAGTCACCACAAAGGCAAGGGCAACAAGGGGAGAAAGCTCAAATGCAGTGGCGTGGCCGTAACATGTGCGCAGGTGGCTCGCGCCGCAGCAGAAAAGAGGGTTTACCAGCAAACTGAAGCTGAGCTGCAAACAACACGCGAGGAGTTGCAGCGGCAGCGGTAAGCGTTACAACTGGGGAGTCTTCTCGCTAAATCGGGGGCAAATAGCTTTCTGCCAAAACGCTCATACGTGAGAGAGTCTCTACGCTCTACCTCCGTCTAACGAAGGTTATTTCTTCTGTGAGGCGCCCATCCCCCCCCTGCTGCAACGTGGACCTCATAGGCAGAGTGCACACACTGCCGCCGCTGCCATGCGTTCCTATAGACATGCTGCAAAGCCCCAAACGGGAATCGACTCCGTGCGGAAGATTTGTCAGGCAAGCAGTCTTGGCGCCGGGCAGCTAAGCGACGAGGAGATGCGAGAACTCATGGAGGAAGTTTTGGTAAGTGGCAGATTGGAAGGTGAAGCCTTTTTTCTGTTATCGCAGGCTTCCAGAGCTACTTAGGGGTAACGGGGTGTGCCTGTAGTCTTTCTTGGGTGTGCGAATTCGGGATTTTTGCAGCGAAATTACTGTGACGCCCAAAGGGAGAACGACAGACTGCGCAGAGAAGCCGAGCAGCTGAAGGGGGAATTTACCAGTGACAAGACAGTTGCTACTGTAGGGGCCATTGGCACAGCTTTGACCTTTAAACTCGAAACTCTTAGGCTTCGCCTCTCGGGGCAGCAAAATGGTCCCGTCGGAAAAAACAAACGCTGCTGCCCCTTGGTTGTGCAAAGCTGATGCATGCCATGGCCTCGCACATATTCTTGTCTAATGACCCGGTGTACACCGCTACAAACAACGCGCAAGAGACACCGTGTGCAGGAGCAGCGCACACCACCTGCTGTCTACTCCTGCTGATTGTCGGCGTGCCCTTGCTGTTGCGTGGCCTTACAGCTGAACGGCGAGCTGCAGAAACTGAAGCAGGAGGTCTACTCTAAAGACGCAGTCATCGGGAGGTGGGAGCTATTTGCCACCACCATTGACGGCCTTCTGTCCTCGAGAAATGCCCCCCACGCCCTTCTTGTAAGGCCCTCACTATGCCAGGGGTGTTCTTTTTTCCCTAGACTTTCCCGCTATCTTCCTAGTATGTTGAGCTAGTAGGCGCCTTTCTCCTCGTCTTGGAGGGCGCATGCTATGCACACCACGTTCCCTGTAGCGTGCGACGTCAGCCCACACTCCCCACACGAGTGCGTGAAAAACCAGAGCTCCATTTTCTCTGGAAGCATGCATCTAAGCCCCAGGAGACGAGGCGAGAGGGGCGGCAAATAGCCTCCTGTTGCTCTGCGCTGTCTCAGGTGGAAAGCGTACAGAGGGAAGTTGCAAAAGTCCTCAGCGATGGCATCCACCAGTACGAGCCGTGCAGAGTAGACTGCAACGAGCAGAAGCAGCAGCAGCAGCAGCCTGAGGAGCCGCAGCAGAAGGGGGCAGCTTCTCCACCACCCAGTAGTGGGAGTAGAAGCCGATGCAGCAGCAACAGCAGGGGCAGTAAGACACAGGGCGAGCGGCCGTGTACGGTTCCTGACGTCAAATCCTCTGTGGGATCCGCTAAATCACCAGGAGGGAAAGACTCCGTGGGCAAGGCCCCCGTAGTATTGAGCTCTAACAATCCAATGCCCACAAAGGTGTCAGAAGAACATACTAACGCTACAGAGGGTGCAGCTACGGCAAAGTCTGTGAGACAGCGGATTCAGGAATACAATATTAGCAAATCTTCTGTTGACGGGGCTAAGCCTACAGACGCCAAGGGCAAGTAAGCAGACACAACCTTTGGCTCAAGTGTACGAGAATCCTTCGTCCTCCTCCGCATGCACAAAAGAAAGAGCTCTGTCTGAACGAGGAGGTGACAGCCAAATTGCTGGTCATTTTTGCTGCATGCGCGGGGTTGCGTGTGTTCTGCGCCTGCCGCCCACGTGCTGTCGGCCTCACGCCCCCAAGAGACTTTTTTTTACTAACGCGCGCCGAGAGGTGCGAAACGGTATTTAATAAAGAGCAGAGAGCAGATACACTTTCTACAAAGCTGAGATATGAATCTCTGCTGCAACGCACTGACACCTACCGGGAATAGGGCGCCTGGTGCTCTATCGGCAATGGTGCAAGCGAGGCAGAGACACCCAGCAAATTGCGGGCCCTACCGAGAGGCGTCTTTTGTGTAGAGAAGCCTTGCAGCTAAGCACCTGCAGAAGATGTCTACGGCGGACTCACCGTAGAGAGTCGCTAGTGTGCCACTGTCATTTAGTAACTGCACAGTGCGCACCCCACCAAGCGTGTGCAGATGCACGCGCAAAGGCGGTGAATTCTGCTTATCGTGCAAACGCCTTCTGTACAGATACATGTTGGGGGGTATGTGCACGAGCAGCTATACGAATGCAAGCGCCTTTATGAGCCCTTGGAGGAAGGGGCACCATGCTAGCTCTGCCAGTCACAGGGGCACAAGAGACTTCGCGAGAGGAGCGCAGCTCAAACTTTCCCCATGACGCCTTTCGGGAGCTATAGGTCAATGCCTGCCTCAAACGTATCAGACGAAGTGCTTTGAATATCCAAGGCGCGCATGCCTTGCGACAGTCCAGTGACAGCGGAGGGGCCCTGAGAATCACAACAAGGTGGTAGACAGCAGGTGCAGCAGCAGTAGCTTGGAAACGGAAAGTGCAGACACAGGCGCAACGTAGCAGGAAGGAGTTACCAATACACAGGGAGGGTGGTATTAATGAAGGAAAGTTTATGAAGTCGCTCACGTCACACGTGGAAGATCCGGATTCTGCTGTCTGTACTGTTTTTGAAGGTGGGTGTGCATCTGCTCTTTCTGGTGCGTCTGCTCTTGCTGCCCCCTCCGAGGAATTCATAGTAGAGACAGCCGGTGCTTCGATACGTTCTTTTGATGGCAATTCGCTGTGGACGCAGGCTTCTGTCCTGGTGGCGCTCAAAGCCACCATTCTGTCTCTGATATGCTTCAAACGTTCCTCTTTCTTTTCCAGCGCTACAACATTTCCTGCTATGGCATCCACGAGGTCAGGGTCTTCTCCATTCTGCGGCGCATCACACCAATACGACATCTCCGTGATCATCCATCTAATCTCTTGCGAGGGCCCTCGTGAGGCACTAGTTTATCACTGCTCGCTCGTTCCACACTGCAAAGGAGGTGCAAGAAGAGTGCAGCTACACGGGCGGCTAGAGAGACTTTAAGCTTACGGGGTCAAACTCTTGTATTTCCCTGTTTGAGCGTTCTGCGTAGGGGAGGAGCAAGAACCGCAGAGGAGAGCTCATTGCAAAGGGGAAGCAGGCGTCGCCAGGCCAGATTATAGCCATGTATGCAGAAAAACAGTAGGCTGGTGTTTTTCAGGGGTAAATTCCTATGGAGAGGAGTGGCCTCTTACGAGTGCATAATAATGGCTCTAGATGATGTGCTACGGACTCACTGAGATGGGAAATTGCATTCTCGATTTCCTTAGCTGCATCCTCCAGAATGCCCAAATCGTCAGGCAGCTCCGGAGTTAAGCCAAGGCTGATGGAGCTGGCTTTGAAGGCGCGGCTTGGGGGGATGTAGATCTCCATTGGGAAACGGCACTGTGTGAGAGAGATGATCTGGCAGATACAACTGAACAAGGGCGGGGGTGGGATTCGGGGTGGCCTTGTGGTCTGTCTGTCTTTCTCTCTCTTTCTCTCTCCTTTGCAGTTCCTGATCCAGGCTCGTAAGTGCCCGAGCACGTGCTGCTGCAGCCTCAGATTCTCCGTCTGAACTTTAACGTCGGCCGCAATGCTTTGCAGAATCGTGTTAAAGCGGGAAGTCCGACTCCCCTTGCTGCTCCGAACCTCTCGGGAGGTGCAGGCGTGTGCCGAGTAGAGTGCTCTAACAGGCTTAGCCGAATGGAAAGCACGGCTTAGACAGACAAGTAGTCATTTCTGTTGCAAATTATGGGTTCCATTGTTTATGCGTGCGTGGGATTATTACTGCCGTGCATGCACAAGGGATGCTGTTACCCAGACCACCGCATTCCGTTGTTGCATGAAAGAAACAGAGCCCGTGAACGACTCAGCTAGCATTGCATTCCCAATGCTATGATTTTATTTCGCAAATCAAAGAGTCATCATCTCTTAATAAATACAAGAAGGACTACTTAATATCTTGTTTGTGTTTGGGAGGCTGCGAGGCGCGGTCGCTGACGACACATATCATGCAGGTTTACAGGAACATGCCGCTCACGTATTGTGTGTGACCCTACTTCTACCTCCCATCTATCTCTTTTTGTATTCTAGAGGTACACAGGTTTTGTTGGAAACATCGACTACCCAGGAGACAAAAAGGCGCAATCCTCCCTTGGCATGCCGCATGACGGCGCCTAGGTTCCCAATTGCACTGCAAACACGCATGAACAGAGACCGAAACCAGCGGTATCAGATACAGCTTGGCTCATTCGCAACTCATTCGCTGTCTCTCATGTTTGCTGTCAAAGGGGGGGATTCACGGAAACGCTCATCTCTTGGAGCTCTAGGGAGTATTGCCTGCTTGTGGTACCCGACGGCCACCAGGCCAGCTTAATGCGCAGAAACCACCCCCTTCCTCGAGGATCGAACAGCTTTTTATTACGCTTTTCGTTTCTGCCCCTTGAAACGGCCTCGGGGGCAGCGGGAGGGGGGCTCCAGAAACACCACGCCGTTTAGGGAGCGACTGCAGGCGTATCGCATTTCACAGAGTGCTCCTTTCCATTCGCACAGTCTGCAGCTTCTTCCCAGAAAGGGCCAGCGGCATAAGAGGCCATGACATCCTCAAAGGCTTTAGGCGACACCGACAGTGCCCCTTGCCCCCTAACAGAGGGCGAGCACTGTTTCTATTCCCAGCAACCAGTGTGTCACGTGTCTCATCAGCTGTTCAGCTTCGATCCTGCGGCTACACTCAGTATCTTCTATGACCCCCAACACAACCGTGTACTGCACCAAGTAGAAAACGTGCTCTACGCCTTCGACTGCGCCAAAGTGCATCCCAAGCTCAAGGACGGATATCCAATCCGGTTAGCTAATGTTCGCTGCCTCCTCTCCCTACAGCCTCATGTCGCGCTTCTCCCTCAGCCCTCCCCTCCTCTGCCCCCCTACCCATGCTTCCCTTCCACCAGCTGCCCCTCTCCTGCGCGTTCGTCTCTTTACCCCATTTGGCCTCGTTTCTTCCGTTTCCTCTTGCTCCTGGCTGCTGCAGATTCCCCAAACCAAAATGCATGCTGATATCCTTCTCCCCTTGTGGCAACTTCCTGCTGTACGTCACGGCTCTCGCGGAGGGGGAAGACTCGGGGAGTGCTCCCCGGCTGTCTTCCCAGCCCTCAAACTCAGCAGCAGACGCTGCTGCCGCGTCAGCCAGGCCTCCCTGCGGCATTACTCAAGAAGCTGGCATCGTCGACTTCTTCGGTGATGACTCCCTCACAACTTTCGTCCCTTTAAAGGGAGGCACAGTTTGCGAAGATCTACCTGGAGTCCTACAGGCTTTTTGGCTAGCCGTGCCGCTAACCGCCAGCTCAGAAGCGAGCACCTTGTTGGTCGTTATCACGCAGAAAAACATCGAGCTCTTCAGGGCGAGTCTTTTGGCATACAGACTCTCCTTTGCCTCGTGCAGGTGGCGTTCGCAGGAGGGAGGGATCGTGGCGGGGTGTCCCTACAGTCCGTTTTGTGTGTGTGTGTGTCTATATGTGCATGCTCTGGGTATATCTTGTTTCGTCTTTTCAGTTCGTGCACGCCGGAAAGACTCTGCACGCCCTGAAAAAAGTCGCTCAAGTGTCGTTGCTCGCGTGGATTGCGCTGCCATCGTGGCCTAAGACTGCAGCCGCCCCTATCGTCAGTGGCGATGCAGCGCAGCAGCAGCAACACCAACAGAGCCAGCAGTCTGCACCAGCGGCAACGCTTGCAAGTACAGGAACCGCCTCCTCGGTTGTCTTCGTTGTTGCCGTTGGACAGAGGACGCTTCAGCCGTTCTTACTCGACTCCAAGACTCTGGTTAGCACCCAAAACATCAAATTCCAAGCGCTCCCGTCGCCCCTACTTCTGGTTTTATTAGCCACGCACTCAGTCTACCTGTATCTCTACGTGTGAACATGGATGATGCTCTGTGTGTGTGTATTTCTGTGTGTGTATATTTCTGTGTGTGTGTGTATTTCTGTGTGTGTGTGTATATCTGCGTCCCTGGAATGACACAGAGCCTTGTGCGACTGGCAAAGATAGAGCTTAACTTGCCCCTCTGGCAGGCGCTGCAACAGCGCGATGTGTATGTCTTCTCTCTGTACGATACTGCTTACTGCGTGCATGCGGATGGCCATGCGGGGAGGATCTCGCTAAGAGCTATTACGGGTCCTCTCCAACCCGACACAGTGCTCGACGCCCTTGCGCCAGGTGCGACACAGAAGGGAAACTGGGAGTCATTTTTTTTAATCGATGTGGCCACTTCTTTTGATTGGCTTGCACCGCCTTAGGTGGATATCTCTTCTCTGTGCCTCCCGTGGATATCTTTTCTCTGTGCATCCCGTGGATTTGTCTTCTCTGTGCATCCCTTGGATTTCTCTTCTCTGTGCCTCCCGTGGATATCTTTTCTCTGTGCATCCCGTGGATTTCTCTTCTCTGTGCCTCCCGTGGATTTCTCTTCTCTGTGCCTCCCTTGGATTTCTCTTCTCTGTGCATCCCTTGGATATCTCTTCTCTGTGCATCCCGTGGATTTCTCTTCTCTGTGCATCCCGTGGATTTCTTTTCTCTGTGCTTCCCGTGGAGTTTTACGGCCCGCAGTGCGATTTGCATCGCTGCATGCAGGGGACCTACAGCTGTTGGCACTCGACAATATGATAGTCGTGTATCACGCGGCTTTGGATTCGGTGCTCCTATTTGACGTTCACCGATCCCCCCTCTACGCAGCGAACGGCATGCCCGAGGGGGCCTCCCTCGAGACCACCAGAAGCCCCACGGGGGGCCCCCCGCAAATGCGGATCAAGGGCAAGCCAGTCACTCCTAAGCCAGCGGATCTCAACAAGGGCGTGTGGGCTGTTGGTCCTCTGGTGAGAGCAACGGCGCTGTCTATGCAGCCGGCTGCGCCGTTCCGTGGCTTAGGAGAGAAAAGGGGGGGGGCGGCGGAAGGGCAAAACGAGAATGTGGCGGAGGCTTCTGCGCCTTGCGACGGCCTCATGGATGTCGAGCTCCAGGCTCCGAATCTCGGTAAGTGAGGATACTGAGAAAACGTCACGTGGTGGCACACAAGTGGGAGCCATCAAGCGGCAGATAGAGGCTGGGGAAAGCACGTAGACAGCAAAAGAGGAGCAGGACGGGAGCTAGACAGCGAGAGAGAGAGAGAGCGACGCACGGAGAGACAGAGAGCGAAAGACAGGGAGGGGACGAAAGAAACGTGCATGCAGAGGGCGAGGGTGACATTGACTATGGGACCCGTGCAGAGAGGTGGTTTGAAGGATGAAGCGTCGTTGTGTGAAGTCGTGCAGCGCTGGCTGTGGTGCACACACACCAGTGCCAAGTCTTTGATGAATCTGCGTACTCGCAAGCAAACGAAAAAGGAGCTGCTCAACTCCAGAGTTGTGCTATCGCGCTTTGTTGCTTAGAGGTCGCCCAGTTCGTCTCTCCCGACGTCATCATCGATGCAGAGTTTGGAGGGGTGTACCGGCTGGAGCTCAATACGTATGCCATTATGCATAGACTTCTGAAGGAGAAGCAGTCCCTGGTAGGTGCCTTCCCTTTCTTAAGGCTCAGAGGAGCCAGCCTCCATCCTCCCTTCCCCCGTCACGTTTCGACATTCATGTGCCCCGCGGGGATGCACTAGGCAGCTATCCACGCCATTATGCAGGCATCCGCGTGCTGCACTAGAAGCATTTTTGGGTGTCTGGATATGTATATATACACACATGTATATATATATATATATCGCCTCCGCTCCTCTCCTTCCCCCCTACCCGGGCAGAGCCGAGTATAGATGGTAGCTGCCCTCACGGGGCATGCGGCGGCGCAGCTGGCTCCTGCTTAGGCCCCTATGGAGGCAGAACTGTCTTTGCGGCTGGCTGGTGTGTGTGTTTGTGGTGGCGTTGCTGCAGTGTGCTGCGGTCCAAGTACTTCAGAATCGTTCGCATTGCAAGGCGGAAGTCTTGCGACTGACACTTCACGCGCTGCGGCTGGAAACGTCGCTCGTAGAGCTGCAGCCGCTGTTGTTTCTGCTCAACAGCAAGTATAGGAGTGCCATCGAGCAGGTTCCCCTGTCTCTCCTGGCTTACAGCCAGCAGCAGAGCTCCCAAGAATGCGGTGCCGTCAACTCTGCTACTGCGGGGGGCAGCCCTTGTTCGGCGGCTCGCGCTGGACATAGGGTGTCTGCTTCTTTTCCCTCTGCAGCAGAGGCGATTACGGCGACTGCAGGGATAACGAGTGGACGTGCCACAATACCCCTCGAATTGCTGCTGCAGTCCATCGGTTCCCAGACAGTCATTACGGAGAGAGATGTCGTGTTTAGCGTCTTCTACCCGTTTGTGCGGCAGGTACAGATTTAGGCATGTCGCCTTTAAATGCGCAGCCCTTTCTGTAAACCTCCTTCTCGCGCGCGTAGCCTTCACAAGGCTCAAGCGGCGCTTGCTTGCTTGCTGTATACATCATCTCTCCCCTCCAGCTGCAGCAGCAACACGCAGCCGCAGAATCGAGGGCCAGGCCTGTTTTGTGTTTCTTCCACCATTTCTGCTTTCTCGCCGCAGCAGTACAACCTGCCTCCGAACACCTTGCTGCTCGACGCCTCGTTTCCTCAGCTAGAAGATGCAGAGACACCGGACGAAGCAAGGGTGTTGCCTACCGAGGTGTCGGATGGAAGCCTTGCGCGCCAGTCTCCTCGGGCTTGCCTGACGCTAAGGAAGGGGAGAAGCAGCAGCTCTCTGCCGTACATTTTGTCTGTTGCTGCCGAGTATACGCGCACTCTGTTGATGTTGCAGGTCTTTCCGCATAAAGTCTTGCAGGCGTTCCTCTTCGACTGCTGTGCCTTTTTCAAGAGAGGTAAGCCGCTCCGAGACTTGCTTGCGGTGTAGAATCCAGGAGGGGGCGTTCGAGAAAAATTCAAGCTCGCAAGCTTCGCGGGTCAAAAACGCAGCACGCTACAGGGTACTGCAGGAGGCGCTGCTGGAAAGCAGCAGCAGCAGCAAGTGTTTGTGGAATGTGCGCCTTCGCAGGAGACTTCCTCAGGCAGCTGCTGCAGTATCATCTGTTGCTGGATTCAGTGGATTTGTTGGAACGCCTCTATGTGGTGTGGCGTCAACTAGCAGCAACCACTGCGGCGGGAGATCGCAGCGCAGCTCGCGATGAAAGGTGGCTTCGGCAGGCGTGTCTCGATGCAGCCCTCAGACTGAGAGACTGGAGAACGATCGTGTCTATCCTTCTCGCGTGCAAGCAGGTGCGTCTCTGGTGCAGTCTGTGCGTGTGGCTTCGAGGATTTCTCCCTGGGTTCTGCATCTTCTTCGCTCGCGTGTATCGCTCTGGCCTGCTTCTTGCTGCCTTTTTCGGCGGGCTGCTTCACGCCGTGTTTTTTTCTTTCTGCGCCGCCACAGTGTCTTAGGGGCCCCCTGCATCCGCGTCTGAGGCCGATGTTTCTTATGTTTCGCCGTTTTTGCGCCGCTCTGACGCAACTGCAGCACAAGGAGATCATTCCGCTGCTCCGACAGCATGGGGCCTCAGACTTTCCCCTCAAAACCATTCTCCGAAGCATTGCTGCCGACGTCGAAGCTCAGAAGGAGCAGCCAGGCCTGCTGCAGCACGTGCTTGGTCACATCAGAGCGTGGATCAGTGAGTGTAAGGCGCGCGAAGCCGCAGGGGCCCCCCCCTGTCCACCCCCAAACTTGCAAGACTGTGCGGCTTGGCTGCCCGGAGTGGAAGAAAAACAGCAGCCTGCAGGGCAGCCTTCACAAGATGCGAACGAAAAACGCTGCGGTGACACAGATGCAGCCGCTCTAGTAACAGATGCAGCAACAGCAACAGCAGCAACAGCAGCAGCCCTCTCCGCGGTTACTAAGGACCCCCAACTCATAAACGCCATTGGGGAGGTGTCCAACGAGTTCAGCGAAGCCCTCCCCTCTGAGGGGGAAGAGAAGGAAGCCGCCAGCGGATGGGCAGCACTGCAGCAGGCGGAGGCCGAGTGTTGTTCTTCTCTGAGCTCTCCCATTTGAACCGTGGAGCGATGTGTTATTTCGTTAGAGGCTTATTTCCTCTTCAAGATGCAGCCTCGCATGCTGCAAGGCGCCTTCCTCCTCTTGTGACGGGGGCTTGTTTGCTCTTCCTTCTCTCTGGCGTACGCGGCTAGAACCTCTCCTAGTGCTCCCCTGCCACCATCTCTCCGTCTTTCTGCTGCATCATCCTCCGCCTAAGGCCAGCGCATCCTGCATCCTTCACACCCCTGACACGTGGGAAATACAGGCATCTCTCTCCCTGCGCTGCATCAGACGAGGTCCGAGGGCCCCCTGCGGCTGCAGCCTCTTTGTGGCCTCCATTGCCCCTGCTGTCAGCCTTTTTTCCTGAACTTGACACTTCATTTTTATGTTCCCTGCTGCCCTTAAAACAAACCACGAGGCAGGAGGAAGCTTGCGCCCAATGCAGATAGCTCACACGCAGAGATGAGGCCAAGTAGAGGCAGGGAGAATGCAACGGCCCGCTTCGACCAGCGGCGTTTTTTTCATAACCAGCCCGCTAGCAGACAGATCTAGTGAGCGCATTGTGTGCGTCTGACGCAACGTGTATACGCTTGCCATGTGCATCCGTCTTGAAACTTGATTAGCACTCTCTAAGCCTTCAAGCCAAGACCCCTAGGAATAAGCTTGCTGGGATGCGCTGTATTAACCCCCCCACCACGCCGTCTCGCTGCCAAAAAAATTTTGCAAAGAAGTGCGCACGCATGTGCAGAAGTCCGCCAGAAGCTGTACGCGCGGAAGAAACCCACTCGCGCGTGTTGTTAGCCCTGGAAACAACCGGGAGCCACAAGGGTTGAGTTTGAAGTGCATACTCTTTGCCCCTACGGCAAAGCACACCTCAAGCCTCGCTCACATCGCAGGGGGTAAAACTGACTGCCCTGCCTATAAAGACGTTTAGGAGTCCGCAGGGCCAAGTGGAGAGGCAGCCGCTTGAGGCCCTGCTGTGTGTGGACTTCCTCCCTCCCTCAAGTCATGCCCCTTTTAATGGAGGCTTCCCCTCCTGACGCTTGGTGCGTCTCTCTTCGCTACTCTACGTCGTCCAGTGTTGTTGCCCTCCAGCCCATGATCCGGCCATGTTGCAGCAACGCGTGCGATCCTCTAAAGTCCCCATAGTCACTCATGAGCTCGAAGTGCTTCTCTGGAAAGAGGACGTGTCGGACGGTGGCTAGGGGGAAGCTCTTTTTGATCTGCTTGATCAGCCGGGAGGCTGGCAGCTTGTTTAAACTGTGTCGTTTGGACGATTTTGTCAGCCGCAGCTTTTCTGCTATATCCTGCAGCTGAGACTCTACCTCAGGTTGGCTTAAAGGGACTGTCCCTACGATATCTATGAAGACGCCGCGACCCTTGCGTACATCCTCCTCCGCGAGAGCTTCCCTTCGCAGCTTCTTCTGGCAAGCCCTAACTGCCTCCCCTACACTCAAATTCGCCATCACTCGCCCGTCCATGTAGGCCTCCCGATGTGCGCCTTGAGGCCATAACCGCACGGGTGTGGCGATCCCTGGAGTGGCGTTGGTGGCCAGAAGAGCTCTCAGCGTGAGGCCCCTCTCTGTTTTCGGCGTCGAAGAGACAGTAGGTGCCCCTGCTGCCGCGAGATTTTCTCTTTGACAGGACGTGTAGACAGAAAGCGGGGGATCAGGAGCTGCGACGCAGGACTGCTCGCTACCTATATCTGTGAACTCCCACGCCGCAGTTCCCCCCCCAATCCTCGCGGCCGTAACGACAGCTACCCGCCCTTTGTTACCAACATCCGCAGTGCTGTCAGCTGGCTCTGGCATCTCGTTGAAGATCTCCAGTATTGTGTCTGCGGCTGCCTGTAAGTCGCAATCATGGGGAGTCGGCAGGTTCGCGGGGTCAGCCCCTTTGGAGGACAAAGAGGCCTCCGCATCTGCGAGCCATTCAACGATACGGGGGAGATTCAGAAGGTCGTTGAGGCCGCGGGGGCATCGCATAAAGCTCTCTAGGTTCAAGCGGTGCCAGATGCTCCATAAAAATCGAGCCCAATCGATCTCCCCATTCTGCCCTGAGAACAGACACAACATTCGTCACTCACAAGAAACTCTCCTGTTCAGTTCCGTCGTGCAGACGGAGCTGTACCTCCCCCGATTCAACGGTGAACAGGTGTGAGTTGACATGCAGACAAATTTGTCAATGTGCTCACATATCTGCCGCCATGTTCAGGAACCTTTGATTCAGACTTGCCTATGATCAGCAAAGGCAACCTACCCGGACGAAAGCTTAGACTGGTGATTGCAGACAAAGCCCCCTTGTTGACGCCAGCCACCACATCCCACTTCAAAGCCTTTTCCCTAGCTGCATATTGCTCAGCAAGTCCCAAGATCGCTCCAGCCTGTAGGGGGGCCCTGGCAATGCCCCCTGAGAGTACCAGAGCAACACAATGAGGGCCCGTAGGGACACCCGGCAGTTCCTCGGTGAAGGTTCCAATTGAACTGCGAATGGTCTTCAAGGAAACAGACTGTGGTCGCACTATATCTGCCCTTAAGGAGTCCTTTAGGACCTGTGCCGACGTGCTGCTCTCCAAGCGCTTCATTTCCTCCGGGGGTGCAACGGGGGGAACTTGCGCATAGGCCCCTCCTAGGACTTCCTCCAATAGAGCATTCATGTCGGTACCATGAGCCTTGAGTGTTTTGGAGAGGCTCCTGAAGGTGGAAACCAATTTTTTCAAGTCCAGGGGGCCCTCTGTCAACTGCTGCAAGTCCTTGAAGCGATCCAACAGGCCCCCGTCCACTCCACTGTCGCTCATGAACTTTTCCACAAGACTCTGGAGAGCTGGAGTTTTCAGAGGGGCAGACGCTCCGCCCTTCCCCTTCGCATTTTTCATAAACTCCTTCATGTCAGGGAGGTTTTCAAACAGCCCTTCTATCGGCCCTTCGGCGAAATCGGCAGGAATTTCAGGGTCAACGCCCGCTGCCAGCTTCTGCAGTATCTCCTGGAACCCGCCTTCCCCACTTTTGCCATTGGTAAAGGACTGGAAAAGGCTGGAAATAAAGTCTCCAGAGAGAGAGGGAATGGAATTTCTCCCGTCTTTGGGGGCCCACTGTCCGGCGGTGGGTAAAAGCTCCCATGAGCCGAGTGCCAAGGAGGCAGCAAGGAGTCGTAGAAAGAATCCTATCCTTTTCATTTTTGCAGCAAAGAAGCAATGAAAAGAAATCTGCTGCAAAGCATTAAACATCAGTCGTGAACCGCTGGGAGGTCCCACAACGCCACAGCCTGAGGGATTAAGCCAAATGGACGGTACAGTGCACAGAGGTGGAGATCATCGATTTATTAAACTTTTCTTTAAAATTAGTATACACTCACAAGTGAGCAGTAATCAGGAAGCGATAAATGACCCCCTGTAGCACACTGTCGGCTGTGCCCGAATCCAGACCGCTAAAGCTACTGCGCAATGGTGTCTGCGCGAAACGTAAACACCGGCAGAGTCCGCTCACATGATGGTTCCAAATCACATAGCATTTCGCTATTTGATTCTAATTTCATCCGCGTGGTTGCAACTATCCAGGGGAGGCATTACGTGATCGTCCTCGGATCAAAATGTTTTCACTCGGTGGCCTCCGAGCTGAATTCGCATAGCGATATGACGCAGGCAGAAATCGACCTTAGCATTCAACTTCTTGAACGAAACCCGTCGCTAAGAAGGGTGACATCCCGAAAATGCGTCATAGGAAACACGAGACCAGACGATCTCTCTTTCTAGCCGTCAGTGGAAGCCCCTAATACCTGGAAACCACACTGTCGCTTATTTCTCTACTGAAGCTAAACCAAGCACCCTGTCGCTGCACTTTCTGTAGCCATGCAACTACTTTAGAGCTAGCTCTCCTTTCCGTACGCACACTGCTGCCCACACGTAGCACTTTCTACTACCTCATGGGCAAAGCTGCACTTACACATTCTACTGCACTAGTTATGCTTAGCTAAGAACTGGTAAAGAGTTAAATAATTGATATGCATATTCATACATCCATCTTTACTGCGGATCAATGTTAATCAGATACAAGAAGACGCAATGTACCCGTGTGCGCGAATTGCGAGTTGCAACTAGCTGTGAATGCTCAAAGTGCTTAGACGATGCAGCTACGCGCACCCTAGCTCCCCCTCTCTAGTGTTGGTAGCTTTGACGGACGTGTGCAAGGGATTTTATGCTCCATCTAAGGTGTCACTGGAGAGAACAAATCCAGAATCAAAGCAAACTTAACAGAAAGCTACTGAGTGTTTCCCAAGTAAAAACAACATTCCCTGCCCGCATTCCTCAATTTTTGTCCGACAGAGAGAAGAGGAGCAACAAATGTGGGCGTACCTATACCTTGTAGGCACTCGCAGCGTTTACAGCTAGCTGTACATAACATTTAGCGGACACGCACACAACATTGCGCTTGTTATATTGATATAACAGTAATCTCAAGTAAAGGTGCAAACGATAAATCAGTTAGTCAATGCTCAGCACATTTTTTACTTGTAGTTAAAGGTATTCAAGTGGAACTTGGCCTGCAACGGCTTCTCTCCCCATTTCAAGAACATGCCCCCGCGTTTTGTACCTATGTGTCGACAGCAGCTTCATGCACGACAGCGAGAGCAGCACCACATTATCTTAACTCCTCCTGCAAGCAGAAATTCGAAAAGAGTGCATATGAGAAAATCAAATGTGTGCATATACGGATAAAGCAAAATCGATCGGAAAGAAAGACGCACACACCAGCCAACAACGAACTACAGACCATACCACCACGACCATCGTGGCGCTGTGACTCGTTGTGATTGTAGCATTAAAATATTTGAGTCTCCTTGTGCGAGAAAAGAGAAGATTGGTGAAAAAGGTAAAGGAAGTCAAAACACACTATTTGGGCAATGTCTCCGCGCCTTATACAGTAACTATGCATGCAGTAACAGCCGTTACATGCAACATAGTTGATCTCGATGCCCCAAAGGAGGCATACGGAAGAAAAGAGGGATAGCATACTCCAGGGTGCCTACGCGCACGACTAAGTGTAGACGGCGCCTGAACGGTAATGACGGACAACTTTTAAGCAATGCACATCTATCAAGATAGCTATTCCAGGCAGAGCGTGCGTTGAGCAGACCAATTTGTACCATGCGGAACGAGGAGTCCCCTCCATGGCAACTGGCACTGTGAACGAAGCGCAGTCGCGTATCTCCCCTAGAAAACGTAGCCCGCAACTTCAAACGCGTCAAAAACTCAGATTGGCTTCGTCCACCTCATTTCCGTAGAAATCCCCTCGAAATTGCTCATTGGAGTCTTAGGATCCAGCACTGACACGATTACAGATTGATACTTCACCTGCTGGCGGGTCACTTGCCTGCTCGGCGAAGTACGGGGATAGTTGGAGGGGAGTTTGAAACTCGTTCGAAGAGCCAATATTGATAGTTCTGTGGCACCCCTATCTTGCAGAAGAAATCAATATGAGAAGGAGCATGCATTTATGAGGGGATGGTAAAATGTCACCCACTTGGCAGCAGATGTCGTCGTTTGCTTACCTTTCGGTGCACGCTGTAGAGCCTGCTCATCCACCAGGACCAAATCCCGGGTATCGAAACGCACAGCCAACCGTCGCTCACCAAAATTAAGTGATTGTCTCCCTTGAGCTATGAGCATACACTCGCATGCTCTAGGCAGCTGTCCTCTGAATCCCTCTATCACTACGGGTAGCTGATGACCCCGGATCACCGAGCGCAGGCCCATACGAGAAAGGGGCTCCTTAACGTACATCAGGGATGCGGGAGAACAATGGCAGACGTGCGTATTGTTGCACCACAATGCCACTTAGTACAGTGAAATAAATCAAGCCAAGCAGTTTGATTTTGAAACACTTATGGTCGCATACTGCAGAAAAGTGCTGTTGGTGCGCTACGTCTGCTGGTCTGCACTGCCTCAAGGTAGAGCGCAGTGGTCACATCGTAATTGCTGCACATGGGAGTCATAAAGGGACGCAAGGATACACTAGCGCACCTTGTATCCTATCCGTAGTGACACTCCTGGGGAATGAGAGGGCTACCAGACGTGGGAAAAGAAAGCTTGAGCGACACTCTGAGCTGTGCGAGAGCTGGAAGAAGGGATCAAATGGGCATATTTGCTGAGTCTGTCAACAAGGGGCTAGGTGCTATCATGACTATTATCCTCCTGCAGGTCAGCAATTGAGTCTATAGGCATATCAGTTCAAAACGTTCTAGGGTCCGGAGGGATTCGCAAAACGCCGCTTTCAGGAGAGCTGCACGGCTTCAGGTGCCGCCATTATAGGTAAGAGTGCCTTGATTTCGGCAGCAACTACTAGTTATTGCACTAAGTAGCTCGATGCGTCAAACTGGACGGTATGAGGCAGATTTGTCCATAATGGCTGCTGGCCGTATGCTGTCACTGCATTAGCGGTAAACAACACAAATTTTCCTCTTCGATGGCTAGATCTGGGTTAAACGGGGCCCACAAAAACCTGTCGCTACCTTTCTCCGCACCTTAAACCTGGGCAGAGATCGTCAGGCAAGTGACTTCCTGTGTATGGTCCGTTCCTTTGCCCCCAAATGCTCGCCATCCCACAGAAACATGCAGTGACGCTAGAGTACAGCGCATGCGTAGTGGGCGGCCTCCATGACTGCGCGCCAGAAGGTCTTGTAACAGTAACACTTTTTACATCTTGCTCTGCCTGATGATAAGCCATGGGGCTGATGCCTCCCGTGGTCGTTCTGCTGGCACCACCTCCACCTCCAATCAATACAAAGTGCCTTTATCTTGGGGCCTACATAAAAGTTGCGTGAACGTATGCAAGATGCACCTAAGCATATCCAATAGGCTCATCTAGGTTGAAATAAACAGCAAAACTTCTACGCACAGATTTCTAATTCAAAAGGTTTCGCTGCCTCCTCATTCGGATGGTACACCTGCTGCTGTCGACTGCATTCTCTGCAAGACCAGCTCGGAGCTGGTCGCTATCAGTATTCTGGGGGTTAAGGTGATAAAATCGCGCACTTTGTTGCGCATTTCCCTGGATTGAGTCCTTTTTATGTGTCGTGTAACAGACAGGGAAGCTCTGAGGCATCGCCTCCCATTCATTGCAGAGCGCCCGCTGCCGGGACAGTCACCCTACACAGATTCATCCCTCTCTCTTCTACTTTTCCATGTGCCCCTTCGCATCTGCTGTGTCTCAGAGTGAATGAATTTCTCAATTATACTGACACATCATTGGAGGCACAGCGTCTTCTACTAGATCCTGACGAGAGGGGTCCCCTGGCATTCTGCTAGGGACCATCAATCTGCTGCGTGGACTGACAGCCTACTGATGCAAACTCGTGTATTTAACATTAAAAAGAGCGTTCTCAGTATCACCTCTGGAGAATTAGGGGCAGAAATTTGGTGTTACTCTTGAAGATCCGCCGCTAGCGACCCCGAAGATAGGGGCAACACCAGCAATTACAGCGGCGGCAGCAGCGACAGGACCAACCCATAATACACACCAAAGTATAGCATTTGGACCGGCTTCCGTAGTGTCTGATGGCTCCGAGTGATGTCCGAGTGGCAACTTGTGGGCCTCTTGCCTCACCACGGAAATGGCGATCTGCCCCAAGGTTTACCTTCTTCTTTCACTGCTACTCTTTCCCGCCCTGAGTGCTGGGTTAGGCCCTCCTGAGCCTTCGGAGCTCAATAAAACCCCCAAGCTCCAAGAAAAGTCCCTTGAGGAGCTGGTTGAGCAGAGCCTCGTATCTGCTTCCTTTGCAAAGTCACCCTACGTGCAGAAGCATTTGATTCCATTGCTGCGGCAGCAGCCATTGTCGCTACTGCAACGTGGATCTATGATGTCTGGCTACCCAACCCTTGAGGAGGCCGCTTTAGTGCTGCACGCTTTGGTCACTACATATGGGCCTAAGCTCATCCAAAGACACATTATCGGTACGGCCTCCTCTGCTGATGGTATGGCCGTTGCTAGTTCTGCGCAGACAGCGCCTCTCGGCAATTCGTCTTCCACTATTCCCGCAAAGAGAAACTCATTTCTACGTCCTCCATGTGCAATCCAGCGCTTCTGTCGTGCCGCAGGCCAGAGCGTCGAAGGCCGGCCCTTGCAAGCGTACAGAGTAGGGGGCATCCTCCGGCAGCAACAACAACAAAGGGAGAGAGACTCAGTTGATGCAGACTTCCCTGCAGTCTTGATGACTGGCTTGCATCATTCGAGAGAGCCTCTCAGCATGGTCTTCTGCATCTTTACCATCGGTATGTCCTCTGTGCCACTCCAGAAGGTTTTTTTCAAACTTTTTCTGATCCCCCCTCGCCCTCCCGCCGTTTAGACGCCTTGTACCTGTGCATCTCTTTCTGCCTCTGCATGCCTTCCCGCCTTTGCCACATTCAAGTGCCGTGCTGCCGTGAAGTATGGCGCATCCCTCTGCGTTTTATACCCAGTTGCGTGCGCCGCGTGTATAGACGTCTTCGTTTCACTGCCTATTTCTGGTCTGGCTTTGCTGCTTTATAGCGCGAAGGCTTGCGGTTAGAACAATGCGGCTGCCGCTGTTGGGGATTTTCTTTGCAGCCCGTCTTTTAGAGGACTTTGTTGCCGGAGATGCCACGGCCGTGTACTTGCTGTTGACGAGGGAGTGGTGGGTAGTTCCTATCCTCAATCCAGACGGGTGCGTGCTTGCTACTGGTGAAGCTGCTTGAGCTGCCTGATGCTAATGCTGGATTTTAACGTATCTTTGCGCTCTCCTCGCATATGGATGGCATATTCCCTTCCCCTCTCCCGTGTGAACCCCTTTCTTCACACCGCTCCAACCCCATGAGCTGCGCCTGCTCGTGGCGTCGCATCCAGAGGCTTCTTTTTCTGTTGAGGCTCGTGCTGCGTGTTCCTTGAAACTCCCTACAGCTATGCAGCCATAGAAGCTACGGGCAACACCTCCATCCGCAAGAACCGACGGCCCCCCCCTGGCTTTCACCGGCCTTTTGACGACTATGGTGTCGATCTTAACAGAAATTACGATTATCACTTCAAGTCAATTGGGTACGAGTTCCTTTCCCAGGGCCCTGCAGAGCGCCGCATCTCTCACAGCGGCTTCCATGCTTTCCTGCCCTCCAGCGCAGCCAGCATACCACCCCATCCGAGAGCCGCCAGTCTCACCCATCAGTCAGCTCGCCACGCATTCCCCACTGCAGCGTTCTTCTGGCTCTGTGCATAGCCGGACAGTCACTTTTCTGAAAACCTCCCTAGACAGCAACTTTTTGAGAGGAGAAGGGAGGGGGGCGGGGCACCACCGACCGCGTCTCCCTACGTCCCTCTTCTCCTCACGAGCAGAAGCCGCATTTGTGTGTGTCTGTATGTGTGTCTGTATGTGTGTCTGTATGTGCCACCTTCTCCTTGCTTTGGTGTTGTGCCACGCTGCAGGGAAGTTCCTGAAGAGTATGGGGGCCCTTCCGCCTTCAGCGAACCGGAAACGCAAGCTCTCAAGTGCCTTGTCGAACGGCGCGAAGAACAGCAGCAGCGCCAGCAGCAGCCGACACACTCAAAGTGTGGGGGGAAGTACACCACGGGGCACTTTAAGACTGCTCTGAACTTCCACACCTTCGGAGACGCGTGGACTTACCCCTTCAACTGCTGCAAAGAGGAGCGCCTGCCGCCTTGGGCAACTGCGGCCTTTGCCGAACTCAAACTGTACGCAATGTCGCTGTGTGTGTATGTGCTGTCACTTGCTTTTTCGCTGCTTTTTCTCTGTGTCGCTTCTGTCGTGGAATCTGGCCTTCGGGGTGCATTTTGTTCCCGGGAATTGCGCTGCCAGTACACGCAAGGCCTTTTTTTCGCAGTATGCCGTGACTAGGCGCGGCATACTACAAAGCTCCCGCATCAGCAGCAGGACCATGCGGAAGGAGGCACAAGGGGGAGAGGGGGAGGAAGACGGCGTGTAGCTTGTGGAGGGGGAGGAAGACGGCGTGTAGCTTGTGGAGGGGGAGGGGGGGGGGTGGCAGAAGGGGGTGGGTGTGGGTGTGTGACACACGCGCTGGCCGTCTCTCTTTTGGTGAGGTGCGTTGTTTGTGGTGTCTTGGGCTCGACGCAGGGCCCTGTCTCTCCCGAACTTCGCCCCTGCTCCGGTAAACCCCTTGTTGGGATACGTGACAACGGGGGAGGCAGACGATTGGCTGCTGGCAGCGAAGGGGGTGCTCGCTATGAGTCCGGAGCTTGGAGACGAGGCTGGAGGCTTCTGGCAAAGCGAAACATTGAAGCAGCTGACAGACGGGGGAGGTCGCCTTGCTGTGGCTTACGCTAGGACGCAGGGGGTGGCAGACAAGGCAGGCGCAGAGTTCGCTGCAAGAACCAAGAAACGGGTGCACGATCGACTGGAGGTGGAAGAGATGCTGCGGCAAGTTCAGACTCTCAAGCAGGAAATGCTACGGCAACCGCAGCAGGGGGCTTCTGGAGGGGAAGAAGCGGGCTCTCTGGAGGACTCCCATGTAGGCTTTGTCTTCGCTCCGCCTTCTGCCGTCTCCCTGTCTTATTTCCATTTCACGAACTCCGCTTGTGTGTGTGTGAGTGTGAAAGTGTGTGTGTGTGAAAGTGTGTCTGTGTATGTGTGTGTGTATCTGTATGTGTGTGTGTCTGTGTGTGAGTGTGAAAGTCTCTGTGTGTGTGACAGTGTGTCTGTGAAAGTGTGCGAAGTGTGTCTGTATGTGTCTGTATGTGTCTGTATGTGTGTGTGAGTGTGTGTGTGTCTGTGTGTGAGTGTGAAAGTCTCTGTGTGTGTGAAAGTGTGTCTGTGTGAAAGAGTGTGTCTGTATGTGTGTGTGTGTCTGTGTGAAAGAGTGTGAAAGCCTCAGTGTGTGTGAAAGTGTGAGTGTCTAAGTGTGAGTGTCTAAGTGTGTGTGTGCTGCGTTGCCGTCATTATTTTTATCGATCCTGGTGTGCCACCCCGTTCAGTGGTAGAAAGGACGGCAGTGGTCCGATTGGAGGGGCAGCTGTTGCGGGACCGCTGTCTCTGTACAAGCGTCATGAAAATACGAGCAGTAGTCGGTAGCCGCTGAAAGCGCTGGTGGCAAGCGCAGGCTTAATGGGGGTGACGAAGATGGCTCCTTAAGACGGTGTGCACTTGCTGACATGCGCTCTCTGCTGCGCATCTGTTTAATACGCAGCAATGGGAAGTTCGGACGCTTGAAATAAGCAACAAGTGAGAGGGGCCTTATGTCGGCAGCCTCCCCGTTAGCTCGCCTCTTCGCTGAACCCTTCCCGTCCCCGCGCCCTTTGTCTTCCGTTCCTTTCCGCTCCGCGTCTCCTCCCTGTAGCTCCCCTTGCCGCTGCTGCTGCTCACGCATGCGAAGCTGGGCACGGCTGCTGTGGCTCTTGCAGCGGCCTTAGCCGGCCCTCTACGCCTCTCCAGCTGGTAGCCGTCTCTGGAGCTTTTCTACCCTTGGCTCTTATGCCTGCAAGGATACTGGGCATGCTCTCGACGGCAGCCGATGCGGCCCTCCCCCCGTTGCACTGCCCCCTCAACCCGCATTTCAGCGGCAGCAGAATTAAGTACGACTTCTCGGGAGCGTACAGGAGGCTTGAGAAAGATTTCAACGCTGCACACGTCAGCAAAAGGCATCTGCAACATGAGCAACCCCCGCTTGGACACCCCCAGACACCAAAAGAGGAGCGCAAACAAGAACAGTCTGTCTACGATCCGGCGTGGGCAGAGGACTCCCAAGACACGACTGCCATGCAGCGGCTCCAGGCTGTCTTGTCTCCCTCGCATGATGAGGGGCGATCCCGCCTCCAGACAGCAGCAGCCGGAGAAAGACGATCTGCAGAAGCTGCACGACTCGAGGCTGTCATCGAAGCCGCAGCAAAGGGATTGATGGTAGCGGCAGAAGACGCCATGGAGGGCCTTGTGCTGCACCTCTCGAAATCGCAGCAGAAAAGACGCCATGCAGAGCACAGCTCCCAAGGAGACTCGAAGTCTCTCCCCGTTGTAAGCGAGAAAGAGCAAGCTTCCTAGAACGCGCACTAGCAACCCACCGAGCCAGCTGCCCGATGCGTGTGTGCAGCAGTGCAGCTGAGCGTGTTTCGTTGCACGAGCGCAGTCTGCAAGGCGGCCTCTCCAGAGGGCAGGCAGCCAGCCCCCAAAGGCATACAGCGGCAAATATTCATGCCACAGGAACACATGGCCATTGTGATTGCCCTGTTGTATATGTGTGTGTATGTGCATGTGTGTGTATGTGCATGTGTGTTTATGTGCATGTGTGTGTATGTGCATGTGTGTTTATGTGCATGTGTGTGTATGTGCATGTGTGTGTATGTGCATGTGTGTGTATGTGCATGTGTGTGTATGTGCATGTGTGTGTATGTGCATGTGTGTGTATGTGCATGTGTGTGTATGTGCATGTGTGTTTATGTGTGGTTTAGGCCCTGCTTTCGCTACCTCCGCTCGAAGGCAGGGCAAGACCATCGGGAGCTGTCTCCTCTTTTCGCTTCAAAGTTGCGACTCGACGCGCTTCCCTGTCCTCACAGAATACGTCTTCGACGCGGCAGAATGAAGAACCGCCAGTTGCGGCGCTCTGCGTCTTGGAGCAGATTCCAGAGGTCAGCAACTTACCTTCTGCTCCTTCTTGCTGCTGTGAGAAGAAACCTTCTCTACGCTTGTTCTGCGCGTCCTCTTCCATATAGGCAGCCACTGGGAGTGGTGCTCTCTCATATTATAGTGTCCTTACAGCGGCAGCAGCAGCCGCCCCCTTTGCTGCTGCACCTCTTGTTATCGTCGGTATCGAGTTTTCCTGATGGTTTTGAACATGTATTGCATCTCCTTTGCGGCCTTCCTCAAGTCTTGCCTCCTGATGACACTTGCTGGGTTCCTCTTCCGAACAATTGTTTTTCTATGTTTCATCCACGTAAACGTTCATGAATTTCAAAATAATTTCAGCGTATTGACTGCCTAATAACATGTCTTATCAAATTGGTTTTCCATGTTCCATGCATGTATACGTTCATGAAATTCAAAATGCTTTCAACGTATTGAAAGGCTGATAACATGTCTTATCAAATCGTTCTTCTATGCTACATGCATGGATACGTTCATGAAATTCAAAATGCTTTTGACGTATTGAACGACTGATAGTATTATGTACCGTAGATGTATGGCTTCAACCATTTCATGATTATGTTTCTGCAGTCCATCGTTCAAGATCTAGGAGTAGGCGAGTGGCTATGCCACTGTGGAGCATCCAGGGAGTCCAACAGCCCCACACTGCCGTGGACTCCTATTGCGGTGCGTTTTCTTAGCGGAGTAGCCTCTTCTTGGTGATGTACGATGTGCTGAGCTGACCTCGCTCTTTGGCACTGAAGTGTTCTATAGCTGCGTCTCTCTCTGGCTCTGCCCCTCGCTTCCTTACGGCTTCCCTCTCGACTCCTCCGCCGTGTTGCTCTGCATGTGCCAGCTCGCCAGTGCCCTTTTTAATGGGGTTGTGCAAGTCTCTTTCTCTTTTCTCTCTCTCACTGCGCCTCTGTCTTGGGGACAGTTGCTTCCATGTTTGCCGGTTTTTGTCGTCGTCTGGGGGTTCTTCTTCGCAGCTCTTTGCGGAGGCATCAGAGACGCATCCTCTCTGTCGAGATGCTATTGCGGCTGCTACCGAGTGGCAGCAGCAGCTGCACCAGCAAGAGTCCTCTCTCCAGCAGCAGCATGTGCCGCGACGCCAGCAGCAGGGCCGTCAAAAGGCAGGCGGTGTCACGGGGAGGGATGTGCGTTTTGCGTGGCAAAGCACAGATGTGTTGCTGCTAGACCATTTCGTGGATTACTCCGTAAGGGCCCTACTACGTGCACTCTTTAGAGTAGTCTCTCTCTCCGTCCCGCTGCCTCTGTCTTTTTTCATGGCCCTACGGCGGGCAGCAGCAGCAGCGGCTGCTGCTGCATGCGGGATTCTTTGCTGTGTGTCTGCTTGTGTGCTCCAGTTCGTTGTGCTTCTACTTATTGCCCAAATAATTCTGGCATTGCTGGCTGCGCGTCTCTGTATGCTGAGACAGTGCGGCGGCCCCTTCCCTTACCACGTTGTCGGGTGCACGCTCTCCGCTGTCGGGCATGGTGGAACTGTTGTTATTGCTGTTGTTGTTGCTGATCCTGTTGTTCTCGCTGATCCTGCTGTTGTTGCTGCTCCTGCTTTGCGGTTTGAAGGTGCTGTCATACCTAGGCGTTACGCTGTTAGGGCAGCAGGCTGGCCATGGAGCCTTGCAAAGAGGTGTTCTAAACGAAGCTGTGCGCAGTACATCTCCTGTGCTGCTGTTTCGCCGCGCAGTCTGAGCTCCAACCCCCATAGCCGCGTCTCTCTGTGGTATTCGAGGGCATCCGCTCAGTTTAGCAAGTTTTGCTGTTGCCTGACGATGCTTTTCAGGAGGTCGAATGGTAAGTTTTGACACCTAATGGCCTTCTTTCTTGGATTTTCCACATCGTATGAGGCGCCCTTCTCAGCGCCTTCATGCGGTGGCAGCGAACGACGGCTGCGCTCCGTCTCTGTCTTGGTCCGTCTCAGGAAAAGTGAGATGTCGATTACAGTCCAGCTTGCCGCATGATGCTGCTCGCGGCTGAAAGACGCCCTCCCGATCTGTAGCCTGTTCGGCTCTTTTCGCCACTGTGTGCCTCCTGCTGCCTCTGCTCCGAACTTCCAAAGCGCAGGACCTACTGCAGCTCCTGCAGTCTTCAAGAAAACGATCGACTGAGTGTCGGCGCCTCGTGGATCTCGGCGCGCTGTACGTGTAAAAATATTAAGCCTTTTTGTGATCCTAGTTTTTTGTGCATTCTCCGTTCTGCCACGGGAAAAGCCTTAAGGCGGCCCCCAGTGGTTTGCATGCGTCCTCACTCAAGTCTCCTCGAGAGAGGACCTTCAAGCAAGGCCTACGAGCGCCTCTTAGTGTCTTTATAAGGGAATTCCTGATCAGGAGAGTCAGGAAGCAGCAGCGCATTTCTTTGCGTCGTCGTGAGTGAAGGGAACAACGGCGGGGGACTGACCGTCTACTGGTTGCAAATACAACATCTGACAGGAGACCACCGGGTGTGCTTGGCAACGCGCACATTATGAATAGTGGATCGCAGTGCCCTAGACGTTTCATAAAGATGAAAGCTACATTCGAGGGGCAAGCATGCGTGCGTACGACTGCTAGTAACTCCGACTATAGGCCCCCGCTTTTTACACCTTCAAGGATATAGTAGTGTATATCTGCTCATGCATGTTTCTAGCATCGCCCTATGGTGGAAACGAACTAGAGCCCTATATCTGCGGTGTTGCAAGCGCGATAGTTGTTGGAATCTCTACCCGAAAAAGGGCGGCACACGCCAACGGATGTGGCAGACGTCACTTGCCGCTAGCGGCCCGTTACACCTCTCTTGGCTGCCCCCAAGTCAATTGCTAGTGCCCGTTCGAATCTGCATCTTCGGCGCCACTAATTCTTAAAGTGCCGATTTGCCGCATTACCCTGCTAATGAGCTCTGCTTCTTTGCTGCCGTTGGCCTCGCGCTGCTCCTCCCTCCGCACTAAGCGAGCAGCGGTGCCTGAGGGGGTTGGGAGAGCAGGAAGAGACAGCAAACGGCGCGTTTCTCGCTGCACAGACACACAGCAGCAGCAGAGATAGGAACACTGCACTGCCGAGACACGAGCCTCAGGCTGCGCACAGGTGCCAGGTGCACTGCCACCACGGTGGAGCCTGGAGCTAGCTAGCTAGCTCCAGCAGCAGTCGTTTGGGTGACGAATCGTCCCTGTCTGCCTCGACCCACTGGTGTTGCCGCTGTTGGCGTAGGCGTCGTAGGCGCTTCCGTCGCGTAGGGGGTCCTTCCGGGGGGGTCTCGCTGTACCGACACCTTGCGAATTCTCGTGGGCGCTACGACGCGCACGTTTGCAGCGGAGTCGGTGTCAGCAGCGGAAGTTTCTCCAGGGGCTGTCGACGATTCTCTGACGATTTCGAAGGCAGGAATTGCATTACGTGGTGGCATTCGCACCTTCACGAACTCCTCCGCGTCTTCCTCCTGGGGGAGACGTGGACGCCGCCTACGCTCGCTTGGGGTCACTATGCCAGCGGTATATGAGAACCCTCGCTGTAGCTGCGCAGGCAGCTGGGAAGAAGGCGTGTCTCTAGGGGAACATGTGCTGCAGGCAGTGGCAGCAAGCAGCTTTGTGCTCATGGATACGCTGCTAGGGGCAGCAAACACACTGACTCGAGGCCCCTTTCCCCTGGCTACCCGGGGCGAAAATTCCCCCCTTTGAGGCTACAGTCGTCACGCAACACTAGCCGCTAGTCAGGTGGGTGAAGAGCTGGAATTCTGGCAGGCAAGCGAACGGCTAGAGGGCTGTACACCGGAAACTTCACCTTGATTCCCCTGGAAAGGGAGCGACTGTCGGAGCTTGCTGTCTCTTCGGTCCGGAGTCTTTCAGCGAAGCTTCACACCGTGAAGGGGTGGCCAGTGGTGATGAACCAGCAGCATGAGCAGTAGCGCTAGCAACAGGAGGCGCCGCATGTTCGGCACGGAGGGTGCGAGCTTTCGCCAGACGGGCGACAGCTCTTGTTGAGGTCCCTCTCGTCATCGTTGCCGCAGGGTGTGATGGCGGCTCTTGAAGGCGACGATTTCGCGGCTGGTTAGACTCGCCTTCTGGAGGCGAGTCTCCCACCTGCGGCTCTCTCAGGAACGCTGGCAGTTGCCTCGCAGGCGGCTTGCTGGCCCTTCTGTCCTCCTCGTAGCTGGTGGTACGGCTGCCAGCGACATGTGTTTTATCCGGTGCGTCGGCTTCTGAATGCGCTGAGACGACAGCCAAGTCGAGAGTACTTGTGTCTGGGGGAGGCGTCAATGCCTCAGCGTCCTCGTCTGGCGGGGACTGATGATGCTGGATGTCGTGCTGAACTTTCGGAGGAGAAATGCGGGCTTCAAGTTCCCGAACTCTATCTTGTACACGGCGTTTGGTCTGAATATCCTCTTCTTGGACTGGAGGCTTTTTATCAATCTGCGGCTCTACCTCGACGCGGTGCACCAATCTAGCTCTGCCTTCTAGCACACTGTTTGCAGCGCCTCCCCCCCCGCTGCCTGAAGCATGGAAGGCCCCCTCTGAGCGACCACCTCTCCCGCTTCGCGTCTTCCAAGTGCTTTCCGCGAACCTGTCCTCAGCGCTGCCAGCGCTGCTGCTGCCTCCGGAGTCGGCTTCGTCTCTTGTCGTGGAGTGTCCTCTCTGCTGCGCAAGGCTCCTGCCTCCCCCTGCCCCCCCCCTTCGTATGCGCCTCCTCTGATAAAGATCTCCCGGCACTGCATCTCGTTCCCAGTGGCCACTTTCGTCCCTCTGAATCGTCGGCTTCTGAGGAGCTGCAACGGTCATGAGGGCCTCTTCATACTCCGCTTCGGCGTCGTCTGTATCCGACGCACTCAGTCCCAAGCTGCTTCCCTGCCTGTCTCGACGGCTGACGAGGGTGCCGCGAGCTGCTGCTTCGCCTGAGGAGTCAGTAGAAGCGTTCGACCGCTCGTACCCTGCAGCCGTCTCCCCACCCCACAAAGAGGCCTCAGGAGACACCCCTTCGTCCTTGTCTCCCCCCAACCCCGTGGGGAGGTGGGCTGCCTTGCGACGGTGCGACACTGGGAAAGAAGCCTCTGCCGCTTCAAGGTGCAAGTCCTCTAAAGAGAGCTTGGGATCATGACCAGGAGCCTCCGGCTCTGTCTCCATGCCGTCCGAACACAGCTCCTCGATGGCAAGCGCCCATTCCTCCGAGAGGAGCTGGCCGTCGGCAGCCAAGAGAACAAAGTTTTGGAGCTCCTTTGCCTGGAGATCCACCGTCACGACTTCAATGCCATGGAGATAATCCTTCTTTGCGACAGCCGCCAGGGCAGTTATGCCGGGATCAGCAAAGGTTCTCGCAAAGGTGTTGTGTCCAAGCACGACAACGCTCTCAACAGGCGCATTCGCATCTTCCTCTGACTGGTGTATACACAGGTAGGGGCCTCGAAGCGACACCACGCGCACTTCCCACACGGGATGCAGCGCGTCTCTGAGCACAGCACAAAGGCTTCGACACTTATACACACACACTTACACACAAATACCCCGCAAAACACAGAGCGGGGAGGCCCATGTCTGCTGCTCAAAGCCGCAGTGTCTTCGGACCGCAGGAGACATATACGCTTTGAGGCTGGCAGTAAGCACTGCAAATCACGGATGCGCAGAGAGAGGTTGAGAGGGACGGGAAGGTGAGGAGTTCCCACTTTCGCACGAAAGCTTGAACCTTGTCGGGAGCTGAGAGCAGGCACACAGCAGACAGAGGCAGCAACAGCAGCAGCACTCTCTCGGCGAGCCGCCATGTGTGTCTGATGGGCAGGAAGGGCGTGCCAGGCCGCCTTTCTAAAAAGGAAGAGAAATCTCCCCAAGCTCCAAACCCTGCATTTACGATTTTGTAGGAAGCGCTCGGTGTATGGATCCATGCCCTTGCTGTAGATGACGGGCAAGGCGGGCTTGCTCAAGACAACTTCTGGGAGCTTGTCAGCTTCTCTGTGCTCTGCTGGCGGCCCATCCAGAGGCAGCTCGATGCTCAGGAAGGAGTCTACCGCTTGCGTCGCGTGTTCACAGTGCGTGTTGATTTGCGAAGAGAGGTCCTGCAAGGCCTGAGGGGACGGGCAGCACAGCCACAGAAGGAATACAATGGCAAGGCAAGAAGGAGGTGCAGGGAACAGTTTCCGAGAAGCACCAGCAGCTTCTCACTGAGCCAGTACAGGTATGCAAAATCTCAAAACCAAGCTCGCCTGTACTGCTGCGAGGAGGGAGTCAGTGGAAGTCAATGCCAGATTTTTGCAAGTTTTTGTAAAAGGCCGAGGACGCCACGCATTCTGATGCGATGAGCGCCCGACTCCAACCCCAAAGATCCACCGTGAAAAACTGTCTATTTCTAAGCCACAAGAGACGCACGGTCTGCCGATCCTCCAGGAGAAAATCGATTTCAAAGACTCGCAGCTGCCAGTGCGGAACGCGCAGCCTCTCCCGCATATCTGTGCGCCAAGCAGCCGCAGCAGCAGCACAACTCAATCTGCTGAGGGCCTCCTACCTACAGAGGGGTGGCTTTTGCAGCGAAGGCTGCAAAGCTGCCACCGCTTTCACAGCACAGACGGAATGCCAGGGAAAGAAGTCACATATGGAGCAAGGAAGAGACGGCGGAGAGACAGACACAGAGTTTTACAACCAGGCAATGAAGGGAGTTTTACGCAACGAATGCAAGAGGTCATTAAGCCCCAAAGACGACAGGAGACGACTCCAGCCGAATACGCAGGAGGGCAAGGAGAGACTGCCAAACCGCGGCAAGACGGAAGACTGAAAGGCCTACCCGCCAAAAAGTCACTTTTCTGTTCCACTGCCTCGATGGTGGGAGCGATCTCCGCAAACGAGTTGAGGGCCAAGACTGGGCTGTGTGCAGCAAGGGTGTGCAGCTGAAGCAGCTGCTGCTTCTTCAGCCGCAGATACCGGAGCAAAGTCTGGCAGTCTACATCCAAGGACCTGAACACAGTCGCGCACTCGAGGCCACCCACCCCATGCGCGCCGCATCCCTCTCTGCTAGGGGTGTAGAAAGTGTAGAAAGCAGATAGCCGACTCACGCGGCAGCGCGAGCCAGCCGCGTCTACAGCCGATCTGGCAGCAGCACCGAATTCGGCAAGGGCGCTGAACTGCCCGTGAAAGCCTCGACATGCCTTTGAAGGCGATACGGCCCTTACTTGAGGCTCTGAGCGCTCACGTTGCGCACCACATCTATTTCGCGAAGTGCAGCTTCGTTCCGCTGATCAAGTGATCGAATCACGGACTGCATCGCAGGAAGGAGCATGCAGATCCTCTTGCAGCGTCAAAATCGCGTTCTCCCTTTCTAGGAGATCGGCAGCAGCAACAGCCCATCGCTCGGCAGGGACAGAAGCGGATGCACAGGGCCGGGAGTCGAACCTCAAAGGCCTCCTTGATTTGGAGTGCATTAGCCGCGTGTATTCTGGCAGCTTTCTTCTGCAACGGAAAAAGGAGACACTCCAAACAGCCGCACTGTGCTGCAGTTGCAGCAGCTGCTACTGCAACACAGAAGAGGAGCAACACGGTGCGACACGTGCGAGCCTCGAAAGGCAGGCCGTCTGTGCAAAGTGGCGCTGAAAGGAACCACCGAATCATAGTCGGCTGATAATACAAAAATACAACGGCAGCAGCACCTGAATGCTCTTCAGCGATGCAATAAGGGTCTCGAGTTCTTGAGCCTGGTGCTTGAGTTTTACGTATTGATCCGTCATCTGAGCGCAGCGAGCAGAACGCCCCGGCGAAACGTACTTCGATAAGCCGTCGTTCCGTGCATACCGCTCCCCATTCCTCTCTCTCCCCTTCTCCCTTCCCCCGTTGTGTACCACTATCCCTGAAATTTAAGAGTAGGCTGACCTTCATGCGGACAGAAGGAACGGCGGTTCGAATATTGACGAGCTCGTGATCCGTGTGAAGGCCCTCCGAGTAACAAGCCGCGCAGAGCACCTCGCATCTAGGGGAAAGTAGGCAACACAGCACATACATAAATATATATATATATATGTATGTACATACTTATGTAGACGTAAAATGCACATATACTCAGAGCGAGCCTGACAAGCCAAAGTAAACGGAGGCAGAGGAACGGATTTACTGGAGAGCGCTGTACAAAAACTATTTGCACAGGGGGATGCGTAAGGGCAGAACGGCAATCCCTACCTGCAGTCCAGGCAGGCGAAGCGTGCAGGTTCGTCAGGATGTCTTGGGCACTGCACTCCCCTGTAGAAAAAAAAATGGCAGCTCCAAGATGCTTCCCCGTGAACCCCTGCAGGCCTCAGCTAGCTAGTAAAAGTGTAGTGCATGAATGTAAGAACAGACTGCCTGTGTCTGTACACCGCGGGGCGTGCACGGGAGGCGCGAGCAGCTCCTAGGCCGCCTTGACCCTTTGCTTCCTTCGTACCTGCCGACAGTGGACTGCACGTCGAGGGTGAAGCTATCACTGTGGAGCTCCTCTATAAGGGCCCTCGGAAGCTTGACATCCACCACTTGAGCTCTTACAGCCGTGCCGACTTTGTGGTGATGCGTGTCAGATCCTCCATGTGCCTTTGCCGCGCATGGACCGCAGAAGAACTTGTTGCACTCGCCACAGAAGAGAGGAGCAATGGACATCCAGCAACGCATGCACGTGCGCCCCCCCACATGGGGTGCCCCTGGATCAAAACAGGCAGGCACAAAAATACGCATGCAATGGATACCAGACACGATGCGCTGGAAAGAGGCGATCTACATATCTAGATAGAGTGCGTGTGTGTGTGTGTGTGTCTGTGTGTGTGTGTGTGTGTCTGTGTGTGTGTCTGTGTGTGTGTGTGTGTGTGTGTCTGTGTGTGTGTGTCTATCTACCTATCTGTCTGTCAGCATTTCCGTCGGCTACCTTTTCTGCCACTACGTCTGTTCCTCCACCTCTGGCTTGCATTAAGTGTCCACTTTGTATTTACTGATCTGAGTCCGTCTGACAAGTGTGGCGAAATGCGTTAACCCTTTTGTGAGAAAGCCATCCGCCTGAGATTTAAGGGTCCAGGGAACGGCGTACCTGGCTGGAGGGAAGCTGGCTCCAAGGGGCAGGGAAGCTGATCTCGTAGCCTCTCGACTTCGCCCTGAATTTCCTCTGCAGCCTCTAGGGGCAGCAGAGATTTTGCTGTTGGGAAACCAAATCGCCACTGTGTTGGATCCGGGGAACGGGGATTCTCCTGCTTTGCAACTTCCCTTGCGGCGAGCAAGGCAGCTCCGGGGAAGGCCAGCGGCCTCAACCCCGTGCCCTGAGGCATATGCATTTTCTTGTGGCGTGGTGTGTTGGGGTCAGAAAAGCTGCAGCCACTAGAGCGAAGCTAGTTGAGCAGGGGTGCGAGGATGTCCTCCCCAGCCTGTTTACGCATGAGTGTGTGTGCCCACACACGATGAAGAAAAACTCCAGACTTTGACAAGCAACGCGAAGAGGCTAGAAGGAGAGAGTGAGGAGAGGCCATGGGTAGCAGGGGTCAAATGGGGGCGACCACTTTACTAAGGACCGCAGTAGCGGAATATTCCTGGCGCCGCTTCTTGTTTATTCAGTGAAAATCCGCTGAAACAGAGAAAATAATTTTGAAATAGGCTACTTTCAATCATCTACGCACTAAGGGGCTCCATACGAACCCCCGACCACAGGCTGTCTGGTGGTCTGTCTGCGGCATGCAGGGCACTCGGCAGCAAAAGAAACGGGCAACAAGCACCAAGCAGTCCCTGTGGTATCAATTTAGACCCTTTACACACAATTGCGCGGCGGAACATGCCCAACGAGATCGCTCAAGATGCGCCTTCATTTCGCCTTCTCCCCCCTCCCGTACACTCTCTAGGCACTCCTTCGCTCACAGAGCCTACTGGCCGCTGTGGTTTTTTTTCGACCGCTCGCAACGGTTACTGCTGCAACGCTGCTCCTACTCAAGGTGATGCTACAGAAACACGACACTAACTGTATACTTACCGTCCGTTTCTGCCAGTGTCTGAACGAGAGAAAGACTCCCGCTGCCTGTATGAGCACAAGCTGTTTACGCAGCCCAACCGAAGAGCCCCTTGTGTCCAAGGGGTTTTCTTGGTCCTCAGGGGAAAAGTTTAGCACAAGATTTTGAGCTTTGGCCAGAGTATCAGCATCTGAGTTGATCTCTCCATTGGACCATCTGCGTCCGCCACTCACTGTCTGGCCCTTCCTGATAGATTCTTTTCACCCTTTGACGCGGTGCGCGCCTACCCACCGTGCGGCTTGGAGTTATAGAATGCCATCAGTCCCTGAAAATGTAATATTACCACCGCGATATCCAGGTGCTGCCGCACGCTTCTGGTCGGGCGTCCATGGCCCATATGCAGTGGTCAGGGCACCGGCACCCAGATTCTTCAGTGTAAAGAGGCATTAGGCCAAATTACACATAGACGTGGCCCATGACTTTCATTGGTTTTGTAGCAAGGAGCTGAACGACAGTTGATTGTATTTTCCAATCGCCATTGTGCGCTGCTGCACGTGTCAAGACCAGCTAGCTCCGCTCAGGCAGAAAAATGCACTATATATCCTCGTGCGCTGTAGTTTGCTGCCTGTCAATGACCGAACTATGCAAAGACAAACGTGTATGCTGTCTGAGCAGTTCCGCTCCGTAAGCCGGATATCCTGGCGGCTTAGAGGCAGGAAGCGACTAAACTGTTTCCAGGGGAGGGAGCTAGGTGCTTTCACTCGTACTTTTGAACCTGAGCCTTCTATGATAGGCTCGCTCCTTTATGGAGAACCCATCAGGAGGTACACCAATGCTCCTAAGGCAAAGAGATCTGGTAGCTCAAGACGCTGTCAAGCAACTGGATGCGAGTCCCCATCTGCGTTTGATAAAGCGCTGCTCTGCCCCTCGCGCCCTGCAACTACAGGGTATAGGTTGGAGAGGAACAGTCGGAACGCAGCTTGCTGCACCCCCGACACAGTTCGGGCAGAAATGCGCAGTTATTCAGCACACAGGCACGCATCTTAGATCTAACGTAGCATATATATACGCTTGTCCCACTTGATACAAAGCAATAACACGCAAGCCAAACAACAACCAGCTCTACGGAGGCTAATCACAACGAAGGGTTAATTGGCTTAAAGCAACTGGCCGGCCACACCCTACACGCCAGGAATCACCAGCCTCTATGAACGCCTCCCGCAGCAACAATCTAACGACTCTCTTTGCGAGCTAAAGCCAGGGTGAAGCCCCTCTCTAGTCAGGCGCATGGGGCTGAGTGAGCTGTCCAACATCAAGAGGGACTGTCAACAGCACAAGGCAGCCGCTCTGGGGGTCAACTACAGAACAGCAGTCCATGATAACGTCTATTAGTCATAAGTAGGAATCAGCCAGGAGCTAGCACGGCTATAAGGCCCTCGAACGGCGTGGCCAGAATCTTTCGTCCGGGGTGGGAACTCTAAATACGCTTTGGTATCACAAAAGACCTATGTGTCTTTCTTCTCACCCTCCTGCAGTAGACAACAATGCCACCGGAAAAAACAACCATCCTACACACGAACATAATAAAGCGCCCTCTCTTTCTCTCTCGAGGCGCGGGCTACAGCAGTAGGGGCCAGAGGCGGCGGCAGCAAGGGCGTGGACGTCTCTCACCTTCTTCTTGAGAGCTCTTTGTCTCAAAGATAGGCACTCTCCGAGTCTTATCTTGTTCCAGGTGTGGAGCGGCAGCCAGTGCGCTACCCGCAACACTAGTGCATGCGGGCAATAGGGCGAAACAGTGGGCTTCCCGCAGCAGCTAGCTCCAGACATCGTGCGCACTGCGCTAGCGGCATATCTGTCAAACGCATCACACCGAAAGAATGCCTAGGCGCGAACAGGCTATTGAAAATCAGCAGAGGCACATGCGGGCGGTAGGTAACTTCGCACGAATCTATCCGTCGGTCTGCGCAGGTGTTGAGGCTTGTAGCATGAAAAAGCTTGCGCGTACACCGTAGCAGAGGGCCTTAAGATTCCCGGGGTTTTACACTTTGAGAGCTTCGTTGTCACGAGGAGGGGCACGTGGCACTGAACTTGAATTCCAAAGGGGGCAGCCTCCACCTGCAGAGACAACATGCACGAAAACAACAGCCCGCCAAAGCTGCAGAAGTCGCAGAATCAATGCGTAAAGCAGCCGTACGGGCAACGATGCAACGCACTGCGTAGCAGTCCTATGAACAGCTTTCAACCAGAAAACGCATCCCCCAACCTTAGAGTCCCCATATACCAACCTGCAAGGAACGGCAGAATGCTTCAGACGCGGCTTTGGTGGCAGCATACGCGCTGTACAGCGGATCCGAGGGCAGCTGCGAGCTGCTGCTGCCCACGCAAACGATCATTCCCTGCTTGCGCGCCTTCATCCCTGCGGCAACACACACCCTTGTTACGGCGTACGTACACTCCATACCCTAAACCGAGTCGAACAAAGCCCCGCAAGTGCACACACATTTTTCCCATCAGAGGCCTCGATTTTTTTTGAAGTCTCATCAGACGCCTCGACGGTGCTAGCCCACACGCGCAATCTGTAAATCACGAAAACCCTGACAGTTGTCTGTACACCCCATCACTCACCAGGGAAGACGGCGCGGGTTACCACAAGGGTGGCTCGGACGTTCACATCAACGAGTTCATTCACCAAAGAGAGAGGTACTTCATCATAGTACTGCGCACAAACCGAATGTCTCAGTAGCATTTTAAACGTCTTTATGTGTATAATTGTGGGCAAGGGCCTTCCTGACTGCATGCCAATCATGGAAATATCGGCTCCCCCTCGATCGTGGCTAGCTCAGCGGCAGCCGCCGGTGCCTCGCTGACCATGGCGTGTGGATACGATATGCCAACATTGTTGATGAGCACTCCCACCGAGAGACCCTCCACTGCTCCCGAGATTTTCTTGTAAATCTCCTCAGAGGACTCCGTGGCAAAATCAACTACAAGCCGCGATACGGTCAGCGCGTGAGGTGCGGCCGTTTCCAGCTGCAGCAGAGCAGTGGCGAGAAGCAGCAAGCAGCAGCAGCTTATGCACAACATAAGAAGAGGCAATCCAGGGAAGGAAAGATGTGCTAGGAGAGAGTGCATGACAACAGATCACAATAGAGACGGCGGAACAAGCCACATGCAACAAAAGAAAGGCAGAAGAACAGCAGATAATGAGGTTGCCGCGAAGAAAGGGAGACCATGCAAAGGACGATTCGGAGATGTTCACTTAGACAGATTCACGTAAAGTCTTGGCAGCTGTCGTTTGGGCATCCACAGACCCCTGTGTGCGTTGTTTCGTGGTTCACACCTCTCTGGTGACATCCTTAAGCTTTTGATCATTTCTAGCAATAAGGAGGAGCTTCTTAAATCCCTTCTTTACGAGCTGGTTGGCCATCGCCTTGCCAATGCCATCGGAGGCGCCAGTAATCACTGCCCATTCTCCGTAGGACACCAGATTCTTTCCCGCGACAAACCGCTGCAACAAAAGCGCACCACAGGCAGACTACTGCATCCAGATGCGAGTGCAGATGTTAGTACGTGGCAGGCGCACACGTGGGTAGGGAAAGAATTGCTCTGCTGCCCTGGTTGTTCGCTGAATTCAAAGCCCCCTTTTGTGAGATGGGAGGGCAACGAAGGCTTGAAAGGCGGGGGAAAGGAGCAACAGGGAAAACGTGTGTGACCTTGGCGATGGCGCAGAGGCAACAGACGAGGCAGATGATAATCCGGAGAGCCATGAGGCTAGCAAGAAGAAGCACAAAGCAGGACATGAAAGGGCAAGCAGCGAAGTGCTCCAGCATGCGCTGGCAGCAGTCGCAGTGCCCCAACAAGCCTGAGCCAAACATTGCTTCCACGGACAGGAGTGCGCGTGAAGGCCAGAGAGAAGAGCTAAGCGGCGGCAATAAAACAAAGTGATTTCTGCACCGCACACAGGCGCAGGGAACAGACAAGTGTGTTCGATGAGACTCAAGAGGAGTGTCTGGACGTGCACCGCAGCGCGGAAGATTTCCGAACAACAGCCGTTGATGAATTGAAACCACTGCCACGCCCCAGATACAGAAATTTGAGCACCTATAGTCAAACACGGGTCACAGTTTCGGCCTCCGTGGTTTCGCTGCAGAAGAGACTGAAGCAGTTCAGGACCAGTCTGTGTATTCACGGGGGATGAACAACCACTCAGAAAGTGCAGGGGAACACACGAACGAGGCAGTGCCTCAAACTGAGCGAAGGGGAGAGAACGCAAAAAGAGACCGCAAGATACAGAAAGAAAGCGATGAACACACACGAAGACGGCGAGACAGCGTGGCAGTGCGGTCAAAAAGGCTAGGAATGCTTCATGGAGGGAATGTGTGGCAGTCTTCGTAGACGATTAGGCATCTGTTGTTTGCGGAACTCGTACCTCGAAGTATTTGCTGTGCGTTTTTAGCAGTGTTGTTGAAGTGTGACGGCTGGAAGCGAGAGGCAGGCACACTTGCAAACTGCCTCTAATACCCGCACCGTCGGTGCAGCGGCGAAGGCGCTTGGGGCTTGAGCAGGAAGCAGAGAGCGGAAGGCTGTTTTCTCGATCTTTCTGGCAGAGTTGTTCTTTTTCCTTTTGTATTATTTCCTGTTAGTTTTTGACTTTTGCAGCCCGAAGGCCGAGAAAACAGGAGGAGGACGTGACGCTGCAAGTCTGCCTCCGCAGGTTGCTACCGCGGGCACCCTTGCACCTGCTGTCAGGCATAGTACATCCGTAGAGCTGCAAACCCTGGAAGTACGCCTCCTGAAGCTGCATCGGATGCAGCAGCGGGAGCAGCAGCTTGAGGCTCTGTGCTGTGCCCTGCGGCAACGCGGCTGGCGAGTTCGTGATGGAGTCCAGTACGGTGTTGACCTTCTTCTCTATAGGAGCTGTGGGATCAAGACGACAGGACAAGGCATAGACTTGCACCAGCGGCACGCACCATTCCTGCTGTTGCTCCTTGACCCTTCTGTTACGTGGCGCTCGGTCTCAGGAGCATCTCGCCTGGCCTCCTCTGTGGGCAAGGATTTACTGCTCGCAGCGCCTCTGCTGCCCCCCGCGGCAACCCCTTCTGCCTCTGCGGCAACATCAAACGCGGGATTGAAGGAAGCGAGTGCAACAGAGAGTGCGCTTGTTGGAGAAGCTAGGCTGGCCTTCCGCATCTTGCGGATTCGCCGCTTTGCTCCTTTGCTCGAGAAATAGATACCCTGACGCGGTATGCCTGTTTTTCTGACTTCTTTTGCCGCGTTCTCGTGGTTTTTCGAAGTTTGTTTTGTTCCCAAGCCCTTCAAGCGGGTGAGGTAACGCTGTGCTTACCTACCTACCTCTTGGTGTTGAACGTGTAGCAGTTCTGGAAGCAATAATGGCAGGCTCTTTGCAGCAGTTGGTGCGAAAGAGGGGGTACAGAGAGCGCGGTCAGGCTGCGCATAGGACCCACAAACACAAAACTTTGGAGAAAAAGAAGGACTGGCAGCAGCGGTCGCGGCGCTACAAGCAACAGCAGCAGCTGCTACAACATCTGTCCGAAAAGGCGAGGACTCGGAATCCCAATGAGTTCTGCTGCAAACTACTAAGGGCGCACCAGATAGGTGGAGGCGCAGATGGCCTTAAGAGCAAGAATGCCGGACTGGTGATGCTGGCGAGGGGCGATGTTGCCGCGGCGACTGCTGCTAGATCCCCTGCTGCTGCCGCAGCGGCAGCAGCGGAAGTTCTGCGAACCGCCTCCCGTTCGTCCCTCGTGTCTACGCGAAGCGCCAAGAAGTTGCAGCATACAAAGAAGCAGCTTGTCAAGGCTCAAGAGAAGGCGGCTTCCGGAGCAGCTGCACTGCTTCAGCTCAAGGAGCAAACACTGAGGCAGCGCGTGAAAAAGCAAGCTGTTACTCTGGGTCAGGGCTTTGTCTGCACGCAAGCTGGCCGGCAGCACCTCATCCTTCACACTGACTCCGAGGCGTCCGACAGTGACGAAGCTGAAGGAAACACTTCGCAGCAAATGCAGCGGAAAGCAGCAGCAGAAAGCATGTCGGACAGTTCCGAGAGCGACTCGGAGTGCCGCTGGTTGGAGCTCGCGAAGAAACCCAGGCAGCAACGCATAGCCGCAATGACAGTTGTAGAAGAGATGGATGGCGAAGTGGACTCTAAGAGTGAGCAGAGCGAGAGTGAGGATGACCGGAAAGAGGGCGAAGCGGCGTATAAACAGATGCACAGCGCGTTGCTGCATGCACAACGGCTGCGGCGGCTGCAATTGCAGCTTCAGCAGCAGCGCGATAACCAAAAACCGGGGAAGAGGAGGCAAGTTGTGGTGAAGGGGACAGACGGAAAGGAAATAAAAACCACCAAGTGGTTTATGGAGAGAAAAAAGTGATTTCCAGGTGCATGCGAGCGTGGGGTAAATTCTTATGGACGTAACTTCTTTTGCAAAGAGGCTACAGCGTAGTGGCATGAGACTTTTGTAAGCGCAGTGACTGATAGGAGATTAAAAAAGTCGAGACTTGGGGAGTTTGTCAGAGAGCTGCAGTGCGGTGCAGGGAGCAGCAGGCGAATGGCAGCGACGTAGTCGACTGCACACTGCCGGAGGTATAGTGAAATTTAGTCACATTCGTGCAGACCCGAACGGGGTCTATGTGCGTGTAAAGCCGATGAATCGTCATGTAGCTAGATGATTGTCCGAAGCTTAGGGGAGTGCTTATAGTACAAAGGTGGAATGAGCCACCATAGTGAAACCCGAGTCAGCAGGCCCTTACCACGCCTCCCTTGATGTGTCTTCAAAACGAGGTATGACCACGTATCTCCTGGGTCTATCTAGATGGCTAGACCCCAGCTAACTACGCGACCACTTTGAGAAAATGACATTCTGTAGTGGGGCCTACAAACACGCAACCATTTTACTTTCCTCGCTCGTATAGTTGAGATCTGGTGTCAGGCTTGCCCTCCCGAGACCTAGACACGATGGCGAGAGGCGTTCCAGCTCCAGGCGATCTTCGGAAGTTCGTGTCACTCTTGACTTCTTCATTTATTGGGCGCTGTCGGAGGGGTTCCTGCGAGTATCCCCAAGGTCTATAGGGCGGGGGGTGAGAGGTGGCAAGTGCGCACTGGTCGGAGACTCATGGACTGCTGGTTGGGGGGGCTGCGGTATGTTGGAGGGACTTCCACTAGGTAGAGAGGGTGTAGTGGCTGCTGCCGAATCACTGCCCTTAGCACCACCTTGTTCGCCTGCATTTTTTAAGTTCGGGGGGGGCGAGAGCCACTGGGATTTCAGGACCTTGCCAACCACACTCGAGGCAGAGCCTGGCGATCGCGACACAGTGCCGGAAGGCCCTTGTACTGGTGGCTTTGGTTGTGGCTCAGAAAGCATCGCAGTCGTAGGATCCATATCACGGGATCCCCCTGGCGTTGGCTCCGGAGGACTTTGCTGTGTACGCGAAGCTCCGGATGTGGACGGCGATATGTCAACTTGTGGTTGAAGCGAGGTGGCTGCAGAATCATCAGGGGGAGTGACTTTCTGCAGCGCTCTAGGGTCCCATTCGTTAGAGAGTGCGTATTTGGCTTCGTGCCCAATTTCTAACCACTTACGGGTAAGTGCGTCATTATCTTCTTTCATCTGAGGTGTTTCTTCCAATTCCTTACGAATTTGGTCTATCACATTCAAACACCCCACAGCAACACTCCAATTGACTTCCGCTTGGTCATCCAGCTCTCTTATCCAGTATTCCTTCTCATGCTCAAAATCATACAGGTCATCTGCCGAAACCGCGTCTCCCGCGTCACTCGCCTCGTAGAAGTTCCGAACGCTGTCCTCTACTTTCTTTATCATTGGCTTCAGGTCAAGAGGAACTGATGGCGTGGGGTGCGGGTTGAGAGGAGAGAAACCGGGGGTTCTAGGGTGCCTTTCGTAGAACTCGGGAGTAAATTCTTCGGGTTCCATTATCATGGAGGTATACTTTTCGAAAATGGCGAGGAGTGCTGGATACTTTACGTATTTTATGGTCATCTCATCGGGAATTCTTCCCCTTTCTGTAAGCTTGTAAAAAGCCCTTTCCTCGCTCAGCGCGACCCACCAATCCATAGCCACAGCTCCCTCTATCCTCTTCAATTCAATGTACTGCTTTCTCTCTTCCTCAGGTCCAAGTATCGGTGGAGAACTCGTTGCAGGGTTCTGCACTGGGGGGGCCACCGGGGGTGGGGTCACATCTGGAGGTGCAGATGAAGGACCCGGGGCAGGGGACGTAGGCCGTTCAACCTTAGGTCGATTACGCAAGGCACGACGCCTACGTGGTTTAACCCGGGGAGGATTCCTGCGGGCACGATGCCTAAGCATGATTTCCTGAGGTAGGTCAGAAAGGGCGTGAATAGACCAATGCAAGAGGCGCAGAGGCGTCAAGATTGTATCGCCGAGAAGGAGTAAATCGGCTTGAAGCCCTCTCCATAAGGACATGAGTAGGCTGTTTACGGCCTGACGTCCAGATTCCGGGTTACCCTCACCAAGTCTAGCCAAAAGCTGGCAGGCCGTAGAGTGTTCTCCAGCAGCACCTTCTTGCCGCGCGACGTCTTGTGACGTAGAAGGAACCTCATGCGCTTCGGGGGGATGTTCGTCTGGAGCCTTTTCTTTTTTTTCATCATCATTTGGGGGCATCGCTGCATCTGCACAGCCGAGGGCCAGGAGGGCCGCTACTGCGGCACCAATGACGATGCCTCTCATCCTTCGCGAAATAAGCCAAACACTCGCCAAGAAAGACTGTTATTTGGTCCCTCACGTGAAAAAAAGATTTAATTAATGAACCACACGTGGACAAATGCAGCAAAAAGCTGCTTGCGCTGCTGCAGGAACCCGGTTATCGAGGAGTCACTGCTGCTCCCCTATATTCCGAGTGCGACAACAGTCTCCTCGCGGCACGGAAGTTAGATCCAAGATATCAGGTAGGATGTAAACATATAATACTTTTACATTAAAAACAAGGCACAAAGTAAATATGCAAAAACATTGAGGACACGACATTTGCAGGCAAGTCGGCGGCGCGCAAAAGGACGGAGACGGGCAAGAGCCTCGCACTAGGCAAACGGACTTGCGCGGAGGGTTCCTATTTCTAGCTCACCTTCCTTTTCTTGTCGGGTCCCACCAGTCTGGAAATATCGCCTTATCTATTTACTCATATCTTAGAAAGGACAGGTGAGACCTCTTAGGGGGTCCCGAAGACGAATAAGGAATGCACAGTGAGATCAAACCAGACCCCTCACCTTCGCCTTGACAGACATCTGGATCCTAGCGGCACGAGGTAGAGCTCTAAACTTCGCAGTCACCCTGTATTACAACGACTTGTGTTTCGTGACTGCCTTTTAAGTCTGTTTCGAATTATTAACGGCGTAGAATGTCACAGAAACAGACGGAATTAGAACATTTGTCCCTCGAGGCGGCTTCCTAATCTCCTACGGACTACGCTGTATTCATGCAGCAAAAACTGAATTCTCAGCAAGTAAACTTGGCACTAGTGACACATGGGCGCTATGACTTGGCTGTGGCTATATTCTACCTCCTGCGCACCAGGAATTCAGCTTGCTATACACATAAATGCTCTGTCTCGGTGCTCAAGTTACTTCATGTGCAGGATCCGAAGCTACATTTTGCACTTTCTGCTACACTTACAGTATTCAGCCCGAATCGCTGAAACGTAAATAATTGGCTTGTCGTGTGTCATATTTAGTGCGGGGTACTTCCCACTCGCTACCACAAGGCGCAGCGTTCGGTGCGTCTACTCCAGACGCTATGCGCAAATAGCTGTGAATGCTCGGAGTGCATTGAACGGGCAGCTACGTCGACCATTGGTGGCTATGTACTCTTATGTCGGGTTCTGTGTGATGGCAGGAGGGGAGGTGGTAGCTTTCTTCAAAACGTTCAATAACTTTGTGTGAAGTCCGTTTCGAGCCTGGAGTCAACTGTTTCCCTAAGGAAACCTCATACGAAGCGTTGCAGTATATATCAATGTGCATGTGCGAGGAGTTCTAAGGAGGTCGACCTCCTTACAAGCCAGCTACCTTTCCACCCCGTTGGCGGGGTTCCTCGCGGGTAGGAGGAACATTCGTTAGTGGAAAAGAGCGTAATTCTCTCTATTGAGGGATCCCAAAAGGCGGCACTTTAACGTAGGAGCTCGAGGCCTGAGCGGAAGCATGACCCTTTCACGCAGTCAAAACGACCTAGCTCCGTTGCTGTCCCTACCGGGATCTATGTTCCCATATATCTGCATGCAGTCAAAGGAGCGTTGTTTCGTCGTACTGATGCCATGATTAGGCCAGTGGGAAGCTACAGGCAGTCAGCCGCAGCTCACCTCAAGTTCCAAAGCTCCCAGCGTCATTACCGGTATTTTCGCAGCACGCAAGCTCCCCAACTTGATTGAAAGTCCTGAAAAACGAGGCCCCAGAAAGGGGTGGCTGCGTGCGGCTTACTCTCAGTGCTTGACACATCAACTGCAGCAGTACGACGCAGCCAGGAGGACCCCTAGGCGAGTCTCGAGGGACTTTGTTCGCAGACAAGAGGCCTTATTAGCTCTCAGCCCGCCGTTATGAGGTATGCAATACCCGCTCCCTTCCCCCTGCGAGCCGAGCATCTTGCACCAGAGGATGTTCGAAAAGGTGTCCTTGAAGGCGTATGACGCAGTGAGTGCCTTAAGTATACGGCCGCGGGTTGCCCCGTAGAAATCCTCTTCCTGTCTCCGCCGCATGCAGGGAAAACTCTAGTGAGACACGAGGGACATGCGCGGGGATAAGGGGCCAAAAGTATGCCTCTAAACCACCAGGGGACTAATCCTTCATCTTTCTGTCTAGAGAACTTTGCGAGCCTGGATGAATTCACAGGCCCATGCTCGTTTGACGTTTCTGGAGCAACGAACACCGTTTGTTAGTCGGTATTCTCATTTCTGCATACTCTTTGCTCACTGCTCTGCTTTGCACTCTGGCTCTGAAGTCTTCTGCCCAGTCTGTATTCCCCCGGCTGCCAGACATTTCTATGCGTCTCTGTCCTCTGTGCGAATTTCTGTCGGCTCCCTTATCTTTATGTCTCCACATCCATCTCGCTGTAAATCTATTCCGCAGCTTCTGCCTCCGTGCCTCAATTCTCGGTGTCTAGTACAACTCACTCTGCCTGTTTCCTGCACCGTGTTCAGACTCCTTGTGAGAGGCTTATTCTATAGAATTACAATGAAAAGCCAGAATCCCCACCTTCGGGTTTAGTGGTGGGGGGGCACTCTAGCCAGATTTCCAGCAACTCTTCCTGCAGAATAAGAAGAAGACCACGAGGCCCCCTGATGGCGGCAGCATCAGCGCCCCACGCTCACCTGCCGCCCCTGAATGTTAACGTCGGAGCTTCTATCAATAAACACAAGCGATTTACACAAGCACGTACAGGACTCCTCCTGGGAACCCTCAAAGCTCTTATCAAATCCACCACCGCCCACATGCACGTTCAAGGATCCAGCAACATCTTATCCATTCTTCCAAGTTTTGCTCGCTATTTCTACCTCTCTACACACTTATGTCGCGGTTATCGTGCGTGTCCGAACACTTTCGCGAGGCTAAGACAATAGTAGGGAGGACGTTTCTGGGACCATGTTCTCCGCTGCCGCCGGTTACTAGCCAGACCATGAAGCGTCGGGCAACACGAAAGGTCCTTAAGGCCCCCTGCCCCCCCCACAGTGTAGCGAGGTCGCCTCCCCTCTCAGCTGCTATCCACGATTTCATACCTAAGCTGTGAGGAGCCCCACAAGCGTCCCTCTGCCGGAGCAGCAAAAGGGGCCTCGTTCCCATCCTGCCACCATGTCTCCCGATTAAAACGGCCAATACCCTAATACTCCAGGCGATATGCACCAGTGCCGCGCCAAGCTGCTCCGTATGGGATAATCAAAGGGATCGAAAAAGCCTCTCTTCGAAGGTCTCGTTCCTTTCGGTTGACTAATACAAGGACCGGAGCGCCCATACAATCGACAAGAGTCACCTTATCAGAGTTTCCAAACGTACCGCTGCTGCGGCCATCACATAGGAGAGGGCCCCCGCGTACAAAAGTCCCCACTGTTGCTCTTGCTGCTGCGATTTTCAAAATGTCGCTTCTACTATTGTTGCTCCGCCACGGTTCCTGCTATTGTTGCTGCTGTTGATGCTGCTGCTGCACACCTTTCATTATCTCAAGCAGGCCCTCCAGCCAGGCCCTGTTGTTGCATGCCGAGCCAAGCTGCTGCTGCGACAGACCAGCAGTAGGGGTCGTGGGAAGTTTGTTGCTGGTGGAGGGAACACAGCCACGGATCCAGAGGTCCTCTCGAAGAGGGGATGCTTTGAGGACCATCACCCAGGCTCCCCCTCCATCGGGGGTCTCTAAAGGGGCCCCCACAGGGAGCTGAAGCTCGCTGCCCCTCGGTGAAGGGTCAGCTGCACACCGCAGCACCGCCCCCAGGGGAGGAGGCGATGCAGCCAGTGGGGGTCCAATGCAATCAGCACAAAAAGTGGTAGCCTCAGATACAGTTACAACTGCTGCAGGTCCCGTGGCTCCTGCAACCACTGTCCCGTCTGTGCTACTGCTGGAGATGGTGAAGTGCTCAGGGGATGCAAACGTGGGAGCAGCAGAAAAAAGGTGCGAGTTGCGATGCCCAGGAAGTAAAGAGAGAGTTTCGACCCGAGTATCTTTAGTATGGCTAGTGCTCGCCGAGAGGCCGTCGGACGCCTTGAACTGCTCAGCCGCTGGCGGTGGAAGGCCCCCCCAGTCTCTTTCGAGCTCCATGTATGCTAGCCGTGGCAGTGAGTCCCCTGGGAGGAAGCGCATTGGCTCCCCCCCTTCTGGAGAGGTCTCTGCTGCCGTTGTCGGGGTTGAAGGCGGTGGCAAAAGTTGCAGTTCGAAGGACTTGAAGCCCTCGAGGCCACCCAGCTCATAGACCTGGCGAGGTTTTAGATCCCTGGGCTTGGCATATACGTAGAGACGACATCGCAGCAAGTCGAGTGTCACACACCGTCGCTTCCAGCTGCCTTTGTGGGAGCGCAACTCCACGAAAGCCGGCACGAAGCAGCTCTCGGTATCTATCCCCCCCTCCTCGTCGTAGAGGCCCCACAAACTGCCGCTTGCAGAGGCTCGTGGCAACACGGGAGAGCAGGCCCCCTGGTGTGTCAAAGGAGACCCCGAAGGATTTTCTGCTATTGCATTCGCCAGGGGTTTGCAGGGATGCGCAGGAGGCGATGCAGCAGTAAGTTTGGGGGTGCAGAGGACATACGGTGACGGCGGGACGAGGTAAGCCTCCCCCGCCGAGTTGTAGCTCGAACGGTGTAATGGGAGCTTCTGTCGTTGCTGTTGCTGCTGCTGCTGCTGCCTTGATGATGAGGTACAGCCATCAGCTCCTGACGGAAGCCCAATCAACTGCTGTCCGAGTACCCCGGGGAGTGGAAAGCAAGCTGCGGGCCTAACAAGTGGGCCCCTAAGAAGAGACCCCTCTTCAAGCAAGTGTTTTAGCTTTGCTGCCGAAGGTCTCTTTGCGGGGTCGATCTGGAGACACATTCTACACAAGGCGGCGACATCAGGATGCTCTTTCTCCAAGCTTGGTGGCATGAGGCCTTGACGAGCCCTTTGCAATATCTCAGACCGCTCCATTACAGTCTCTGCACGGCAGAAGAGATCAAGGCCGACCATCCCTAAGGCCCATATATCAACTGCGCTCCCGTAAGGTCTCCCCTCCAGCTGCTCAGGCGGCGCATACACGGTGGTTCCAACACCACGCGTGCGATTTGCGGCAAGATGTGCACCTCCTGCCTCCGCTGTTTCTGCTGCACGGATGGCCACTATCGTGGCCTGCTCGCCTAGCGATGGGGGGGCTCCCATGACTGGAAACGTGCTGGTGAGGGAAGGCGGCGATCCACAATAGTGTGGGGAAGACTCCTTATGATGTGGCCCCCTAGTGTCGCAGTAAAGGTCCTCCCTAAGGGCCAGACCAAAGTCACCAATGCGGATCGTACCCTCCGGAGTAACAAACATATTAGAGGGCTTAAGGTCTCGGTGGATAACTCCCCGCCTGTGACAGTATGCAACTCCGTGTATCACCTGGGATAGAAAGAGAGCCTCGCGCGGCCCCTCCACCTCCGGGGTGCTTGCAATATACTGCTCCAAAGACATCGGGTAGCACTCCATCTGAATGTGTAGTGACACCTCTACGCGACCTCCGACGGGCTGCTGGGGAGACACCTGGGAGATGCCGCCAGCAGGGGGCCTCTCTATACACGTTTCCCCACAGCCACGAGCGCCGTCCAGACGGACTCCGCCTTTTCTGCTGTTATACATCATGGGCTTGCAAGAACGTCGCCCTGTGCCTACTGCCACAGTCCCTTGTTTACCCTGCAAGGGACAAAGAGGAAGGGACCCTCCAGGAGGCGAGACAAGCGCTCCTCCAGGAGGCGAGACAAGCGCTCCTCCAGGAGGCGTTACAAGCGCTCCTCCAGGAGGCGTTACAAGCGCTCCTCCAGCGGGCAAGCAGGGGGTACTAGGCCTGGCCTGTGGTGCAGCCTCCACAATGCGATAAGGCGCAAAACAAGCCCACTTATCGCCGATCAAGGTCCTTTTCGCAACTCCGCCTTGAGCTCGAAGGCTAGAAGAAGCTCCAGTCCAGGATTCCATCAAAGTTCCCGTTGCCTCCTGCGGCACGCAGCCATTGGCGCGATGAGTACTTCCAGAGATGTCTAGGACGCGAGGCTCGCTGGGATGCCTGAAGGAGATCTTGAGACCACTCGTGTTGTCGCCGCTGTACGTGTCTGTACACCAGAATCCGTAGCTCGACGCGGCTGGCTGGCCGCTCTGGCTGTTCGACCTCCCAGCGACGGCGAGGCCACAGGTGTTGACATATTCGGATGCTACAGGGCCAGCTCTCCCAGCGAGCTCGCTAGGGGGCCCCTCAAGATTCTCGCTAGAAGGCAGGTTAAGAACTCCACGCAGCAGCCCGTCGTCGTGATGGTTCCCACCGAGTGGAGTGCGCACAACCTCCCCCCCCGCGTCGAGGCCAGTTCCTCTATGCCCCCGTCCACGCCCTCGAAATCTCAGCTCGCTGCACACGTGAGGTGGTGTTGCCAGAGGCAGGGCCCTAGCCTCCAACCAGGAAGAGAAGTATCGCACGATATGCGTGTGTGGGTTAAGACGGCGAAGGCACTGAACCTCCCGCAAGAATCGCCGAATCCTGGACTCCAAGTGGCGTGCGTCCACAGTAAACTGCGACAAAACAGCAGCAAACGCAGGACCAAAACTGCAGTAGCAGGCAGGCATCGCAACATTCTCAAGCCTGCCCTCCCCGTTTCGGTAGAGGGCATTCCATCGTGACACGACGGTGGACACACATTCATCCCAATCACCGAGCCAGACGCGCAATGCAACAGAAATCTCTCTCTGCCCGTATAGATGCACCCCTTTTCCCTCCAGCAGCAGGAGCTGCGCCGGCTCTCCTTCCCCCTCCGTGATCTGAGCCCTTATACGCCTTGCAGCTTTCTTCCTAAACCCTTCACTTGGTGCCTCGAAGACGCATCTATAGCCCCTCAGGATCCCGCTTACTTCGATGATCTTTATGGCATATACCTCCCCATCTAGCCGATGTCGGGCCTTCACCACGCGGCCAAATCCGCCCTTCCCAATAGGCACTAACTCCTCGAAGTCTCTCTGCAACCGATGATCCTCTGTTACAAAGAAGTCCATAGGCCTGCTCTGCATGGTGGAATGACTACCACGGGGGGCAGGAGCACCCTGGAGAGGCGCTGATTCTGACGATGCAGGCGGCCCTCTACCCATTTGGGCTGACTACGCAACAAACACGCGAAGACGGAAGGCCAGCAGGCAGATGTCTCAGCAGACAGCCAATGCACTTAAAGGCATGAATAAAGAGGTGCGCGGCGTTGCGTCTGCTTGTGGCCACCTGTGCAGGTGCACGAAGGCTGCAGGGCCTCCCCCGTCGCTGAGAGCAGCATCAGTCAGAGACTGAAGGGCTGCCCACCCCAATAGTTGCACTCATAGGTGTACAGGAAGCCTTTGGCCACAGAAGCACAGCGTGTATAAGGGCAGGGGGCCCTCTAGATAGGGGCACCACAGAATGGAGGGGTGAGGGGTGCAGTCCGCGGTAACAACCCCCAGGGAATTTCAAACGCCGAGTGTGACGACTGCCCTCATATGGCCAGTGGCCTAGGGGGCCCCCGGGGGGCCCAATAGCACGGCACACCCAGAGCAGGGATACGGAGGTAAAGCAGGGTGCAGCCTCCTGTAGAGGGGGAGGTGCATACGGCTCCGGGATACGAAAGGCCAGAGTGAAACGAAGAATTTACTGTAGAAATAAGCTTAAAGGAAAAAGAAGGAAAAAAGGGAGAGGAGGGGAGCGTCCGTGTTGTACGACCGTTTCGATAAGGAGGGCGAAGCTGCCGGCAGTCGAGGGGCTTTACCCCACCGACCGGCGTCACACGAGGACAAAAAGAGACAACTGCTTCCAAAGCACGTAGGAAATACACTATAGATGGTGCAGCACAATTCGGAGCAAGTAATCAGAGCGGTAGCTGCGAGCACTGCCTCCAGTGTGAGGCAGCCGCCCCCACAGACACCTTCATGGCCAGGCTTTTCACGCTTCTCGTCAGTTAACTTCTCGTTTTCCAAATTTTTCCGAGCCGTCAACCCAATTGCGCCCGGAATCCAACAACATCGTACATACCCTGGCCCTCCTTTAAGGCCACGCTGTGGCCAGCGCTGTGGAGGACACGGGTGGCACGCTGCTCGTTCCTGCCCTACTCATTCGGAACTTCTGGATTTTTCTCGATCTGTAAAGCCAATCGAAACACTTTAAAGGCATTTTTGTGGCCACAACTGAGGGGTGCGGCGTTTGGGGGGTTGCCAGGGGGAAAGACGGGTGCCGACCACCACGCAGGTAACAGGCAAACCTCCAGTTGTAGTCTTCTCGTCTTTTTTCCTGAAATACAAATGCGAAATTGATACATTACGCTGATAAGCTCGTTCAGCTCAGTTTTCACACAATCTGATACTAGATGAACGTTCTCCGTATCGGGGATATCCACACAAGCGGAGTGCGTTTGCAAAACCGTACGGCTCTGTGTCCTCTGGGGTGTAATATGGCAAAAGCCGTGGCCACAGTTATTCTAAAACAGTGGTGCATGATAGTACAGACACTATATAGTACTTGTTTAGCCGAACAACGCCAGTGGTTACGCTTTGTAGATTTCATAGGCCGTCGTTGGCACTGCATCGGCGAACGCCACATTTCAGCACCGCAGACTACATTACTAGTGCATGACAAAGAGTTAGAGTTGTTCATGAATCTTATTTGCTGCAGAGCAGCGCTAGCTGGATACGAAAAATCATTTTTTAAACGCCTCTGCAATGCTCCGTCTAACTTCGCGTTGTGGAGACAGTAAACTCCGCACCCATCAGGAACACGAACTACGTAGAAAGTTTTATAGTGTCTAACGAAAGACCTTCCGCCTTCTTCCTCCTGCCCGCGGCAACCAGAGTTCACGGCATGGAGTGAGAGGCCCACCTAAGATGCGCTTTGCTGCACGCTTGAAGCACTCCCAGCTTTCACAGGTGGCTCGACGTAGAATCTAGCGCACTTGCCCAACATTGCGTCTTGTTGTAAACAGATATAAGGGCCTTGAAAAAGTATGGTATACCAACAAAGAAACCGAATTGTCATTTCTTTTCTCGTCCGCAGTTGCAATCAACTGGTGTAGTGTAAAGCATTTGAGTGTAACCTAGCCTGCTGCGTCTTCTCCCCATCTCGAACCCACGCCTACGTATTCTGTACCAGTGCGTCTAAACCTACTGCATGCAGGACAGAGGTCTAGACTTTCCACATTATCTCCATTGCCTAGACCTCCAGAAATGCGAAAAGAGTGCAAATGAGGAAAACATGTTCGTGCACATACCGCTGCAGTGAAATCCACAGGAAGGAAGGCACACGCACACTACCTCACAAAGGGCAAGAGGCAAAACTAACACGACCGCCGCAGCGCGGTGGCTTGCCGCCGTCAAGATCTAAAATGTGTAAGCCACCTGCTACGAGGAAACAGAGGAGAGGTACAATAGGGAACTCAGGAAGAGGGGAATCAAGACAAAGTAGTTCAGTTATACCTCCCTCATACAGCACGCGAATACAGCTGACGCATGCCGCATAATCAATCTCAAAGCTCCAAAAGAAGCATGAGGAGGAATAGAGGGAACACACTCAGGAGTGCCAAAGCATGAATCTGAGCTTAGAGAACAACTTGACAATATTAACCGCCAACTGTTTAAGCAATCGCCATCGAATAAGACAGCTAATTGAGGCAAAGGTTGCTCGTTAAATGCTGATAACACAAGGACGCGATGGAAAGGTTTCATGGAAACTAGAGTTGTAAGCCAAGGAAAACTGCGAATTCTTCCACAGGCAACGAAGCCCGCAACTGATTCTCAATCAACCACTAAGGCTGGCGTTCCCCACCCAGTTTCACTAGAGACTCCCAGCTAGTGTGTTCTCAGTGCACGAGTGTCCTATAATTCAGCACTTCCACAGCTCTCTGTGTATCTTCCGCTTCCACACGGGCCACTTGCCTGTGCATCAACGACCAATGATACTTAGGAAAGCTTTGAAACTTCTTTAGGAAGCCGATATCTATATTCTTGTGCCACTAGCAGCTGTCCAGAAAGTCAGCATAACAAGGAGAAGTATTCATTTTTGAGAGTATGGCAAATTGTCTCAGACACCTGACACCGGAAACTTCTTTGCCCGGTCGCCTTCTGATGCATCCCATCAAAGCATGAGGATCCACCATGACCGAATCTCCTGCCTCAAACATACAGTCTACGGCAGCTTATTGTAGTGACTTAGCGCTTGGGTCTCATGAGCTTTGTGCACACATTCGGATGCACTAGACCGCTTGCGCTGTAAGTTATCCGCTACAAAGGTGGCTACTGAGCCCGGACCACCAGGCCCAGAGCAAGAACGGAGAAAGGCTCCTCAACGTAACCAGGGATGCAGGATTACAGCAGGCAGACAAGGTTGCTGTTGCAGTATAGGCCCACTCAGGACAAGGAGAGGAATCAAGCCGAGAAAATGAATGTTTGTAAGACTGGAGTCGCATATTCTTCTGCCGCAGGATGCACAACAAGCCACCGGGACCGCGAGAGCTTGTCGCACTGTACTGTGACTCCTGCCCTGGTCTGAAGCAAGAAAATCATGTGATGTGTGCAGAAATTCTAGTGCGGGGTGAATTCGGAATATACACCCGCCGGGATTCCTACTGTGGGTGAGCCTTTGCAGGCCAATTTCGATGTGGTAGTGCTTTCACACTACCTGTAAATTTTGGCGGTAAAAGCTAACGCATGAGTATCAAAAGCATACGGCCCAAGCAGCTTTGATAGCAACCATGACTCATCACAGATCAAAACGGCTGAGATGCGCAACGGTAGACTGCTGGGACATCGCGCGAGCGCATCCACGACGATGTTGGGGATCCAGCATTCTGTTAAATTTATTGGAAATCACGAGTACATTGACGTCGCAGCTTAGCTGGGCATTAACAAGTCCCCATGGCATGCATGTACTCTCGAGCTGTCCAGCGCTAGCGTGCAACATTGTTTTGCGCTGGTCACTAGAGTCAATAGGGATTCGCAAGAGCGTCTGTAAAATCGAATTTCGAGTAGGCTTCTTATCCATGTAACTTGGCAAGTGTGTCATGAACATGAGGAGTCAGGAGCTCCTGCTTCACAGCTACCCTGTTCAGGGCCATGAAGTAAGTGCACACATGCCACCGTCAATCCTTTCTCGGCACCAACAGGGATTGTGCCTCAAAGGGCTGCTTGGTCCCTGAATTGGCCTTTTTCAGCATATTTTTGCCTGCCATATTTGGGAACTCCGGTACTGCGGATCAGCTTGGGATTCCCTAGAATATGAAGTCAAAACGACACGCTGGACAGCCAGCAAGTGGCCAGCCTGCTGATAGCTCGTCTTTATTCAGCCCATTCTCGAACTCTCCGTCAATATATGCATATTCCTGCTGTTCTTCGGTTAACAGTTAAATATATCCGAATTCCATATTCGTTGCAGAGCTGATAAGACGGGATACATGCTCAGAACCGTCTTCTCCTTTATCGCTATTGAGGCGCACGCATAGACTCTGCCTCACCATGCTGAGGTAACTGACTCTGCCCCGCTCGCCAGTAGATGAAATGAGCGCTGTAGAGAAAATTCGAAAACTGTTCTTTACTAGCGCTTCCTCACACACTAGCCTGCCCAATGCGCAGCAGAGGCCGCATGCTATCCGTTCACTTGGTCACCTGTGGCATACCTGGGAGTGCTTAGTGTACAGGTCCAACATTTGAATCACGCACCATACTGACAGGAGGCAAATCTGGTTTGTAGTAGCATTTAGCCATCTTTAACAACTCTTGTGTTCTGCTTCCCATCAGCAAATCTGAGTCTTACGGACTGCCCTAACAAGTGAAAGGGCACATTTCACTTCTGTGCCGTCTCTCCAGGTAGCAGATCCACTTCATATTCAGTTTTTAGTAACGCTTACAATCCGTGACCATTAGTGCAAGCTTGATTCAGCGCATAATTAGCTCATGGTGCACTCTTTGATGCGGCGTGCGCTGGTAAGTTTTCCGAGTCTCTAAGGCGCTTCCTTTGTTTGCTAAAAGGCCTGCTCTCAATAGGCCCGGCCCCCCTGTTCAAGTCTTTTAATTGCTAGCATCTGCATGCAGTTCCGGATTTCATGACCCACCCCTCCAGAGTCGAGGTAGGTGCTTTGTTGGGGGAATTGTCTGGGGCTGACCAGGAAAACTTGTTGCCTTGAACATTTTCTCTTCGTTCACCTCAGACTATTGGCCAGGGTAGGTCAGCATAGACCCGACATCCGTGGGTTCTTAATCCCTGAAAGACTCATACTTTTCAACCAAAGACTCACGAACTGCACTTCTCTACTGCAGTAATTTCGAGGAATTCATCGTTTTCGAAACCCCACCGGTCGGTTGTTCAATCGCTGAGTTGCTACTCACCCTGCGACTGCCTGCCTGAGATAACCGACTCAGTAAATTAGCTGTTTAGTTGAGCTGTGATTTTCGAGAATCACGCTTCTCTTCCTTCCCTCAATACATCTATTGATAGAATCCCCTGCTTCAATGTTCTTGCATTCTCCGGAAGCTTGTTGGTAAGCTGATCTTGGCCAGAACGAGTCAGGGATTCCATGGATATCTTAATCGTCCTAACCCGTGCAGGCAGACACTTCGACTGTACATGAATAGAGCAACCATTGAATTCTCTCTGCCTCCAACATACATAGTGCAAATAACAATCATCTTTTATTATCTGGGGGATTTACAGACCAAGGTACATCTCCAACCGGCTGATGCAATCTTCGAGGTCTTGTCCATCTTTACGGTTGGCTTGCACACTTTTCTGGTTAAGATCGCCCTATTGACACATCCATAACAATTTTACCGGAGGATCGGTGATGCTTTTCACCAGACCTGGCCAAAGTGCGTTCACACCCGCTTTCCAGCCTGCGCCTCCTTCACAGGAATTCGCTACTGTCTAGTTCCGTCGCCGAAGAGAATTTTTTTTGCCACGAAAGATATTTGAGAAATTGGACTACCAAATAGCTTGAAGGGAAGCAGCCAGCTGTAAGACGGAGGCCTGGCATCCCATTGGGGCCACAGCCAGTGGATGGGGGCAACATGTGTATTGAACCATGCGGTGATAGTCAGAGTAACGCTACATCTAAACCCGAGGTAGGGAGACACTGGACTTGGTCCTGGGTACAAACTTAGTAGAAAGTTATGGAGTGCTTTCCGAAAGAAATCCCCTTCCGCTAGCGGCACTCAGGGTACCCGACATGAGGGTAGAGGGGCAGCTAGCGTGCGAATTGCTACACCCGCTAAGGGCTCCAAGCTTTCACAGCTGGTTGCACATAGTATCTAGTGCAGACGCACACATCGCTGCGCATTGTTGTATCAAGCTAATGCAACTCTGCAATAACTGAGACACATGGACGGACAAAGCAAAAGTCAAAATTCTCAGCTGATCCCTAGCTATTCCTACTGTCTGGAAATGCCATAATTTGCCGCGAGCAAAATTCGAGGGCAGCTTTGGGCGTTTATTGTAGTTCCGGGCTACAGTTGGATCGAATTTCGCAATTGCTGGTTATCCCTACTGAGCGGTCCGACTTCCGCACACCTAAAGCCACAGGTGGTAGCACCGTTCTCCCTTGCCCCCTCCTTTGTGGAATTGGAAGAGTCGCTTTCGTGAACTTTACGATGCACGCCATATAGACCCTCGGGCAACTACTCCCCATCCCTTAGCAAAAGGGCATTTGGGCGCTGCATGCGGTTCTGGAGCTATGTTAGTATTGCCTCACGAAAACTAGGGGCTGTTTATCGTATACGCAGTGCTGTTTACAATCGCTGCCCCGGGAGAGGTTGGCTCGTCCGTGGGGAGGAAAGCGGACAGAATATAGCTGCTTTTTTTTAGTAAGCAAGCCAGAGAAAAACCGATCTACATAGTTTGTGTATGAAAGTAAAAGCCCTCAAAGGGCCACCACAAGGTGGACGGCCCTCCCCTCACAATACATGCTGCCACAGTTGGCGCTGTGGCGCTTGCCAATCGTTTACGCAGCGTGCAGAGAGTACAGGCTCACAGCCCCGCATGCACAAATGGTTGGCCTCACTTAACGACCCTCCTTACTAACTGATCCCCCGCCACCTTCGCCCCTTCTAAGGGCAGCGCTACGAACAAGCTCCCACATGCGTTCTCGGACTGTCTGGAGCTAAAAGACGAGGCCCTGATGCGGCATCCTGCCTGGGGGCCCTGCCATCTTTCATACAGTCCCTGTGGAGATGTTGTGCCACAAGGGGATAACCAACACCTTATATACAGGAGAAATTAGAAAGAACTTTGCTGAGTGTTCTCCTGCATTAAAGTTCCCAATTATAGGTACAGTCGGGGCCCCATCGTTTGCTCGGACTACCTAAGATGCCCCTCACCATCGAGGCCATCTCCTACAGTCCCCTTAAAGTCAAGGTGCTTATCTAACAGGCCTAATAGTCTGTCCACATTGTCTCGAGTTGCATTGTATCCCATCAGGCCTATCCTCCACACCTTGCCTGCTAGGCTCCCGATCCCAACGCCGATCTCGACTCCCTCCTGTAAGAGCGTTCGACAGAGGGCTGCTGCATCTTGCTGAGGAGGCACCACCACAGTTGTTAAAGCGGGGCTTCTATGAGTTTCTTGGGTGACATGCAGCTGCAGGCCCCGTTTGCGTAAGCCTTGAGCAAAGTACTGAGCCACAGCCCTGTGCCGCAGCCACACAGCCTCGAGTCCCTCCTCAGCAACGAGGCGCATAGCCTCCCTCATCCCGTAAAAGATATTCATGGGAGGAGTGTGATGGTATACGCGAGCGTTTCCAGCCCAATATTTCATGAGAAGAGATAAGTCCAAGTACCAGTTAGCCACCGGGGATTTCCTTGCATTCATCACGGCGAGGGCGCGGGGGCTAACTGTCAGGGGGGAAGCACCTGGGCAGCAGCTGAGACCTTTCTGGCTGCAACTGTAGCATATATCTATTTCCCACTCATCGACTAAGAGAGGGGAGGTGCAAAAGCCCGTGACAGCGTCAACTAGGAGCAGGGCTCCAAACTCATGGCAAAGGGCCCCAACACCCTCGAGGGGCTGCAAGGCTCCCGTAGAGGTCTCGACCATCACCATGCACACCAATGAGGGTCGATGCTCATCTAGAAGGGCCCTAATATCCTGCAGTGAGAAGACTGAGCCCCAAGCAATGTCACTGCGGCGTACGTCTGCTCCGTACCGGCTGGCCATCTCCGCCAGCCTACAGCCGAAGTATCCGTTCACACACACCAGCACGACATCTCCTGGCTCAATGCTGTTGGCCAAAGCGGCCTCCATAGCGGCCGATCCCGTGCCGCTAATGGCCAAAGTTGTTTCGTTGCGAGTCTGGAAGCAATATCGCAGCAGCGCCTGCACATCTCTCATCACCTGCAGGAACTTAGGGTCCATGTACCCCAGCGGGGGCTGAGATAGCGCATTCAGCACACATGGCGAAAAGTTAGACGGCCCAGGGCCTAGCAACAAGCGCGTTGGCAGCTCCAGGGTTTCAACCACTGGTGGAGCCCCAGAAGGGCTACACGAAGCGCAGCCAGTCATTGTCAACACACATGAAACAGAGAGCAAGATGGCATGCAATGAGTCGCACCAGTGCCCTGCAGAGGCCCTTATGCGTGGAGGAGCAATACTTGGCAGGCCCGGCGATGGAAGGCAACGGAAGGCGACCCAGCGAGCACCTGTAGCGCCCGTTGCGCCGAGGAAAAAGAGCTGCTATTAGCGGTAGATCAGGGGGCTAGAAAAAGAACAAATGAAAGAGAATCTATGAGATGTCTCACAGGATGGAGGAATAATATCTGCCAGCAACATCAACCGTTGGTAGCATGTTCGCGGCATTCGCCCGGTAGCGAGACCGCGGAGGCAGGCCCAACTGTCTCATTTGATCCCGGATGAAGACACATGTATGAACTTATTTCAAACATGCCTGATCTAACGTCTGTTTCTTTCTCACCGAATTAGAAATTTAAAGACACGTGCGGCCCCCAACCAACCCACCCTCTGGCTCTCGCCGCAACTGGCTGCAAGGAGGAAATTCTGCTCTCTCCACTTCATGAGCCAAAATATCTTCCCAGCTGTGCTATGTCCGTTTCAAATGCGTATACTGCATTTTCTGTTTCAACACTCCCCCTTTGCCGTGAAGGGACCTCAGCCGGGCGATGCCGTGCGCCTGATTCAAAACGCAGTCCAGCAGCCACGGGATATGCACGCCTGTGGCAGAAATTGCACCACAAGCAGCATTACCAGCTGTAGCTAGATGGCTGATGGGGCTACTGGGTCCCATGCCGTATGCGGTGTTGTTGTGGCTCTAGGCACCTGGGGTGACTTTCTGCCGCTCTTTGCCGTAGCAGCCCACACGGCCCTCCTCATCTCTAAGAAACGAGCTCTGGGGGCCTTCCAGGCTCTCGGGCATTCCAAAGGGCCCCCTACGTGCGAGCTGAAGCAGCATGTTGGGGCGGAGGGCACACACGATGCACGGAAACCACCCCCCGTCCTAATAGTGGCCACACACGAATGCTGGGTGCGGCAGCTCTGCAGCGAGGCTGCATTACGGGGCCTCGCTGTTGCTTCCCCTTGGGATGCATCTACACCAGAAGCGGCAACGACAGCAACAGGGTCTGCGGAAGCCGCTTCTCCAGCAGGCGGCAGTGGGGGAGCCGTATTGCGTTGCAGCAAGGGTGACGTGTCTTTGACGTCAGTGGGTGGGGGCCTCCCTTTGTGGCTGCTGCCGCTGCCCTCCTCTCCCGTGCGGCAAGAGGTGACTCAATCGTACGATCCGTGCGAGGCGGCCTTGCTGGTGCCGCTGTTGCAGGGTCGAGCGGAGCTGCTGCTGCTTGCGCTGCAGCAGCAGCCGCTGAAACAGTGGAGGCTGCAGCCAGCAGTGGTGGCGCTAGGGCTTTTTGCTACGGTGTATGCCCATGCAGCAACAGCCGCGCAGCTGCCGTATGTGCTCCTGCATCCCTCTCCGTACGCCAGGAGGGCCCCTGCAGAGTTCTTTGACCGGCTGTTCACGCAGCATCCAGAGCTCCCCTACTTGTTGCAGGCAGCAGAGCAGAGACAGGGAGATGCGTCTCAGAGAAAGGGCGAGGAAGGCGATCTGGAAGAATGGGCGTTACGGCATACTTCTCGGTTGATATCCAAGGCCGATATTCAGTGAGTGGAAGGAAGGAGAACTCATGTTTGCGAGGCAACACTGCGTGTGGGACGGGTGCTGCTGTGCCGGCGAGATGCTCTCGTGGGAGCTGCGTGTGTCTGTTTGAGCTGCTCTAAAGAGCGAAAAGCGGGTGAGAGAGCCTCCAGCTGCTGCTTCTGTGGTGCAGAGAGTGGACTTGGCGATTGTGCCTTTGCGACAGTGGCGCCTTTAGGGAGAAATGCTTGGGCTTGCCTCCCTCGCCCTTCGAGCGTGCTTCAACAGGAAACTCCACCGCATCAGATACGGGAGAAGAAGAGGCCCTTACACTACCCAGAGCCGCGCCGATCATCTGCCTTTATTCGCCAAAGCTCTTCTCCGAGGCGGCTTCGGCTTTGCCTCCTTTTGCCGCTGCAGTAGGATCCGCCTCAGTGCCTTGGAGGGAGCTTTCAAAGCTGCAGGAAGCGTGGTATGCGCAGCATGAGCGCGAGATGCAAAGGCAGGCCCCTCCTCTACACCGCGTTCGTCTGTTTGGAAAAGGCGGCTCTCCGGTAAGCCCAACGGAGCTGCTGCTGACTTTGAAGGAGCTGCAGGAGCTGCTGCAGCTATTTACGGCTGCGCACAAGCCTCAGCAGCAGCAGAAGGCTTCTTTTGTCGGCAGCGCAAAGAGCAGCAAAAACGGATCTATGCCCCCTCCCCCCTTCAGATCAAGCGAGCCGCTGTGGCAGCAGCCTCAGGCACCGACAAGAGCAAGAGCAAGAGCAACAACAACTGCATATTACCAAATACCAGCTAGCACCACATTAGGCGCAGCAGTTGTGGCTAAGCGACCCCGTTTCCTGGAGAGCACTTGTCACACTGCCCCGGCTGAGACGGATGACGGCGAGCGGTGGCAACAGCAACAACAACAACAAAGACCAGAGGAGGGCGCAGCCTCAGTCGCCTCTCACAAAGATGCTATTTTAGAGCTTTTGCCTCGTGTATCCTTCTGCAGAGGCAGCGAATCGAGCAGCAGCAGCAGCAGCAGCCAGCAGAGGGAGGAAGAAGGTCACTCTAGTGCCCCCCAAGACTGCGTAGAAGCGGGGGGTTACTGTGTGATTTCTTTTGGAAGCATGCTGTGCCGTTTCCTGGGGGTGTTGCCTTGTTTGAGATGCTTGATAGCGCTTTTCGCCGCCACTGTGCGGCTCCTGAACCACAAGTGAGGGCGTCAAGTCCACGCCAGTCTTTAAGCCTTGTAGTGGTGTGTGCTGTACAGAATCTGAGAGAGCGAGAGAGAGAGATAGGCATCGAACAGCATTGCCCATACACTGCCCCCCTTCTTGCAGCGTCTTTCGCTGGCGAGCACGTAGCAAATCGCGCATTGTTTCTTTTCTGCTTGCGTCTCTTTTTCCTAGAATCGTGGTTGTTGCGTCGTCCGCCGCCTTCTGCCCCTGCAACGCTACGCCAGGCCGTCCCCCTGAAAGCGAAATCCAAAAAGGCCTTAAGGCCCTTGCTGCTGCAGCAATAGCTGCGCAGGTGATGGTGATCTTGACGCCTATCTCCTTAGCTGACTTGCTGCCCCCGCCGCAGTGTAGCCAAGGAACGGCGGCAGCAAAGGAGGGATCAGTGCGCGGGGTGTTGCAATCATCTCCTAGAGCATCTTTTGCCTCCCCCGTTTGCATCGTATCCCACGGCAGCGCCGGCTCAGGTGAGGCTTCCCTTCTTCGAATCCTTGTTGCTGTGGGATCTGCTAGTTTCTATCTGGCCGCTTTTCCTGATGCCTCTCTTGTTTCCTCCTCGTCCTTGATTCTTAGCTGTTGGCTCTTGTGCTTGAGAGACACGAATAGCTGCCACTGTAATGCATTGCTGCTGAGGAGATGCAGCGGCTGCCCGTGGCGAATTTGTGCAGCGAAAGAGGAGGTCTTGATTCTCTTGCTCTGAAATGTATTCGCAGCGGCAACCTTTTGCCATGTCAGTGGGATTCCCCATTTACTGCTGCCGTTGCTGTTCGATCAGCAGCAGGTAGCGAAGTGCATGCAGCGCGCAGGGTTGGGTGCAGTGGCGTCGGAGGACCTGTTGGATGCCCTTACTGCCATTCGCAGCCAAGAGGCAACAGCACAGCAGCGAGAGATGCAAAGGTGTCAACAAGAGCAGGAGCAGGAACACGAACTGCGCAAGCAACAAGAGCAGCAAAAACAGCCACATACTAGCGATGGCGTGCGAGACTTCTCCTTCGTCACCTCAGCTCCAGAGGAGCCGATGACAGACTTTCTTGCGCAGCACCAGCAGCAGCTACCATACGAGCAGCAGCAGGCTTCCAAGGACTCGTGCATTAGCCCCGGTGCACCCGTGTTGCTGCGTGCAGCTCTTTTGCTCTCAGATGAGATACGGGCAGCACAAGCAGCAGCAGCAGCACCCCTACAGGAGGCAACTGGAAGATCCCCCGATCCTGTAGACGGTGGCATTGCGGCAGCGCGTTGCCTCGTAGCCATTCTGCAGAAGAAGCTGCAGCAACACTAACGCATGTAGCTGCATATTCGTGGCAGCACTTCTCCCCAGCTAACAGCGGCGGTGTATAGGAGGATGCCTTTGAATGCTCAGTGCTGCTTCTCTCCACAACCTTAAGGCCAGTGATGAGTCCATCACTTGCTGTATTGTGCTGTAACGCAGTCCTACCCAGCGGCATCACGTAGAGGGAAAATGGATAACACATGTGTTACCCATTTTCCTTTCGTATGGCCGCATGACGGGGCCAGAGAATTTCCCAGACGGACTGAGGCGTTCTTAGTATTAGATATTCGACTTGTTACAGCTACCTCTTTATTCGTTCATCTTTTTGGCCACTACTTGGCTAGCCATACTCTATGAACGGTTGCACCTAATGCCTACAATTTTCCGCGTCTGAGTTCTCAGCGGGTAAAAGCCCCCCCCTTAAAAATCACAACAGCATATCTCCCTCCACCCCCTTTCGTACGGGCCTAATCTGTAGTTAAGCCGCGCATAATCGCGTTGATCGTTCATGAGGCTCAGTGCCGGGCAGTCTGTTTAAAGAATCACGCAGCTGCAGGCTGCGCGCCATCTTCACGGTGGCTGCTGTTGCTGCATGCGAGAAACCCGAGACTCCAAAATAAGGCCCCGTGGCACTCTCGCAGTAATACGAACAGTCATACTGAAGGATAAGGCACACACCTAGCCACCACATACAACGCCAAGCAGCTGCAGGAGCAGCAGCTGATCGTTGCCGCGGTTGCAGCAGCAGCTGTCAGTTGCTGGCGCCCCCAGAGTGCAATCAACAAAATAAGTACCGCACAAGCCTCAACCCAGCTGCAAATCGACCTCCCCTGATAAAAGAGCACTCTGGATAAATGAATACACGCAAAAGGGTTGAGCATTCGGACGGCGACGAAGACACACCATCGTCTCCTAGCCGTCGTTGTTGGCGCTTGTGGTGCTACTGCTGGTCAAGGCCCCAGCTGTGTCTGTTCAATCTGCTCACTGCTTCAAGCAAATTCCACAGCACGGCCATGCTGATTTGGTTCACAATCCCGTTCCTTGATCCTCCCCCTCTTCTCTTTCCAGCCACCTCTCCAACCCTCCTCTCAGCGACAAACTCTTCACTCCCTCGCCACAGAGCCTTGGACCGCCTCTTCAAAGGAACTGCCTTCAGCCTCTCTGTTCCGGCCCCAAAAGCCTCGACCTCCAAACCTCTTCGCTCCTCTACTGGCTCATATCGCCCTTAGAATTCCTCCATCTCGACGCCGCGCGCACTCATCCTATGTCCACGATCCAACATTTTCATGTTCGCTTTCAAACTATCGCCTCGTTCAGCCTCCTGCGGCTCCCATCGCCTTCATTCTCCTCCCAACACTTGCTGGGCCCACCGCCCCCTCTCCCCGCCCCCCTACTCACAACCATTCATTCCACACATTTCCACCGCTACTGCCTCCCCTCACTCCCCTTGCGGATGTCGCCCGAACGGTGCGAAAGCTCCTCCACACCCATGAGGCGGCATCTGCCCCAAAGGCAGCAGCCTTGTGCACGTCAACGTACGAAACATTCCCGCTCGAAAGCCGCAAAATCCGCGTCTATTGCCTGCGGCGACTCCAAAATCATCTCCCCCGACACCCCTCCTCCCCTCTCATCCCCTTGTAATCCAGAATGCCGCCTCATATCCAACAAAAACACCACCACCACCTCCTCCCCCCCCTTCCCACACATACAAACCCACTGCGCTACCTGGCCACTGGGCCTTCTTCCCCAGCTCGCGGCTTTGGCTCGGCCGAAAAAGACGCAACCAACAGGCCTCTTCCTCCTTCCTTCTAAACCAACCCCCCCCCCCCGCGTCAAAGGGACAGAAGGCGAAGGAAAAACAACCTCCCCTCCCACCTCCACACAAACGCAAACGCCCAGAGCGCAGCTGCAGCAAATGGAGGACCTGCAACTGTGCCTCAGTCTGAGAGTCCAACACAAGAAACATGTCATGCGTACCTCCCTCCGCTGCCTATCTTTCGATTCCTTGCGTCCTTGTCCCCCTCTCCCCCCAACTTCAATCCTTCTGCTCTTCTTTCTTGTCTCCCTTCCTCCGTCTGTCTTCTCCGTGTCTCCCTGACCGCCTCCCTCCATGGTCTTATGCTTCTCGTCCTCGCCCCCCTACACGGCATCCTCACGTTCTCACAATAGCCTGCCCCCGCCTGATCGTTTGGCCATAGGGCTGCATCGAAACGCCTCCCAGCTCTGCTGCCGCTACCACTGCTACACTGCATGCTTCAAATGGCACTGCTAGAAGTCTTTCTCACCCCGCTCCCTCTTGCCCATCTGGCAGAGGCAACTACTCTTGGCGGAGGTCGCAGCCTTGGGCGAGTAACAACAGTCTGTTACGGGCCCCAGCTGACGCAGGTACGCTGCAAGAAATAAACCGCTACCCACGGCAGGAAAAATTCCCCAGCTGTCCTCTGACACCTGCTGCACATCGAATGCCTTGGCGTCGACACAGACAGCCGACTGCATGCAGCTCACGCGGAGCCGGCGAGCGCGCCATGAACAAGAATTCCACCTACAATAGAACTGCTGCTGATGGGGCTTAAGGCCCTCTGTCCACGCAGGTCCTTCTCTTTTTTCGCGAAACTTTCCACAGCTGGGGGCCCCTTAACAAAGGGAATGCGATAATCGCATGCGTACGGGCTTTCAAAAGGGCCCACTGTGCCTTCTACCCCGCCGCGGAGGCAGGCGGCCTCGTGTGTGTCCTCTCAAGTGGCTGCTGAGGAGGTTTTTTCCCCCTGCAGAGCGTCAAATTGCTGCTGCCAAATGCATCGGTGGCCGCAAGTCTTCGCATCCCTCAGCACGTGGTGGCTGGGAGAAGATTCACACAGCCACTCCTCCCTGAATCTCTCTCTGGGGTACAGCAACAGCATCAGCACTTGTTGCTGCTGCTGCACCCCTAGCTGCTCGTCCACTAATATAAGCAGCTCGCAGCAGCACACCTGTGGCCTTATGGCAGCCGCAGTGGTGTGGGATGCTGCTGGGGACCGCCAAAGGGCCCCCCAAGAGAAGCAGGATGAGTCGGGCAAGGCCTGCCGTCCGTCTCTTTATCAAGAAAGAAGCGATACAGGCAGGGGAATGGAGGAGGCGTCAGGCGACCGCATGAACACGGAGGCAGCAAATCGATTCGGCGCTCTCGAATGAGGCGAAGGAGACAGAGAAGAACCCGCCGGAGCTGAGCGGGCCGAAGGCAGGACGGGGTGGTTTGACAAAACTACCCCCAAGGAGGCCGTGTTACTCCTCTCAGACCTTGTGGGTGATTTGGGGATACAGCGCAATAAGAGAGTCGGCTGTGGACTCCATGAAGAACTGCGGGGTTGTGCCAAGTTCACCTGCTGTGGCTGCTCTTGCTGTGGCTGCTCTTGCTGCTGTTTGCGCTGTCGCTGCTGCTTGTTTCGCGCCCGCTGCGCTGATAGCTTCTGCCCCTGAGGCGGAGGCTTCTGCTGCCGCTGCTGCTCCAAGGCCTCACGGCGACTGTGCAGTTGCTGCACACGATGTTGCAAAAGAGCGTGACTGAGCTGCCGCTGAAGCCGCTGCTGCGTTTGCTGCCGCCGTTGCTGCGCATGCTGCGCATGCTGCACCTGCAGCACCTGCGGCGAGGACTCATCCCGCAATTCTTCCTCCGAAGTCTGGGAGTTTCCAGATTGCGAGGAGGCACAGGTATCCACAGAGGCCACACTGTAGCTGCTGTCTGCTCCGTTATTCCAACAGCTAACAGGCCCCTCGGGGGGCCCATCAGGGGCCCCCGACTTCTGCTGCAGCAACTCCAGCAGGCGCACGGTCGCCCGGCACTGCCGCAACCGTGCAGGGTCCAAATGACTTCTAGGAGAAGCAACTCGAGACCCTCTGAGGGAAGCCGCTTCCCAGTGTGCGCTGTTAGGGGAAGGCCCAGTCGTGGAGCCTTGTCCACAGGGCCCAAGGGGAGGGTCAGTACGGATAAGGGGAATATCAAGGGTGCGAGATCGCGCCTCTTGGATCGACTGCATAGGTGACAGTCCCTCATGAGGACCGCCAAGGGACCCCTCGTAAGGCCCCCTGGGCCTGAGGGGCCTCGATGTCTGGAGCATGCTGCTGTACGGCGATGGAGGGAATGCGAGAAGCGGAGCCGCAGAAGGGGGTGTGCGTGGCACTAGAAGCCAAAAAGGTCCCTTTCCGTGTGCAAAATACGAAAGGAAGCAGAACGCGAAGGCATCCCCCAGAATGAGGGGAACAGGGATTGAATATCTCAGTGAGGCCCAACTTGATGCGGCGCATGGAAGACGGGAAGCCCGCCTCAAGCTCTAACTAATAAGAACGCAATCTAACCAAAAAATAAACCATAGGGGGCCCCTCGGAGACCCCCCGGTAAGAGAAAAGCCAAATAAAGCACAAACACACTTCCGCGAAGCGTGCGCTGCAGCTGCAGGCGGGCCACTACTATAGCTCAGGAGGGCTCCCTCTCACGATTCTCTGCAGCTGCTGGAAAATAAAGGCAGCAAACGCCCCACTCTCAAAGCCAGGAAGGAAAAGCAGAAAGAATGCTACATGCAGCACAGTTCGCAACAATCAGTTGCAGGGAGTCTGGCAACACCAGCCCCAGCATACGGTGAGAGACGAGGTGCAGAGGACACCACAGGAACACCAATGCAGCTAGTCAACACACGTCTTTCTCTGCTTTGTGCCGAAATAGAGGGAAAACAGAAAAACGCAGGGCGGCAAGGAAGAAGGGACCAGGCAATGCCCTCGGCTTCGCTCTCTCATTCTCACGCTATCCTACAGAATCAGTAACGCGTGGCTCTACAGAGAGCCGACAGCAGCACCGCGCTAAAACGAAGCAATTAGAAGCGAACTGACTGGAAACAAAGATGCAGAGGGCACTAGATTTGCGAGGAGCAGCACGCCAGCAGAGGCAGCCCCCAAAGCGGGCCACTTCGTAGATGAGTGCAGCACCCGCACGTCAGCCGGTATGTAGGCGACCCTAGAGCTTCCTGAGATGTACATAGGGATCTGGGTATTTTTCAGGCAAGGTGTCCACGGAAACCATTTATATAAGCAGAAATTGTGGCATTCCGGCTAAAATACGGCCCCATATGGCAAGAACAAACCGGCACACAAGTGTACGCTGCCACGCAGCAGGCAGCATGGCTGCTACTGTCGCTGCACGGAGTATGTGTCCTGCAAGTTGCTTCATAAGCCGCGCTTTCCTACGACAAATGTTCTTTCTTGGCCTTCTCAGATATATGTAGATCCAGACATACGGAAAAAGCTGGCTCAAATTTGATCAAGCAGTGCTCCCTACGCCCAGGCGAACTTCTGTCAAGGAGGGTCTGCGTTTCCGGCTCACTGCTTCTATGAGCTATTTGTGACATTGTAGAATTGGTACTAGACCTACGGTGGGGGTGAACTCTAAGCGGATATACAGATAGCATCCCTCGCACGACGGAAGGAACTCACGTGGAAAATCGCAAACCCTACCCCGATGTCTAGCACTCTCATAATTGTGCTAAGAAGCTTGCCGTATCCAGCTAACGGCGAGTCTGCTCTCTGCAGTCACATGGCCCGCGGAAAGATAGCGCCTCTTCGCGGCACAAAATCTGACAGTTTAGTGCAGTACACTGGATACTCAGAAAGTCCGGAGCAAGCTTTTGCAGCTGCTGGTGTAGCGGGGCCGACTCAAACTGGGGGCAACAAACGCGTCAATGGCTACAGGGCACTGCCGGAAATAGGAGGCTGCGCATTATTAGAGAAACTGATACAGTTTTAACCCACGATGCCCCTCACGGCAAACGCGTTGCTGCAGGGCGGCTTTCAAGTGCCTTTTATCAATCTGCCCGTTGCCTCTTTTCCCTCATCCTCTGCCTCCTGAAGCGCCTCAAAGAGATTACGAGAGATTTTTTATGGTCAGCCTGGCGGGCCTTCCGCATTTGCTGTTGTAGCAGCTCAGGCAGTGAGCCCGTGGGCCCATCCTTGGACGTCCGCTTGGCTGTGATCGACTCCACGGAGGAAGCTCTGGAAGTGTCTCCTTCAGCTGCCCACGGGCAAGGCCCTGGATAATCCTCCTCTAATAGGAGGTTTAAGGCAGCACTAGCCTCTGCACTGCTGTACAGCTCGTCCGTCTTCTGAACGTACTTACATTGCTCGGACTCAGGAATTTCTGATGGCCTTAGGGCGTGCGCCACAGCGCGGCTGGAAGACATCCACATTAGACAAACCTCTCTCTGCATGGTAGAGTGCCACTTTTAGACTAAGTAAGGCTCATCTGGACACGATAACATGCATGACTAAAATGAGGTACGAAAGAGAAGGAAGCAGAGAAACAGTGCTCCTGTACCTAATGTAGGCCCGTAGGTCCTTGACATCTGTGAGGGGTAGGACATCATAGTAGGGAATGTGCACGATGCGGAAACCTACAGCACAGGTCCAGACCCAAAGAGAAACGAATAGTATTGAATTCATGTGTTAGCAAAGGCAGCCATGCAGAACATCTGTACGATGGTATGTTAGACAGAAGGGGGCACAGTTCTCAGGCACCCACCTAGTTTGCCAAGTAGCCGGGATTTGAACTTTGATGACGAATTCCTGAGGCCGTGCGGAATAAAATAAGACAGCGTGCGCCCCTCTCCATCTACCGATCCATGTTGTCCGCATAACTAAGTCGGTAGGGTTCCCCTCTTGTTGTTTTTTTCACCTTTGCCATTGGAGGTTAGTATGCTGTGCCCCTCGACCACCCCAGGGCCGTAGCCTCTATGTGGCATCATAGACGCACCAGTGAAAAGAGTCCCTGTAAAAGTGTTGCGGGCCGTCCACCTCAACGACTACGGCTTTCGTTTTAAGGTCTTCTGCAGCTGAAAAAGGACCACAGCAGCAGCAAATCAACCCCTTTTCACTGTATATCGGCCTCTGACCAGCGTCCCCCACCCTTAGGCTGTGATTAGAGGAAAGTGGGCACTACGGGATAAGTGCAGCAAGATGACCACTAGAACGAGGAAAAGGCAGCATATGGTAGACGCGCACGAGCTTAGTAGGGGGCCGGGAAGGGACAGCCTTCCTTCACTAGCCTCTAGGTCCGTTTCCAGGCAGATTACTTGATATCAAGCTAGAAAACAGCATGACTTAAATAAGCTCTGTTAGTTAGCATCAAATTGCTCAAAGCAGGAGACCTACCAGAAGGAGACCATCCTCCATCGCGGGTCAAGAGACGACCCTGCAAAGCTTGTTGCTGCTGCGTGTAGACTTCTTCACCATTCAGCGGCTGTGCGAAGTCGACGGTGTATGGACCCACTGTAACCTGCAAGTACAGCCGGCAGACCTGCATCTACGGAGCCTGGGGGTTGAGCAGGACACATAGGCTGGGTGAAGTAGACGGAAAGTGTCGGGAGGCAGATACACATACATTGCTGCACGCAGGTGTATGTACTTAGAGTAATGCTGAAGAAGAAGATATACGGCTACAGTCACACGCGACAGCTGTGTATGTAATAGGGACATAGTAGCGGCGGCTGCCTTGTCAACATCAGCGAATGTTGCTGTTATCACACTCTGTACACCGGTCCCTCGGCAAGAGCAGGACAGTAGGTTGGGGATGGAAGCGCGGGGGTGGAGCATGTATCCTGCTTATTTCTTGCCTCTGAGTAGTAGTGACACCGCAAGAAGGTAGCGGTTTTTGCTACCTTCTCCTGGAGCGCTGAGGTGCACGGCAGCTCAGGCGCTGTGACAGTCTCCCGAGCTTTCTGCAGTGTATCTTTTGCTCCCGCGCTTAATGAGCCAGCGGGAAAGGGCATATGGCCGGTTCTGAAGGCATAGAAGCAGTGTGAAGACGGGCATAGTCAAGACACCCAACAGCGGTACTTCTGGGTAACAAAGCTCGAGAATGCGTTGCTCCGTTTAAAGTGCCATGAGACGATTCCCCCAGGTCCACCTTACCTGAACGCGAGTTCGACCGTATGCAGCTGCGAGATGGCAGCAGTGGGGAGGGAGTGGATGTGTCGCAGCAGCTATAGCATAACAAAAACGCCCACGAGAGCAAAAGCCTTGACGGTGCAAGGAACAGAGGTCAGGTAGAAAGATACAGAAACAAATGCAGAGGCTGCCCAAACCATATAAAGCTTCTCAGAATGCCCACTCCTAGGGTGCGGAGTTTAGAGACCAAGGAACGCGCATAGCCAATGCCACGTCAAAAATGCACTGCAAGCCAGTTTCGGCACGGGCAGTGAAACCCCGGGGAAGAGCGAGAGCAACAGGCAGCACACAGGTGCTAGTGTTTGCCTTGCCTGGGAGAGAAGAGAGTCGAAGAGCGGCCGTTCATTTAGCCGGAAGTAGCTAAGAGCTAATAGCAGGTTCGTCGCACACTGCAGGCCCAGATTGTCCAACAGAGCTGCATGCGACACAAACCCTCGACATTGAGAGAGAACATGAAAGTGGTCGTAGAGAGGAACATTTGCGCGGCCACCAAGAAGTGTCATGCACGCAGAAACAGAAAAACCCATGTGCAGCCTCTAAACAAACCTCCACAGTGACAGAACATCCCACCAGGACTTTAAACCGGCGGTAGCTTCTGCTTTTGTTGTTTTTGCTTCTACTAGCTCAAGTGGTATAAGAGGACAGGGCGCAAGGAGTATGGGTACCTAGGCAACACCTGCACGCATTCTCACTGTTGCCTTCGGCCGCCCTAAGCCGTTTGAGGAGACATTCAGTAAGTCCAGGGTGCCAGAGGTCCAGGCGGTAGCAGTCGTATAATGCAAACGCGCAATCCTTGAGCTAAGAGCCACAAGAAAGCCGCACGACACACAGTAGGCTGCGTAGGGTCTCTCACGGGAGCCGCCCCCTCGTGTGTGTGTCTCCCCAAAGGAGCAGTAGGAAAGCCTAAGTAAGCCCACGTGCCTAGAGCTTCTGTGTATCCATAATGCTCGAACTGCCCATGAAAAACCATGCGCCTACGGCTAGCCGCGCAGCAATCCTTTGGTGGCCAGAGGTTGAGCGCACAACAAGCTTACAGTCAGGTGGTGCTGATCAGCTGCGAGCGTGAGAAGGTGCACAACCTCTCGCAGCACAGCAACATCTCGCTTTTGCAGTTGTCCAAGACATCGCAGGATTCTCAATGTGTCCTTTGCTGCTGCCGCTGCTGCTACAGAAGCACCGGTAGAGTCCGCCTCGCCATTCGACGCGAGAGCAAGTTGCGCCGCCAGCCTGATCAGGGCCTCGCAGAAAGCACGGTGATCTTACGTACTTCTTGACAGTTTGTTCCTAGCAAGAACACTGTCTCACGCGAGGGGTCTTGAGTGCCTAGATCCAAGCTCGCGACCCCTAAATTGTGCACTCTGGGGTTCGGTGGTATTTCTTACAAGGAAGAGACGTGCGGGAGGAGAGCTCCGATGAGCCGTTCGGGGTAGCAATTTAGGGCCCCCAGCGCAGATAGGATTTTTGCAGCCTCAGAGAGGGTGAGATCCATTACCCACTGTACAGGCAATCCGCAGAGGTCAAGCAACAACCGGCATCATCTGGAGGTTCTAGGCTTGCCTGGTGTTGCAGCTAAAGCGAGCAGTCTATGGGCACATGTGGAGATGAGGAAACGGGGCATCTGACAAAGCCCCATGACGCCCTAAAGACCCTAAGCTTTTTGCACAGTCTGCATGCCCGGAGACATTACCTCCACAAGGGCATCCGCGAGGCTCTTGAAGAGAGGCTGAAACTCTGTGGCCTTCAGCGCGGCAAAACAGCCTAAGCTTGCGATAAGAAGGGCCTTGTCCTCTTTCTCAAGGAGCCTCTGAGAGGCCGGCCGGCTAAAGCGGTGCTGCAGCCCGCGAGCTGAAGGTGGCACAGTCACAACTCTGCTGCAGCTAAGAGCTGCCTGAAAGGGGCAGGGCAAGGCTGGCGGAGAAGTAGCTCCAACAGCAACTGTGAGCAACAGCAAGCCCCTCGAGCAAGGCTGCAGGAAAAGCACAGGAACCAAGCGTCCCACCTATCTCAGTTAGCAATGGCGCATGCAGGAGCTTTAGACGCTGGAGGGCCTCCAAGACGTGTGAAAGCGATCCCGCGTGTCGCAGGGTGTCGGGTGCCCCGGCAAGCCGCCCACAAACAACGCGTGCAGCCTGGAGAACAAGGACGCCATCTGGAGAAAAACGCAGCGCCAGTGGTAAAAGCAACACTTGCAGGTGTGCAGGGCTCTTGAAGTGCGAAGGGCACCCCCTGTGGAGACACAAAAGTTTACGCTCGGCTTACCAGGGAGCGGTGGCAAGCAAGAGAGGCCCAGTAGCAGCCAGGCAGCTTCAGAAGGAGATGAAGACCGCGAGGCTTCTGCGCATCGCCTAACAAGACATCGCCAGAACTCCTCAGGAAGCGCCGAAGGAGGAAGGGTCGCAGCAACTCCCAGGATTCCTGTGGCCGCAAGCAGAAACAGAGAAGAACGGTCTAAATGCAGCTTGCCTGAGTCAAAGCACAATGGAGGCTACGCCTGTTTCTGGGAGAGCAGCTCGCTGCCCCCGCTTGCCGAGGTTTTTTGGTCAAGAGGCAGCAACCAGGATCTGCTGCAGCTGCAGTGGACCCCAGAAGCCAGCCTCGTCCTCGATTGCCTGCAACCAAAGCGTGGCAACTCTCATAGCTGCTGCAAAAGTGACAAGACAGCAGCATCCGTAACGAAACGGTACAGCAGTACAGGCTCACTGGGTAACTGCGATGGCAGTAGGAAATCTAGGGGGCGTTTCGTTATGATTAGGGCCCCTCGACCCAGGAGCAGGCAAAGCCCTCTTCTTCGCTCGGCTGCTGGTGCTGTTTTTGCCGCACTGGGAAACTCGGTGAGCAGGCGACCGAATACATGCAGGAGTAACAGCAGATCAGCGGCAGGCAGCTGCTGCAACACAGCAGCACTCAGCAGCGGGAGATAGGCACAGAGACAGTCCGCTGCTGCGACTCTGCCGTCAGGGCCATCACTGCTGCTGGAAACAAGATAGGCTTCAAGGCTTCGTCTGAGGGAACTCAGCTCAAAAGGGCGCTGCACATGGGAGTCGTCGTCATTCGGAAATGCGCCTGCTTGTCGCATCTCCAGAAGGCTGGAAAAGAAGGAGGCTTGAGCCAACGAGCTTCTTGGGCGAGAGCTCAACGAACTTGCGCAAAATGCATTTTTCAAGCCCGGAAGCGACGAAGCGGAGGCCCTCCGATCGGCTGGAAAGGCAAATCGCGACTGCAGTGGATGGATGAACCCCCCAAGCGGCGCGGCTACTGGCCGCAGCCGGCTCACAGGCAGAACAGATGCCCCAGAAAGGCCGCCATGAAGAGCTCGATGCAAGGGGGCGTAACCCAAATGCCGTGCATGCGGAGGCATGAAACTGAGATCTCCTGTTGCCTTCATCCGGTAGGAGCGAAGGGACTGTGTGGGCTAAACGCCTACACAGCCTGTTGCTGCAAGGGTTTGCAGGCTTGCCCTAATGGTGCAAAGAACTGCAGCATGGGTGGATGAGGCCCTGGGGGGCCCCCAGCGTCATTATCGATTTCCCAAAAGGCATAAATCCCAAATCGAGGACCACGAGTACAGAACTGCTCTCACCAGAGGCAGAAAAAGGACGAAGTCACCCCCGCTTTATAGGGCTTCGGCCTCTTTCCAGAGCGGTAGCTCTATAGTAAGCCACAGCGAAGCGCGCCACGTCCTGCGCTCCTACTGGAGGAGACCGAGAAGATGTTCGGAAAAAATAGAGGAAAAGCATTGAAACTCGAGGAAAACAGCATGACGCTAATAAAGCATTGAGGCATTTTAATGAACTATGCGAATACTCTCACATGAGCAGAGTAGGGCCCTATAGTATGGGCCCCAATGGGTGGGGGCCCCCACTGGGGCCCTGAAACTTCCGAGTCCATCAGGAAATTGGCTATTACAACGCTTCAGTCCAGCCTGTTCCTCACAGCCAAGTGTATTGCTTTCTTAGTTGTTCATGGGTTAGAGGTAGAGCGACTACGATGAAGGCTAAGCTCTTTGCTTTCTTGCACCCGTGAAGCGTCCCTACTTCGACTGCTCTCTGTTCGACTGGATGGCAATTCTTACCCCAGCACCGGTGAGTTAGGTGGGAAGTCTCCCAGTTGCTGTTACAGGGTACTGCTATACTTTGCAGCCCTCAGCTCGATGCTGTGGGAGGGACCTCACAACGCCGTGTCGCAAAAAGATACAACAGCGCCTCATCGGTTATTAGCTAAGCCTCTTGCTTCCTTCTCCTGGGTGGCAGCTAATCTTGCAACAAGGCTCTACTGCTGCTGGGGCTCGCCACCACAATGGGCGCTGTTGCAGCGGGCTCAGGCAAACTAAGGCACTTTCTGCTGCACGGGTTGTATTTAATCAAGCATTAGTTTAAATGTGACTACTTACTTTTGCTGTCTGCAGTCATTCATTGCTGCAGAGTGGCAGTAGGTCGATCCGACAACTACAAAATTGGCATTTTGTGCCTGTGCGCTAGATGCTCTGTGCACATGAATGTGAATGCTCGGAGTGCTTGGAGGGTGCACCAATGCGCAACCTGCCTGTCCTTCTTCCCCCTGCCTAAACCCTAGAGCATGAGCGCAAGGAGAGCGAAAGCTCATTCGGAACTGGGCCCAATAATTTGATTCGTACTGGCTTAGGGCTTAAACTTCCTCCTTATGTAGAACTGAAGTGGAGTGTTACACCTATCTTTTTCTCCCCCCGCTCCCGCAGGATCCCAGTTTATCGGATGACTTTAGAAACTTTTGCTGGAACGGCAGTCGACGAGGCTAACAGATATATTTTCTGGATCATTTCATGGAGGCTCAGTATTGGGCAAACTCTGCCTTTTGCAAAACTGGTACAACAAACGGTTACACATGGCACGAGGCGGCAATAGGGGCGGCATAACAATAGCTCCATACTAAGAAACTTTATTTTCAGTACGCAGACGTATGCGCAGCCTTCGGTTGTAGCGCATAGAGGGACCAGAAGGGCAACAATCCTTCAGGTTGGGAGCAGCGTCCACTGGCATGGCCAATGGTAAGAAATAAGGTGCACTTCGGGTCAGCAAAAATGCCATGTACGCTAGCTCGACAACTGGCAGGGACATCTCGTACATTTTTGACAAGCGCTCAAGGCCATCCACGTGCGGGATTCGGAAGAATCATTCACGTTATGAGGAATCCCATGGAGCCCAGCACATGGAAAAGAAGCTGTATTTACGGAAGGTCAAGAGTCCGCAAGAAACAACCAAGAACATTTAGACGATCATCAACGAGACAAAAAACATTTGCCAGAAAGATAGCTAATAGCAAAATACATGAGTTCCGCAAGGCAACGTTGTCTGGCAAGGCGGAGAAATTGCGAGCAGCATCGATTTTTATCACTGACCTCACAACAGTCGCGAACATATGCCCAATCTAGGAAATATTACTGAACCTAACACTCTTTGCCCCGTGACTCCTTTTAAACAAGTAATTACCGAAGTGTCCAAATCTAGCTCCACACGACCAGCGAACCACTGCACAGCCCTTTCATTCACTTCGCGCCGGTGCTCAACCGGTACCATGTGCACTGGATTTACGTTGGAAGTGTGATATATAGGTTTCAGAAGCATGTTAGTCTCCTCTTGGCATCAACCTGCTTTGGGGATTGGCCCAAAACACAAGTTCAAAGTCCTTGTTATGCATGTCTCAGGCCCACGAACACATACTGCAGGAGTATGTGATAAGGCTTTCACATTACCGCCTTGTAGTCAAGATATATGGCTTACATTAGCACAAACACATGAGAGCACAGATATCTCGGTAGAGAACCCAACAAGTGCTACTTTTATGTACCTGCTTCATTCGCAGATTTGGGTCACCCAATTCAGCTAAACTGGATCCTCTGTGTTTTGTTGGCTGCTTTCTCTCTAGTCAGCTGTATCTAGGAATCAGCTGTCTGTGTCAAGTTCTTAGACAGGTGTTCGAAAGTCATGATGTTAAAGGGATCACCTCCAAATGTAAGCCAACTAGATAGCTCAAGCACCTAAAGAAAAGGTCTCTGTAGTCCCATTGCTGAGCTTCACAAGCTTGAATATTTCTTTGCATGCTACAGCGCTAGTATTACTGTTAGTTCTTTGGCAGGCATTGGAAGAGCACAATTCAGATTACATATGCTCGGGGCGGCAATCCGAGTTACAACACAACGACTCCATAGTGAAGTCCTGCCCACCACTTGCTAAGCCAGCTTACTACAGCTCCCTTGAGTTCCAGACTACATGTTTCATAAGAGAATATAAGATTCTTTTCCCCCAAAATAGTCAGACGCTTAGAATCTTGACCGTTAATTATCGCTTCGCCCCTACTGCAGCTATTCAATCCCCGAGAAGTGTTTTGCTAGGCACACTGTGAACCGTTGCATCATTCAACCAGATCCTAATTGAACTCACACGGAAAATTTCCTTGTCTTGTGGTCTGCCAGAACTATGGCATCTGTGCTCTCCAATATTGAAATCACGGTGGGTTGTCTCTCGAGTCTTCGAATTGCATTTTCTTTTCCATGAATCCCTTTTCGTTCTAGTACTCAGTAAAATTTGCTATAATTTGTCCCTGTTTTAAAGTATATGCCCTGAAATTTGCTGCATACTCAGTTGTGCGTGAAGGCATACAATGAAAAGCTGAAAACGCAATTACAAATACACATACTAGATAGCAACTAGTACGCTTGAGTCCCGTTGGAATGGCAATACGGGTGAGTTTCCAGAGCCGCCGGAGGAAAGTGCAAAGCGAATTAAACTCTCTGATGTCGAGTATACTTTAGAAATGAATGGTGTGAGCCTATAAGTGTTGACCTGCAAGCCCCTAGTGGATTTCCACAAAGGGCACGTTGACTGCGAGTGCTAAGATACTTGAGCATTTGACTCTATTTCATGTTTGGTGCGCTATGTGGCCACTTTTGAACACCTCTACATTTTCTTTCTCAAGGTGACATTAGGGTGCTATTGGGATACTAGTCGGGGATGCTGTGAGATTTTTAGATGATCATTAAGGTTTCTCACCCGGCAGCACGTCCACGAGGAATTTGCTGAGGTCTGTCCATATGCCGCTGAACGTAAAAACTGGAGTTACATATTACTTATTCCGCATGACGACATTGAATCCTTTGGCATCTGATCGAAAGAAATGACTTCAAGAAAGTTCCGTTTCAAAGAAAAGGCTCACACAAGGAACAAGGAAATCCCACGCTTTCATGCAAACAATTGCTGCACAATGCAGCACGTGAGCTCTCGCTTCCACTGTGCGCATTTGACCTACCGAAGCCGACTAGGCTATATACGAACACGCCAACCACTTATTGTTAAGATGTGGAGTAGTGCGAGTACTAGTGAGAAATTCTTTCCTTCCACATGGTCAGGCGTATCTTCTTTCACTGTTATATTAACTGAACAGTATCGAATCGAAGACCCTCCATGTGCTTTGTGCAGACCTAAATGCACTTGATACCCAGTTGGGTCACACGCAAGCTAAAAAGAGCACCAAATACCCAGTATCCTCGTTTAGCGCACAATTTAGTGATTTGCCTTCAACAGGCACAGAACTCCCTTCTGTACTTCTTTAGGCACTAATCAGCATGACTGGAGAGAAGGGACCTATACTAGATTCAATATTTGAAAGAACTGAAAAGCGCAAGAGTTTTAACGCACGCGTCAGCACTCGCGGGGGTTCAACTCGGTAGAGAGGTCTGGCACTAGTTTGGCCCTAGCCAAGTCAGGCAAGTTTCTTTTTAATTTGCTTTTAATTTTCCCGTGGCTTTCTGCTCACCGTAATCGCCACTTCATCTCTACCGTTTTATCAGGTCCTATTAATTCGGGGGCAATCGCACATATTGCGTTCGTCAGACGCTAATCTAGAAAACTCGTTGTATCGGAGAATTAAGCTCACATGTAAGGCTCCTGCTCACAAAATAATCCTCCAGTTAGAGAACTTACTAGCCGATAGATACAATGCATTTGAAAGACGGAGTTTCTGTACATCGCTTTACAAAGTATAAGCATACCGGTGAAGCCTGAGAGCAATATTCAAAGAAAGCCTAGCAGAGCTACTTTACTTGCGACAACTTCAAAAATGTTTCCACTTTGTCTCTTTGCCGTTAAACCTCGGTGGCGCTTACTGACGTTCTATACGTGACAGTACCTACAGTATGCTCCCTTCACTAAAAATAGAATTCGATGTTTGGCTAGTTGTTTGGCATGGCATCTTCACCGTGCCCCACGTCACCAAGAGGTTGCTCATGCAACCGCGAGTGACAATCGGATAGAACATAGACTTTCCTGAAAGCATTTGCACAAGTTAATGTAGTCGAAGGCTGTTTAGAAACGATCCAAAAAAGGGTTTCTCTATACCACTTCCTCTTCAGGTAGCAGGCACGAACCCTTACTCTACACCAAAGGGGCCAATGGAATGTGCATGCGTTAGTGCTTTGTTGACAAATCCATCCTTCTTTTGCATAGTCAAAGGAGGCTATCCGACTGACAGCAGAGGCAGCGAACATTGATGGAAGCACTCTGCGTCAATAAAAAGAACCGCGGGCACAATCACCCCCACTTCAACCCTCCAAGGGGGGCAGTGCGATGCAATTATATTAATTAGCAGCTTTTGTCGCAAGACGCGCTCTACACAGCGGCATAGTCCACCAAAGCGATAAGCAGCAGGCATCACTCTCGCGCGGTACACATTGAGTTCCCCATACATCATAAAAATAAAAAAAGCCTTAAAGACGAGCAAAACTACACGGCGCGTCCCAGATATGAGACTATAAAGCCAGAATCCAGCTCCACAGTCCACTAAATCATTGAATACCTCCACATCTTACATTGTGCGTAACATACTACTAGCAGCACCGGCAGATGGCCTCTAGGTCCTGAACCGACTTGAAGCCCCCGTCATACAGAACAGAGTCAACTGCATTTCGCACTTCTTTCAGAGCCTCCCCGAAACAAAGATGCGCTCGCCTGTGGAGAGGTTGCCCCTCTTTCACCACAGGAGGTCTACCGCACGTTCCAGGTGCACTTGGTAAGCAGGGTTGTTCCTGTTGGCAGGCCAAGCTGGGGGGGGACGAGTTCTCATTGTGCCCAGCGGTAGAACTAGAGAATGACATAAAAGTATCTTTTCTCCGCGTTGAATCATCAGACAAGCATTCCACGGAGGCCTTGCGGGGGTCTTCGCCTGGCTGCTGCTTCTGAGTACCTCTAGGAGAGAGCTCCTCTCGCCTCGAGCTGGAGGCTGACATGGAAGGGTGGCAAGAATTACTCTTGTTCTCAAACCTCGGACTGTGGCTGGTCGGCTGGGCGTGAAGTCCTCTGTGGCTGAGGTGGTGTCTACGGAGTGCAGGAAGGTGCAGACTGGAGAATCCTGGGGCGGGCAGTGGAGGGTCCTCTCCCTCGGGTTCCCAAGCCCCTCTCAATGCAAGCTCCTGGTCCAGGCGCATGCAAGAGTAGACGAAGAGGTGTCCGAATGTGTACAAAACGCGGCCCGCTGTTGTGACACGGCGCTGAACAGCACTCTGCCTGTCTGTCGCGGAGAGTCCCTGCCGAAGTCCGTGGTTCAAGTTCGAGTGTACAGAGAATGCCGGGAGCTCCAAGGTGGCACCAGAAGGTGTCGGTCTGCTTTTTTCCTTCCCATTGCAGCATGTGCTGGAGAGGGCCATACTTCCTCCCAAGGTTACTGCCCGCGCTACTTCGCTGTCCGAATGTGACTGGATATTGAACAACTCCGAAGACCTAGGATGGGGAAGCGGTGAGGGTCCTCGAAAGAGGCTAGCCTGAAAACTGCAGCACTCTGCTGCCCGCCCCCCATCCTCAGCTGCAAGGCAGAGACGCGCAAAATGGCGAAGTGCCCTGCGGGATGCCAGAGGCTCCCCGGCACCCAGGCCCACAGAGTCCGTCAAACGGAGATATCCAGCGAGCATGTGCTGCAGCCAGACAGAGGCAGAAAACGAAGAGCAAGCGGGGCGGTTAGACCTTATCAGCGTACCCCCCTCCCCCCGCTTGCCGGAGTTTCCAGGGAATACGGCTGTACGAGAAGCCAGCAGCCGCAGGGCGATGAAAACGATGGGGGGCACTTACAGTTACGTTTATGAATGCTGCCGCCATGGGGAACCCCGCGCTGTAGCTCCTCCTGGCGATGCCGACAAACTCCGTCGGAAAAAAGGCTCTAAAAAAGCAGAGGTTCTGCAAGGCGAACAGGCCACCCCCTCGGAAATCTCGGCGTGGGTCTTCACTCTGAGGCAGGCTCACAAAGAGAATCCACACGTGAGGACCTCAGGAGCCGCCTGGTTCGTGTTTGAGTGAAGAAGACACATCAAGAAGAACGCAGGCAGTAAGGCACGCGCGGAGGAACGAGAGCATGAGGAGCAGAGGGAGCGAGAATGTCGTGAAAGGGGTGAGCAGAGACTGTATAAAGGTGATAGAGGCGTTGCATAAGCACGTGGCTGCGCAGAGATGTAACGGCAGTAACGCAACATCGGCCACTGCTGTACACCTGAAAGCCAATCTCCTTCCAGCGAGGGTTTTCCTCCAATCCCGCCTCATCCCCTGCCTCTGGGAAGCAGAGTTTAAACAGGCGTCTTAGCAGCTGAGAGAACAAAGGGAAACAAATTAAACACAATGGATGGAACGTTTCCCGCACAAGGACCTTTCCAACGGAGTCGCCAAAACCAGCAAAAACAGCAAGGCAACAAGCCCTCTTCTCCACACTCAGAGAGAGACGTGAGAATCACAGATCATGGAATCACCAGCTTTAGCGCTAGCTGGGTGCTAAGCTATGAATTCGAGAATCCAGTATACCTGTTCGTGCTGTTGGCAGTCCCTGTCAAACGGCGTTGCCACGAAGCGCCGGAGAATCCGCAAAGCGAGCTTTTCGTCCATACTCATCTCCCCATCGAAGATGTTGTTCAGAAAGGCAAAAAGCCTTAAACAAGAGGAGGATGCCCCCACGCCCACGCCATGGGAGGACCCTGAAGGCGGTGGCACCCTCGGGCTCGTCATTTCCCAAACAAAGGAGGGAGAAAGTATCAATATAAATGCTTCCCCCGTCTACCTATCAGGCGAAGCGGAGGAATCCAGATCATCAAAATCGACGCCTCACTGCCAGACGTGCAGCCCTTTGGGTAGACGCTGTCCCACGGCTCGACAACTGGAGGCTCAACCAGGGCAAAGCCGACCTCTGGATGCACAAGTACGGGGCACTCTGGTTTCAGGAAAACAATAGAGGACTTCGATCTAGCCCATGGGAAAATTAGTGCGAGAGAGATGCTGTGGTTGTAGCCCAAGCTGATCGGTAGACACATACAGAAGGATCCCCTCTCCTCATCCAAAGCATACTGCAGGCCAAAAACTTATGGAATCCAGCAAAAGAGGCAAAGTGTTGAGGCAAGCACAAATAACCTATCCTTCATAAAGGCGCTGTTCTTGGAACAAATAAACAACAACAGTCAGAACATTGCCCAAATGGCAATCAGGCGAAAAACACTCACTGCAAGTCAAAGCCCACTGTATTGCATATATAGTTTGCTGCTACAAGGCTACAAAGTTAGGAAAGGGCTGAGAACTGCAATACGGTACAGCAAATCACCATGGGCGTCCTTGTGAAGGATTTGGCTGTGTACTCTTCAGCCTCTACGAAAATGCAGTGGCCTGCCTCACATGTTATGCTTCTCCCGCTCCAGTTTATGTTCCTTAAACCGCTACATTAAGCATGAAACTGCATTTTCTTTATTTCTGTTCGAAGTAGCCGCTCCCCCCGTGCATGCGATGATAGCCCCGTCCGTGCGGTCATAAGATGTTAATCCAGTGCTTTCTTGCTGGGGCCGTTCAGTCGCTTTACGCACGTGTCTGTCGTATACTTCTCGACCACCCACGCCTGAAATCAGTAGAGGTTGTGTCTGTCACTCCGTTGGTGCTTTTGATATGACGGTGGAATGCTGGTTGGCAGCCTATAGTACACCGATAAACTATCTACAACGCTAGTTGTATTAAGTTAGCCAAAAATTAGTTTAAAAATTGAATTACTGCTCAATATCTTGCTATGTTCCATTTGTTGCAAATTATAGTAAGCTTCGCTGCACACGAAAAGACGCAGTGTTGCGTGCGTGTGCACTGGGAGCTACGTTCAGCTGGCTTTTAATGCTCGGGGCGCTTGGAGGGTGCAGATACATACACTCTCGCTGCCCTTCTTTCCTGGCTGGCGATCTAAGGAGGCGGGAAGGGAGGGCTGAAATTTCTAGGAAAGCATTCAGTATCCTACTACCAAATTTGTAACGAGTCTAGGATTAACTGTGTGCTATCCGAGGTGGCTCTAAGGAGATGCTTCACTCCAGACTTAGTTCAAGCCTGATACAAAGTTATGGACATATTCGATATTTGGGAAGGGGGACAGCTAGGGCGAGTGTAGCTGTTTTTTTCAAGCGCTCCAACCGTTCACAGCTAGACGCACATAGCGTTTAGAGTAACAGCATACAACATTGCTTCTTGTAGTATGAATTTAAGGATATGCTACAACATAAAGATGTAGACACATTTAAACCGATTACTCGTACCTCTACAAGTCTTAGTTTAAAATCACCGGAGTGGTAAATATTGTATAGGTGTAGCCTAGCTCGCTACATCTCCCCACTCATATTTAAAACATGCATTGCTGTGTTCCACACCTACATCGAGACCAACTGCATGATGGGAAGCGTAAGAGTTCTCTCCATATCGCTCTTTTGCAGACAGCGGAAACACTGAACCAGCGCAGATCAGGGGGGCAGAAGGTACAACAACCGCTGAAGTAAACCGACGAACAGAAGACACATGCAATAGCCAACAATGAACGAAGGACCGAACCAACACTACCGCGGCGGCGCGGTAGCTTGTTGCTGTCGGAGTGCTGAAATGTGTGAGCCTTCAGCCACAAGAAAACAGAATGCAAGTAAATATGTCGAGTAACCTAAGAGCCATATCAGTTTAGCAGTGCTTCCACACCTCAATAAGCAGTCTCTGCTGTATGCCGGGGTACACCCAATAGCGCTAGTCGATTTGAACACTTTGCCTTTCCTCAAAATATTACCCTTCTGCCGCGCATTCTCCTTTTCGTGTTGTGGAAAATTCCGATACTGGGAAGCATAGCTTGGGACTGACACGGGAAATAGCTCAATGCGGTATTTGGCCATCCGGCTTGCAGCTCCTCATCATTTAGCACATCCTCGAGCTCCTGCTTGATATTTGCGCGTCCTCTGTGTTCCTTGGCCAGAAGTTTAATTGAGTTCCCCAATAACAGACCAGTTGTGGAGCCTATCAGACGGGATGGGTGCTCAAAACCATTTCTTCTTTCTGCGCTGCTGAGGAGTCGGCATGAAAACTCTCCCTCATCATGTTAAGGTACAGCCTATAAACCGCTCACCACAAATTAAGAAAGCTTTGTTGGGGAGGCCGCGAGCTGCCTCTTCTGAGCCCTTTCTGGCACAGCAACCTCTACAGCGCGCACCTGTGGCCGCATGCGGCCTTCCACTGGGTTACCCGTGGCACACCTAGGATTACATCGTAGTGTAAGGTTATAGAAGCCGTGCTCGTATGTCGCCGTTCAAAATTAGAGTAACATTTAACTGTTTTAGACTTGTCATTACCTGCGCTCTGTGTCCTTCAGCAAACGTGAGCCTTTGGAACTGCACTGATGAGTAAAAAGGCCTATTTAAGTTTTGTGCTGTCTCCTTCAAGAACAGATCCTTTTCACATGCAGTGCCGATCCATGCTACCAGTTCATAACTTTCTATATGAGCTTGTATCAACGCGTACTTGATTGATGGTGGGCTCCCAACTGCGGTTCTACCATCTGTAGCCCCCTCACCACGCTGTGGCCTGCGTAGGGGTCCCTTACTTTCCCTGATCCATCTTCTCTGCTCACCACGTAGTATGCCTCTCCTAGATCTATTTTTGTTGTTCAGGTACTTCGGCTTTCCGCATGCAATAATACTTCCAGAATAACATGGCCCACCTTCGCACAATATTAGCATGTGTGTTATTGGGGTCTGTCTGGGGATGATCAGGAGGGCGCCTTCCCTTAGACTTTCTTGTCCCCTTCATTTAGAACTGTAGGCAAGGGAAGGGACGGCTGACGCAGCCCCGGCATCCATGGGTTCCACATCCCGTACTTACCCCCCTTGCAGCCAAAGACTCACGAGCTTCGCCCATTTGCCCTTGAAACCTCCAGTATTCCATCATTTGTGGAAGTCTGCAGGTAGTTTATTACTCGCTGTCGCTGACTTGTTGCCCAACCTGCAACCACCTGCCGTGGCGCTTCGAGTAGGCCCGAGACAAGCCACTGATACGCAGCTGTTCGTCGGCGTTGTGGCTCTCGCGAACTAAAACTTATTTCTAGGTGAATCAATGTACCCATTGATTCCTCTGCTTCCTCCTTTCGATTTTCTTAAAGCTGGACACGCAGCTTATCTGTAAATAAATCCTATGACTGAGGGCTTGTATGACGACTAAGGCTGTAGTAATCCCTGTAAGCAGACGACTTCCTCGATATGAATTGAGCCACCTGTTAACTGCTTCTTTCCCCAAACCCATGCTGGAAAGAACACTTGTTTGCACTCATGGTGAATACAAAAAAACGGTACATTTCCAACCGGATGATGTGATATTCAAGTAACTGCTTGTCCGTATGGCTGTGACACTTCTCTGGGCGGCATGAACTCATCTACGCACCCGTAGTCATTTTATCGGTCGACGTAATAAGCTCATCCTACCAGCTATTGGACTACTGCGTTCCCATCAGTTTGCAGGCAGGCCTCTGCCACCCCAACAGGCGTTGTGCCACGGTCTACTTTCATCGCGAAAGAAGCGTTCCACCAGATCATTGCAAGCGAAAATCAGACTATTTCAATTACCAAGTAGCTTGTTTGAATTTGGCTAATTGTTGCCACTGTAGCCACAGCTAGTGGATCGGCGGGGGACACCAGGATCAAAGCATGCGATACTACCAGCTTTAACGCTCCATATAAAATCTCCGTAAGGAAAGACTTAATTCTGGAGTTATTACAAACGTAATAGGAATTGATTGAATGTTCTCCTAGAATATTCCTCCTCTCCCCTTCCCGCCCCATCAGATCTCCACTCAGGAAAGAAGAGCTGGGGCGCACATCTCTGCACCCTCCAAGCACTCCGAGCATTAGCTGCCAGCTAAACGTAGCTTCTAGTGCACACGCGCGCAACACTGCGTCTTTCCGTATGCCGCGGAGCTTAGAGTGCACTGCAACAAATACACTATAGGAATAGGTTGAGCAAAAATTCAATTCGTTACTAACTCGTAGCTGGCTCAATAGAAGTAGTGTAGTAAAAAGTGTTTAGATGTGGCTTCGCCGGCTACTAGTAGCGCTGTTGCCTCGCAACTTGTGCACAGTTTCTGTGGGTGGGAGCAGTCTGGTCATCACACTTGCGAGGTCGTAGAAAAACATGAAATTAGCGATACTTCCATTGCGACAAACAGAGGATACGGATGGAGCTTTGGGGAAGTGTACGTAAAAGGCGTAAAATAGCGGACAATACCTTTGATGTAAAGAATGAATGAGTTCTGCGGACCGACTGCACTTCAGGGCACTCGTGTTGCCCTCGAGATATTTGATCGTTGCTGTTCCTCTTCTCCATAAGATATATTCGCCTGCGCAGCCAGTTTTATGGCAACAGACAGACAAGAATCTGCCGGTAGTGGAATGGGGTTGTTGCTTCACCGTTCGAGCTGAGGTCACCGACAAGTCAAGCGCCCCAACACTATCATGCCGGTTCAATTTGGGGGTTCACGCTACTACAGAAGCTGCATTCAACTGCGATAAAGACGCAAATTACTCTTTTTTGTCGTTTGAGGAGCCGTAGCTGCCGCAGCAAGGCGAGGATTTTGCCGGGGCTGGGCCCGGCGGCCAGGCACCGGCTGAAAAATCTAGTTGTATAAGGCCTTTCTCATTACTGCGTTGTGAGATGTCCTTCTAAGTGAGCCTTTGCCTTTTTTGTTTTCTTACAACAACAATTAGGGCTCTGTTCTGAACGCACTTTTCCCGTTCTCCGTCCTCGAAGGGCACCATATTCGTGTGGATCCATAAACATTGGTGTCTCGGCTTTGTTTCGTAACGGAGGCATCTCACCGAATCTAGCTTCGTACACAGGAAGGGAAAGCCATACGAGCCATTGTTGGTCTTTATTCCTCCTTGCTCAAGGAGCTTCCGATGCAGGGATCTGGGAGTTTGTGTTTCGTTCTCGACTCTTTTCAGTTTTCCCTTCCCCCGAACACTTGTTGAGGCCCATATAGGCAAAAGAAGTTGCTGTGGGGGGCCTGTGTAGAGTGGTTGCAGGCGCATGGTGCAGCGATAACGGCAGTGGCTCCCGTTGCCGCTGCTGCCAGTGCCTGTTGGCTCCTTGACAGCCTGGGCAGTTGCACAGCTTATGAACACAAGAGACGGGAAATATTGTGAAGCTCCGCCGCCAGGGAAGTCAACAGCAGCAGCAATGTCCTACTCTTTCAGTGTCTCGCCACCTCTGAAGAGACAATGCGGGCTCTTTCTGCGCTTCATGCTGCTGCTGGCCAGTCCCCTGCCTAGCTTGAGTGCTACAGACTCTGATTTCCCGCCATATTGTTTGAAGGAATGGACGGTGCAGGAGAAGCGCACGCTGCCGCCTCTGAGTCTAGAGGCCCAGAACCTTAATCTTAACCTGCAACAAGTGAGACAGCGATACTTAATGCGCATTGCACAAGGGCAGGCTGTCGATGCGAGGCGAATTTCGATTGCCACTGCCTTAAGTCTCGGTGTGCACTGTATCCGTATACCAGAATGTGCTTCTTGGTGCTGCCGTGCAGGTGCATGCTCTGGTGCGGCACGGAGCCAGAGCTCCGTATGATAGAAACTGTTGGCGATGGGCAGGGACCAAAGCCCCTGACTTGAGCACATGGAGCAGCGGCGACATCAGTACAGGCTCACGCCATGTAGGCGTTGCACCTGAGCAAGACTCTCTGAGAAGTGACAGAGAGAGGTGCCCTCCGAGGGGCCTTCATCGACACGGAGACTGTTCAGCGGCCACACCAGCAGCCAGGCATGATTCTGCCGTTCCGGCAGGAGGGACGTCCGCAGAGACAGGAGATGCATCAGCAGCTCCTCACCAAGCAGCTGTGGCAGAGCTGCACCACCCTTTTGCTGCAAACAGCGAGAGCAGCAGGCTGGACTCGCTGCCTCAAGGAGACGGCACCGGAACAGACGCCGCGGATCATGCAATATCAGCACAGCCAGGAGCAGTTGTGCATGCGCCAGATTCAGCAGCCACGACAGAAGAAGAGCCTCCATGGGAGTGCGCTATCCAAGAAGAACTGGGGATGAACGATACTCGTAAGTTTCCGCCATGGATTAGAATTATCTGTGCTGCTGAGCCTTCGCGAGGCTCAGGAGGGCGACCTGGGAGAGCGCGTGTCTGCGCTGCTTGATGCTTCCGGGCAGCAGCCTGCTGGTGGGTGCTCAAGGCTTTTTTCGCTACTGTTCTGTTTCTGTTGAGGGGAAGTCATGGGCAGCGTGCTTGCTGGTGCAGGTAGTATCTGTGTGGCTTTGTTCAGCTGTTGCTGCTGTTGCTGGCACCTCTTGCAGGGTATGGGAGGTTGTCCACTCCGATGTTGCTGAAAAAGTATGTGCCTACTGAGACGGAGAGGGGTCCCTTTAGGGGCAGCTGCGTGCCGTCAAGTCTGCTTGACGAGGGTCAGGTGCAGCTGCGACGTGTTGGACGCATCCTCAGCCGGGCATACGTTCAAGTGGGGGGCGGCGACTCCAGGGATACGCAGCAGGAGCAGCAAATACGGCAGGAGCAGCAGCTGGTGCATCCCCTCTTCACTGCTGAGGAGCTGCGCCTTGGAGTCAGCGAGAGACTACGGGTTCGTTCAACGGATATCTCCCGCACGCTATCAAGTGGGGCGTTCCTGCTGGAGGCTTTTTTCCAGTCATGCGGCGTGTCTCCCCAGCGGGTGATAGTAGAGACTCACGAGGTCACCTCAGATCCTCTCCTTTCGGGATACGCATCTCGTGAGGTCACCCGGCTGCGGAACCAGGCAGAATCGACGCCAGAGTTTGCTGCTATCACTGCTAGTCAAGAAGGCGTCAAACAGCAGCTTCGGAAGAGCTTGAGGCTCTCTGAAGAGGAACTGGAGGCTATATGGCCGGAGGTGATTGTGGACTGCGCGCTCACCTACGTCTGCAGCGGGAGGAGGCATTTGCTGCCCACCCTGCTGCAGCAAGACAACTTTTCAATGCTGCAGCAGTTGCTGGTCTATAACGACGAGATCACTAACTTCTGGGTAACCTGGGCAGACGCAGTCGCTGCCTACGTGGCCGCTGAGCCGCTGTTTGGTGAGCTCTCGGGAAAGATAATCGCTTCCATCCGCAACAAGCAGCAGCGCAACAGCGGCAGCATGGCAGCAGGAGCAGCACCGCAGCCTTATCTCTCGCTGTACATGACCCACGATGTGACACTCATTGCACTTCTCGCGGCGCTGAGGGTTTACAGCGGCGTCTGGCCGCCTTACGCATCCGCTGCAGTCTTTGAAGTGTACGAACACCTCCCACAGCGGCCCCATGACAAGAGGAGCAGCAGCGGCGATGAGGATGGCGTCGCATCGCATGTCTTCCGCCTCGTGTACAACGGGTAATTGCCCTCACCAGGGCTTCCCAGAGACTAAAAGACGACCCTCAAAATAAACCGAAGCACTATGTAATAGTTTGCTGCTCAGTAGCTCTCAGCATCTGTATGTATTTTGCGCTGTTGTTTTAGGTCGGTCCTCACTGGGAAAATACCAGGTTGCAGCGGAAAGGCGCTGCTTTCCCCTGACCTCTGCAGCCTTGATGTTCTTATGCGCCTCATGCGAATTCCCCCACCCGTGCCCCCCACGAATGAGCAACAGCCGCAGCAGCAGTCACAACCGAATCAGCAGCTGCTACACCGGCAAGAGGAGATGTAGTGCCAGTGAACGCTTCAATGAATAGGGAACGGCATCTAGAATATACGCTGGATGGATGAGCGAGGCTCCAGAGCTACGCTTGAAACCTTTCTTATGCACTAGGAGCCGCTCACTTTTAAAGCAGCCATCTGAATGCATTTTTGGTGGATATGTCTTTCCATACAGTCTGTTCTGGTGTTCAACACCAAAAGACTCTCTCTGATATCCCCTTTTGGGGAGGTGGAGTACCATTTGGTGGGAGTCATTGGGATGCAGTGAAGATTGCTGACTACAGAGACATAAACAGGTGCTTACAGCGGGGAAAGGGGAGGACCAGAGGGACACGCCCAGCGTAATTCTGTAGCATAAGTAGATTGAGAAAGCAGCAAGTTGCAGGAGGTAGGGAGTGACACAGTGACAGATAAAGGGATTAGGGAGCGCCGAAAAGAAAATCAAACTTTCCTGGCATCTACAAAGGAGCCTGTAGGACTCTATTGCTTAGTGCTCTTAGAGGAACCCCCATTAATTTCACACTAGCAAAGGAAGATGGGATTTTTAGAAACAGCACTAGGGACGGAGTTGCTGGTCCAGCTGGTGCAGTAAGCAGAGACCGGCGAAAGCGCTCATGTTTCTTATGTAGGTCAAATCAGCGTCCTAAACGTTTGGGGGAAGGAAATTTAGGAATTAAGTTTCATACAAAGGTCAAATGGCTCGTACAGCTGGCTCAGTGGCTGGCAGAGTGGTTTTGCTGTACGGGCACCTCGATGAGAAGAGGTGAACTACCTCGCTCTACGGCACCACCATCACTGGCAGGAGATCCAATCTCTCCACCTAGCTCAATATCTGCTAATAATTCTGTAGCGAACGTCGGACCGAAGCTCTCAAGGGCCCCTTTACTGCCGACTTCCCCAGCTTCCTCCCCAAGGGGGTTCCTATAGGAGCTGCCCTGCTGCGAGGGGACTAATGTTTGCTGCATCATGTGGAGAGGCGGGTGCAGCGACATATGACAGCCTTGTGGGGATTGCATATGCTCTTCATAATGGAGGCCTGGGCACTTCACTATGGATATAGTAATTGGGGACGCTTCTTCCCCAAACTTGAGTAGCCTTGGCTGCTGGTTTATGTCTGGGGTTGGACGGGGTCCCCGACAAGGAGAATTATCGCCTGATCTGGGGCCTTTCTCCTCCTTTGTCTCTGCAGGAACAGCAATCCCGCAGAGGTCGCCTTCCTTCTCGCAGAGAAGTTCTATTTCGTTCCAGTCTGCATTACATACACTCTAGTTGTAAGCCTCCACGGCCTCGAAAAGTCATGATTCGCGAAGACCCCTCTCCCCGCTCTGCCTCCCTGTTACATCAGCAACGGAGGGTGCGTGTTACGGACGTGCAGTTCTGCCCTGCTTGCTGCGCTCTGTTTATGAAGCAGTTTTAGACCTGTAGCACCCATGCTATAAGGTGGTACGTGAGACTTGTTGTATAGGGCTATGAAGAAACACGGAATAAATGGTAAATAAGCACTATTATCCCTGGATGTGGTGTGCGACCGTGAAGAGGCACCCTGGAGCTCTCCCTACCAAGACATGGTACGCTTTCCTGATTCCACAGGAGATGATTGCATGGCTATTTGCGTCTAGAGAGTCTCTGAGTTACACGATGCTAAGGCACTTGAATGGAAGCAGCGTTCGCATGCATTCACCTGGGCCAAGAGACAGCGGGCAGGCCTGGGAACTGGAGCAGACGTCGAAGTGCTTGGTTTCAGAACAAGCAGTTACAGGCCCGCTGGAATGGCGCTTGCAGCATCTGCACCTCAGCCATGGGGGCAGCTTCCGTAGGAGACCCATTCCTATTAGAGTCTCCAGAGACGTGCAAGTAAGTGCTCAACGAACGTAAGAATGCCCCTCGTAACGCTACCCACGTACTGTGCAACAACGACTGAGTCTCTGTGCTTGTCTCTCCCACTTTGACCGTACGTGTGGGCACACAGTATGCGCCTAAACGCTAATGGATGGAGCTTAGAAGGGGCTAAGTCCTGTTTTGTGGCCGGGGAGCCGGCGCAGCTGTCTGGCCTCCCCCATGGGTCTTTCCTCTAGAGAGGCGTCTTGGACAGTTTGAAGCATGCAAAACTGGATCTTTTTCTTTAAGAAACGCAGGACAGAAGACGATGCAGCTGGGCGAGAGGCGGAGGCCCCTTGGGGCTGGAGCCGCCGGTGCACAGCCACCAGAGGTACCACTGTAGGACGGGGCTGGTTGTTGTGTTGGATCCTGTTCGACGATGGAAGCAGAGGATAAATAGCATGAAAAGCCGTTTTGCGTCTCTCCTCTGTATTTATCGAAAGGAAAATAAGCGGCCCGGGGGGGGGGGAAGCGGCTCCGCTATTCGGCCGTCGCGTGAGCGTGTTCGCTGTTGCCTCCCTCCTGCACCCTCCCTCTGCTGTTACGCAAAATATAAGGCGCTATAAGCGACACAACACCAACTGCAGAGGCCGGAGTGCCCAGCCAGGCTCATTGATGCGTCCTCCCCCCGTGCCATTTCTCATGCGCATCTGCCAGGCCCCCCACTAAAAGATTTTTAAAGGGTAGATTGGTGGTAGGGGCCCCTTTCGCAGCTCCCCCCTCTGTGATTACTGCCAGTCAGTTCAAGGCTGCAGCACCTTCGGTTTTGTGTCTGAGACAAGAATCACTGCCAGCAACGGCGCCAGGGGGGTGTCGCTGCTACAAATGCCATCAGGCCACTCATGCAGCCTTTTAGGGAAAATGGGAGGCGTGCCTCCATCTCAGAGGGAAGCGGCAGTAGTGGCAGTACTCCGACTCACCAAAAGCAGCGGAGCAATGCCTTGTGGAGCAGCAAGCCTCATTGCAGCAGGAGCCTGAACAGTAGCGACTTTGCGTCCGACCTGTCCAAGAGGCAGGAAGAGCTTCTCCCTTCTTCAGAGCTGGAGGATGAGGAGCGTGCTGCAGCATTTGATGCAGCAGCAGCAAACGAAGTGGAGGCGGCGGATGCAGATGCTGCGTCTGAGCTTTTCCCATCCTTCCCTCCAGACTTGTGCCTCCCCCCAGTCTCAAATCCTGTGCTGGATGTAGTCTCAGCTTCTGAGAGAGCTGCTTGCGGTGAAGATCCACTCGAGCGGTCTGTGATAACCTATGAAACCAGCACCACGGACGCACAAGTCGAAGCGCAAGCCGAAGCTTCATGGGGATGCAAACTCAAGACTTCCCCGCGACGTGCAGCGGCTTTTACCGCTGCGCATGCAGCTCGCAGTTGCAATGATATGAACGGCCATGAGCGACAGCAGCAGCATCGGCAGGAGGAACTCGATACAAGCGACAGCCAGCCGGATTCGGAGTATCTGCAGCTGCAAGAAGCCTACGAACTGCACTTGGAGCTCCGGCAGCAGCAGCAGCTGCTGCAGCAGGAGCAGCAGCAGCAGCAGCAGCAGTTAGAGGCCTTGAGGCTGGAGAAGGAGGAGCTGCTGAGACAGATGGAGCAGCGGGATTGCGCCTTCGCCGCAGAGCAGCAGCAGCAGCAGCGGCAGCAGAAGGAGCTTGAGCAGCAGCTCGCTGCAGCGCACAAACAACAGGAGCAGCAGTCCCTAGACCATGCAGCGCTTCAGAATGCCATGCTTCGCGCGGAAGCTGCAACGCATGACTTGCAGCAGCAGGTGTGGCAGCAACAGAAGCAGCTCGAGCAGCACAGGGAGGAACGGGAGCAGCAGCACCACCAGCAGGAAGCGCTGCAGCAGAAGCTACGAGAGCTGCAAGAACAGGCTTCCACGAAGGAGCAGCAAGCGGCTGAGAGCGAGATCGGGCTACAGGAGCAGCTGAAGGAGCAGCAGCAACAGGTGAGGCGGCAGGAAGTGCAGCTCGAGGAGCTGCAGATGCAGCTGCAGCAGCAGCAACAGCAGATAGAGCAGCAGAATCAGCTCGTTGAGGCGCAGCAGCAGCTCATAGAAGACCAGAGGGAGCAAATTACAGAGCAGCAGCAGCAGCTGAACGAGCAGCAGCAGCGCATACTGGAAGTGCAACAGAACCATGAGCTTCAGGTGCAAGAGCTGCAGCGAAAACTGGAACGCGAGCAGCAGAAGCAGCAGTTGACAGATCAGCAATCGCACGAAAGGCGCATGGATACAGAGCTGCGTGCTCGCCTCCTGCAGCAGAAGGAACGCATCCTGGATCAGCAGCAGCAGCAGCAGCAGCAGCAGCAGGAGGTTCTTCGGGCTAAAGAACGGGAGCTGCAGCAGAGGGAACGAGCGCTGAGCAAGGAGACGCTGCAGCAGCTGAAGGGCAGCTACAGTGACGAGAAGGATATCGTTGAGCTAGTCGATGACGAGGATCTGGTGCGCAAGGAGGCTTTGCTGCAGGAGCGAGAGCAGCAGCTGCTGGAGAAGCAGGAGGAGCAGCAACAACAGCTCCAGAGGCAGAAGGAAGAGCTGCAGCAGCTGCTGCAGAAGCAGGAGGAGCAGCAACAACAGCTCCAGAGGCAAAAGGAAGAGCTGCAGCAGCTGCTGCAACAGCTGCAGCAGCAGCAGAGGGATCAGCAGCTGCAGCAGCAAAAGCTGCTAGAGCAGCAACTAAAGCAGCAGCACGAAGAGCAGAAGTTGCATGACGGACGGCAACGCGTAGAGCAGCAGCTGGAGGCGCTTCATAAGGAGGACAAACGGTATCAGGAGATGCAGCACCAGCAGCAGGAGCACCTAAGGCAACAGCAGGAAGAGCTGCAGCAGCAGCACCAGCTGCTGCAGAAGCAGGAGCAGCAGCTGCACCTGCTGGATGCAGAGCTTACGCAGCAGCAGGAGCTCCTCACGAAGGAACGCATGCAGCTGAAGGGCGTTGCAGCGCAGCAGCAGGAACACTTCAGCATGCTGCAGCAACAACTGCAGCAGCAGCAGCAGCAGCAGGCGCTGCTACAGGATCAGCAGGAGCAGCAGCAGCACCAGCAGCAGGTGCTGCTGCAACGCGAGCGCAAGCTGCGGCTCCATAGGGAACTGCGGATGGTGGCAAGGATACAGCGCAGACAGCGCCAGAGCAAGAGTTCTAGCTGTCGCCGCAGCAGCAGCTGTGGCAGTAACAGTAGCGAAAGCAGTGATGAAAGCAAAGAGCAGCTCAGTTCGCAGAGTGAGCAGCAAACGTCTGTTGAGCAGCAGCTAGAGAGCTACAAGAAGGAGCAGGCGCAGCTTGTGCAGCAGATGCAGCAGCAACAAGTGCTTCTGGAGCAGCAAGAGGCCGTGCTGCAACAGCAGCAGCAAACGTTGCTGGAACTGCGCACAGAGAAAGCTCTGCTAGAAGAGAAGATACTGGGCGAAGAAGACTGCTGCCACGCAAGTGAGATGCGCTGCGCCTCCTGCATGTGTAGCTGCGTTGGCGTCTCTTGCAGGCTGCCGTTCCTCCTCGTTGCTGCAAAAAGGGAAGCACATGCCTGCTGATTAGGATGGCATGTGGCTGCTATTCTGCAGGCCAAGTGCAGCACCAGCAAGGGCTAGGCAGCGCAGGAGCAAGCGGCAAGAGCACCGAAGAGCAGCTCCAGAAGCAAGTATCGATTCTGCAGCAAGAGCTGGAGTGTCTTGACAGAATTCGGCGGGGTTATGAAGCAGAGAACGTGCAACTGAGCCAGGCAAGGGCTTTTTGGTTTTGCCTTCTCTTCTCTCTTGTCTGTGCCTCGTGTGTGCCTCTTTTTCCTGCCGTTTGCGTTTGCTCACTTCCTCCATAAGGCGCATTGGGTGATGTGGATGCAGCAACTGCGGAAACAGCAGGAGCACTTCCAGCAGCAGCAGAAGCACGAAGACGAGAAGCACCATCAGGTCCAGGAGCAGGTGCAGCGACTGGAGTTCCTCCTCTCTTCGAAGCAGGACGAATTGCAGCTGCTGCAGCAGATCTTCCGGCAGCAGCGGCTGCGGCTGGAAACGACTGAGCATGACAACTCGCTCTTGCAAGTAAGAGCGTGGCACCCCGGTTGCTCTTGCTTTCGCCTGGATCGCTGTAGTGGCAGTCTTCCGACCCCCACTTTGGCGAAGTCTCACATTTTGCTGTTGCACAAGTGAAGGGTGCTGCGTGCTGCTGCAGGAGGAACTGGAGATGCGATCCCGCCTAGCATCCGCTGCGCTCGCAGAGGCAGAGCAGCAGCTGCGGCAGCAGCAGCAGCGGCAGGAGGGCTTGCCGCTGTGTGGTGTCGGCCGTAACACAGAGGAGGAGGAACAGCAGCAAGTGCAAAAGGGGCAGCAGGAAGCTTCAGCAATGGCCAAAGAGCTGCAAGACTTGCACGAGCTGGTGATCTGTGCGGTGAGAAAGCTCCCTCTCTAGCCCTCCCACATGCAGCAGGCGGGGGTTGGGCGACTTCCAGAAACCTGTGGACGTTTTTTCAGCTGAGCAAGAGAAGGTCGTGTGTCTTTTCGTTCTGCGTATTTCATGGCTGTGGCCGCTTTGTATCGACGCTGCTGCGTTGTGGCGTGCAGGAGGCTAAGGCGAGCAGAGAACGCCTGCAGCTGGAGGAGGAACTCAGACGCCAGCGGCAACACTTTGAGAAGATCGTTGCTGATAAGGATGCGCAGCTACAAAAGTAAGGGCGAAGCCTTACGGATTGTGGACAAAATCCTGCACAGCAAAACTCTAGCCCTACATCATATCTTAAAGTGCCACGTAGCTAGCAAGCCTGCTGCTAGGGGAGCTGCACTCCGTGGCGTTCTCACCCGTGTGTGTGTATGTAGGTACATGTATGTGTATGTAGGTACATGTATGTGTATGTAGGTACATGTATGTGTATGTAGGTACATGTATGTGTATGTAGGTATATGTATGTGTATGTAGGTACATGTATGTGTATGTGGGTACATGTATGTGTATGTGGGTATATGTATGTGTATGTAGGTACATGTATGTGTATGTAGGTACATGTATGTGTATGTAGGTACATGTATGTGTATGTAGGTACATGTATGTGTATGTAGGTACATGTATGTGTATGTAGGTACATGTATGTGTATGTAGGTACATGTATG